CTGGTTTTCTTGGAACCGTATATACCCCCCTTGCTCGTTGGTGAGCAAACATGATCCTATCGCTGTTTTTGATAGAACGTAATGGCTCTCGGACTCCTTAGAAACCTTTCCTTTCACTTATCCCATAAACGATACCTTAGATAGACTGCCCATTCATTGCTGAAAACACGACAATAATAGTATATTTTTCACTTCAGAGGTACTCTCAACTACCTTTTTGCGTCCATTTGGGGAGCGAATGGACATTCGCATCCATTCTTCAGCTTCGCGATCATCCATCAGAATAGGTTATCAATCGGAAAAATAGTCGCAACGGATGTTTTCCGCGAGCTCGGTTCCCAGCTCATATACATCCCTCTTGTTTTCTTATTCAGTATCTACGGGTGATGCGAAACGGCCGACTCTTTAGGCTTTAAGAGGCGGCGTTCTCTAGACTTGGTTGACGGAATTTCTATTGCTACTGTACATGTGTGAAAGGCGTTTTGACCGTCCACAAGTCTCAATTTCATGACTGGTCACGATTCAATATTCAGAGTGGAACAAAGGTGTCTGACTGTCAGCTCTGGAAGCTCCGGAGACTTGCAGGAAGATGCTGGCATGACACCCACGAGTTACGCCTCGAGTACTGTGTGTGAAGAGGTCTCAGCCAATGTTCTCGGTGCCTAACCTGAGCATGCAGATTCATGGATTCCTTAATAATCAAATCTCCCGCTCCCTTCATGGCAATTTTAGAGCTTTCGTCCTGTTTCTAAACACGTAAGGGATCCCAAGAGTCCCACAACTGTATGGTGCACGTCGGCTGCGCCATACGCAGAATAATGGACTCCGGCCGGAGGAGTCTGACAGCTCGTCGCCGTGTAGACGTTGGCTTCTCTATTACTTCCTTGTAGTCTCCACGACGTGCACCAAAGGTGCCTCTGGGGTCCTCCTTCTATGTTCTCCCTATAAAAACACCGGGGTGTACGTTAGGTATCTGATTGACACCGTGGCGAAGCTGGATAAGATTGGGGGATAAGTCGCCAATGCCGTACATTGATGCACCAGCGTTGTCATGATCGACGTCATGAAGTGTGTGGCGACGCAGAGTTTGATGAGAAAGCACCAAGCGGGAAAGTAATATATCGAACAGAATTTCGCAGAAACCCAGGTGAAATGGACATCCTTCTACAGACTTGGAATACTTGGAAATACTTTAAGATGCCGCGGCACGTATCAGGCCCTCAGCTTGGCGTTATGACGCCGCGAGAGGGAATAACACGGATGGAACACAAGAGGAGGGATGTACGCGGTGGCGCGGAATGGGTCTCTTAATTGAAGTACTATCTCTTGCATGATATGAAGGAGTGACCGCTGGGGCGTTTCCCGTGGGCCAAGAGGTTATCCGTGTGGCGCATCCGAATTTTAATGCCATTTTGGGCCATCATAGCCTTCTCACAGCGAAGGCGACTCCCACACGGGTGCTTCAATTCAAATGACTCGTACAGGTGCCGATAATCAATATTAGAAGAAGTCCCAACCTCCGAAGCCCCTACGAAAAATTCCTAGGAACCAAATCACTGAGGTTGAACTTTGAACCGATTCAAACGATCTTTTCAACCAGCAGCGCTCTCTTTTCAAGGCCACATAGCTTAAATATTTTTCATTAGCTATCGAAAAAGAGAGAAGAGCATTGCTCTGTAGTTGTCAGCGCCAAGTAGTGCTGCTAGCGATCCAGACCTGGGCAAACTGGCCGTAGATGAAATATATATTTCTAGCCAAAGTATGTAGGGTCCTGTTGTGGTCACGCATTTGAATACAGGATAGATCGCATTAAAATGAGGTTGCTACCCACCATGATCAGAGAACATGCTGAAAAAGTGTCCGGACATCTACCCGACTGAATTCATGTTCCCAGGCGGGAACCGCGCATAGTGATCCTGCCCTTGCGATCGTCCTCCTCGTCCAATCCATACACAAAGAAACTAAGACCCGTGAGTATACCACAGAGTAGAGTTGGACGTATGTTTCGTGAGTGTAGTAAGGCCCGATCGGAGGCAGCCTCAGATGATGAAGTTAATGCACCGTGACAGGCTCTGGTAGAGAACATACTTAGTAGTTCATATATCGGCAGAAGAAGAGACGTATATCTCCCGGGCTTGAAATATTAAATGTATATACAGCCTCTATCCAGTCATCCAGATCTGCCAATGCCCCTTGCAATGCAGGAGATTTGCCACAAGCCCCTATTCCGTCTGCTGCCATATGCTGATGTTTGCCTGTCTGATTATATCCAAACAGCTGGTCGCCGCGCTCAGCAACCCGAAGCTGGCTTCATCCATTCTTCTCCTTCCAATACAGCGTTGACCGCCACCCACACCACCCATAACCACCCTAATCATGTCTTCCCGCGCAATGAATGACGATGAAGTGCTGAGCGAGATGAACAAGATGGTGGGCAGATCCAGAAGCAAGTCTTCGCCAAGCTGGCCTGCTAATCGTGCACTATTGCCGTTTCCAGGTAGCTTTCATCAAGCAAGAGGCCCTCGAGAAAGCCCGAGAGATTAAAGTGAAGGCAGATGAGGAATTCGCTATCGAGAAGGTAGGCGGAGACATCCCAGCCTAGCATTGACTGGGGTTGCTTACGCGGAGCTGAACTCAGGCCAAACTTGTCAAACAAGAACAGCAGGCCATCGATTCCCAATACGAAAAGAAGAGGAAGGGGGCGGAGGTGGCGCAGAAGATGTACGCATCCGTCTTGCCTCCTGGTCGTATATCGCTGACCCCTCTTGCCTGACCCCTCTCTATGTGCATCTCCGCCCTTGCTCTGACGCAGTGCTCAATCAACAATCACGAATAAGTCCCGTCTCAAGCTGCTTCACAAACGCGAAGAAGTTCTGCAAAACATCTTCGCCGCTGTCCGGGAACCAGACTCTCCCTTGTACGAACACGCGGGCCGATACGACCAATTCCTCGAAGGCATCCTCACCGAGTCCTTCCTTTACATCCTCGAGCCCTCTGTGACAATCTACTCCCGGAAGTCAGACATCGCCACAGTCAAGAGAGCTGCGGAGAACGCGACGAAGGCGTACAAGGATATCAGTGGGCGCGATATCACGTATGAGGTCCAAGGGGCCATCGCTGACGACTCGTACGTTCTTTTGAGGAGCCATGTGGCTTGGTGGACTGACTGTTTCTTTTGTAGGAGTCAAGGTGGTGTGAAGCTCGTCAGTGGTACAGGCAGGATAACACTGGATAACACCTTGGAGGAGCGACTTCGATTGCTGGAAGACAAGGTATGCGCGCAGACGTCATCTTTCTTTGGAATTCGGGACACTCATCTCCTTCTGCGTAGATGCTCCCAGAAATCAGAAACGAACTTTTTGGTGCGAACGAAAACCGCAAGTTCTACACATAGATTTTCGTTCTTGCTGTGATTCTTCTTGTCGGACCAGAATCAGGCTATCGGCACCTTGTATTCGTGTAGGGAATGGACAGCATTAAATAATTACCTTCCTGAGCGCAAAGTAATCCGCTGTTACTGAGATCGTCGACTCTCGCGCTTGATACGGTCGACGGGAATAAAGTTGCTTGAGTGTCGACGGTGCAAAAGAAATGTAAAAGAAGTTCTAACGACCCCTCAGACCTGCGGAATTTTGATGTGTGACGCCAAAAGTCACCGTCGCCAACCTTTTTTGAAAACAGCAATAATGGGGAATCGAACCCCCGGCGGGTCGAGATCACGCTCGAACGAATAACGACCCAAGTGACCACCACCCTACTCGTATTAATTCGTGGTAATTTAAGCGCCCAGGAGCGGTTGCCAGTGTCCAGTTTGTCTTGGAAAGGCAACATTGCTTTGTATCCTTCTCGGTGTATCCCTTGAGGAGCAATGCCATGAAATTTTCGGGTAAGTGCACTACAGCCAGGACCACCACAATCTGGAGGTTGAGTTCTTATGGATTGTCCCAAGGATTATCCCTCTTGACAATTCTGTGTACGTAACGGGTCTGGTCTCAACACGAAGACGTGGTTCCACTCCGGTGAAGCGGAGGACTGCGTAAAACTCATTGGCATCGAGATTTGCAAGACTTGCAAGGCGCTTTGTGGTATTCCTGATATGTAAACCATTAGTGACCTTTTTGTCTGAATCCCAACCCCAAAACCCCATATTCTCGTCAGAATGTGATGGTATCTGTCCCAAGGTTGCACCCTCCTCGGGCTCTCTGGCACCAGTAAGTGACGTACTTTCATTACATAAAGTCCAATGACCCGGCCGCCTTTGAGCTTGCAGTTTGACTGTCCGTTGAGGCTTGAACCAAGAGGAAGTATGATATTCTCTCTTCGCCGTAAGCACAACGACGGTTGTGCTTACCAAGGGCGGGCCAGGACGAAGAATCCTTCGTTAGAATGACTCGTAATCTAGAATCAAGAAGCATGCAAGGCAGTTGGACAACGCGACGAAGAAACACGGCTGCGGCGAAGGCTGCGAAGGCGGTATAAAAGCGAAACTAAGAGTCGAGCTATGCTCCCCACAATCGCTTACTTCCAATTTACCAACAACAAAAGAGTACAATCATGGCAAATCGCGCGGTCAAACTCAACACCGGGGCAGAAATGCCCATGATTGGTGCGTAATCTCTGCAACCTTTCAACAACAATTCCTTCTTACTTGACGAAAATTGGCTTTCGCATGCACAGCAACTGGCTCATATGCGCCTCCCGAAAGTATTGAGAAGGCGAGGAGCTGGCTTTTGACTGCGCTCCAAGTGCGTGCGACAATAAAGGGAAAGTGAGTCTGTTGCTGACAAGGACGATCTCATGTAGAACGGCTACCGACACATTGATACTGCCCATATCTATGGTAAGCCGTGGTCCTGACCCGGCGCCTATGACAGCTATTCTAATGCACTCCCAACAGGGACCGAAAAAATTGTTGGAGAGGCGGTGAGGGCGTCAGGCCTACCACGAGAAGAGATCTTCATCACCACGAAGCTTCCGTACGCGCACTTTAATTCCGCGCACTCGTTTGCTGCACTATTCCTCACATTTGGCTGAAATAAACAGGTGGTATGCTGGAGAGAAAGTCAAAGAATTATTTGAGGAGAGTCTTGCCAACCTGGGCCTGGAGTACATCGATCTGGTATGGGTCATTTCATCGACTGGGTATGGTACATGAAGTGCTCACACGATAATTATATTCACTTTAGTACCTCATACACTGGCCCCAGGTCCTTGCGTACGAGCCGGGAAACCCGTTTCCAAAGAACCCAGATGGAACGGTGAAACGGTGAAGGCGATAGACACCTTCAATTTTAACCAGACATGGGCCGAGATGGAAAAGCTCCTAGAGACAGGAAAAGTCAAGGCGATCGGCGTGAGCAACTTCTCGATCAAGACGTTCGTTTCATTCTTTCACGCTTATAAGCGAAGAATTGGGCGGCCGCTATTTAATATGACCTTATAGGCTGGAGCAGCTATTGAAGACAGCTAAAGTGACACCTGCTGTTAACCAAGTCGAGTGCGTCCATCTGCGCTCTTGGACCACGAAAGACTCTGGGACTCCTCTAACATCGAGCACGCTAGGCTGCACCCTTACTTAGCAAGCAACGAGCTCAGGCATTACTGCGCCAAGCGTGGCATCGTCGTCGCTGCATACACTTCCAGCGGTGAGAACCTGGACGATTTGAATCTCGGTAGCCTCTAATATTTGCCAACAGGATATGACACCGTCCGAAACGACCCTTTGATCGTAAGCCTTGCCGAGAAGTACAAGGTCGCGCCGACGCAAGTCATATTTGCCTGGCACTTGTCGCGAGGCACCGTGATTATTCCAAAGAGCGAGAATAGCGAGAGGCAGAAGCAGAACATCACTGTATGTCCCTCCTTTAATATAAGTCGTGAGCATGCCCTAAGCTTGGATTTCTCTTTCATAGATCCCAGTAATCTCGGAGGAAGATTTAGGTAAGATATGGCATCTCGACTGTAGACAGAGAATTTGCACGAAGGCATACGAGACGAATGGAGGGCTCTGGGGCTGGACATATGAGCGGCTCGGCTGGGAGGATTTTTATATAAGCACTAGCCCTGTGCCATATGTACGCATTGAAACGACTGGGTCGAAAGTTGCACTCATCTTTTTTGAATTAATGTCGATTGACCAAGCTAAGGAACCACCCAAGTGTGGCGCAATTTCCTTTCCGGAGTTGTCCAACAACTTTCTAGGAACATCGTGCCAGCGAGCGTGCCTATTTCAGGACAGATTAAAAATATTAGAAGGCATAAAGATATTTTGAATAGAGGGCGTATGAATATATTAACACCGGAGATTGCAGAGCCAATGACAACGGGTTGGAGCGAAGTGCGGACAAGGTCTCGCACAAAGACAACTCAAAAGGCTTATTCTGCGTTACTCAACTTCAGACGAATCCCGCGAGACGATGGGTTTGGTAACCTCAAGGCCACACCTCAAGATTGCGAGATGCATTCAAATAAGAAGCTTCGAAGCGTGCAGCTTGGACTCTGGAGGAAAATGAGATGCCCAAACAATGCATTAAGGGGGAATCGAACCCCCGGCGGGTCGAGCTCACTGCTCGAATGGCAACGACCCAGGTTACCACTACCCCATTAATGCACATATAAGGAAAGCTGTGTGGCCAGCTACGTCGGTAAAGCCGGAGCCTTTTACGTAAGTTCTTCTCAGTAGAAGCAGAACCGCACCGCTGAATTCGAAGAAAGCACCATGAGGCTCTCACTTCTGATTCATCCAACTCTTTGCTACTTACGCCGGCTTGGTAACTTCAAGCTCTCTCTGGTGACAGGCCGTGGTGGCTCGGAAAAACCACGTGTAGATTCTTCACGGAGCCATCACGGTCCGCAATCTCCGTTAGCGCTCTCCTGCGACCAGAACCGCAACCAGCGTGTCGTGAGCCAACTTCTGTGGTCAGCCCAGCTACATCTCGCATCTTCTCTCCCTTTGTCATGTGAACCGCGTCCATGCGCACTGGTACCGCTCTACACTATATAATGGACGCGACGCACACAGAAATATGGCGGTCGCTTTGCTGGCACCTTTCGTCCTTTGCAATGTGGACTGCTCGTGGTTTTCTTCATCTTGCGCAACTGCTTTTTGTCCTCTTCCGTTCCGCGTATTCTGCCCCTCAGGGCTTCCCTGAGTCAGGCAATGGCCTGTGGTATAGCCAACCCGGCAATGCCTGGGCGAAGGAATGGCTCCCCATCGGCAATGGCTATCTCGGCGGTAGGTTTTTCTTGCCCAGAAACGTTCCCCACTCTGAGACTTTTGTTATTTAAAAGCCATGTTACCTGGTCGCACTACGCAGGAAGCAACTCAGCTCAACATCGAATCTCTCTGGTCCGGAGGACCGTTTGCTGACCCGGTATAAATATTACCTCTCAAATGTTAGCGACCATGAATTGACTAGTTTCACCCTTAGTCCTACAATGGGGGCAACAAGCAGCCCTCCGAGCAAGCTGCAATGGCACAAGCTATGCAGCGCATCCGTCAAACAATATTTCAGAGCCCTACAGGCGACATCGACAGTATGTCCTTCCCCCCCTCCTTCTATACACGACCCTTTGCTCACGCAGGAATAGGCGTTGAAGTGCTCGGCAATGATCCTGGACAATACGGTCGGCTTAAATTCTATCTTGATACTTCTCCCCACTCATCTCTTCGCAGGTTCCTACGCCGGCGCAGGCCATCTCCTGTCTACACTGGACATCGGCGGCACTGTTAGCGAGTACGGGCGGTGGTTGGACCTTGACCAAGGCCTCGCTCGGACCTCCTGGACGCAAAACGGAACAAGCCTTATTCGGTACTTCTACTTTCCTAATTTGTGTATCCTCAGGGCTGACGCCAGAATCACCATGAATAGTACAAGCTTCTGTTCTCATCCCACCCGCGGCTGCATCCAGCACATCGTATCCCGCGAGGGGCCATTGCCTGAAGTGACTTATGCGTTCACGACTGCCCTCGAGCCGGGTCTTCCTGCACCAAACATCACATGCCTCTCCGGCTCGTCCAACTCCCTTCTCGTGCGGGGGTACGTCTCAGAGTCCCCTCCCGGGACGGAATATGCCTTCGTATTCAGCGCCTTCTCGTCTGCCGACGCGAATATCAGGTGTGTGCAGATCCCTGTGCCCTCTGGCGCACGCCCCAACGCCACGCTCCACGTCTCGACTCCACCCCCTAGTGCTCCCCAGGAAGCCTGGATTACGTGGATCGGGGACACGGAATACGACATGGATGCGGGCGGCCCAACGAGCGGGTTCTCCTTCCGCGGCCTTGACCCTGTGACGAAGCTTCTCGGGCCCTCAGGCGGGGCCCCTCCCACCCAGGCCTTCGCCGATTATGGTGCCCTCTTGCAGGCTCACATCGCGGATGTACAGGATACACTTTACGCTGGGTTCGCGCTGGATCTGGGGCAGCGGCCTGTGCTTGACACGCCGACGAATATGTTGAGGGACCAGTATAGGATCGACGGGCCTGCAAGCAACGCGTATATCGATTGGCTGATGTTCAACTACGCCCGGTACATGCTTGCGAGCAGTGCGAGAAGCGTGCTTCCCGCTAACTTGCAGGGGAAGTGGGCAGACGGAATAGGGAACCCCTGGGGTGCTGGTTAGTCTATATTTTCCAGCTGAATTTCGCAGAGACATCGACTAACCAATGCGGTTCTCCTCCCTCCAGATTATCGTAAGAATCTCTTGTCACCAACTTGTATTGACCCTGACTTCTTTTTAGATTCGAATATCAACATTCAGATGAACTACTGGGGCGCCGAAACAACAGGTTTGGGCAGTCTGGTCACCCCTCTCTTCGACTATATCGAGGTCCGTTCCATCTCTCTCCACATGTCTCTTCTTACCCTAGTCTACCAGAAAACTTGGGGTCCCCGTGGTGCAGAAACCGCCCAAATTCTATACAACATCGACCGTGGATTCGTCACACACAACGAGGTTCGTAACTCAAAAGTCCTCTCTTCGGAGCATCACTCATTTAATCACCCATACTCGTGCAGATGAACGTTAGTACTCTTGGACAGCGCATCTCCGTCATTCATGTCCGCTCACCCACTTGCTTTTTTAGATTTTTGGGCATACCGGGATGAAAGCCTTTGGTAATTCCGCGGAATGGGCCAACTACCCTGGTGCGTTCGAACTTTGACTTCACGCTGTTTCTGTGGCATAGTTGACCTTCGTTCTATACGACTAACCTAGAGGCGAACGTCTGGATGGTGCGTTGATCCTTCGTTTCTCTGTAACGAGTATTCAACAGGAAGCATGCTCTAGATGCTTCACGTCTGGGATCACTTCGACTACACCAACGATGTGAACTGGTGGAGGAGCCAAGGCTGGCCTCTCATTAAGGTAAACCATTTCCCCTTCCTTCTTTTTACACAAGTCTCACAACAGCTTCCAGGGCGTGGCCGGTTTCCACCTCGACAAATTGATTCCAGACCTCCACTTCAACGACTCGACGCTCGTCGTGAGTCCGTGTAACTCTCCGGAACAGAGGCCTATCACGTTTGGTACGCAAAGTCGCCGCTGAGGATCCAATACCCCTCTGTCTCACTAGCGTTCTTTACAGGATGTGCTCACTCCCAGCAAATGATATGGGAGGTGTTCAACGCCATTGAAAAGGGTTTCGAAGCATCAGGGGACACGGACACCGCATTCTTAGAAGGTATCTAATCTTTTGTGCATTGTGAATTCGCCCTGAACCACTATTGAAAGAGGTCCGCACGAAGCGTGCCCAGATGGACAAAGGCATCAAGATCGGCTCATGGGGTCAACTTCAAGGTAAAACTCACTGCGTTCTCCCTTCACTGATCCCCCACCCTGATCCACTAACCCTTCTTCTAGAGTGGAAGGTGGACAAAGACTCTCAGACCGATCTCCACCGCCACCTGTCCCACCTCATCGGGCTTTATCCCGGATATGCGATCGCCAATTTCGATCCCTCGCTCCAGGGAACCGGACCTGCCCAGGGGTACACCCAAGCCCAGGTTCTGGCTGCCGCTAGCGTCAGCTTGGATCACCGCGGGAATGGAACGGGACCGGACGCGAACTCGGGATGGGAGAAGGCCTGGCGAGCCGCTGCGTGGGCACAGCTCGGGGACAGTGAGAGATTTTACCACATCCTTTCTGTAAGTTACATTCTCTTTTTGGACGGGAAGCACTTGGACTAAATAAATTTGAATTGCAGTTCGCGATATCCGAGAACTTTGGACCAAATTTGTTCAGCCTCTACAACCCGGAAGACCCGAATGCCATCTTCCAAATCGACGCCAACCTTGGGTATCCTGGCGCCGTTATGGTACACAATTCCTTCTTAGAGACGTTTGATGCTTACGCTAGGCTCCTTGCAGAATGCTCTCATTCAAGCGCCAGATGTTGCGAGCAACACCTCCCCATTGACTATTACACTCCTCCCAGCACTTCCGACTCAGTGGTCCTCCGGCTCTCTCCGTGGCGCGCGCGTCCGTGGAGGGATCATTGTTGACATGAGATGGAGTTCGGGTCGACTGAATGAAGCAACTGTCTCCTCCGGAGAGAATGTGAGGAGTAGGGCTGTAAGAGTGGTGTATAATGGCCGCGTCTTGGATTCTTTTGATAGCGCGAATGGGCTGCGAAGGCAGATTAGCGTGTAAGCGCTGTCTTTGGCGCCTATGGACCTGTTGATGATCACGATCACGATCTAATCTTATCTTGAACAATTGATTCCGTTTTCTTGTCTCAACTGCGGTTGCGAAATAATTCCGTGCGATATTGATTCCACCACCCACCACCAAGTACAATCTGCAGCTTCTGGCCTCCAGTTCGCTCTGCCTGAAGTGATGTCAAACAAAGACCTTATATTCGACTATGTATCTGCCGATGAAATACCCACGGCGCTCCAAATCGAACAGGAAGGTATGTGGGCATAAATCGGCGCTGAGCAGCGATATGAGATCGTGCTCTTCCAGGATATCCAGCAGATGAGGCAGCAACAGAGAGTAGCTTCCGGTAAGCACACCGTCACCTCATCCAATGCAGGGCAAGCCTTACTCAAGCGAGCTGAAGGTATCGACAATCCCAGGCAGGAGATCTGTTTCTAGGCGCCTACCAGCCGAATGGAAGCTCTCGGACACTCATCGGATACGTCTGCGCTACGCTCTCACCAGACACGTCCTTATCACATGCGTCGATGTCGACACACGTCCCTAATTCGAGCTCTGTATGCATCCACTCCGTCTGTGTAGCGTCCTTGCATCGGCGGAAAGGCATAGCGCTTGCTCTGCTCAAAGAGTATATCGATCGCCTGGAAATGGCTCGGGCGGAAGGCGTCGTGCCGTATGAACGCGTCCTACTCATCGCACACGACAATCTCAGGGAATTGTACGAGAAGGCTGGGTTCGAGTGGCTGGGACCGAGCAAGGTGGTGCATGGTGCGCGGCCGTGGTTCGAGATGCGAAGGAACTTGGCGGGGCCTGCAGAGAAAGAGACCCCGGAGAGGATGCTCGAGGGGAATATACAGATTCCACCAGGGGTGCTGGAGGCTCTTTCGCGTCCCAGGACGAATATCCCTCCGTCAAGGCTGATCTCCGACTTTCATCACGCACTCGCTGACCTCGTGGAGGCGGATGAGGGGCATCCAGGTGTGTCTGTAAACAAGTTTGATCTTCTATGCCCGAAGGCAGACTGTGGTAGCATCATCCTGAAGAAGGGGGTCGGCAAGTGGGTAGAACGCGCAAGCGTGCAGGTCAGTTTTCCTTCGTCTTTCGTGCAACAAGGGCTCATGTCAATCAATTGTAGTTGGAGCCTACAGGAACACCACTCAATCCCAGTCTCCCACCTCTACCAACACCACCAGATACCGCCCAGTGGTGGCTCGTGACACCATCCCCTATGGCTTTTGAAAACATAGGCTTCACGCGTCCAATCAGACCTCTGAAAGAATCAGGCAAGGCATCTCCATCGTGGGGACTTCCAAAGCTAATGCCCTTCATAGGGAAGAAAATAAAACTTTTAGCTTGTGCAGAGTGCGATCTTGGTCCTGTCGGCTGGTGTGAAGAGGGTGGATCAGAATTCTGGCTGGCATGCTCTCGAGTGGCATACCGTGGATAAACAAACATTCAGTTGCAGGGCAAGAGAGTGTGCAGTATATGTTCAATTGTGTAATTACAATTACTGACCCTGGGTTTGCTATAAACCTAGGTTCGAGCGGGGAAGACGGGAAAACCAGCTTGGGCCAATGTGCTGACTTTCGGGATGTTGTTCTTCCAGCGGCTTCATCGCTGAAGGATGCAGAATGAACGGCGGTCTTGGTCCTACTCCTGGGATGCTTGATCAATTGATCTCGAAGGCTCCTTCTGAGCTCAGACTTATGTCCATCCACAGAGAGTTCAAGGTCAGCATGGCCCCCCAAAGCCCGGAGGCCATGATCTCCGGACGATCCAATCAGAATTACCGAGTCCCACGAGCAAGAAGAGGGAGATCGACAACATGAAACGCCGATTAACCCCTGTCTGTCGTTCAGAACATTGCTTGTTGACGCTCTGCAGACATCGAAAACATGACGTGGACGGGAGACTGCTTTGCTATATGCACGGCGGTCTCTTCGGAGGAGATCTCAAATCACCGTCGAGCTCCAATAACACAGATGTCAGATGGTGAATACCATGGGTACTTACTTACATCCTCGAGAGTGTGTCCCTAGCGTCATCACCGGCTGTTAAATCTGATTGAATTTAAAGTTGGGCTCGACGGGAAAGCGCCAATGGTAGAGGCTCGCCGTCGGGGTTTGCCGGAGTGTATATATCTTTTACCGTCATCTTGGCGGCGTTTCATTGGTTTCAAGGTCAACTGCTGTCATTGGTCGATCTAACAAGCCGTTACTGCTGCTTGGCATCCAGATCGCTGTAAAGTCATGATGGAACTCATAACTCGCGATCGGTCTCTCTATGATAAAAATGCTTGAACATATTATAATGCGGCCAGATCTGCGAGCTCTCGACGTCTCCATCTTTCACCCCAAGCACTATGGCCACGCCAACACTTTCGAACCTCACCCTCCTCGCTCGCCACGCAGATGAACCTTGGCCAATCGCCCAAAAGCTATTCCTCATTCTCAGCGCCTATCTTCAGCTTCCATCCAAAACCCCAGCTGTCCATGCAGCCCAGAAGATCAACCAACTCTTCCCGTTAGTCCGACCCGTCGAAGGGGATACTCTCAACGAGACCCCAGAGAGCTTCCTCTGGGAGATGTGGGAGGTCTTGGTCGATGTCGCGTCGCAGATTCCCTGGGACCATCCCGCACAGGACAAGCTTGTCGAGTTTCTGAAGAGCCTTCGCGACTTGCCCTATCCTATGACGGTCGATATGGAAGAATGGGGTGAAGTACAACTCTGGACGGACCTCCCCATCTTGGGCCCAGTTTTGACCGAAACGTCATACAGTGCGTATTCCTCTTCTTGCCCACCATCAAAAGTACTACACTGAATACCATTCGCCAAAGACACTAATGCGGCCGATCAGAAAACAGCGCAATCTGAACGCGCTCGCAACCTCAACCTCGAAGCACTCCGTGCCCGCCTAACGCGAGACGAAATCCAAGACTGCTCGTCAAACGGCATATATGCCTTACGTGAGGCACTTGAGCAGGAGCCCGACTACCGATCGCGTGCATACCACATGCAGGGCCCGCAATTGGAGTTGTACGTCCCAATCGCCTCCGTATGGATCCAGGTGGCTGGAGCTGCGTTGTTCCGACATGCGCGCTCGTTAGGGGAAGAGGCGGACGAGGGGTGCGCTGACATTGGAGGTGGTCGGACTTGGAAAGGGAAGAATGGTTTCTCGTTAGCGAGGTGGGAGTACTGGAAAGATAGGTTCACCCAAGTCAAGGTGCATGATCAAGCGAGTGAGATAACGAGGGAATTCGCGGCGAAGGCGGAGGAAGTAATGGTGGCGATAGAGGCCGAGATTTAAGTTCGCTGGATTAAAGGGTTGCTTTTTCTTGTTTTCGTGTTTCTGGGGGCAATTGGTGAATGTGTCCGGCTCTTTCCGCGCAAATCCCTTCTCCGCAGCGTGACTAAGCCGTGCCACAATAACCATATTTGTCATTCAATTCGGTGGTAATGCACTCAAGAGCATGACTCGCTGCAGAAGAATAGCCTTCGAAATTTGGAGTCATAAAAAATGCGTATCAATTCGTTATCAGAAGCAAACAGTACAAAGGAAACCAGAGCGCAGAATATCAACTCGACGTTCAATCAATCTCATTCCAATCCATCTATATCTAGATGCATCATCAGCGTAAATCCCTATAGATATTTATGTTACTTACCCTCGTCGTCATTAGAAGCGGCCGGACCTATAAGCCAAGCGGCAGGCCCGGGATGAGAGAAGGGAGAGAAGGGAGGATCTGCGACAAGAGGCTCGAAATGGGGTCAATGGGAGTAGGGGGTGGGGGTGCCGGTTTTGGGGTCGGGGCAGCGCTGGGAAGTGGAAGATCAATCGGAAGGTCCGGAAGAGGGAGGGGAAGACCTGAGAGGATGTCGCCGAGGACGGGGAGCGGCAAACTGTCAAGTATGCCCGTCGGGAGGGGGAGGTCGATGGGAATTGGCAGGCCGAGGAGCTGCCTCTCCTCAAGGCTCTGAGGGGCGGTCTCCCTGATTGGAAGTATGCCGGTAGGGAGGGGGATGGGAAGGGCAGGGAGAATGCCACCGAGGTCGGGGAGGATGCCGCCAAGGTCGGGGAGGATACCGCCAAGGTCGGGGAGAGCTGGCAAACCCGGAATAAGTCCTGTGGGAAGGGGTAGGTCGATGGGAAGATCAATAGGAATTGGCAGGCCGAGGAGCTGTCTCTCCTCAAGGCTCTGAGGGGCGGCCTCTCTGATCGGAAGTATGCCGGTAGGGAGGGGGATGGGAAGAGCTGGGAGGATGTCGCCGAGATCGGGGAGAATGCCGCCAAGGTCGGGGAGAGAGGGCAAACCTGGAAGAAGTCCTGTGGGAAGGGGTAGGTCAATAGGAAGGTCGATGGGAAGTGGCAGGCCGAGGAGTTGCCTCTCCTCAAGGCTCTGAGTGTCTGCCTCCCTGATTGGAAGGATACCTGTAGGGAGAGGAAGGGGGAGATTCGGAAGGATGTCACCGAGATCGGGGAGCGGCAAATCATCCAGTATGCCAGTCGGGAGAGGAAGGTCGATTGGGAGGCCTGGAAGAATATCCCCGAGATCTGGGAGGTCGATTGGAAGGGGTAGGCCTAGCAGTTGCCTCTCCTTGAGACTCCCGGTTTCTGGAAGGAGGGTCGGGAGGGGGATGGGGAGGACGGGGAGGATGCTAAATTCCGGGGTTTCGACGACGCCTGTTGGGAGTGGCAAGTCGACGTCGATGGGGATCGGCAAGTCTCGCGCTTGAGGGACGACCGGGGCTGCGTCAGCGACGAGAATTGCAGTCATTGCGACTGCGAGGACGACAAGGCGCTGGAAGGTTTGTTGGAACTGCATTTTGTAGACGTGTGTCTGGCTTCAGCGCTGAGCTTGAGAAAATATCGTCGAGTTGGCTTGCATTTATACCCCTGGGCCCTGGCTGCGACGGTGGACATCATGCAGTGCTGCTGGTACAGTGTCTGAGTACTCTGACGCAATAAAAAAAGATGGACAGTCGTGACCCACAGAAGCCGTTCCCAATCAAAATGTCGTGTCAGGACATGAACACGCTAGAAGGATGGTTTGCGTCATGTTTACGGGAGAGCACGAGGGACATTGACGGAAGAAAGTTGTCCTACCTTGTAAAACGTCTGCGTGCGCCTCAGTAAGTACAGATTATCCAGCCATGTGCCCTATTTCGTAACAGTTGCATTCACGCCCGGAGTACTTCACCGAACGCCTAACTTTAGAGAGTTGATTGAGACTATCTAGGATGTTCCGAGGCAGGGCGAAAAGGTTGCTATTTAACCCATTTGGTCGTTCGCGACCTCGAGGACGATGGATAATTAGAAGACCTCGAAGAAAACCGACGCCTTAATTATAATTCATTATTTTGGTAATTACATATGGCTCACTCTCTGATCCGTTTCTTCGAGACCTTGTGATTGAGCCGCATCTCGGGATGCGAAGTGGCTCGTCTGTCGGCGACTGACCCGCTTGCCTCGAAGTAAATCATTTCGGAAACATTGTCGGAGTACGGCGTGGGTTCATGCTGATCGTTCAGTCGGGTATACCCTTGGCTATAACGCGTACCTCTCCGCGAATATTGGCATTCGCTTCTTTGGCGACGTCATAGACGTCGAGCGGAAGAACTAGTTTACGAGACGACAAGAGTTCCATTGTTCACGATCTTCGAAACCACTTCGATTCCCAAGAAAATCAGCTTGAAATTCGTTCTGGCGTACTCCATTCAACTGCAATACCCTCGAGGGATATTTTTGATGGAGGGGTCTCAAACATAGAGACGCTACAATCGCTTCTTCAATCTTGTTAGGGTACGGAAGAACAGTTTGGCCCCAGTCAAAGCCTGTCAATGTCGCATCAGACAAACGAGAAGATGACGGAACTTGCCGTGTAAGCGGAAGCGACATGAGAACAAGCAGACAGGCTGGCTCGGAGGAGGATTCGCGGTTACGTGAAAATGAACACGACGCTTTCCAAAAAAGAAATCCGAGGCCCTTTCTCCGGTTGACTAACGTGACCTAAACGCGTGCCACAATATCCGTATTAGTCAACATCCAGGTCTAGGCGCACGATAAGATTGTGGCAAGTGTTGAGGTAGGTTAGGAGAGTCGAGAACGCCATGTCACTTCAGATCAGGTACTATTGTACAGAGTGAAAGATGATGAAATTCCAACTCTGTATCCTGGTCGCTTTTACGAGGCTCATACTAGTAGCAGGCTCTTCACGCATACGTAACAAGAACCACTATTGACCCAACCTCCCTCTAGATGAACAAACTTGGAACCATGCTCAGATTTGAACACTTACCGGGAACCCAGGCACATCAACTTCCGTCCACCACGAGGCGGTCCAGAGCCGACCGCCGTAAGTAACCCTCACGCCTCCGAGGTAAGCAACCTTCAGGGAATTCAGTTTGCTTAGAGATTCAAGTTCGCGCGCCTAGGTTGCACATAATGGCTTACTGAGGGGTTCCGTGATCCAACGCCGACGCACGCACCGGGAACGAACGCAAGGCTGCTCGAAACCGGCGGAGCACTCCACGCGCTGCTCGGTGTTGGGACAAATAATGTTACGGTACTCGGATCGGGCTGAGCGATCCACTCGGTGCTGCTGGATCCTGGGGGACGCTTGACAATGAGGCGCAGACAGTATGTAATGTGCCAACTTCATCATTTCCATAAAGCTATCTGTGATGCGGCAGCTCTGACTATCAGCATCTTCTTGAGACATGCCCGAATATCTCACCAAAACTCCTTTAGAAGATTCGGAATGCAAGGAAAAAACGTCGCGCCTTCAGGAATCAGATGCTCTTTTGACCCCAAACCTCACTTTGGCCGATCACGGCCATATTTAGCATATTTAGTAGATATCTTTCCCATTCCGGACGAGATACTTATTCAGGTACGACGGTTCAATACCTCGATGTTTCGCCTGATGATAGAGTTGCAACCTTGTAGAGTCATTGAGGTCTCTGGCATTGTCGCCCTGTGTGAATTAGACACCCTGGATCTTGATATCCTTTAACAGGTGTGCCGGTACGGGCGGGCCGTAAGTCACCTGACCGTCAGAAACGCTGTTGTCCGAAAGCGGAACGAGGTGCACTGTTCGTTTCTGCCAGCCACGAGCGGTGTGCTGCGCCGCTGTCTCCCGCTTTCTCTTTTTACTTACTTCGCCTTCTTACCTCCCCCCCACCGAAACTGCTTTCTGACGAGAAGCCAATCAAGATGTCGCTCGCTAAACTCACGGCAATTTCAACGAAGACCCTCTCCCTTCTGCTTGAGCGGCAACGCATGCAGTCCCTGCCCTCGTTCTCGTCCAATGGTGTATCAGATATCTCGCAAGGGAGCTCACTGCACCATCCTCAAATCAAACGGAATCTGAATCAGCTCCGGGAAGGCATCCTTGCGTTGGAGGCGAAGGAGGGACCGTCCTCGGAAGCTGCGAAGTTGTTGCGGAACCAGTATGACAGAATGCGAGGCATGCTTTGGGAGGAAGAGCGTGCTGAGATACCTAGGTAAGCCATTATTTTGGTTTTTACCCTGAACTTTCTTCTTCACAGCTCAGCCTGAAGCTGGGTTCAATTTCGCGTCTCTCTCACTGTACCCTCGCCTTCATTTCGTTTCCTCTAGCGTGACCGAATACTTATGTTGGTTATTTTCAGTTTAGATAAGAAGGAACCGTCACCTTCACCACCTCCGGAGCAAGCACCCTCGACTCAATTCACACATTCCGCTGCACGCGACTCGTTACTCTCACAACCCACATTTGCGCCCTACACCGATGACCCAGAGCAGGGACATGGCGTCGAGCCACCAGAGCCAGCAACCCTTCTTCAAACACAGCGCCTTCTCATGGATGGTAAGCCTGTTCAACCTACCTCTTCTTAACACTTCATCTCATCCATCGCTTGTTCGGCTAGAACAAGACCACCATCTTGACCAACTATCGCATTCTATTAACAGGCAACACCATATCTCTCTCCAAATAAACGAAGAACTGGACGTACATACTGGACTTCTGCAAGACCTCGACGCAGATATCGACCGGACAGACACCAGGTTGCGTCGAGCACGGAGGAAGCTCGACCGGGTCGCTCGAGGAGTGAAGGAGAACGGTGCGTCGATCTCTTCGCTATACAATCATTTACTTTTAAACCTTTTACTACAGGCTCCGTTGTGACCATTGGCGCGCTGATATTCATTCTCTTGATTCTGATCATTTACTTCAAGACATAATCGCTGTTGTTCGCTCCCTCACTTCCTCATATTCGCATTGGATCTTGCATATGATAATCAATCCAGTTGCCACAACATCTCTATCCTTTATGTTCTGTCAGCTCGTCAGGTCACCCCAACATTGCTTTCTCCATATCTCAGGATTTTGGAAGCCTCTACCTTCGCTCTCTTTCACCTTGATTTGTTCTACTCTTCTTGTTTTATTATTGTATTTAACAATTGTTTTATCGTTGGCAGACGCCGTTGGTTTCAAGCATCGAAAGTTGCGGCCTAACGCCATGTTATGACCGGTATCTATTGCCGTACAAGGTGATGTGCCACGAATTTCTGTTGGGTTTTGACACTTGCAAGTGGCATCTTCCCAAGACTCACGGCCGATTGAACCCATTTCTGCCTGCTTACTGCGGCACTCCTTTCTGATTCTGTTTAGAACGGTCGAAGTTGTCGCTGCTACTGTACATCTCTGAAACGGTCGCGCGTTCCCCCGACACCATGCAGATGCAGCATCTCCCATGCGTCGACTTGCAGCAAGGCGGCGTCCATTACATCATACGGGGGGCCTTTCGCAGAGGATTTTAGCTTGCAAGGGCAGTTGGCATCATAGTATCTGCAAATTGAAAGTGCATCTGTCGGGTGAAAGTCGCGCATACAAACATATCTGGCAACCAATGGCAAAACACCGTGCACCACCTCCATCTCATACATTCGTTTAGGTTTCGATCCTGAAGCGACCTGATATTCATGACCAACAGCTCCTTCGCGCCTGACTTTGCGTCGCTCATCGAGAAGATGCCACTCATTTTTTCGTCAGGCGAGATGTCCGATGTCGAGGGGCAGAAGCACAGCCGTCTGGCCGCATATATGCGAAGCTCCCAACGGGAGGCGATTGCTCGAAAAGCCCAAAAAAAAATCGAGGCTGGAATGACCTTAATGCACCCTCCTCCTACCTCAACGACAGGTCTCCAAATTTTTCAAGGACCTAGAGTAAGCCTTCGGAATTTTACGAGACCTGCTGCTGATGAGTTGCTTTTTAGAACTTATATGCTTCGGCTTCGTAGTGGTCAAGTAAAGGTGCACGAGTCCGAATTCCCCTCCTTCCTTTACGACAGGCCACCCCCATCTGATCCACCGCAGGCCCTTTGTGGCCTTCTGAGGTCTAAGATTCTTGCATTCTATAGCTCCTTCTCATCGAAATCAACTCACTTCAAAGATGTATCGGTGCATATATACATCGCCTAGCAGCACAAACGACAAGGAGAGCAAAGGAAACTTGAAGACTCAGGTGGAGATTCACAACATCGATAGAGTAGAGCCTTGGGGAATTGGCTACGTTGTAATGCTGGTGAGTTTTTCTTCCATGAAACAGCGTCTCGCACTAACCACAAATCAGACTCGCTTCACTCTGTCATCGACGTGCTGGACGATCAAGGATCAAAACTTCAATTACAGCAAATTTCTGGGCAAGGTATGTAACGGCCCTCTTCGAGGGTCCAAATATCCCATGGGTGAAAGACACCTTGGCTTGGTGGAACACGTACGCATTTTTATACCTTGCCTCCTAGCTAATAACATCTCCCTTTTTCAATAGTCAGGTATGCTTCCGCAAGCCTAGGAGCTCTTCGTCTGCGGATGAAGATTCAGACCCAGAAAATGAATACGCCGTCTCTGTGGAGGAGCTTCTGCCATCTGGAGGCCGCTGCAGCAACCCGAGCTTCGAGGAACAACAGAAAGGTCCAGAAGGTTTCGGAAGCTGCTCGCCAACTCAGGAGCCTCAGGAAACTCAGGAAACGCTGTTCCCGACTCTTCAAATAGAACCTTACCGCCATCCCACCCCGTCCATCCCTCAGCCACCGTCCCTCAACCACCCATCCCTCAGCTGCCCATGCTTTTGATGGGGACCTGTCGCCTCCAACCCCGCCGCCCCAGCCTATTAGGAAGAAGAGAAAGCCCGATAACAACGTTGCATCGCCGGCGGAACCAAAGAAGAAGACGAAAAGGAAGTAGAGGTAATGGATCTCATGAATTTCCAGTTTTCCATTCCCTTTATTCACGGACTCAGCTTGCATCAGTTGCCACTCGTAGAGTTATTCTGTAGCCATTATTATCATGGATCCTTGCTCACATTTCAATCCAACCCATGCATTACTCGTCTTCATTTGTGGGAATGTCATGCAAGATTTCTTTTGCCTATGAGCTGCCTCGAGCCATTCATCAAATATAAGCCTCTAAAATTCTGGTATGCCGCTGCAGACCTATATGCTACAAGGATACACTCAGAGACTTATAAGGAGCAAAATAGGCCTACGCAGCCTATGAGTCACCCGATTCTTTTACGCTATGCCAACCTATTGGCCAACATGTATACGACATGTGCCAGACTTTCCGTTCTTATAATAGCGTATAATGACTTCTGGCGGCTCATGATCGGCCCGCATTTTTTGTGATGCAGGGAGTCGAGGGATCTGCTTCATTATGGAGGGATATTTCGTTCAAATACGTATAAGGAAGAGGGGATTAACGTAAGTATGTATGCAGGTAAACCATATGAGATGGAAAGGACTGTTGATATTATCCCAATCCGCGGTTGATACAGGGAGCACATGTAGAAGAGGAGCGGAGCAGCGAAGGGGCAGCCGTAGAGAATGGGATGCGAAAAAAAAAGTGATTGAGTAAATGAAATGAATTCCGGGTTGCAGAGAAAGATGATCGTATGTTGAGTATCGAGAGGAAGAGTCGCAATGCTTGTGAAAAATATGGTTATGAATATACTTATAAGCGGAAGTGTACGAAGTAAAGAACGAACAGCTTGACGAAAGGCAAGCAAAGGCAGAAGATGAATAAAGCTGTCGTATAGGGTAGGGTTCTACTGCATGAAGGGGACGTCGGCTTCCTGTGCACGGTGAATGGTCAATCCCCGATCCTGTTGATCTGGTGCAGTCGAGCTTGACGTCGTCGAGGAGTCTTGGGAAGTCAATTCCAGGTCCTCTTTGCGAAGCGTTGCTTCCGAATCGGGGTAGGAGCTCGGCTGAGGGCCTGAAGGCGAGGTTGCATATATGGTCGTCGGTTCTGTATCGCGTTCTTCGAAGTGTTGTCCGAGGATTTTGACATCGGAGAAGGCATGGATCTGTTTAGCAGCCTCTACCACAGGCGGGAGATGGCTTCGGTCTTCCTCCATCTCCAGAGCGACGACCACGTCAAGAGGAATAGATGAAGTGATCGGTGGAGAAGAGGGCAAGGAAGGCAAAGAGGAGGACAGGCTATTTTCCTCTGTTCCTGCCCTGGATCCGCTGCGATAATACACGTTGCCCAAATCCGAGATCGAAGGAAAGGTGAACTCGGTGAGTTGCTCCATAACCTCGTCCACTTTCTCCTGGTCAACCGGCTCTTCTTTCCCGTCCTTTTCTAGACTTGCAGTCGACGAAGAAAGCTTGCCTTTCCGCGAACTTGAGCGGACGCGGATGCTGCCCGGTCGTTTCAGAATTGCGTCAGCTAGGAGTTCATTGAATCCTCCCTCGCTGTGAGCGTCGTCATCGTCTTCTCCATCCTCAGCTTCTGCGGGTGCCCCACCTGCTGCATCGCCATCCACTGCAGCGCCCTCCTCCTTCTCAATACCGCCTATCCACCCATCGGCCCCAGAGCCTTCTTCCCAGACAGGCATTCGTCCATTCACTGCTCTGTTTCTCGTACGTATCCTTTTCTTCTTACCGACACTGAGACTTGGCGACCCGTTCAACTCGGGAGAGCCCGATCCAGTGCTCGAGGTACCAGCAACACTGGACGGTCCACTTCTATGAATACCACCAGCTAAGCTAGTGTTCGTTGCTGCCGCTGTAGCGGGATGTTGTGGTGGGTACCCAAAGCCGTAACCGAATGGTGGGTGCTGCTGTGGTGGTGACATCATCCCTGTCGGAGGCACCTGCGGAGGGAAGAGCATCGGCGAGAATAGGTTTGGTTGGGCATGTGGCAGCGTTGGGCTCTGCTGTTGGTATTGCTGCATATTCTGTAACTGCTGAGTGAAGAAGGCATGAGGTGGGGGCGGAAGCAGACCATAAGGGAGGAAAGGTGATGGAGCGACTAAACCAGGAAGAATAGGAGGAACCATCGAACTTAGTACACCAGAAAATGAGCCTCCAGGGGGGGTTATGCCGTTCATCTGCATACCAGAGGGCATATGCAAGTGCAATGGCGCAGGGAGGGACGGTTGCTGTCCGGGTGTCTTCGGCAGGGCTGATGTGTTGGTGGCCGAAGAGGAGGAAGGTGGCGGGTGGGGCGTCGAGGTTGTGCCGGAGCCTGAAGAGGATGAGGACCCTGCAGAATGTCCATTTGGAGCGGAAGAAGTCGAAGCACTGGACTCATTGCCCGACCCTGAATCTCCACCATCTCCCGTTCCGTTTCCGTTGGCCGCTCCACCAGTTTGCTGTCGTGATTGCTGTTGCTGGAGGATTTGGGCATTGACCGCACTAGCATATAGACTTTGCAGCTGATATGTCAGACTTCGAACCTGGGCCTGAAGCTAAAGGCAAAAGTAAAGACAGTCCCGAGTCAGCAAATCATCAACGGTATCTCGACATCAAAAAGAGGTAAAGGTTAGAAGAGCCATCGAACAAAGTTCAAAGGTGGATATTTATATAAACCCAAACGCCTCCGAAGCGGCTAGCCAAAGTGAGAGCCGATGGAACGCACTCCATGGCTCATGATAAAGCGACCCGAAATAAAATTGAAACCCACCTCGGCTTCCCCTCTCCTGCTGTTCGCATTCTCCCACCTCAGCGTCTCCAGTTCCTTCAAGTACCGCTCCGTATCAGCCTTGTTCTTCTCCTCTCTCAGCCTCGCCGCCTCCAATGCACCACGCAGGGACGCAAGTTGTGTCTGCGTTGACAACACCGATGAGCTGCCGTCACTTGTAACGCTGTTGCCACGCTGTGGCACAGACGACGGCGCATTGCCTGGAGGAGGCGTGCTCGTGCTCCCAGTCCGCGAAGGTGGTCGAGTACGACGGTTAGGCGTGGATGGGGTGCTATTGCCGCCACTTTCGGCAAACGAAGACCGTAGCCGACTAGGTCCTGCTGAGCTGTCAGATACGCATCGACGAGAAAGAAGGGAGGGCGTACCGGACACACTTGTTGGTGGAGGGTTCAACGTAGGGTAAATAAATGGCTCGTCGGTCTCTTTATCCTTATCCTCAACGCCCATCTCCTCCTCCGACGGTGGAGGCGAACGTCCACGGCTGCTGCCGCCAGGATTTGCTGATACTGACGCAGTCATTGTCGACCCGAAACTCGTCAACGTTGGCGAGTGTAGCGACGCAGGGTGCGTTGTGGATGCCGTCACGGTACCTGCAGCAGCGACTGCAGAAAAGGACGAGTACGTTGAATTCGTGTTGGCCTTGCCCTGTAGACGAGGTGGCTTCTTGTACGACTCCTTCTCCTTCTCGCTTGTCTTCGCAGGCATTACAGGAGAGGTAGTCGAAGACGAAGAGGGTCCAGGAGCAGCTATATCAACCCCCGCACCATCCCAATCCCACGGGCTCGGCGCCTGGTTGCTTTTGGTCTTCCCATTGTTGGCGATGCTGCTGTGGGCCGCACCCGATTGGGTCGACGCCTTGCGCAAGCCATTCTTGGTCTTCATAGCTGAGTCTGAGCCTGAAGCAGTGGGCGTAGACCTCGTTGCTGTCAATGGGTGTGGGGTATCAATGGAAGAGGAGGAAGAAGGGAAGGAATCGTGTGTCGTTGACTTTGATGTTGACTTTGTATTCGGGCCTGGTTTTGAGTTTGGCGGAATGGGCGACGGAGAGGACAAGCCAGGGTTCACGTCTCGCTTTTGATGTTGTACAAAATCAGGGTTGGTGGAATTTTGGTTCGCGTCAGAAGAGGGTTGGGCAAGGCTCGTTGTGGATTTCGACAAGCTGGAGGTCTGCGAGAGCGTCGGAGAGGTGGCAGGGGTCATGGACAAGCTGGCGGAGGTTGTCATCGACCCAGCGCACGATGAATTACTGGAAGAGTTATTGTATGCCATCGCGGGCGAGAGGATGCTGCTGGCTGTTTCGCATTCGCTCCGTGGTTGTTGGTCACCCGCCAAGCGAGCCTCATGTGCCTGACCTATAGCAAGTGATTCCCGCTCGCTCGTCTCGCCTCCCTCTTCAAGTGCTGGACGTCTGGCTCGTCCACGCGAACGCGAGCGTTCCACTCTCCGCCCACCCTCCGAGGCAGACACAGCGGGCGATTGCGGCCGGTCGTATGTCGGTTGCGAACGGTGATGTTCATGGGATGAATGGGACGACGAAATTGAGTGTGACTGGGATGGGGAAAGAAGTTCGACTGAGGACTCCTGACGTCGACTCTGTGAAACTTCGGAGGTGCCGCGAGAATGGCCAGCCGAGGTGCTCCCTGCTGACGGTAAGGCAGCGTCCCCATTGCTCGCGCGTGAATTTTCGCGCTGGGCACGCTTGCCTACATTGCGCGACAAAGAACCGTGCAATGTTTCTGTGCTGGTAATAGATTCTGAGGGTAGCGCAGAAGTAGAAGGGGATGGGGGTCCAAATTCGTCCGCCTCGTCAATGCTGGCGCGTTGGAGATGAGTCGGCTTGGTGGAGGTAGACTTGGGCGACGGGAGAGTGGAAGCATCAAACCCCTTCAACTTCTTGCCGCTCTTGAGGATCTCCTTGAGAGGGTCTTTGCCTCTCCTCCTGCGATCCTTGGAACGTGCAGTTTTCCCTTCCTTCGGCTCGGAATCATTGTTTGACTTGGATGCATTGTCTGCATCCAGAGACCCTGCGGCCTTCTCCTGCAAGCCACCATGGACAACCTCCTCTCTATCGACGTTCGCAAGGACCACAGGCATCCTTCTTGAAGGAGCCTGCTCTCTTCCACTGGAATTGTAGCCGAACTGGGGACGGTTGCGATACACCATCGCAGACCCTGCAAGAAAAATGGCGGTAAGAGTTGCCGCCACGAGCAGTGTGTTGCCCGAAAGTGCGTCCGCCGTCGAGCTTCTAGGCAATGGCAACGCGTCGTGGTCTCTGTCTTGCATCTCGCCACCCTTGTACTTGAACGAAGAACGCTGAGCAGCAAGACGATGGACGCTGAGAGAGTAGGGTATCAAAGGACGAGACGCAGGGTATGGGCGGACGTTCGCTCCCGCCGCTGTACGAGAAAAGCGGCGAGGGGGAAGGGGATATGTTCTCGGAAGTGGAGGATCAGTGACTGGCAAAAGGAAAAGGACAGGAAAGAAGCAAAGTCAATCCAAACTCCGCTAACCCAATATGGAAGGAGCTATTCTGGCGCGTGCCTGGGACCTTTCCGGCAATCTCTCCGGTCCATACTCCGCCAAAAGTTGGATCCCAGTCTCTGGCACCCAGTCCGAAATTACCACCATGCCTACCGTCAAGATCGCCCTTCTGCTTTGCGGCAACCTCTCAGGCAAGGCATATGCACGCAATGGTGGCTACTACGACATCTACCACAGATTCCTACACGAATCGCTGCCAAAAGGTAGCCAGTTCGTCCTCGATCCCTACGATGTCACTCGTACCATGGAATACCCCTCCGAAAACGACATTTACGACTGCATAATGCTCACCGGCTCCGGTACATCCTCTCTTATTCCACGAGCAGACAGAGAAGGACTCACGCCCACATGCTCCTGCCAAATCAGCCGCCTCGGCCTACGAGAACCTCGAATGGGTTAACAAACTGGTTGCCTACGTCGCTCGAGTCGCAGAGTCCAAGCCAGAGACCAAGATCATCGGTGCGTCATCCCCGTTCCCGTTCGCGGCACCTCTGGACCGCTGAGCCTTACTGACCAATTTGATAGGTATCTGCTTTGGGCATCAGATCATCGCTCGCGCACTTGGAGGCGAATGCGTCCCCAACGGTGGCCGTTGGGAGTGCGGCCCAACGCCCATCCAGCTTACAGAGCTCGGGAAACAGCTATTTGGTGCCACTGAAACACTGGTACGTTTAGCCCCCATCTATGATATCATCCTTCTTTTTGCCGCCATTTTCGTAATCTCGTCTTGACCTACATCTTTCCTTGTTCCCCGTCTTGCTGCGTCTTGGCCTAGAACCGCTTGGTTCATGTCCAAGGGAGCATCTCGAGTTTGCTCCAAGACGTCGTGGAAACAATTTCCTCCATTGTCTATCCGAAGTCTTGTTCTGATCTTCCCAGCATATGGTGCTCTGTCGTTACTCCAGGTTCGCTGGCCCGTTCGTCCGATTTAACTATCCTATCTACTTACTCGCCCTCAATTAACTTTCTCCGAATACACCATTCCCCGGCACCAACGCTGTCAACCCCCTCTAAAACTTCGCAGAATCTTGGGCCAATCCCATCCTTAGGAACTTCAACCATTCTTTCCTATGTGCCGCACCTATACCTGATCTGACGAGGCAATTTTGACCTACATTCAATTCACTTCAGGCACTGCTCTCTTCTTGCTTTCTCAGAGTCTCTTGGGGCAGCAACGAGACACCGGCGGTTGCGCTTTATCCACTTGGCTTCCTCTTTCTTCGATTCCTCTTACATCTCTCCTTCGATTGCCCATTTGTGTTCTTGCTTTATCAAGTTCGGATCTATCCTCCACGAACTCCTTCAGGCCAATAGGCAGTCAGGACCAACACTCCTCTATCTCTATTCGCTGGTTTTATAGTGGGCGACTTCATTGGTTCTCTGTCGGCTGTGGCTAAAATAAATAGCCAAAACTCAGTATGGGTATGGGCGATAAATAGCCTTTGTGGCGCCCTATATTTGAATCCCATCGCTTCCTCGTATTGGTCCACAATATAATTTATGTCTCCCTCTCTCCCAGCCGTCCTTGTCTCTAGAGCAATCATATAGGCGCGCAGACACCTTGCTTCCGTTTATCCTCGATTCTCCCTATCAATTATTTGGCGGTTCCGAATTCTATTCGTTGCAGTCGTACGCCTTGCTTCTTACGACCGCAAGGCTGTTCAGCCACTTTTTCTGCGCTGCAGGTCCTAAATCTGCCGTCCGGGTGAACGAGCGGTCTTCCGCCCCGTGGACCGCCCTGCCATAGGCTCATCTATTCAGCCCTGGTTCCAGTGACGACTCCTCAGATCTCTTGAACCTTCGTCGCATTCGCACAGCAGTCGGACGGTCCAGACTTACGGCTTCGTCTTCGTTCTTTCCCTATTTCATTCCAGTTCCACTTTATTTCTTCATTCGCATGCTATTTTCTTTGCCCTATTTTTCACCAATATCCAATTGCACAGGAGCTAACAGAGCTTTTCCTTCCTCTCAAATAGAGTATACAGCAAATGCACCGCGACCATGTCCCAAGCGTTCCACCCAATTTTCATCTCCTGGCATCGACGAAGCTGTCGCCCAACCAAGGCATGGTTCGATTCATGCCTGGGCATAGTCACGTTCCACCAGAGCGTACGCCAGCACAAGCATTATCTACCGAGACGAAACCTACCACTACTACGGCCACGACAACTGGCGATACTACCTCTACTGACACTTCAACCTCGACCACCCAAACCTCTGACGCTACTCTTGCTATATCTACTACCACGAACACCTTTCCACCCTCATCTACATCTTTACCTCCTATCCACATCCTGACCGTCCAAGGCCACCCCGAATTCACCGAACCCATCGTCAGCGACATCATCGAGCAGCGCTCTGCCTCTGGTGTGATCGACGCGGAGGCTGCCGCCGATGCTGAACGCAGGCGCTTCTGGAAGACGGATGGGATCACTGTCTTCGGGAAAACCATTTGGGAGGTCATGTTGCAGGGCAAAGAAACTGAGGAGGTGAAGGAGGTGAAAGCGGAGGTTTCGGAGACCAAGGCATAAAGGAGGTCGTTTTTTAGTCTGTTCACTTCGTGGATATAGCCTGCTGTGTAGAATCTCTTGTTTCATAAGATTAGATACCGTCAAGATAAGATTAGATGTGAGGAGCAGTCTCCATCCCGCTAGTGCAGTCTCCATCCCGCTAGTGCGTTTTCTTTCTTACTTCCTACCCTCACTGACGTGGCTATCCATCCACTAATACCCCTTTCCCTTACAGATAGATCCAGGCGAAAGACTCCGAAAACTTGACAGAAAACGTCAAGTCGACGACGACATCTGACATCCCGGGCGGAAACCACAAAAATGTCCGAATCGATATATCCCCCAGTGGTTGATACCACCTCTGGCAACCAACCGCCCTCAGGGCCAGGATCAGGGAAGAAGGAAACAATCCTACAAAAGATCTACGCCCAACGAGCGAAGGATGTCGAAAAAGCCAAATTCACACCAGGAACGACACCCGCCGACCTCGAGGCCCAGCTCGCGATGAACCTCGCTCCACCACTCATTGACGTCGTCCAACGTCTGCGACGGAATCCATCCACCTCTTCGCCCAACCTAAAGAACGCCCCGACACCCTCACTCATGGCCGAAATCAAACGCGCCTCGCCCTCGAAAGGGCCTATCGCACCAGATACGAACGCCCCCGCTCAAGCGTTGACTTACGCGCTCGCGGGAGCATCACTCATCTCAGTCCTCACTGAGCCTACGTGGTTCCTCGGATCATTAACGGACATGCGCCTCGTCCGGCAGACGCTGTCCACACTGCCTGACCGGCCCGCCGTCCTGCGCAAGACTTCATCCTCGTAGAATATCAGATCGACGAAGCACGGTTGTGGGGTGCTGACTGTGTTCTGCTCATCGTAGCGATGCTGGACGACGATAGATTGAAGGCGCTATACGAGCACTCGCGAAAACGGGGGATGGAGCCATTGGTGGAGGTCAACACCGAAGCAGAGATGGCGCGTGCCCTGTCACTCGGTGCACGTCTCATCGGGGTAAACAACCGAAATTTGCACTCCTTCGACGTCGACATGGGCACGACTTCGCGACTCTCGAGCATGCTCGCCGCGCACCCGTCCACGATCCTGTGCGCATTAAGCGGCATCTCCTCGCCCGAGTCCGTTACGACATATATGAAAGAGGGCGTACGTGGGGTGCTCATTGGCGAGCCCCTCATGCGTGCTGCCGACACTGCCACCTTCATCCAGACCCTCTTCAATTGGCCCGCGAGGTCGTACGTTGGCCTCGAACCCCTCCTCACGAAACTGCCTTGGGTGAAGATCTCGGGTGCGGCCACGCAGGAAGAGGCTTTGTTCTTCATGGCGGCAGGTGCAGAACTCATCGGGCTGGTGTTCGACACCGCAGACCCACGGTGTATTGAAGGTGCACAGGGCGAGGTCATAGGGCGGAGCGTGCGCGAACTGAGGCACGCGAAGGTGCAACACGCAGGCCCAACCCGCCCTGTTGCCTCGCCGCCCACAGAAAACACACCTTGGTTCACCATGCAAGCCCATCGTCTCGTGACGAACGCCCGGACGCCCCTCCTGGTCGGAGTTTTCAAGAACCAGCCACTGTCAACAATCATCCACACAGTGTACAACTCCCAACTCGACCTTGTCGAGCTGAGAGGGTCGGAGCCTCTTGAGTGTTCCTGTCATCCGACGCGTGAACATTGACGAAATCCCGTGCTCGGACATTAGAGAGCTCCTCTGCCCTGGTTTTCATGCTTTCATGTCATTTTCAGGATCCTTCAACACTGATTGGCAGGCAGTGCGAACAGCCCTTGATCAAGGCGAAGTGCCGGGATGGGCAATGCCAATCATCAACAGGGCAGAACACGCCCAGCACCTTGAGTTGGCACACGAAGTTGGCGACCAGTCGGCGGCGAATGGCAAAAGTCAGGCGAAAGGTGCAGTGGATCCGGTGCAGTGGGCATTGGAGTTCGAGTACAAGGGAGAGGGAAAAGATAAGGATGGCAGCCTAGAGGAATTCAGCCGCATGATTAAACAAACGAAGAAAATGCTCAAGTAGAGTGGAGTGAAAAGATCGTCCTGCGCCGCAATTCGTCCAGGAACCCCATCCATCCATTACAAAACAATAAATGTACATTACGACGTCTTGCTACTGCCAGTTGCGTTGGCCTGAGCCTCAGCATCTTTTCGCTGTTGAGCGAGGAAGCGCCTGTCCCGGTAGTTAGCATACCTTCCTGGGCGCGAAGAACAAGGGTACGCACTGTCTCGCAGCTAGAATCATCTTCGCCTTCCTCTCCTGTAAACTGGCTTCCCTCTTCTCCGTACTATCTTCCCAGACAGCCTTCCCACCGACCTCTTCTTCGCGCACCTGCTCGCCAGTTTTCACTCGTTCTTCGAGCTTATACCGCGATATTAGCGATTCCTTTGGCTTCTTGGGCAGCGCTGATGTCGTGGCACCTGCGGCATTGGGTTGGGCGGTTGGAGCACCGGCAGGTTCACGAGGATAGATATTATAATATGGTGGTGGGGGCTATGGGAAGAGTGCAGGGACGCAGTATAGTAAGCACGACAGGGGAGATATCCAAAGACGAACACATGACGTACAGCATCAAGGAAGCTCCGCTCAAGAATCTTGTTCGTCGTTAGTTCCACGCTGCCCGTTCGTAGGAGGTCGTATCGAATATTATCTCTGCGCAGCAGACAAGCATGAATGAGCCTAGTCGTGGAAGAGAATGAATGGCGCATACACAGGGATGTCGGGGAACATTGTCGATATTGTAGTTATCTGGAGGTGAACACCATTCATTGGCACGATCAGCTCAGAGACAACACCAACAGCAAAGCCTGGAACGACAAAACGGATGATTAGACGCACCATATCTTGAGTGACGCTCTTTGGTCTGAACCCCAACGCATCTGAAGCTGATTGTTGCTCCGTCGACTCACTACCTATTAAACCAAAGATATCACGTCAGTAACATCGTCTCAAACACTCTGCAACTCGCAAGTATGCCTCCACCAGCAGCCACCAGGAAGGAGTAATGCCGCCGGCTCCGAGCTTTCAAGTACCAGATACTTGGCACGAAGACTCACCTGAAGTGACCCATCGGAACAAGAACACAATCACAGCAAACGCGACGAGAACGTTCACAACTTCGCCCATAGCTTTCCAACCGAAGTGGCAGGCAAAGAGATTGGGACTTCGTGAGGATTGGAGATGATGGGTGGCCAGTGACGGACTAACTCGGTCGTCCATAGTAGTCCAAATAGAGGCAAATAGCTCTCCTGGCGGACAGCCGGCCCGGCCTCTATCTGTTCAATCATTCAAATCTTATGGGTTTTCCGATTATTGTGCTGGGTATAAAAAGAACGAAAAAGAAATAAAAAATAGAAAAGAGGGAGAGCTTGTGTGCGCCTCAAAAACACCTTCACGGCAGGGCAGACGATCTCGAGGGCGTCATCCCAATGCTCGGAATGGGAAAATTTTCTCTCGCGCCGTGCGCGCTTCGAGATTGCCAAATTGGACGGGCCGGGGTCTCCGCGTCGCACTGACAAGTATTGACCACCTTGCTGACACCAAATTCAAGGCAAAAGAATAAATTTACTTCATATAATTTATTGCACCATCATGATACAAGACCAAGTGGTGAATATGGGTGGATTCTGCTGCTCTCGCGGTTCCAGGAGCCTACTCAGTTTCCTGCTGTACGGAAAAGAAATATTTGTGGCTGTGCGGCGGCAGATAGACTTAGGGGCTCGGTAGCTACCTCGTTCCACATTCCATCGTGCTTGGTGCACCCACCACCACCAAAAATTGACACATGAAAGAATATTTTTTTGTAGTCTACCTGTAAGTTTACAGCCGGAAGACTACATTGGAAGCTCGTGAAAATCGTCAAGAGATGTGATGTGTCAGCTTTCTCAGGCAGGTATTGGCATATACCCGCCCAGCACAATGATCGGTAAACCCAAATACAAGGCTTCCACTTGCGCGAGACATTTGGGACTCGTAGTGAGAAAGCGTCGGCACTGAGTAAGTAATTTTCTTATCTGTTTAACTAACGAACCAAGGACCTGGGAGCAGAAATATCTTCTCCTGATCACATTCCGAGCGGGCATTATTCATGCAAGTTCCTATGGTGCTGGAAGAAAGGGCGCCAATGTCTTCAGAATTCAACCTTCTGGTGAGCCAACTGGACTCCTATAGTCTCATCTTTTTTTACCTCTGACTCTAATTTTTAAATCTCGGAAAAGTCCATCAGGAGATGTTATTGAACGTTCTTCAATTGAGCTCATATTGGTCTATTAAATATTTAATTTAGGAGTACAAATAACACCGCCTCGACTCGACAGGCTTTCAGCAGACTACGAACCCCCAGATATTCAAGAGCTCCTTTCATTCGAAATGGCATGATATCGTGCCTTTGCCCACCTCTTCCCCCCGGTCGCTCTCTCTGCGGTCGTTCACTCCAAAGTCCGAGTCAGGATTTCTGTCGAAGCGACCTCCATAATTGCGGTGCAGGGAGGACCGATAATTTCTATAGCCAACCGCGGTATCGAAGGCTTGGCTGTGGAAAGGCGTACTCCCACCGACCCACAATTGTCTGCCCGCCAGTTCCTGCCCCGCCGGGTTTAGCTTTTGCCTCGGTATCGGTCCATGAATTTCCTGCGTAGGTCACGGAATTCCTTGAGGGTGATATCGTGCTGACTTTCAGCCTCCGTACGTCGGTGGATTCAATGTGGCTGATAGCATTCTTTGACCTTTGCCTGATGGACCAAAGGCAGTGATAGACCAGAAGGGGATAGTGAGCGTTGTCCTCAAAATGTCAATGATATATACAAGAAGTTTACGAAGCATACACCTGTTATTTTAAGCTGGATTGCTGAGTGTTAAATGCAGAGCCAGCCCTCAAATACACGAAAGTCAAATGGAAACGACCAAAAAATAACGAAAATTCTGGAAATACCCGTCTTTCGCCCTGATTTGATGTTAGTAGTTGAGATATAGACATATTCATTCAATTGCCATGTGTTTCTTTTTATCCTGTGCGTCAGATTGAACCCGTTGTGATGGGATCATGATCAAAGACAAAGGCTCAGAGGTGCTGGGGCGTTAGAATTTTTACTAATATGGCTATTGTGGCACGGGGCGGCAGCAACAGAACCCGACGGTCCATCCACCCCAGGCCGCTCTGAACCGCTTCGTCTTCAAATGTTTCAATTTAACGCCTAGACTTCCAACCGAACATGATCTGTAGAGCCCACTACCGCGTTGCGTGTTAGGTCTTGATGACTTTGCCTGAGTGTCAATTCCTGCATCGCTTCACAATCAATTGCCTCGACTCACGTGCAATTTTCTCAAGAAAATGACGGCTCTGACGTGTCCATGGACCATTGAGCCCTTAACCCTGTAATGAAGGGTACATGTGTAGCATTGCAATAATACTCAGTGCTTGGGTGAAGGATTATCGATTATCCTGAAGCCCAGGGACTTGGTTTTTATGGCGCTAGACTAAAACTAGGATGACAAACTTGCGACTCCGAGTCGGGATACCAGAGTGGCAGACCATCTATAATGGAATCACCTTTTACTCTAACACATCCAAACCTCATTGTCCTTATGACGTCGCTTAAGAAAGAGCCATAGACCCCGAGAGGCATTAACTCGGCAAAACGACATACCGTCGATGTGCTCTTGTACCCACGCCGGAGTCCGAGTAAACACTTTCCCCAAATACGTTCCATACGACGTAAGCGAGGTTGTATTTTGGAGCCGAGTTGGAGCCAAGCCACTTACTTCACTTGCCGAGGCCCTGAATCCGAATCTGCCTCCAAGACCAAGATGCCTCTTTTACTAGGAATCTACTAGTTAAACTCGATTGAACACTCTCACCGTTTTCTAGCTTTTTCATGCACCTTAAAATTAGATATTTAACCAGTATCTCACTGAGCGACCCCTCCTCATCAATTCGAGATTGGCATCTGATTTCCTCCGGGTGAGAATGAGACTTCACGAGAACTATGTCGACGCTTCGTGGGCAATATGTACCCCCCGGGTCGCAAGTGGGTCTGTTACAAGGCAGTGCGTCGTTCGTCCACTTGCACTTGCCATTCTCTCCCAAAAATATGACGCGACGGCTCTTCTTACATCTTTAGAAGCTGATGGACGACAGATCTTTCGACTGACTCGTGGGTCGCTCAGGGGGGCACCGACTTTCGAACTGACAAATTGCGTCAGAGTACCATACTGTTCTCCCGCTTTGAGGTATCTGCAGCAGCGAGTGGAAATGTATAAATGTTGGCTTAGTGTCCGCCAGGATCTCTGGTGTGGTACACCTCAAGTTGACACAATGGGCCCTCAACACACTGCACATCCTCTGCTCTTCCTCGCAGTTTCGATGACTGCATTCGTTCTCGTCGAAGGGGCCCCAGTTGAAGCGCGACAACTTATACCGGGCCTCCCAATTGACCTCCCAATCGGCCTTCCGAGTCTGCCAATCGGACTTCCTGGCCTTCCAATTGGCCTTCCAGGTCTCCCGATCGGCGCGCCTGCCACAACAACCGCCGCCCCCGCCCCGACTCTTCCTACCACGCCCGGTCTTCCAGGAGTGCCTCCCATCATTCCAGGCCTCCCTTCCGCTCCAGGTACCGGTCTCCCTGCCATCCCAGCTCTCCCGGACGTCCTGGCATCCATGGCATCCATGCTTAGCAGTATTTGGGGTCTACCGAAACCCACAACCAGCAAGCCAGGCGATCTTCCCCTCCCACCCATTACAAGCATCCTCCCACCTATCGTCACTGAGATTCTTCCACCGATTTTGACCGAGATTTTGCCCCCTCTTCCGACCGGACTTCCAGACCTACCTCTTCCACCAATTATAACCAGCATTCTACCTCTGGACGTTCCTCTTCCTAAGAGCGGCGTACCAGACCTCCTGGCTACGGCAACCAGTGTCGTGGATGTCCCCTCTGTAACGAGTAGACTCCCAGGCCTACCACCCATCGTTACCAGCATTGCACCACTTCCGTCGCTTACCAGCATTTTCCCAACCATTCCGCTTCCGACTAACGACCTCCCAATCCTCCCCACTGCTCTCTCCCTTGCTATTCCACTCGAAGAGAGGCAACTCGACGCCATAATTCCCAAGGTCACACTCAGCCTTCCGGCCCTCCCAATAATAGATGATCTCGACCTACCCATCCCAACGGACCTGCCAATTATTCCTGCTCTTACCAGCCTTCTGGGACCCGTTCTTGGTCCAATCCTTCCGACCCCGACGACGAGCAGCACTCCAGTTCCACCTCTCTCGAGCCTTTTATCTAGCCTCCCAATTTTGACTGCTCTTCCTATAATCCCACCTATTCTAGGTGGCTTATAGAGGTCGCCTTGCAAATCCAGTGTTATGAAGGAGTGAGTGTGCAACATTGGCGATTAGGTATATACGTTACCGCTAAGAGATCATCCAGTCTTAGGTCGGCGCTTGTGAAGGAAGGTCGAAGAATTATATTAGAAGGCGCTGAAATAAACGCACTTCATTTTGTCCCCACTAGCGCACTTATAATTTTGACTCGTGGCCCGTTGTTGAAATGAATAAATTGACTATTATGGTTATTGTGGCACACACTAGTCGGAGATCAAATTCAGGACTTTGCGCAAGGGTATCCATCAGGTAACCAACGCGCCGTTCTCACCTTTTTCAGCATGTTTTCAAATGTCCTTTCATGGACAATAAATGGAGTATTCATACTTAACTTACCCCAGTCGAAAATGAGACAACGCCATGCAGAGTTCGCAAACAAGTTAAACGGCAGATGTCCATGGAATCAAATCAAATTTCCAGGCGTCCTGGTGAGTATTCCGTTAGATTCAGAGTAAAAGACAGTGAAGAAAAGAAGAAAATCCTCTCTATCTAGGAGTCGGACCTAGCTTTCGCGCGTATTACATAGTTAATGGCAGGTGCGCATACTAACCGATACACTTACAGAGATATTGTCCAAAAGAGAATGGGTTCTAAGAGCATCAGATCTTGAGGTGCTACCGAAAAGTCTTGAACGGGTCTGACACTGGCTGATCGGAGATTGGGTGACTTGGGTGAGGACTTGAAGGTTTTGAAAAGCCGTCCAACTTCAAGCAAATGCTTCCTAACAAGACTTATGAAAAAAAAGCATGGATGGCTTATCCCCAGAAAATAAAACACATTGGTCAATACAAGTAGCAGTATAGCAACAGTAATCTAGATCAACAGCATCAGTGATTACAGCCAACAGTAGTCAACATCGCACGAACAAAGATAGAGGATCAGGCGGACTTGACGCTATTCAGGCGAACAACGAGTGGTAATAGTGACACATTGTCACTAGAAGCATAGAACTGAACGCAATCGAGATGAACCTGGAACCAGTGGTTGAAATTCGTCTCAAACTTGTTTAGCACATCCCATCGTTTGGCCTTTGACGCATCCGCCTCGGGGTTGTTGGCTGCAGCAATGGCCTGATTGGCGGATTTTGTGAAAGACGATGAGTAGAAGGCGAATGTCTGGCACACGACGATCAGCTTCGAGCATGCCTATAAGAGTGGGGTCATCAGCGCGGTTGAACAACAGGAGGTACCGGGGATGTGCACCTTTAGAAGCTTCGAGCTAGTCAACATGCTTTCCTTCAAGCAAGTATCCAAAAAGTCGACGTGATCTCGCAGTAGCTGATCCACGGTAGTTACTCTCTCCAGCTTGGCTTCCAACCGATGCCAATTCGGTTCAAGCACCTCAAACGTGACGAATGCCAAAATCTGCTGTACAAAAGCGAGCATCCGTGCCCGGAGAAGGCAAACACGAAGCCGCCAGCCGACAAACTCGGGATGCGTGAGCATCGAGCACCGCCAAGGCGTTGTCTTCTGCTCGACCCACATGCTAGACAAAGCTTGCTCGACGTGCTTGAGGTGCAAAAGGAAGCGGAATAGAAGTTGGTAACGTAGGATCGTCTTCCGGGAAATTACGAGGGATAGAGGGAATTTGACGTTGTAATCAAAGGTCATTGCATCAATAGCTAAACGAGACAATTATTCAGCATGGAGAACATGTGAGGGTTGATTTCAAAGATACCTTGCATCGGTTTCTTCTCTTCCTTCTCCTTTTTAGGCTCTTCCTCTGCGCCGCCTTCCTCCGCCTTCATGACTCCGCTGACAGTGACAACTTTCAACAAGAAGTCGTACAGGCCACTGTCTGCCATAGCGACTTTCAAATCTTCTCTGAACAGAGCATCTTCGCCAAGCACATCGGTGTTAAGCGCTAAATCTAGCAGGCTTTGTAGTTTCACAACAGATGCCGATTTAGACGACTTTCGTAGTTCTGTGGAGGCAAGATCAAGGAGATGGGTTAGGAAGGACGATTGCGATAGGAAGAAGTATCGTTTCAAGGAGCGAAGCCGTGGAACGAGTTGTTGATCCTTAAGCAACAGCTGGAGCAGTGTCCGGTTGGCATGTGAATAGGCATCTTCGATGAACTTGTAAAATCTCTCAAAAGGTTGGTAACTAGTGGTGCAAAATGAATGGAAGCCTGCACACCTTTCGTCCTCCATCGATAGCTCGTCATCAGATAAATTGTGATCCCGTTTCACCTCGATTCCGCATTCCCGAATAACGTTCAGATATTTGCCCGCCAACAAGATTTTGTGCTTCCAGCTCTCCAAAAGAGGGGGAATGCATGCTCCTCCAGGCAAACGGCCGCCAACGGACCTTGGCGGCGGAACACCAGCTTGATGTCGTTTCGACGAGCCAGCTGATATTGAACCATCACGTAGCTGCCCAGACGTACGTGAACCGATTGGAAAATAGAGGAAAGCCAATGAACACGTACTGTATATAGCTTCTCCCAGTATTCGTCAGTATAATCCATGTCCAGAATACCCCGATCAATAAATTTGCTTTCCTTGACCAACAGCTCCTCGTACGGATCTCTCAGTCTCCCATTAGTCACCCAATCTTTTAACATCTCAACGTAGGGCTGGCACGCCATCTTCAAAAGCTTGCCATAGATAGCCGCGGCAGTCGGATCTCCGCTCATGTTTTGCATACGCTCGTAGATGATGGTCAGAACTTCGCCTCCCTTGACTGCAATGCCACTGCTGCCTGGAAGTCCCCCAACAATGTCGGCCTTGTTGATTTCCGACAGTACTGCTTTGAGTTTGGCGCCGCCGAGCCCGAGCGCCTCGTTCCGTGCTGCCTCTTCTTCATCCTCTTCTGAGTTTTCGGATGAGGAAGAGGATTCGTCTGCTCCGGGATCGTCGGCAGTAGCGAGTTCAAGGATCAGCTGGTAAATAAGCGAGAGTGTGTGTAGGGTTGGATGAACATAGAACCAGAGCTTTTGGAGCGAAAAGAAAGGCGACGTGTTGAAGGCGTGTTCAAGTTGAGAAAGAAGGGTTTGATAATCCTGACATGACGCGCGTTAGGCTGAAGCTACGCTAGTTTAATCAATAAGCGTAACTCACGCGAAGCATCTCCCGGATGGCTGCACAAAGCGCGTGGTTGACCATTCCACAATCTAGGTGACTCCGATGTTCAATGAAAGCGGATATGGCGGTGTAGTACATGGCCAAGGGGAGAATCCTCTCCACGAGGTCCCGCAAAGACGAATCTAATCCGCCATTCAAGAAAAGATCACGTAGAATAACCTGAGAGGCGAACCTAATGAAGGCGACACTACAAACCGAATTCCATGCAAGGGGTCGTCTTCTTCTGGCGAATACTCTGGATGGTGAGTGATATAGGTACCCTCAATACCCTATGACAACAATTTCAACAAAGGACGAACGAAGAAATAAGAGTAACTGGGACCCACCATAAGAACGAACAACAGATCCTCCAACATTAACGCTTCCTGAATCTCTAGCGGCACGCGATCCAACGACTCCTGCTTCCCCTTTCCCTTCGCAGTCTTCGTTGGAACCGTACTTGAAACGACACGTGAGTTCAGCGGAGCGCGAACAAACGACGTCTCTGCGATGAACGAGGTATCATTGTGGCCTGGTCGGTCGTCCATACGTTAAACACCCCTCCACACAGCTGCAGCTGACGCGTACTTTTCGAATTCGCCTCATGTGAGACGTGGTGTTCGCCATCTACGTCGTCCTCGATATCGTCCTGTGGGTGTCGATGGTGTCGGCGGACAGAAGCAATTGTGCCAGTGATCTACTCCAGACGACCATTTCATGATCAGAAACGTGACGGTATCCATGAAATGATTGACCCCTTACCTTTGTGTATTCCTTTTGCGAGAGACCCAGGTGCTTTTTGCGCGTTCCTGTGCGCGCTCGAGGGGTATACGGGTCCATTATAAGGTGCTGTCGAGGTGGGTGAAAGCAAGGTTGGTCAACCTGGTCTGACTCTAGAAAAGGAAAGTGGCAGCGGCTACTCCTGTTCAATGCGTCAACAATGCTATGTACCTCCAACCCCCAAGTAGTCCTGGTTCAATAGCATGTATATTGAATAGCCTACTCATTCTAATGATTTGGTTGTATATAGACATCGTGAATCTACTGCTACAGAAATATTAATGCCAACAGCGTCCGATCCTCGAGCTAGGTGCTGTATGGCATATAAGTACATCGCTCAAGACCCATCGCGGGCCTTCCTGAGTTCCCTGAGAAGGGACTATCGGTACAAGGTACAAAGCCCATGGATCATGTAAAGATTGCTACATGGTGCGCATGCATGGACGTGACTTGTCCTGGCGGTGGGAAGGGCAACAAAATAATGTCTCAGTGCAATGTGGTGATGAAGATGTTGGAGATGAAGTCCAAGCCAGCCGCCCACACTTGCATAAATAGCGCTACACAGGAAAGATATATGGTCGCGAGCGCGCACTCCAGTTAGTGTCGCAATTGTGGTCGTCGTGGTCTTGCGATGAGGTTGAGCGTTCACTGGATGTTTCGAAGTCTTCGCCCAGATTCCCTATCGCCATCGAGACGACAGTATCTAGGATGACAGTTTCTTTCCGTCGCGGGGACATTCGAGTTGGTGACATGGTGTTCGTCGCGACGAGAGAATGCCCGGTTGAGCGAAGGTTAAGGATGAGGCGCGAAATCAACGTAGCAGTCATCATGGCGCTGAAAGGTGCCAACACAGGCTTTAGACTCTCTGGTCCTAGCTATGCAACTAGTTCAATGATTGTCAAATGAAATGATGAGGAGCACTCACGAAGAAGAGTAAAGCATTGGCGAGATTCATGAGGCAAATGGCGAAGAAGTACATTATCCCATCCCGTACGAAGATATTCAGGACACTGTTTGTCAAGTCGTCGGCAACTGGTTTTGCGAGAAGTGGACAATCCTTACGGTATTCTCTCCGACAGTTTCAAGTATTGGCGAGTACGCCAGAGTGTCAAGAGGAAGATGGTGGTATCTATCACCAGTGGACTGACCCAAACCGCAGCTTTCAAAAGGATAAGAGAAAATAACCAAATATGACATGAAAGTAAGCGTACAGAACCAGTTATTAGGGCCCGTTAAAACGCATCCTGTAGTTTCACCCATCAGCTCGCTATACCGCACCTAGGAGCTGTACACTGACCGACAAAAGCAGGACCAGGTGGAAGCGGCACCGCTGTGCATCTAACATGAAGGATATTCAGACGATAGGACAGAGTGATCGGCTCACCGATGCCCGTGCCTACACCTTTAGCTGTTATTAGGATATGTCCTATCCACAGCACTGACAGAAACGCGAGAATTCGATTCGAGCGCATATACAGAGCATATACACGTAGGATCATGACCGCTGAGATACGCTGAGAAGAGAACACTGGAAACCTTCAAGCACTCATACCTTGACAAACTGTAACTCAGAGCATCAAAAATGATGAATAAAACGCGACAAGGAAGTGGACAACGCACTGCTAGACATTGCACCACTCAGAGCACCCTCAAACTGAACGAAGTCATCGCATCTGAAAGGATACAAGAATGACAACCTGTCTCATCCTGCAGAGAATGGTTACTTACGGTTTGCCTTTCCATCGAGGAAGATGAAACGCTGGCTCTGAATGTCAAGGTTCGCCTCATACTTGAAAGTTAGACAACTTTACCTGTGATGATTACGACATACTGGAATGGGGTAATGTATCGGTTGAGCAGAAACAGTAAAGAAGCCCCAGTCAATTTCTGCTTCCAGATCCTCTCGAGCTACGAAAACCGTCAGGATCGCTAAATGACCGGCGGAGAAAGGATGCGAACCTCACGAGGGAAAGTCAAGACTTGCAGTTCCAAAGAAAGTCAGCACATTTCAGGGGCAATAAGAAGACATTTGACACGCACTATGGTCGTAAATCAGGATCACGAAGCCTGCCAGCTGTATGTACTTGCCAACCCGTCTGGTAGTATGTCAGAAGATCTTGTCAGTGACCAGAACGTAGTGAGAAACTCACAGATGAGTGGCGACAGTAATTAGGAATTCGGGCTGAGGGGCGGCAGAACCGGAGGAAGACATGCCGTAGAGTTGTAGAACGGAACGAGAGACTGCAAACTTATACGGCCAAGACGAGAGCAATGAAGTCGTCAATGCACTCCGATGTCTTGATAACTTTCATGCTCTAAAGATATCGTCTTGATTGCCCTATCGGCGTTGTCACTGGCGCGCTCAATGAGGCATGAAATAGCAAAGCAACCGCAACTTTCCTCGGGAGGGCTTTGATCGACTTGAATCTTCCTGGGATCTTCCTGCCTGAAACGCGTATGCTGGAGATTTTCGAAGGGGAAGGAAGCAATATGGTTGGGATCAATCAAGTAAAAAGTCCAGAGTCCAGCCTGCTTCGAGGACAGAAAAAGAGAGGAATCGGTGACCATCATGATCCTGATGGATCTCTCCGCGTCTCATCAACGATTGAGAGCGATTGGGACATCTTTCGAGTTGGTGGTTCAACTAGCGCTGACGTTGAGTCTTGATAGGTCTTGATATGCACCGCCCAATGTCCATACAACCTGCCGTACAACCGGAGCTGGGGATGTGTCGGAACGGGTCCAGTAGGGGGTAACGGTCCTGCTGACGGTCGGATGACCCGTTGGGTAGAATAGGAATTGGTTGGGTGGCAAGTTTCCCGTGTCGTTTGTTAATGGTGGAGGCATGAATTGATTGATTGTGTGCCAGGAGACGCCAGGAGAAGGCGAACAGAGAAAGCGCCGCCAGATCCGGTCCGGGATTGGTCATCCTGATAAGATCTACAGCAAGATAAGATGACTTCTTCCACACTTCACATCTTCCTGAATCCTCCAACACGCAAACCGTTCACTCGCTCAACAATCCCCTTGCTTGTGCCAAAGTCTCTCTTGAAAACTGTGGGAGTGTGAGACCGGACCCTGTTAAAGCTTGAATAGTGGCAAAACCCAGGTTCGTCAACACCCTTCCCGCTGACTGCGCCAGCACTGAGCAGTATTGCTCAAGGCTTATTGACAAATGATTCTCTCCTCCTTTTTAGGTGTCGCTGAACGTCAAACGTATTTCGTCATCGTTTACGATGAATGGGAACCAACTACTCCTTGCTTTGGTACCTGCATCATGCCAGAGCACCAAGTGCTTCCGAATTTCGACCTGAATTCCCTCTAATTCTGGAACGAAATCGCACAGAAATCTCTCACCCAACCGCGTATTAGCAAGCATTAACGCCCTGTCGGTTGAAGGACGGATTTTGCGTGATCACACGCAACGCGTCTCACGAGGTCTTGCGACTGCTTACAGAGCTTAATCTCTTCTTTAGGTATAAGACGCTCTCCAGCCACGCCTTGCAGAACATAACGACACAAATTTCTCTCGCCGCTCGTCGGATAATGTCTTCACCCGCTGCTCTCAAACTCAAAGTCGGTTTCGTTGGTTTGTCGAGCTCAGGTTGGGCATCGGACGTTCTTGGACCAGCCCTTCTCGACGCGTCGCTTCGCTCCAAGTACGATCTCGTCGCAGTGTCTACCACTTCTGCCACTTCCGCCGACACGTCTTCCAAACTGTACTCCGAGAAGGTTGGACATCTCATTAAACCGTACTACGGCGACACATCTCAAATCGCCAACGATCCCGACGTGAATTTGGTGGCCGTATCCGTCAAGGCGCAGTTTCACAAACAGGCCATCTTGCCTGTGATCAATGCAGGGAAGGATTTCTTCCTGGAGTGGCCAGCTGGCTCGTCTGTGACGGAGACGGAAATAATTGCCGAGGCAACGAGGAAGAAGGGCGTCAAATCCATTGTTGGGTTGCAGGGCCGGCATTCGCGCACAATTGCCAAGGTTTGTGACCTCCGCCCTGTTCTAGCATGATCAATACTAATGTCTCTCCGTACATAGGTCAAAGAAATTTTGGCCTCGGGGACCATTGGCCCAATTCGCTCGACACATATAGTACGCATCGGCTATCACAGGTTTTGGCACTCCTGACGCAATATCTTCCCAGATTGCGCACATCGGGAGAGAGGTCACATCCTGGCCGCCTCTCGTCCGCGAAAAGGCTTCGTACACGGCGGAGAAGAGGAACGGTATGGAAAACCAATCAACCCTTATCACAATCTACATATTAAAAGTGACAAATCCCTATCTTTCATGATGCAGGTGTGACCAGGCTTGACGTCCCAATTGGACACCAACTCGACACCTTCACCTATCTTCTAGGCGATTTTACTTCCTTGACAGCGACAGACGCGACTCTCTACCCCACCGGCACGCTCATCGACGATTCCGGGAAGCCAACCGGGAAGACCTTCCCCTCCGAGACGCCCGACCACTTCGCCATCTCAGGTGTGCTCTCCTCTGGGGCCGTCGCGAACCTCTTCTACAGAGGCGGGTACGCCTCCGAACCGGAAACAGGCCGCCGTCAGTACGTTTGGGAGATCGACGGCGAGGACGGCACCATACGGTTGGAATCTGACCATGTCTATGGCGCTTTCACGAACATTTTTGAGCCGAAGTTGTATTTGAATGGGAAGGAGGTCGAAGTTGAAGGTGCTGGCCCAGTGGGTTCGTTAGACTCCGCTACGACTGCTTGGAGGGAGTTCGCGGAAGGCCACGGGAAGTATGCAACGATTGATGATGCCTTGAAGAACCGCAGGCTTTTGGATGCTATTGAGAGGAGTGCGAAGGAGGGCAAGAGGGTGTCTCTGTGATTTGATCTTACTGGGTGCTGTATCTCAAATGTACTCCATTAGCTCTGACACAACGGGTGTGCTGAGTCCGACACAGTCCAACACAGTCCCACATGTGTGACATTGTGTAAATTATCGCATCACAAACTCATAAAATAGCTACTATGGTATAACAGTATAACAGTATAACAGTATAATAGGCAGCGCATACAAAGTCTAGAGGCTGAAAAATGCGATCGTTAATGAGCGGGTAAATCAACGATGATACGGTCGAAGATGAAAATGTTCGGAATCTATGGATGATGTCTATGTGGATGGTCTATACGTCGTGAAGATATCGTATATGTATGCTGGTTTCGTTACGAGTAGAAAAGAGGAAACGCGGTAATGTAGACGTAGAGGGAGAATGGCATTTACTCCCGGCTGACATCACTAAAGGACCGAGAAAACTCGTCAGCAATTGGCCCACGATCATTCGTCAGGGAACACATACCGTCCGAAGAACTTGACCTTCAACCAATCCGTAGCGACCAAAGTCCTATTCCTCAACGAGAACAGCGTGCTAAGGTATGCACTTCTCCAAAACAAGTACGTCGCAACGCCTCCAGTCGCCACATTCCCGTTCATGAACGGCAGGTCCGCGATCGCCTTATCCGAGCCAATGTACGCCAACGAACCTTGGTGGGAATAGTGAAATGGCCTTAGCTTGACCTTGGCCATCTGGGTTTTCACATCCTTGATCTGATCCTGCACTTCTTTCTTCTCTTCCGGCGTAGTCGCCTCCACGGCCGATCGCTCGAGGCTGGCAAGCTGGGAATTGAGGTTGTCCTTCTTCGCCATCTGGTGCAGACACCTGGCGATGTAGGCTCCTTGTTGTGAGGCGACCTGGGCCGTCGGTGCATATGACGTAGCAGTGCAGTCGCCGAGAGCAAAGATACTGCCATTCGTGCCGGCCATGCGCAGATACTCTGTTACCTCGTTAGCACAAAACCGATAGCATTAACGACTTCAGAGCGTACCATCAACAGTAATGCCACGCCTATTCTTCTGAGCTTCAGGTAGCTTGGCCATCAGGTCCTGTGTTATCTTCCTGCCCTTGTTGCCCGCAGCCCAAACCACAAGTCCGCATGGTACCTCAACAACAGACTTATCGGGCATCTGCAACACGACGCTCTTCTCTTTCACCTCCTTGACCATTGTCTTCGTAAGGATGTCAATCTTGCTCTCCTTGAACGTCGATTCGGTGTAGTTGATGAGCTGCTTGCTGAACATTGGGAGTACGGAAGGCAGGGCTTCAACGAGGGTGATGCGAATCTTTCCAGCAAGCTCGGGGTACCACATCTTCAAGTCGTCCTGAAAGCAAATAACATTAGCGGTTGTTGGAAAAGTTGGCACATTGACTTACCTCTAGGAAGTCGTGCAATTCACCACTCAGCTCAACACCAGTAGGCCCACCGCCAACCACCACCATATGCAGCAGACGATCGACCTCTTGCGAACTTTGACCCGGGAAGGCAGCGCTCTCAAGACCTATGCATCTAGGTTCAACGAACTAAACACGACATGAACGTGAAAGAGGCTCACAGTCCATAAATTGACGCTGCATCTATTGACTTTGTTTAGAGTGGGATGGTAGATAAAAGTACAGGCATAACTCACCCGTTCCGCATCCGATAGCTCCTTCATGAAGCATGCATGCTCTTTCACCCCGGGAATATTAAACGTCTGTACCTCAGCACCGACGCCATACACGAGGTAGTCATACGATATCGTCGTAGAAGAGACGTTTCCCTTTATTTCGGAATTATCTGGATGGGAATAAGGAGTCGTCAGCATTGAGTTCCAACGATCATGTGGATTCCGTCATAGCAGGAAGGAATCCCGCTAATAGGTTGCGGTAGTACGACGCCACAATGGCTGGGAAAATGAAGCAACAAAATGCAGTGGCAGGCAAGGCACCGGCATACAAAGCAACCTCCGCAACGAGGAAAAGAAGGGGAATAAAACGGCTTGAGCAAACACACCTGTGAAAGTGACCGTCTTATTTACGGGCTAGAAGCGTTTACTACATTTAGAACGGTTATGTGGCGGAGAGTGGGGAAATAAGGCATACATCGACTTCAGTAGCCTCCGCCTCGATAACTGACACTTGACGTGCCTTGTGGCGAGTGATGTATCTTGTTGGTTGAATGATTGAGCGTGCATTCAGAGTACCAACAGCCACACTTGGCAGGAGAGGTGTGAAGAGGAAGAAATTCTTTGGGCTGATCACGACCTGAAGGAACAAGAGCGATAAGCCTTTCGTGTTGTCCGGGAAGATGCCGTGGCGTAAAAGAGATCTGGAATGTAACGTACCACGTTGTACTCAGTCGTGTCCAACGTTGTTAGCAGGCTGGTCGAAGCCCAGCCACTCCCCAACACAACGACAGTCTTCTTCGAGGGGTCGAATGGTAGTTGTGCGCCAGGCTGGCGTTCATGATAGATATAGTAGTAGAAGCCGCCGGCGGTGAGGGCAACAGTGATGAGAGTTGTACGGCCGACAATTTGGAGGAAACTGCGCCATTTCGATTGATTCGGTGGAGGAGGGGGTCGAATGGGCGGAGGAACCTGGTCCATAACTTGTCAGCCATTGTCTCCACAGCGATGGAGTTTGCTTACAGCGGTGGTGGAAGTTGTAGACTGGGTGGCGAATGCGCGCTTCACCAAATGTCTTGAATGCTGTACACGTGCAAGTGTTCTAGATTGAACAATGGTCCTTGCTAGGATTGCTAGCGCTTCTATCAGTACAACTCTGAAGTCTGGACTACTGACCGCGACTGACCTCGACTCCGGATTTGCATGGTGAAGAAAAGTCGACGGAAGGCAACGGAATTACGGTCTCACAAAGCTGAAATATGAGAGACCTGTAGCACAGGGGTGCAGCGGTGGTCGGGAGGTTGGAGGTACTGTTCAACGTTGGCGTTGTGGCTGTTTTCAATGTCCTGTTATCGTCATGAGAAATTTGCAGAGACCGTGAGAAAGTTCCTGATATAGGCGTTTCCCTCCGCTGCGGCATATTTAGCACGCCGTAAACAGGGGATTGACGGAAACGGGGTGGGGATTCCGTTTTTCTCCGCTCGCTGTTCCGGCTGCGATGAATGAAGTTCATGGATCTCTCCTCCCACCCGATGTATTATGATGAGCTGTTCGTTGTTTGAGCTGTTCGTTGTTGATCAAATCCTGCTGACCACAGATGACCCCAACCCTATAACGCCGCAAACAAGGGATCAATACTCAGTCTTGGAGCCTTGCGTCATGCAATGTAGAAAACAGATGCATGTTTTCATAGGACCCCCGGCAATAGAGGGGGAGCCCTGATACCAATCCGGACAAATTTTGGAGATTTTTTCGAAAATGCCAGGTGCAAATCCGGACAAAATCGAGGTCAAATGAGGGGGGAGCCCAATCCTATGTCCGGACAAAATTCCTCTATCCTGGACACGCCAGATCTAGTGTCCGGACAAAGATGATTGGTGGAAATGTAGGCTCACCATTTTTTTACACCGTAGAAGTCTAATGTTCGATTCTTGAACATGAAATTTATTATTTTGGGTCCTCTCCCGTGTTTGCGGTCATTTTTTGTCTGCCACTCCTCACTACTTTTGGGCGATATGGCCCAGCTTCATGGTCCTCATCTTTACCATTGCTTCTTGTTAGTTCTTCCACCCCCCCGTTTAGCAGCTCGATCTCTTGTTCATCCAATTCTGTCTCTTGTCGACTCAAAATTTTTGGGTGTCCATGCTCCTTCTCCTTTCAGTGAACTCTCTATGGACGACCCAGGTGCCTCCGCGAGCTTCTCAATTTATCTCGCTTTCCGCGCACTTGACGAGAACCCTCCGCTGAAAATTTGGCCGTTTTTGGCGTTGCTGGAGGCCAGATCCCTGGATCTGGACAAATTTTTGGCGTAAGAGGGCCTGATCAGGTTGTCCGGACAAAAAATCTGGACAGGCCAGGTATAATCCGGACAAATTTTCGGACCTCTGTCCGGACAAATTTTTGAAATTCGGGATCAGGGCTCCCCCTCTACTGCCGGGGGTCCTGTTTTCATCTGGCGCCGGTTCAATCAAGGCACATGAGGAGCAGACTTCCTCTTGAAGTAGTTTGGTATGTCACCCATTCGGTCATTCGAACTCGATGGGCCATGCAAAGGAACGCGGCCATGGATAATCTAGGGCCTAAGAATCTCCCATCCCCTTCCGATAGCGATGCTCTATTTCTGGCCGTTTTTGTTGGCCGCCGTTCTCATCCGTTCGATGTCGTCGGATCCTCTCGTCAACTTTTGCTATTTTTGCAAAAAAAGTAGGCAGGGAAAAAAGCCTCCTTCCTACGAGACGAATGATTGATTAGTTCGACGAAGTGGAAGCGCTCGTGCCCCTGTGCGCCACATAATATTTATTGCCAAGTACGGACTTGGTGCTTTCTGCCCCGCAGGCGTGGTACCCAAGGCCAACAACGACAGAGCAGCATGATGCAATTTGAGAAATCTGTGGTATTACAATCGATAAAATCTAACGCCGCGCCCGTTCACAGACATTCACACTAAAAATAGTGTATATGACGAGCCCGCGTGAACATTACACATGCGTAATTGTTGATACAAATTTTTCGAAATGATGAATGGCTTGAACCTACTTAATAAACGGAACAGTATGAGCGGTAATAATGAAGTGATCATCATAGGTAGAACTAGTACTTTCGAGACACTGGGCAGCAGAAGTGAGAAAGAGCGGCAATGGGAGCAAGGCTTTAACCGAGGGAAAACTCTGGCAAAACTGTAAAGACTGTGGGTACGGGGTTGGTAACTAAGAAAAACAGTATCCATTTTGAAGCAACTGTATCGCCGAAGCGACCTCGTTGTGTGCAGACTTGAGCTGGCCAAGAGTACCGATGAGAGGTCGGTGGCATCAAGCCGACTCCCCAAGCTCGCGCTTCCACGGGACGGTTGGGAAACCTTGCCTCGCTGGCGCCGCTGCTCGCCTCCATGATTGCATGGGAGCACCGGCCTCAGCCTCAGCTTCAGCATTGCGCCTCCATGACTGCACGGGAACGCCTGCCTCGGCCTCAGCGTTGCGCCGCCAGGAAACAGTCGGAGCACCAGCCTCAGCGTCTGCTACACGCTTCCAGGCGACGGTTGGAGCACCTGCCTCGGCATTGGCATCGGCCTCAGGCATGCGCCTCCACGGCACAGTTGGAGCGCCGGCTTCAGCCTCTGCTTCAGCCTCACGTCTCCATGACTGAGTAGGAGGGGGTAGTCGCTGGAAGGACGAAATGTTAATCATTTTAATATATACCTCTAGCTGGGAATGAGGTGGCGTACTGCAACGATATCGCCATCGCGAGCAACGATTGCTCCTTCAACATCCTATATGTGGGACAACACAATCGTATCAGCATTTCGTCAAGACCGCAAACTAGGGATACGTACAAGAGGAAGGGAGGAGACGGCCACAATGGCAGACACGAAAACGAGGATTCCGGAGAAGAAGCGCATCTTTATGTAGGCGCAAAGGTAAACGGGCGACGAGGACCAGAAGGTGGAAGGTTAAATGCGTAGACTCAGAGTAAGTGAGGGTAAGAGTGCCTGGTTCTACTTCGAAAAGGCGCTCGAGTCGGGATGAAGAAGAGGGTGGGCAAGCAGGGATTCGAGAAGGATCCGTACTCCGTCCCACGGGCTATATAACCTTCCCTCCTTCCATCTGATTGAAAAGATCCTCTTTTGTTCCAGAATCGCCAAACACGGATAGGTCCACCGTGTCCGAATTCCCAAGCAGCAATTCTCCCCAACGTTACCTACCGAAGACTGTCAGACGTGACAAATCACCTCACCCGCTCTGGAAAAACAACTTGGCTTGGGCTTGTGATGACTATCATATTCCACCGGGTTCTCTTCTGACAAACTTCTCTGCCCAAGTCTGCCTAGGTATACCTTCGCGCTATATAATTAGAGTGTGTGTCCACATGGTCGTGGAACAGCCCTGGCTTGGCACAGAGTCAAACAACTGATCCCCACCCTGAGCTGTACCCAGGGCTGGGAATTGCTGCGGACCCGGAACAATTCTAAACGTCGATTACGCCGAATGCATGGCCTCCGAGCTCCCGACGGAAACGCTCAACGATCTGACCGTCTGTCGCGCTTGACCACTGTCAGTCGCCTCGGTCAACATCCATGGCGATATCGGTCAATGGCGATGTGACAGTGGCACACACAGAGTCCCGTTTGGCGATAAACGGGCGGGTGAAAGTACGGACATAGAAACGAGATTTGAGGGGCCCTTAGCTGCACGGCACGGAATCAATGCCGGAAATAGACATGAAAGCTTGATAATGGTCACCGGTCTTTGCATTGCAGCGGAGGCAGATTGTCAACGGGGATCGGCGTTGGTGTGGGCTATGGACCATGTGGTTGGTCCCCAGGACGTCCTCCGCCATAATCAGTGTTGGATCCGTCATCTGGGCGTCCCTCTATGCGCGGGCTAAATGAGGGCTAATTTGATTGCGATGCACTGTTCTTTAATTTTGTCGTCGTCGTTTGAGGGCCGTCAGGGCCTTTCGGAACATTTGTGTGGGCCGAACGGTGTCTTGGGCGCTTGGGCAAAAAAATAGGCGCCAAGAACGAAAAATGTAAGGCGCCGATGTAAATCCTCCCAGCCTTCACAGCATCAATACATAAGATGCAAGGCTGAACAGGAAATAACTTGTACACGGAATCATACAGGAAGATAAAGTTAATTTGGAAGCTGCCGAGTAGCAAATAAGCAGCAAATTTCCACCGAATAACAGGTAAAACTCCGCGCGCCGAACAATCGGCCATCGCCAACACCGTGGTATGGACAAGTAGACGGTGGGCGTGCCATTTCCTTACCGCCTTCGTGCATTGATGCGTTTCATACTGAAGTGCGGACACACTGCATCAACGAAGGTGCTGGCTGGCTGGACGACAGTGTGCGCTTCAAAAGGCTACGCCGTCTGCTCAGTATTTCACGCCAAAATGAGAATTCTATATGCCGAAAAACTGCTTCTAGCATACACAGCGTTGACCCACATTGCGACGAGGCATGTGCGCTCGTGAAATATACCAACGCGACTGGACCCACCGAGAATCCCGGTACTAGTAGGCCGTACTGAAATGACCACCAGAAATCACACACACTGAAGAAATCTATCACCACAGACGGCGTCCAGCACTTAAATTACGGCGTCCGTCATTGCGTGCTTGGGATTTTACCTTTGATCAGAGTCTGGCTCATTTTTTAAAAATCCCCTTCTGTAGGCCAGCATAAGAACCCCAAAGATGCGATTTCACGGAGAGATTTTGGGGATAATGAATTTAATATTGTTCTGATTCTTCTCATCCCCTAGGCACTTTATAATCAGAGCGACCGAAGTGCAGAGCACTTCTGATTCTGAGAAGTTGGTCTCGAATCTCTGCGCTTGGAGGTACGCATCAGATAAGATAAGATAATTACAATGACGTCATATCATTCTGACCCCTATCTATTATCTTCTTGTACTTGATTGTGGCGAAGGCCATTAGACTACTGGCTCGGTCGAAGTTTCTCCTGAATCCAGTAAGCAAACTACCACTCATTATGTCGTTCTAGCTTGAAGTCTATCCCAGAAAAAAGAGGCGATATCGACACGCACTTGCAGATCACATAACGCACCCTTCGGGCCTTCCATCTTACCAGCGCACAGCCTTGCGCAGCTCAAAAAGCCTGTCGTCGGTGAGCTGAGACCGGACCCAAGTGGATGTACCGCACATCTTGCTTACACCAATGTCTCACTCACGGCATTGAGTCTTGACTTCGTCTTCGAACTCGACGCGAATGTTCTGTCAAGCATTCACTCTGATCCGGGCTCGCAGCATCGCCATTGAGAGAGAAGGAGAAGGGGTTCTCGAAATATTACTTCCTTCCTTCCTTCCTTCCTTCCGCAGCTCGATCCAAGCTCGATCATTGTGGAGGTGAATGCTGCTTCGTCATCACACTTTCGAAGCTGCTTTCGAGTTCCATACGGACGTGATAGACGATCCATTTCCGAGGACGTAATTGCGCATGCCATGTAAAAGAGCCATGCATCTTCCCGTGTGTCCCTCGCGGCCGCAGGGGAACGTGGACGACTCGGAGTGGACCCCAGGCTATAAAGTCAGGCCTATCTGCCCGGGGAAGATGAGTAAGTGTACTCGATGCCCCGTCAATTGGAGTAATCCTCATAGCTCAAGGGACTTTTGGCCTGGCAGCTGGATGTATACAAACCTGATAGCTTCATCATTAACTTTTCCTTTAGTTGCCACATGAACCGTATTATTGACAAGCACTGCAGGGCTTACAACGAGTTAACCGCGAGTCTCTCAAGCTCTGTGGAGTTAAAATAACCCCTCCAACTTCCTAGCGTAGACATGATAGAAGGTTCAAACGTGAACCCTTCGCCCTTCAAGCTCTTGAAGCCTTTTCTTCGAGCTTCTCCCTACGCTGACGCACCTCGACAGCCTTACAATGGCGACGGAGAACAGTTCAGGCTATCTCGCCCCTATTTTTTGGGTCTGCCTCAACTATGTGGGTGCATCAAGTTTTCGCCATCACTGGCACTGTGTTTGCCAATGCTCTAACTCTGTCCAAAAGTTTCTTCAGAGCTCGGGTCGCCAAATGGATGAAAATGTACACATGTTCCCCGCAGAGCGCCGGATGGACGTTCCGAAGAGAAACGTGCAAGGAGGTTGAGGCGTGTACTCATCCTTGCTGTCGGCCTCGAGGTGCCCGACCTCTGTCTGAACTGCCAACCCACTGAGCATCTCACCGTTCGGGGCTGAAGCGCGCCCAGACTTGGGCGGCGATTGAGAGTGTAGGCGCTTGGCAGGAGTTTGTGAATGAAACTTGATAGGTATTCATCCAAGAAAGGAATTTTTTGATTACAAATCAGCCTCATTGGCAGCATCGAGCTTTGGACGTTCCGAACGGCCCAGAGCCTATATAAGCCGTTTTCTTGTCGACGAGGGTTCCCCTTCCTTGTGGCCTCCCGGTCTTCCGTGGCTAGTCTTTCGCGTTCTGTTCCACTCTTTTCTCCCCTTTCCCCGCGTTCTTTGGCTCAAGAATCGTTTGGTTGAACGCCGCCTCCTTCTGACCGCCCTTTTTTCGACGCCCGGATTATCATCGCCCAGGAACATCCACTTTACATTTCTTCGGGGAGCAGCAATGGCTACGTTGGCACCGACAGCAGCACCAGCAAACAATGTCGACGACGCGTCTCTCGTCTACCATGTCAACCTTCTTCTCATCGCCCTCGTCGCTCTATTCATAGTAATCAAGCTTCCCCGGGCTCTTGCCCTCTTTGGAACCAAATCTGAATGGCTCAATGGCCACATCCTACGCTACGTTCCCTACAAGCCTTCCCGTCGTGTCGTACAGGCAATCCACTGCGCCTATCCGCCTCCAGACTCCAAGGAATACTCGTCCGACGACTCACACACTCTTTACACTCATGCCCGTCATGCCCAACGCCTCACCGAGAACGGCGCACCAGTTGCGATGCACTTCCCTCCCCATGTGCCGTCGTGTATGAAGCCCTTGCGCCCCCTCCTTACGCCCCTACGTTCGAGAATATCCCCTGGGTTCTCGGTTGCCCAGCTTCTCCTTCTCCTAATTTACTTCTACGCCCTCGTCTATGCCGGGTTCTATCGATCCAACATCTTCACCGACACCGCTCGCACCGGCTGGATTGCCGTTGCGCAGATGCCTATTGTCTATGCTTTCGCCCAAAAGAACAACGTTCTGGGCTCCCTTCTTGGTTATGGATATGAGAAGGTCAGCCCCACCTCTACCTCGATTGATTACAGCTGACGATTTGCAGCTCAACTTCCTGCACCGGTTTGCCGGAAGGATGGTCATTATTGCTGCCAATGTCCATTCTTTGCATTACTGTACGTGTGTCGATAGTTAGATCAACTTTCCGTCTAACTCTTCTCCTCAGTCTTCAAGTGGTCCCTTGAGGGGACCTTTAAGCAATCTATGAAACGACCCAATGCCCTCTGGGGCTTGATTGCCCTCCTCTGTCTCGACGCACTCGCCTTCTTTTCAACCGCATATTGGCGCAAGAAGGCCTACAACCTATTCCTCTCCACCCACATTATCAGCCTCATCATTGTTCTCCCTGCTGTAAGTTCTCCGAGATCCGCCCTAGCCCACCCGCTCATATCAATCCCAGACATACAAGCACAAGCGAACTGTGCTGCCGTACATCCTCGCCTGTGTCGCCATTTACCTCTTCGACCGTCTGTTCCGTGTGATCAAGTCTCGTATCACCATCGCCCACATCCGCCCGTTGCCCGAGCTTGACCTCACCCGAGTCGAGATTCCTTCGATCAACGCTGGCTGGCGAGCGGGACAGCACCTCCGTCTCCGCGTCCTCTCTCTCCAGATGGGATACTTAGGATGGGCCGAGTCGCACCCTTTCACTATCGCCAGCATCAGCCAGAACGGACCAGACGGGGTGGTGCTCATGTGCAAGCGCGCTGGCGGGTGGACCCGCAAGCTCTACGAAATGGCCAAGCTGGGAGGATACACCGAGGGAGGCATCGGGCGCAACGTCAAAGTCATCGTCGAGGGGCCTTACGGCGGACCCGGGCACACCATCTTCTCCTCGTTCTCCGCAGCAGTTTTCGTCGCCGGAGGGAGCGGGATCACGTATGCGATCTCGGCCATCCAGGACCTCGTGCAGAAGGACCTCCGGGGCGAGAGCCGCGTGAAGGTTATTGAGCTCGTGTGGACCGTACCCGACCCGGCGTGCCTCGTACCGCTGCTCCCGACTCTGACAGCGCTCGCGCACCAGTCCGTGTTCACCCCACTGCGCATCAGCGTGTTCTATACGCGGGCCCCGACGGGCAAGCAGCCGGCGTTCTTCAGCTATGCGGATGCGTCCCCTGTCGTGGCTGGCTCTCCCACGTGCTCTACGCCGACGACGCCAGGCTATTTTCCCCCTGGCTTGACGCTTGCTCCTGGTCGCCCTCGATTTGGTAAGATGTTCGAGGGCGCAATCCAAAGGGCGGTTACTTTGGGAAATGGCGTGAAAGACGATGAACGAATCACTGGGATGGTGGTTGGTGTGTGTGGGCCTGTTGAGCTGGCCGATGACGTAGCAAAGGCTGTTGGTGCCATTGACCCCACCCGGAGGGATCAGGTTGGAGGAGTTGAGATTTGCGAAGAGTGAGTCCAATTTGCTCGCCTTCTTCCCCCGTGTTCTGATCATTCTCTAGGGTTTTCGGTTGGTAGTCGATCTACCTTTGTGTTTGTCCTGGTAACATTTCCATTCTACTCTCGGCGTCCAGTATGTCGCCTCTTTGTGTATGGGGTTGGACCCACATGCATACACCAATCGGTTATCAAGCATGAAGTTCTTGGATTGTATTTGTACGTTGTACACTATTCAGACGGTATGTACAGGATATATATACTATTGTATTCTGAATAAAGCTAGATTGTTATATATCATATAACATTGCGCAGATACTGTACAGACCTTGCATGTCTGAGCACTCTTTCGTGGCGGCAGCTGCAGTGCCCTGGCGACCTCAAACCCCTATTCCTGGCATGTCCAATCCTCCCAGAGCAGGATCTACCGCTTGGCAGCGTACTGGCTTCATACCATCACGCGCCAGCAATTTAGGAACATGTGGCAGTACAACAAGCGCTTGATCTTCGATCACCTTCTACCACAGATGGCGCATGTCTCCTTTTTTGGCAGTTGTTGCCGCTTGTCCTTGCGCCAGCAGACCAATTCGAGCACCTTTGGCAGTCGCTTTGGCCCGTCGGTGCACCCCACGAGTGGCATCCAGACCTTAAGACCTGACGTTTCTTGGATTCTGCCACCGTGTTTAGTTGTCAGGAAGGACGCCGCAATCTAAGCGCCGCCCGATAAAAAGATGTTTCTGCCAGACGGACTCTACTCACTTTCAAGTCGCCCCATCAGAAAGTCCTACTTGAAGAACTATTCCGCATCATGAACGCCGCCGTCTCTACCTGCAGAACAGCACCGGCGCACATACCGTCTTGCCTAGGCCGGCACCCATCACAGAGTTGACTGCCGAACAACTCGAATATGGTGGGTTTCGTGGAGATTTAGTCTAGCTCAGGCTACGTACTCAACCATTTCTCCAGGACTGGCAGTCTTATCACAACATCTTAGGAGGTTGCACCCCAAGGAACTCAAGCAAGGTCCCTTCGAACTCGTCGTGTCCGGGGGCGCATGCGCCGTCCTTCTCCTTTGTAGTCGTACCACCGCAAAGGCAATCGACGCATACACCACTAATCACCACCAATTCCGTCAAATACGAGCAGCAAAGGATGCCGCCTGCCAACATGAGCTGCAGCACTACCCGTATGACTGGCTCAACTGGGAAATGCTCGCCAACGTCTTCACCCACCGCGAATGCGACTCTCTTTTCGCCAACTCGATCAGGATGAACGAGGTGCTTTACGAGTCTAAGGAACTGATATTGTATGCAGCGGACTGGACTTTCCAACTGGCAACAAAGATAGGTCAGATCTCGTACATGAGGATGGCAGGCTTGAACAACGCAGTGGATGCCCAACGTCTTGGGAGGTACATTCAGGATGCCGCCCATTCGTTGCGAGTTATTGTTGAGCGTAACGAGGGGCCAGTGAAGTGCAATCAGTGGAAAACCTGGTACCACCAAGGTGCTCTCCTGCGAAAGGAGGACCTCAGGCTTGTTGAGAAACGATATCAGGAAATATATGGTAGCAGTCCTGGGCTTTTCCTGAATTGAATATCCATTCCGGATATTAGAATGTACATGGCTTCTGAAATTGCTTATCAGAGGCATCTGTAGAATAACATGGCACACCTCGGGGTGTCACCAGAGAACTTGTGCGTTGGACGGTTGTGAGCGACGGCTCATTCGGCGTCGTAATGGCGGTAGTCAAATTGCTCAGTTCGCCGGCTCTCATATAATGGACTTGAAATCACAAGGAGTCGGGACAGAAGTCGAGTGGTCAGCAGTGCCTCCAAGGTGTAGAGGGCGTCTTAAGACTGCGCACAACCACGTATTCCGATGGAAAGGGGATATGTAATATTCGATGTAGTGTCATAGATTGAAGGGCTGGAAATAAGGTCGAAAAGTAGTGAGAGGTAGTATCCATAATTCATGTCAGTTGTCTAAGTCTGAGAACAACCAGAGTCGCATGAGTGCTCGAGCAAAGCACCTGAGAGGAGGAAAAGGGACGCACCAGTCCGAAAGCAATACCAAGGAGAACTTGGAGTCTAATATCCATCTTGTACCATGGAATCCCTTAAAGCTCTTTATGCAAGCTGGCGTTGACCATCCCCTCACCAGCGAGTCCCAACCACTGCCACAGGAAACGTTCACCGCCCTCCTGTCCCCAGAGGTAATAGACTGCTCGTCCTCTCAGGAAAACGAGGTGCTGCGGCATGTACTTGTACATTCCAGTAAATAGGAGGAGGGAGAAAGCGAAGAAGATGGTCACTGTACGCAAGGGGAATACAGAAAAGGAGTAGGGGGAAGCTGGTCAGTGTGAAGACCCCGACGACCAAAATTGTTGACTACTCACGAAGCAGGATCTTCTCCCAAGGCTCGAGCATAGACAAGACGAAAGTCGACTCGATCCACATCCTCTGCCTCCAGAAGAACACCCCTAGCTTGGAGGACGGCCTACGCGTGAAGTTATGATTGGGCTTCGCAGGAGGAAGCTGCGTGCTGCTTGCGGCGGTCACTGATGAAGCTGGCATGATTCGTGTCTAATGTCGTGAAAATAGTGTTGAGAATAGGATAGGTGTGAAAGGGATGATGTAAGGGACGCCTACGGGACGCCAGCAGACGGTGTGGTTGAAAGAAACCAACGACAGCGATATTTCCGAGAAGGGAGTTGACTAATTGGGTTTGACACACCGGCACTATTTTTCTAGCCAAATATTCAGGCATGCACGATACATACTGCATTCTTACTCTGGTTTTGAGTGTCATAGACAGAAAAAAAGAGTAAAACGAGGGAGGTGGGATTAGTAGTAGAATTATCATTGGCATCAGTAAATATGATAAGGTGAAGGCCGTGTCTACTTTTGAGCCTGTGAGGATACGACTCGTCGCGATTTTCAAGCAGCGGTTGCCGCCGCTGGAGAGGTGTCAGAGGCTTGCGGAGCTTGAGGCATGTGCGGGGGCTGCTCCTTGTTCTTCCGTCTCGTATTTAAAGCCCACCCAGCCCACAGCATCCTCCGGTCTTTGTGCAAGCTCTTCAAGAGGTTGACCACTCTATCTTCCGGTGCCCTCGCCAGCTTGCTCGCAGAGCGCATTCGTGGACGTCTCTGCACGTACCACTCCCAAGCATACCGGATGAGCGCGCCGTCCGCGTCGTACGGAGTTGGGATCTCGGAGTATCCAGGTCGGGCTGTCGGATGACGAACGTAGACGGCAGAACAGGTCTTAAAGGAGACCTCGATATAGGCGGGGATGAAGAGCCACGGTGAGGCGTATGGTGGTAGGTAGAATGGCGTCAATTCTGTCGATGGTTTTGTCGAAAGCAGCGCCGCATGTGTAGCGTCTGATCTGCCTTCAGCCGAAGTTTCAGCGTCGGGAGGTTTGGGCCCTTCACTGGATGACTCCTCTGCCTCTGCCTCTGCAGCCACCTCGGAAGGCTTCTTGTGAATGCCCAAGTTATTCACATCGTCAAAGTCGCCATGCGGTGTCTTGAAGAACCGAATTGCAGCTGGATCAACGGAGACCATATCCCCAGGTGCCAGACGAGTGTTCGCCCTCGTGTGCTACAAAGAACGATGGCCAGCGTCCGTCAACAATCCGAGGAAGAAAGGTCAGTGCGAAGGCCCACCTTCTTCCCATTCAGCTTCACGTACCCATGGATAATCAACCTCCTCGCCTCATACACGCTATGCACAAAACAACACCTGAACACGAAGACGTCCATCCGTCTCTCGACCTCCGTAAACATCAAACTGCCGACCGGTGCCAGCCCCTTCTCCTCAATCTCCTGCTCGAGCTCTTTCTCCCGAACGTTCCGCTTTGCGAACTCCTCCAAGGAGAGCGCATCACCAGACACGACTTGACGACGCGGACGGACATCTGGCAGTGTGTCGGGGAGGTACCACCGCTTGAACGACTTCTCTGGGATGAAGTCACCGTGGTACGCGCGTACTGCAGCCTTGGATTTCCACCGCTGTTGGAACAGGGTCTCTTCCGTTGTGAGCTTGAAGGTCATTTCGGAGGACTTGGGGCCAACGGTTCGTCTCCAGAGGTTGTAAAGGTTCTTGGGCGACCAGCTCTGTTAAATGGGAATGCTTTTCATTGGTGTGCTCTTCCGCGTATAGAGCAACATACGCACCATGGTAGGCAGCGACCTACGCAGACTGAGGACATTTTTGTTCCGCATCGCTGGCTGCTAACAAGTTGAATCGTGGGTCGACGCGTAACTTCGCCGTTACAAGACGTATAGACTACGCTGGAGGGTCGTGACGGGAAGTTTTGGAATTTGGCTCCTCGAAATAGAATCTTGTTTCCACGCTGGGTGCAGTTTCTTCGGGCCGCTCTTTCCACTCACTGCTACCACGCCGCAATACTCCAGCACTCCATTTTCCAGCCAAACTCCACCAACACGCCGTAATGTTACATAGAGAACCCGTACATCTGAAAAGTATCCCTTCTGTTCTCAAACAGCTCCACTGAAACCCAGTCACTCCGTTCCTGAGGTTCTTCTACGCCATACCTCCGGGAGCAAGGTCAACTTTGGTAAGAATCTCGTCAGAGAGGACACAAAAACATCTTACTTTTGCTTCAAATGGCGAGTCAACGAATTCTTCTCACGAAGTTGTAAGTTGCTGTTCTCTGGGCACCTCAAGCACCTCGCGTTCATCCAAGTATTTACGCAATATCGCTGCCTCCATCCGAATTCTTGGGGAACAAATGCGAAATCCACATAGACGACCGGACGCCGAATATTATGTCTGCGTCGAACAGAAATTTCAGCAATCTAGCCATGATGTTAGGATTGGCAACCTATACTCACATTTCTTTAACATGCTTCTTCGCGGCCTTCCTCGAGACCCTCTGCCGACAAGAGAAATGGGATGCGCAGTGTAGGCAGCTCCAGGATCTTTCTCCGTTTATCTTCTGATTGTTTACCTCGGAAAATCTGACCGATTCGGCGCACTCTTCAGTGAGGAGAGTCCAGGGCGTCGTGCAGTGGGCGACATAATCACGATGGTACCGGGTGGATTTGATTCTAAGAATGTGACCCACCTGGTATTCAACAAGAGGGTGGTCAGCATATTACAACGGCTATTCGACCCAGTCTTACCCATTCCCTCCATTTATATACCACCCGCGATTCCCGATCCGCGATTTCTTGCGGCTTGCACACTGCGCAAACAAATCTTGGATCAAGTTTATCTAGTTGTTCGACAGTTGTCGCCGAAGGACTCAGTCCAAGAAGATCCAAGATAGAGACTACAACATTAGAACCCTCTCCGTCGAACTGTTGGTTAGAGTTCTCCCTCACAAGCTTCTTGTTAAGGCATGCCTGGCAGCTTTCAAGTCGGCCCACCTCTTCCCAACCGGCTTTCACTGTAATGTCCGTTTTGTGTCGACGATCACGGCAGGTGGAGCAGGTGAAGACGGAGGTGGCAAGTTCTAGGACGGACAGGTCGACTCCCTCGAGGCCGCCTGTGGACATGCTGGTCGTAGCACGAACTCCCAAGGCGAAAACGCGTTTACGAGTCTCCATAGATGATTCGACAAAGCAGCGAATCTCAGCCAGACCTTCGTCCTCATCAGGGAGCCCAACATCCGTGGACTGATTCTGAATGAAGGCCCTGAAGAACTCGAGGTTTAATATCTCCTCAGTTCCAGCCAGGCACATCCATTGTGTCGGCTGGATGTGTGTCACCGCATATCGATGATACAGGTTTTCGATAATCTTCTTTCGCTCTTCGACAACCTTGCGTTGAAGGCATTTGTCAGCCTTAAGCTTGGGGTTGGTTTCGATGTTGCTCATCTTCGATAGTCGGGGGTCTAGAAATGCAAGGGCTGCAAAACTCATCCAGTGTTAACAAGAAAAAAACGTACCAATCGAGAATATTATGTGGTCCGAGTCAACTCGTTAGTGGTGGCAACTCAGAAAGTGGCTACGAAACTGTGGGCGGTGCGAGTAGCGAGGCATCCTCGTGGGCATATTGACTGCAGTGGGCGCTGCGTGGCTGTCAATGGGCGCCAGTGATATGTACCAAAAACCCGTCGTTGGGGGGGGGCCTTGTCGAAATTCCAGCAAGATTCGTCATACAAATTTGAGGTCTAGATACACAAGAGAAGCTCCAGACGTAATTGTCTCTACACCTTCTTTTCAAAGAGCTCTACTAATATCCAATCGACACCTTCTTGCGGTTTCTCTATGTGGTGTCTTCAAGTGCGAACGTAAGGCAGGAGTAAAGTCGGAAGCATAGAAAAGACCTACTTGTCCTTGACATGGGGGATCAGGGAATTCATTTTCCAAAGCCTTAGATTGTTCGTGTCCGGACACCACAAGCATCGACAGTTGACAAGAGGCTCGACTCCAATCGAATAATGTTCCCAAAGTGGGCCCGAATCCTTCCGAGTGCACACGTAGTCGACATACACTTCTGGGCGGCGAATGGTATGCCTATCCAATAAGAGTCAGTATGTCAGGTATATTGGGAAAAGCCCAAGGTTCGCACTCACGTCACCTGAACATGGGACTTGGCTCCCTCACGTGTCGAGTTGGAGGAAAAGTGGGCTGCACAGTGCGTACAGGCCCAACAATTTGCCGAGTCCAAGCTGTTGTTCAACCACTGCTCATGGAGCCTAACGGATTTTGCACACTCTTCCGTGAGTAGTGTAGGTCGAGGCGACCGACGAATGACATTCTCTTGGCTCTTAAACTTATCTGCGAGTATGTGCCCGACCTTTGCGTCCATACAAAGTATATCAATCAACAAGGAGCCTCGAAAACATGCAGGACTCACACATTCCCTCCACTTGTACACCGGGCGTGTTTTCTTCCCATCGATCACCCGCGGCGGGCATACCTCACAGACAAACCTCGGGTCGAGCCTATCGAGTTCCGCAGCAGTCGTCGTATCGGGGCCCAGGCCGAGGAGAGCGAGGAGAGCGACAACAGCTTTCGCCCCGTCCACACTGAACCGCATGTCGGAGTTCCTCCTCCTCGGCGACCAATCCAGGCATGTGCCACACAGATCTTTCCGGCCTACATCCTCCCAACCAACTCTGACCTCGACGTCCGGCTTGGTATAAATGCTTCTTTCACTAAGGCAGGCGGTGCATGCGAAGACAGACGTGGCGAGTTCGATTACAGAGTATGTGTCGGGGAAGCCCTTCGCAGGAAACTTCTTCAATGCACAGAGCAGAGTGAATGCCAGGGACTTCTTGCGCGAATCGATTGCCTCTTCGACAAATTGGCGGATCTCACTTAGGGCCGTCTCTTTGGGTGGTTCAGCAGCATCGGCTGCTTCGTCATTGATGAACTTCTTGAATAGTTTAATATTCCGTATCTTCTGGTCATCCGGAACACTCTTCCAGTGAGTGGGCTTGAAATTCTGCACAACGAACTCGTGGTAGAGATTATCGATAGTTGCTTGTCGGCTCTCGACGAGTTTCTTGCGTTCTGCGATGAGACGGTCTCGATGTGCTTGTTGGATCCATCGATCCACGTTCGTCATCATAAGTCGGTAACCTATGGGACGCCTGTGCTTTAGACACAACCTCGCTGAGAAAGTTGGAACCTACGGAGTCCTCGAAGGCGGGTGATATGGCCACTATGTACTGCAACTTGCAGTGCAGACAAGCCAACATCCCGGTGATCGCGGCCTTGTTTCACTAATCGAGAAAAACACCTAAACAAAAGAGGCTGTTATATCAGCAGGAAGAGCACAACGGAATGCAATAGGACAACCAACCGGTCGGCGAGTTGGTCAGTAATCTCTCCTCGAGTCCTAATGACGGCATCGTGTATACTCAAGCACCAAGTTTCACAGAATCTGACGAACTGAAGAAGCGTTGTGAATTGTTGAACTTCAACAACCTCCAAGCGCTGTACCTGCATATCTTCCTCTATATCGTTTGCGACAGACTCTTTATACTGTTTGAATTCGTGCAAAGCATCCGGAATACCAGCATCGATTTTATCCAGATATGACTTGATTTCTTTCTCCCGGGCGATAACATCGGCGAAGAGGTATTGTGGAATTTGGCACCCTGCTTTTGAGTATCTATACCCGGCTGGAGGTAAATTGTTTATTGAACTCTCGGGGCTGCAAACAACTGAAGGACTTACACCATTGACGACTGTATCGAAGCAACTTCCAGATGTCGGCCAACTTGTAGTTGACGTGTTCTCCCAAAGTCGACCTACAGAATCCTCTGCTCACGTAATTGCGCATCTTCCGAAGAGATTAGAAAAGTAACTTATCATGGTAAAATGAAGCTATCTTACCATGCAGGATTCACAAAATCTTGCGCGGAATGCGAAATCAGGCATGGCATAATTTGCACCGCAGGTCTACTCGATCAGGATGAGTTAACTGGGCGGTGAAAAGGAAGAGAATCGTACATCGCAGTCGTCGGGGCCAAAGAGTAGCGAGACCCACTTTGGAAAAGAGACATCCTTGGGGCAGTCAGGGATGCCAACGTTCGCCTTGAAAGACATCTTCCACACACGTCGCGAATGTCGGTTGAGTAACAACCCTCGCAAGCTCTTCGTTGTCCGTATCAAGTTGTAGAGATCGATCGGATGGAGGTGAGCAAATATCTCGAAGACGAGGTCGGTTGGAAGATCCAGCATCTTACTGAGATCGTGTGACTTGTAATATCCCAAGACTTTTGCGTCCGTTCTGAAATTCTTGGAGATATAACCTGCAACATAGTTGCCTGAATCAAGCCGCCATTAGAACTCGAGAAAGAGCAACACCACGCATTCATGAACTACCTATCATAGATCCCCCTGTGGTCGGAGATCTAAGGCGAGGCGAGCGTCGAAGGCCACAGATCTCCCTAACTTCTACAGCTTGAAGTGCATTAAAAGGTAAGTCGACCAGGGTGGCCACATCGCCGCCGGTCAGAAAGCGAGCCATGATGGGCCGTTCGGATCAGAAAGAGTAGTTGAAGGCTCGAAGGTGATTAGATGAGAATGGCATGTGTCTGCTACAGATGCATTCCAGCATCGAGGCGGCTTCAAGTTCATTCCGAATGAGTCAGTGGCAGTGGTGATGGTCACGGTCGATGGACAGGAGGTCAGAGCGTGAGAATACAACTCCTTTCTCGGAACGCGGCCCGCATTCTGTGGCGTACTATGCTGTGTTTCTGTTAGACTGAAGTTCTTGAGTATGCTCAAAAATTTGAAGGCTCTATGTCATAACAGTGGAAATGCTATGTAATCATTCGCCTTTAATTGATCCGCTGAAATCTACAATTAATATTGAAATTTGACGGAGCTTAAAGAAACTATATGGAGACTCATCATAAGCGGCCTCAGTGAACGGCAGTCGACGACAAGATCTATCCTCCTCCTAGCTGGCAGACCCGTCTGCAGAAACCTAGATGTCTGACGGTTGAAACTGATTTCATATAACCCTGATAGAGGTCGACGAGCTGTTCTCAACTAAGGCTCGACATCGCACTTCGGACGTCCGCCAAGATCCAAGTTCCCTATATGTCCAGATCTTCGGAGGCCTCACGCCCGGCATTGCTGATTTGCGACTCGCCGCGACCGCAAGGTCGAGATCACACGTATGTCCCAATTGTTTTGCACGTTCAGAACGATACTCTAGTTTTAACGATGCTTCATGCCCAGTGGTCGGCAAAGACCTCACCTCGTAGCCTCATTGAATGCACCAAGAAGTTCAGGGTGTTGACGAAGGAATTACAGGTTTATTGGAGAGAAAGGAAATGGAACAAGAAATAATATACAGCCACTCCGTCGCGGCTTGTTGATGATGCTTTTCCAGCTTGGGAGAACTAAACATTCGTGATGAAAAGTTACAATTGCTACCGAAATGCGAGTTCGAGGTCCCAGCACCTCTTCAGACAGCTTCAAGGCTAGACATTTATTTAATGAATGGGCGTGACCTACGAAGATAAGTCAGAGATGAGCAACACTGTAGTTGGCAAACTCACTTTAGCAAGGAGGATGAGCAATAGTCGAAGACGCCGTCTTGAACAAGGCCACCTCAGCAGCCCGACGACGAACAAGACCCGGAAGTTCCTGTCCACCAGCGAACTTCCATCTCGGTAGCTCCTCAGAAGCGACGGTGTTGGGGTTCTGACCCGCGTTGAGGCGGCTAATCAACGAAGAACTCGCCGTGTTGCCGCAGCCGACGTTGAACGCCCAGGAGACGAGCGCACCGTACTGGTTCGCGTTGAGGCGCACGCTGTCATTGATGTCCTTCGAGATGCACGCTTGGAAGGTCTTCAGATCCGACTGGAGCAGGGCCGTCGCAGTCGTGGTGGTGAGCGGGAAGGAGTAGGGCACTTCGGAGCAGCCGCTGGTCTTGCAGAGATGGCCGTAGCCGACGGTCGGGAGGCCGATGGGGTCCGGGGCGGGGCGGGGAACGAACCCTTCGAACTCCTTGATGAGGTTGACCGTCGCTGTGTTCACGTCCTTGGGCGCGCAGCTCGAGGCAGGGAGGCAGCATTTGAAGTCTGCAGGTCCGGGGCACAAGCCTGCAGAGATCGTGGTTAGCAGGATTAAATGATCACTGAGACTCGGGAATACATACCGGTGGCAATGTTGCCTGTGCTGCAGGAGCTGGTGAAACGGCAGTTGCCACCGCTGCCACAGGACGTTTTGTAGCAGCACTTGATGTCGGTGGGGTCGTTGGGACAGAACCCAGTGGCGTACGTTCCACCACCAGAAGAGCAGCTGGAGGTGGATATACAGACACCGGGTGTACCATTGACGCTGCAAGGGCCGTTGACTGCCCCTCGAACAACGAGAACAGTGGCAAGGAGGATGGACGCAATTTGGAACATATTGTATGATACTGGAACGAGGTTCGTTCAAAACCGATTGGTTTCTGAGGTCCAAAGCTGAGGGTCCACCGCCTTTTTATGAGTTTCTGGGTACTCAAAAAAAGAGACAAAATCGGCGCTTTTCGAGCGCCAAATGCCCCGTGTAACCTTGCTCCGGCTGGAATGCAAGTGATCCGCCCGACGAGCCTCGACATCCCAGGTGAGAATAATGATCAGATATGTCGCTGACATCAATCTCAAGGAGGCTCATCGAACACTCGAGCACACGAGGCTGTAGATCCATACCACAAGGACACTATAGCGGCGCACCTTGGAATCATTCCAGACACAAGAACGGATCTGCCTCACGTCGAGTATCCAGCAACGAGGATTCGAACTGTCAAGCAGCCATAGTTAGACAGTCAATGGGGACTTAAGACAGAGATATTCTGATGATATGAAGCACACAAAGTAAGAAGGAGTAGCCAGGACAAAGGTGTAACCGCTTCATCAAACAAAATAGAACAACAGTCATGAAGGACTGTGGCGTGTCTGCCAGTGTTGCACAGAGAAAAAGGGCCTCGCGCGTGGTCGTGGGTCCGAAAATGATCCTGATTGAAATTCGCCTGTCATAAAACATGGTTTGAGAGCACTTTGTCGGCCCAAGATTGCTGGGCGTGGTCATGGTGGTGAAAGCAGAGGTGTATGACAGAAACAGAGCGGGTCTGAATAAACTTTTGGATGGACTAGTCACGTAATTAATAAAATGAATTCCCACGCCCTCCTTTGAGACAAGTTTGAAGCTTGAAGGCCTGACCCTCATCTCCCCCATCACACTATGTCCTGGAATACTTATTGAGTTGCAGCCTCGACACCCGACGATTGCTACTTCCACTCAGGGTTTTTTATATGGCCAATTCTGTCTCGAGGCCACGGCCTGAGAGAAAGTCAGCTCTCTGCGCGTCACAGACCCACAAGAGCTGCCTCTACCCTCTGGAGCATCCACATGTCAGCAATGAAGCTACCATCATTATTCTACTCCGTGGCTCGGTGCATCGCCTCGCGGTTGCGATCCAACAGAGTGGACGAGTTGAAGACCCGTGAGGTTCAGCACTCAGCGCCTCGAACATTTCGGGATAGACGAGATACCAAACTTCCTTCCGACGCCCCTTTGTCTATGGAGACACTCAACGGCAGAATAATTTTTCATACGTTGGTTTCAGCCTGCAAGATGGTTGAGTAATTTTGGCCAGTTTCCAGGATCACTTCTATGTTCTTGGAACGCACCTCCAATGACATCCCGCCAGCCAGATCTGTACTAGAAGATTGCTAGAAGCTGCTGACTTTGGCTATACTACACACACGCCTAGTTCAAGGATCAACTTGTCCACTTGTAACCACTCTTGTTGTCTCTGCGTATTCCTGCGCCATCTCGTCAGGCATACAAATAACATGGCCGGCATCCATTACATCCCAATCGATGGCGACACGACCAGTTATTCAATACGATTGGTCCTCCAGGTCATCTCAATCAACTCGATGAGTTAAGCAGGGGACACACAGGTTCACAGGACAGCGTGGACGCTGACTATGGCGAATGATATTACGGAAATCTTCTTCGTGGCCCGACGATGCCCTCTCCTCGATGACTGGCTCGTGTGTGGCTCACCGAGCTGTCTACTTGCGCAAAATCCACTGCAGTGTCCCGTCAGCCAGCTGATGTCGGATCCGATGTCCGGCGCGTCGTCCATGATCGTGATCTTCGCGCTTGCAACCCGCATTTGTAAAGGCTTGTAAGCTGATCTCCTTTTACTCATAAATTAGTGTCATAATATCCTTCACCTGAGCGACAGTGCGTCATCCTGGCCGCCGTGCTCCTAGAACTTGAGAGTTCCGCAGCCTTCAAATTGAAAACGTCCAAAGACTTGAAGGAACCTGGCGCCTCAGGATGTCCTGCCTCGTTCGTCCCTTCGCAGGCCATCGGTCGCGTGCATTAGATGCTCGTGTGTCGATCGTTGTAATCCTAAAAATAAAGGAAAAAAACTGCCGTCCTCACCGGTGACCGCCATACCTGCCGAGCAAGAGACTTAATCAGCAGAAGAAGCGGTAGAAGTTCAGTAGCGCCATGCTCAGCGACTGCGATTTCGATTGGTATATAAAGGCCATTGCGACATCCTGGAGAATGCGTGGATCTCAATCCCCTTCACTTCCCAGAGTCTCTCAACGACCCGCCGATCCAATGTACGGACTCACGACCCTCACTCTCCTCGTTTCCATCTCCTTGGGTGCCTTGGTCCAAGGCGAAAGTTTCGGCACCATCCGATCGGCGTCTCCCTTCCTAGCTGGGGTCCCCGGAAAAGACTGCGTCGCGAGCGTCCTGCATGAAGGCACGCCAACAGGCAAGGTCGTCTCTCTCGGTGGCATGGACACGTATGTTTCTGTCCCAAAGAAACCGGCCCCAGGCCCGAAGAAAGTCCTGCTCTTCTTCGCGGACGTATACGGCCCGCTTTATCCCAACATGAAGCTCATCCAGGACTTCTATGCTTCGAATGGTCAGCGATCCGTGTCGTTGGCGTGTTGGACTAGGTCCTGAATGGAATTCTTGGGATTGGGACAGGATACACCGTATTAGGTCCCGACTACTTCTTCGGCGACCCCATTTACCCCCACCTCGAGGACCCGACGTTCAACATGACGCAATGGATCTCTGAAAAGATCCGGATTGCGAACGAAGCGACGCCGAAGTGGCTCGAGATTGTTAAACAAAAATATGGCGTCAATGGTACGAATATTATTGTATTTCATATCCGTGGATGGTATGACTCCGATCCTTGTTTCGTACAGGCAAGAACGTCAAGTACACGGCAGTTGGTGAGCAAGGCTGATAGCTGATCCTGTTTCTTCGTGCTGATGGAACTTTCATCAGGATACTGCTTCGGTGGACCGTTCGCTCTCGACCTGGCTGGAACTGAAGATGTCGTCGCGGGTACTTCTCCAAGTACCCTCAGATTCTTTCAAATGGCATTGACCAAACCGTTTGTAGCTGGATTTGGCCATCCCGCTTTCCTGACGGAAGAGCAATTCCAAAACGTTAAGCGTGAGTTTTCCTTGATTCCATTACTAGGAATACGAATTGACGCGAATATACAGAGCCCTTGCTGTTGACCCTTGCCGGTTCGTTGATGTCGTAGCTTGTGCTTATCTGTTACTCATCCGTGCCTGAACACCAGAAACCGACGCTGTCTTCCCGAAGCCCAATAGTCGTCGCGCTGAAGATATCCTCGTGGAGAACAAGGCGGTATATCACATCCAGACCTTCGGCAACACCACCCACGGTTTCGTGACTCGTGGTGATCCCGCCATCGAGAACGAACGTATGACATCCGCCTTTTCGAGGGGAGGAGAGTACACGCTGACCGCCTTACTTTTCTAGGATGGAGCTCAGACACTGCTCTGCGTACCTTTGTTGAATGGTCGAACAGATTCACTGCTTGAGTTGCGTTCTTTACAAAGCGCATTATGTATTGTCACGATTATGCATGAATGACCATCGTCTTTGACAGTGTAAGGCCGCAATTTGGATTGCATTCTAGAGCTCCAAGCCTTTCAGCAGAACTGTGGGACTGGTAGACTGCCAATAGTTCAGCGCTGTTTCAGGAAACAGCACAGAAAGTTGGTAGGTATTATTAAACAGCGTCCGACTAGATACTTCTTCAACATCTATAGCTACAATCGAATAATTAGAATGGGTACAAAACATGGCAGTTAGTATTAGTAAACAAAAAAGTCCTAAAGGTCGTTATATCAAGTTGGATGTCATGGCGGTCGTTTTGGGCATAAAGGAGTGTTTGACGATTCATTTTCTTCTTTGGTTGATTCTTCCACCATTACGCGCGCAGTTTTCTCTTCGACAAGTCCACCACACCCTCCCCGTACTTTCCAGCCCTCTCTTTCCCAACCTCCCGGTCGTGCCGCGCCTTGACTCTCCTCACAAGCCAGAGGCTATAGAATCCTGCCAGAATTAGGAAAACGCCAGTCGAAACCGTGGTGACGATCAAAGTCGACGTGCTCGTTGTGCCGAGCTCTCCATGCTGGACGCCGAAGATGTTGACGACGGTGGAGAGCAAACCTGCGAGGCAGTTGAGGAGGCCAGGGCTGAGATAAAAATGAAACATTGGTCAGGTCTCGGCTACAGCCGGACGGAGGACGACCACTTACAAAAAGACCTTGTTCAGTGCCCAAAGGTAATTCTTCCTCCATCTCCACCATAACCAGAGCATCCCAGACGCCCCGACAGCACAACAGACCCATGCAATAACATACCTAAACAGAGCATATACGAACAAAAGAAAGCTTGTCAGCGGGTTAAGCAACAGACAGGAAGTCCGACCCACAAAGGTATATTCGTTACTGCATTAATCAATTCTGCTGGGACTTGACCACCATTTGACGCGCTCAGATTCTGCAAGCTCGTGAAGGTACCCGGGAACAAGATGAAGCCAGCGAGCAAAATCCAGCTGAAGAACGCCGCCAACAAGTTATGCATCAAAGGTATGTCGTCCAGCGCGAGCAGCATGTTAACATATTGCGTGTCCATCTGGCTGGGGTCGCCCCGGAGGTGTGGGCGCGTTGGTACCGGCGCAGTGGCTGCATGACTGTCCTTATAGTGGTCCTTCTCCTTCTCCTTCGCCCCGGCGGAGGAGGAAGCGGTTGGCTTCGGCGCGCTTGGGGCGGGTTTCGAAGAGCTGGGGATTGGTGTTGCTTGCGGGCGCCCGAAGGACCCCTCCGTATGGGCCGTCGACGGGCGCTGAGCCGCAGATGCCTGGCTATGGTCTGTCGATGGACGCTGAGCTGTCGAACCTTGGCTGTGTACTGTGGGAGGGCGGGGCATCGCGGACGATTGGGTTTGGGGTTCTGCAGGCTTCTGCGATGCGCTAGAGGCTGGTGCCGTAGATATATGCGCAATGTGCGTGGGTCTTCCTTGCCCAGATTGGGCAGGGGACTGGCTCGAGTCGAGTCGATGGGTATTGGCTTGACTATAGATAGAGGTGGGCTTCTGGGACGCATGGGACACGGGAAATGTCTTCTGAGGTTGAGGCGCTGGCGAGGATGCTGGTGTTGGTCGGCCTTCAGGGCGGTGGGCCAAGGATCCCGTCGCTGGAATATGGGACGTTCCTCCAACTTTCGTTGGACCTGGTTGATCTATTCGGCTCCCACTTGGTTGCGCGTGTACAGTGGAAACGCGTCCAGAACCTGGTTGAGGAAAGATCGTAACAGTGCCTGCTGGTCCACCACCGCTGGACGAGGTCGCGGTTGATATGGGTCTTGGAGGATGGTGGTGTATTTTCAGCGGGGCAGTTGGGGGAAGTTTGATGGGCTTCGGTGGACCTTGGCCGTTTCCTGCCTGATTGGACCCAGAAGGCTGAGCAGTTGACTGATGATGAGGGTGGACTGCACCTGGTCTTCGTAGCTCAGGCGTTGGGATTGGAGGCTGAGGCGGTGGACTCGTGGGAGTTGGAGGAATAGGCGGTGTTCCAGACAAGCGTTGCCTCCGAGGACTGGGAGGTGGGTATAGTTGGGGAGGAGCTTGGGGCATACGGATTGTACCATGGGGGTCAATTTCCCTTGACTCTCGCTGACCCAAGTTGGCTCCTACAGGAATCGATGGAACGGGCATCGATGGAGGCGGCATGTCAGGTACGGGCATTGAAGGAATTGGGGATGTCCTCCGGAAACCAGGCACAGTCATATCGGGCTCTGCGTCCTCCGTTTTGTTGGTACTAGGCCTCGGCATGGGAGGTGGAGGCCCACCCACGGACGACCAGTTGTCTTCCAGGGAATAGTATGAACTTGGCTCAGTCTGGAAAGACGACGTACTGTGCCTGACGTCGGTAATCGGGACGGGCATGGGAGGGGGGAACGCCAGGTACGGGTTGTCGTCATGTTCACGGTTTTGTTGCTCGGCGGAGGGCGACGGAAGTGGTTCCACAATGTAGTCCGAGTAGGGGCCTTGAGGATTGTATGGCTCATTCGCGTGGGATGAGGTCTTCCTCTGTCTGGTGTCGGGGAGGGGCATGGTGGATGTCAAGGCTGGTGGTCGTACTCCACGACGAGATTGAGCACCAGCGCTAGTACTCCCGCTGGGGAGGGGAACTGTCTGAGATCGTTGGGCCTCACCATCCCGTACACCTATCGGCGTTCGAGTCGATCTTACAGCTCTCTTGCTGGTGCCTTTGCTGTATGATGAAGGTGGTTGTGCCGAAGTTGGAGAAGAACTCTGCGCATGGTCGTCTGGAGCATCCGACCGAGTTCCGAATTCGGCGTCAAGGTGGATTCTAGCACCAGCTCTATCCCGTCCAGACCAGTGATATCAGCAACTCTCTCCACACGTGCCAGACGGTGAGGAAAGCAAGAACGCACCTTGAGTCGGCCATGAAGGATGTTGAAGGGAGTGATGGAAGAGACAGTGAGCAGGAACGAAACCTGTTTGTACCCCACCGGTACACAAACCCTGAGGAGGAAAACCTTCAACCGAACATCTCATCATCTCATTGGTACGCCTAGATTCCAAAGTTCCCACGATACGTACGACAGCGCCTCATTGTTCCTGGTCGCCACATTCCAGCCGAATTGTTGTGAGGCTCGGACACACTGTTATTGCTAAGCCCTCACCTCGGCTTCTGGATAATGTGGCCGAGCCTTGCTCACCAACTCGCCCAATGAAAAAAAGATTCAGGTCCCAAAGCAAACCAAGTTATCTTCAAAGCAGCAATACTAGTCTTACCATTTCGAACAAGGAACGACACGCGAAAATGAATTGCAACCGACTGGTGCAGCAAAACTTGGCGAAAATGATTTGGCTACAGGAGCCGAGGCAGAGAAACTCAGATTGAATTTGTAGGTATTTGTGGTTGTGGTCCCTTGCAGGCGCGATCGTACCTACTTGTGGGCGCTCTGAATATCTGTTGACTATACCAACTAGATAGGGTGCCTTTCTAAGGCTCCTCCTTCATTTTACATCTCTGCTTCATAAAATCCTCACACAGCCCGTTGCTCAACCTGCAGTGCCCGGCTGGAGTAGTTTCTAAAACGGAACCCCCTCATTTTACGCCTCCGCAGAAACATACGAGACATGGTACAGGATATTCGGTGTGTTGAAAAATCGAAAGCAACCGTTGCTGGTAAAATTTCCGGAGGGGCCCGGGTTTGTTACGCGATTACGTCCTCCCCGTATGCCGATCTGTTATTTCTATGACCAGCTTGGAATTGGCAGGTCGGCACATTTATCTGAACAGACAAGTCGCTTGGGACCATAGAACCCCCATTGACGAACTGGCCCGTCCCCCCGTTCCCGCCCCTCGACACCTCGAAGGCGAGTTTGATTTCAGTGGTCGTTGAAGGGGAAGTCTGTCGGGCTGTGTTGGGTCTCGAGTTTGAGACTAGGCGCATTCGTCCATGGAGTTGAGAAGACTGGTGGTAGCTAACTCCTTCGCGTTATGGCTATGCTTTGGAACGAATTAAATACGCAATTGGCCAAGAAGTTGCCGAAGTACAGGATGGCCCCGCCATTAGGTTGAAGGTTTCTACCCGACCATGCGGGAGTTTCGGACCAGGCATGGAAGCAAGGCTCAACCTTTCAAGGCCTGAGTACGTTTGTATTCTCGGTCAATTGTTTGGCGAGTTGGTGGAACCAACAGTTGCCCTTGCCATGCAAGTGTTGTCTTCTTGTTGGATCCAGTTGCATAGCTCATTCTCCTCATAGGTTCGCAATGCAATTGAAATATTGGGACTCCATCATCAATGAATTACGAAAAGTGAAAGCATCCGTTTTGGTTGTGAACGAGCGCTTTGACATTTTGTAGGCTCCGTTGACAATTCTATATTCGTTGGAGCAATCGGGCCTTACACCCAAGTTCTGGCCGGGAAGAGATGGAGAGGCATATGAGGCTCATAAATCACTTCCTTCTTTTCCGATGTCCGAGGTTTTACTACTGAACAGTACTGAACGTTATTTTCTTTCTTCCAAATTCCGCAGGAGCTGGCAGTCCGATACATGCGTTCTATAAGCTACAAGAATCTGTTTACTAGCTAATTTATTGTCCATTGATAAGTGTGCAAATTTGCGTCACGAGCACAATGTCCTCGGCATAACACCCATGTAAGGCTGGTAGCGAATAGCCTGCAAGTTGGCTATTCTCGGGTCGCGATGTCCGTGAGCGTAACTAGTTATGAGAATCCGCGTTCAGGATCGTGGGGTGGTCGGGTTCGGGTTTCAATCGGCCCGCTCGGTCTTCGATCGACAGCGGAGAATGATACTGGCGGAAGCGTAGGTGAGGTGATTGTTGACTGTGCTCTAACTAGTGGTGCGTCGTGTGCGAAGTCGTTTGACGTCGTGAAACCTCTTGCGTCGGATCTCACCATGCTCGCCGTCGTATCCACGTCGTGAGCATCTCGACCGAGGCCGATTTGTACTATAATAAGCGTTGGGACAATTCCCTGGTTGAATCGTGGTAAATATAGAGCGGTGTGAGTGGGCCAAAGGACGTACCACAACTTGAGCTAAACCGGCATCGAGCAGGACGACCTAGTAAATTTGGATATTCAGTCAGAAGGTCGGTCGCAAGAGCAGAAGGAGTACATTTGGGAATACCACGTCCAACACAATGTATATCGAATAGATGAAACCAGATTCCACCCTGGCACATTGTCGCGTCTTCAATGTCGTGGCAGTTCCGAGGTAAGGGAGACTCACACCATGGCGATCATCGTGTTATACTTCTTCGACAATCTGGACCCCAGGATGGCCCGGGCGTTCCGCGCTATCCACCATATGCGGCCCGCTATCTCGGTTAGTCAGGAGGGGGGAACAATGGGCCATACAGTCGAGATGACTTACCCATGAGGGCGCTGACGAGCATATTGAGGGTCACCACTGTGAAGAGAAATGCTACGAGGAGCGAGCGAAAATGATATTCTTGCCTCGAAAGCGCAATGAACGCATACCCGCAGGCTGCTAGAGTCAGCTAATGTTGCAGATGGTAGTGACGGACGTCATACGTACCAGAGCCTCCGACAAGTAGAAAGCAGGGTAAAATTATAATCCTTTTACTGTTGTTCCAAACAGCATGGCAACGATAGATCTAAGCAAAAGGAAGTGAGCCTAAAGCACCTCCTTGTTCCGTCTAGATGCGGCGTACTACCAGACTGTCGGCAATAATACTGCAGATATCCTGAGTTAGTAAGCACAGTAATCCCTCTAGCAAGATCACTCACTTGCTTGTAATATAGATGAGGAATTTGAAGTGTACGTCGGCATCTGGTATGTTGTTCCTCTTCACAACAAACCAGAAGAGGAAGCTTAGTTCAAGGATAACATCCACGGTTGCGAGTGCAAAGAGCATCAGCGCACAAGCGAATAGGACCTTCTGCGTTGTTCTTTTGTTTCTGAGCAGAATCCGCATACATATCGCGAATAGTGAGGCGTAGACACCTATCGCCAGCGCCAGCATAGGCTACGGAATGATTGATTAGAAGTGGAAAAGTCACGTACCGTACAAAAATGCTTCAAACTGGAGTAAACTTTAGTTCCTCTCTGTGGTAAGGAGCTACCAGGACATACCATCACAGCAGCACAATACCCTTCCAATGAGTAGTAATGGCTATTAATCAAGCTCGCTCCATCGTCCGCATCTTGGTCAGGGACTGTAATCGCGACCGATTTCAGAGAATGAAAGCGAGGGTCCATGCTAGGTATGCGAATTGTCGTTGGGCGAAGAGGATACTGCGGAGTGCCTCCAGGCAAAGGAAAGAGAAAAAAAGGTATTGGGCAAAGCAGAAGACCTGCTGAAAAGAGTGAGAGAACGGTCCATCCTTGTTCGCAAACTCTCATCCCATTACTCCGGATTGCATATATAGCACGTGAGGATGAGAGTCTGTGGGGTAACCTTCGCCAAGCTGTGTAGGCACACCTGCCCTTTTTGGGCAACTTCCTTCAGGAAGGTTCAGGCTTGCTTGGCACCACTTGGGCACCTATGTATGTGCAGAGCCCACAGTACCGCATGTTTTGGTGCTCTCGAAATTACTGCGACAGGTTGCTGAGGACAGATGCAGCGGGATGAAGGAATGCATCTCGAAGGAGATATGAAAGCTCAGGCACTCGATGTTTCTTTGGGAGAAAATGTACGGTTTCATACTGGCATGATGTTTGTAGAGGCAATCGTTTTAGTTTGTCGTCGAACCCGTGCTCTCTGTCGCCTGACGGAGACAAAGTTTGATCGGTTTGCGGCAAACAGACAGTTCGTGGCGGTCGAAGTGGCGTTGGCGTATAGAGAGCTTTCACATGAGTGAGAACTTCGTAGAATCGCGGCCGTTACCGTAACGCCCTTTTATCCTCTTCAGGACACCCACAACGTACAGCAAAGAAACACTTGCCACTAACTGTGTGAGAGAAGCATTGAGAACGAGCTTTGGGTCAGAATTCTGACTGGATGTCATTTTTTGTTCACGACGCTGATACCCTCAGAAGTTCATCGCGCGCAAAGCTACATACAGGCAGATGGATGAGTTGTATAGTGCACCAGAATCAGTCCTTCCAGAACAACAAATGAGCGAACGCCGATTTCGAGAAGGGATAGAAACTCCTACACAAACGATACGATCGAGTCAATAAGTGACGCAGAACTAGATCTGATATCTGTTGGTGCCTTTGCAGATGGTCAACAACAACAACAACATCACTTCAAGGCCATATCTGACACAGCGGCTGGTTGGGATTCGTGAGTCCAAGAACGAACCATGAGTCATTGGTCAAAGAAGTCACGCAAAGGCTCGTCGCTGCAGGGAACGATCAAGGTAGCGGCAAGCAACCTATCGCTCGGTTGACCTGCACTAATTAAGGTGACGCAGATTACCGAAGCATAGACGCATCAATAGAGAATTCCAGAGTCTCGAAGACAGTTCGAATCCCTTACCTGCCCCTCAGACGACTAGGACGATCGTCGCAAACACAAGCAGCTCATCCCACAGAGGAAGGTTTTAACTACTTGAAAAGGGGGACGATCAGACCATTGCATGTAGCCCATAGAATTTCAGAACGTACAATGATGGCTGGACACTTCGCCTTTGATGTCCAGGGTTCTTTTGAGAAAAGATTAGATCCACCAAATCAAAGCAGTAAGCCCTGTGCCAGGGGAGGAGAGGTGGGAGAGAAAAAGTCGGCTTGGCTAAGGCCGCGAAGCGCAGAAGAGCCACTGTTGAGTAAAGCGGACGTTGCGCTTCGTATATAGATTGGCACCACAAACATCCTGGAACGCATTAGAAGCCAGGAGACTGTCGAGAAGAATTGTAACGCAAGGGGATAATGGAGCTATTTCTATCATGGGTTGAGAAGAGGCCTTCTTTGGGAACGTCTATGTCCTCGTCCTAAGAAATGCCGACATACTATCCATTATTGCATCTTCATAACGGCAGCTCTTTAATGTAAGGCAGTTCGGCATACCCAATGCATGTGTTTTGCTCTCCAGATTTCTTCTGCATGCTCCATACAATGCGGCGGTGATTTTAAAAAGACGGCGAATATGGAGCGGGGTCTGTGAAACTCATTTCATTCGCAACAAATCTAGATGAGGATGAGGCGGAAGGAAACTTATCATACGTACTTCGAGAGGTGGTACACAAAAGTGTTCGTGTGCCTGTTATCCGTATTCTTTCTTTTCGCTCGAGCTTTGAAATCAACATAAAAATCAACTATTACTATTAGACAACTCTGCGAAGGGTCAAAGGTCGAGGAATATGGCATACCTTTTTGGTAGTTCGTGTTGAAGCACAGTAGAAAGCACCGATTAACGGGCCAACAATAGAGCAAGGAGGACTGCAGCGGAGACCGCCGCCGCATTAAATTAGATCGATGGACAGTCTCATGGGCGATATGCATTGAACAACGTGTATGCATTGCACTTCATGACGGAAAAGATTTCAAGCGTCACATTTCGGGAAATTGCAGTCCGAAAAATAGAGGGCATACCGTAATGCTCGCTGCTCGACGTGATGAGGCAATCGATTGTCTTGCCATAAACATCGAAGCAATCGATTCGACCCGTCGGTGTCATTGTCAAACTTTGGAGGACGTAGTTCCATTGGCGGACCGACAGTTCTGCAGTCCAGAGTGACGTTAGCATCGTGTATGTTGCCGGCATGGTTTCAATTTAGAGACCAACGATGCAGTGCCAGCAGTGAGTCGACGGAGTCCCTAAACACAACGTGGCCGCGATGCCCAGTCTTCGGCAGGAATACCGGAGTCCCGAACCTCTACAGCAGCGGAAAACACGCCTACAGTAGAGTGGGCATGTCTCGTACATGATGCATCATGTCATTGTTAGCGCCATTTCTGTTTGACGACAGCGGGCACCGACTGTGGGCACCGACTGATGGATAATTTGTAGCGAAGGATTGGCCCCAGTTCTATATTGACTGAAGGAGGAAGCGAGCACAGTTGGATGCCTTTCCATATTCGGACGTGTTAACCTCGTGTACCATCGAAGGAGGATGGGTGAAGAGTATGCAGCGCTGATCCGGAGACTTTTCATTAGACAGCTCCACGATCTCATGGAAAGCCTGGCTTACTTCTTGCTTCCTCCAATGCCGAAAGCACTCGAGAACCAGAGACAGCTTGTTGGGAACTTTGAGTTTAAGCTGCCTCGGGAAGAGAACTTCGAAGCAAGCGTGCCAGCATAAACTTCATATGACATCGTCACGAATCAAACATCATCATTATCATGACGCTCCTCCTCCTGAGGTGGCGAAATCTGCGTCTGGCTCTGGTGTGGTGTCTGGGCAACACCGCCGGCATTACCGCCGCCTCCTGCTGTCCCGACGGTGCTGAAAACAGAGTCGAGGACGGGAGTGCTGGAGCTCTGCTGTTGCCCAATATGCTGCAGGGCTATGTCCGTCTGTGCTTCCTGAGTGTATCGGCTCAATCCGACTTGCACCACCATTAAGGCGGGCGCTATGCACTGAGAGAGGAAGAGTCAATTTAGCGCGGAACGGGGCACGGAGATGGATCAGACTTACGACAACCTGGATTAGCCCTGCATCAATCACGATCTATGAGCGCTCATTGTGAATATATGTGTCAAAAACCAGTCGATGTCGTCAGAAGCACGTACCGTATCGACGACCATGTTCAAAAGCAAGTAAATAGGATAGATGACCCCGGATCCTATACTAATGAAAAAGAAAGAGGTATAAGGACTGAAACTTACGTAACGAGCGGCGAAGTCACTTACATCAATGCGAAGAAAAAAAGGCATCTTCGCGCGGTCGCAACTCCGAGAATAGAGCGAGCGGTTCTAGCAAGCCAAAGTATTCTCGCAGCTGTCAAGCGCAGAAACGAGAGACAGGTCAGAACAACAGACCATTCGATGGAAGTACACAACACTTACCTATCAGTATCGCGATTAGCATGTTGAAACCGAATGCAATCCACAGATAGATTGGTAAAAGATTACGGAGGCGCGGAGACATGGGTATCGAAAACACAAAGCCACAGCCTGCACCAACACTCAGCAATCATTCGCGCAATGGCAGGGCGGACTTACTCGATGCGGAGAAAAGTAATAAACAAGGGAAGGCGATAACACGCCGTTTCCTTGACCATATGATGTAACATCGGTATAACTGTCGCGTGTGTATCAGTCGAGAAGTGATTTCGGAAGTAAACCCACGCACTATCAGACAGCCAGCGATGGTGCTAAATAGGTGGGGTGGGAAGTGAAGATGCCCAAAATGAACAATTTAAACATAACAGGACATACTTGTTTGAAACGAGGAAAATGCGCTTCGGATACGTGTTCTTGGCGGGAACTGCCCTTCCTTGCAGAATAAACCGGAAGAGGAAGTGCAATGTGACGCCAATGTCGGCCGTCGAGATTGCGAGCATAGCTGAGACAGCGAGGAGAAAAGGCCAGCGAGGCGTGCGCCAGGGTACCCACAGGACGTAGATGCAAAGGGCAAATAGAATGACATTGATTCCTGAAATATCGGAATATGAGCAGAAGCGGATGATCTAGACCTGAAGATACGTTACCGTACAAGAACGCCTCGAACTGAACAAGATGAGTTGAGCAATACACCGACAGAACATAGCTGCTCATTTACCATATAAGCACCAACAAAGCCTGCCAGTGACGTGCCCACAGCCTCGTTTGAGAAGTCATCGATCAAGGACATGAGAGGTGCAACACAGACGAGTGTCAACAGCTAGGTTGGGCGTAAGGTGCAAGGAAGAGCATGAAAAGCCAAGATGATTCAACAGGATGAAGGGTTATTGATAGCGCATTTAGCGACAGAATGAACGCATGCTTCCGAGCAACGGAACACCGACGTCACAAAAAGCGATACAGGGATAACGACAGACAAAACGTGGAAAACGGCGTCCCTCAGGCTAAGGGCCTGCGGAATTCGGCTGAGAAATTAGTCTTGACGAGCATTGGAGCTGAACGAACTGACGGAAGTTGCTTTGATGACAGCCACAGATTTGGATGACACCTCGTTGATAGCCTTTTGCCGTAGTCCGATGCAGGATGGTCAGCAATGGAAGGGCGCCAAAGGTGAGACGAAGATCTACCAAAGCTAGCCTACAAGGGCGCCCCATGTTGAGTTGGCTGGCCTCGACAGGAACGTGGAGAATTACGTGGTTAAAGAAGCCTGTGCCATCACGCTGCATACGCTGCGCATATAGCTGGCAGACAGGATAGCGGAGGAGACCCAGGTTAGACACCAGGCTCGGACGTCCTTGGCTGCGGTGAACGCGTGGGAACATATCAGTGTACCCTTATTTACCCGTTATGTACGCGTTGTTTGTCTCCTTTGTGACGGTGCCCGAGCTTCATTCTCCTTCACAGTCGACCACCATGAGCCAAACGCCTGTCCTCATATACGACAAGCCGTCGCCTCTTCGATGCCTTTAACGCTCCGGGCACTCCTCCACTCGTATCAGAACGGTCTCCCCAGAAGGTCCCCACCGAGCCAACACGATCCACTTCCACCCAGAAGTGACATCTAACCCTAAGTTTTCATGGGCCACGACCATCTATTTTCAGCTCATGAAAGTGTACGAGAGACTCGCCGGTTTCGGAGTGGCAACCGCCAGAAGGATGTTATGGTGGAGGCGCTGGAACCTTGGTGCCGTCCACGCTTTTGCTTCATGGCAGAATGAAAGAGAGGCTTTCACCCCTATGATGTATTTGGCCGTCTTCTTACATCGCCTCTCCGGAAAGTGCAGATGTTTGATAACCTCTTCTTGTGCTCTTGGTACCGCACAGATGCCTGTCAGCTTTTGCCTCGGGACCCCTTTCTTCGCGAAGAGTCGGCACGCCTATCACGCACGGGGCGCTGTGGCTAGGACACCTTCTCATCCTCGCAAGATGTTTGAAGCCCTTGACACACGCGCTCGCTGGAGTGGCCAATTGTTTGCTTGGATATGGGAAGGCGATGCCAGAAACACATGGGATCCATACCAAAGAGGTGCATGGAGTGCAAGCACTGCACCAGAGAGGCGTCGCGGTTTTCTCAAATGAGGACAGGTCAAATAAGGAGGGGTTTCGTACACTCTCGTCTTCTGGCCATGGCATTCGTGTCACCTGGGCCTCGCACAGATCTTTTCATTGAGATCACGTTCGCCCATAGCCTCTCGCCCTTGGTTCCTCTGCCCAAACGCGGGCGGCGCACCTGCATCCTTCCACGAGATCAAACGTCACTTTCATAGTCCTCTCGAAGGATCGATGTGCTCGCACACAGGACGGTCGTGGTCTGGGCCTCTGGCTCTTTCCCTGAGCAGCGGTCATCACTTGTTGGTGTCGGTCCGTCAGTCTCAAAACCCGGCGACGTTTACGCGGAATTCCACTCGCCGTGAACTACATACCCGATATTGACTACTTCTGTGAAGGATTTGGTTTAGTCGGGCATTGGAGAAGTTCAGAAGGGCCGGCGAGCCCGGTGAAATTTCCATGGCTACGTGGATGACAATTTTGGGGAACAAGGATCGTTTCTGCACGTTTTGGAAAAGGATCCACACAGAAAAGCGATGGACTTCTAGTCACTGTTAGGCGGGTGTCCTATGGTGTGCTTTGGTACGGCAAACGACTTGGTCGTTCCAAGGATAAGTTTTATTCCTCTTTGCGTGCGCTTTTTTTCATGAACCTTATCCGCCTCAGACGGCTACACGCCCCCAAGCATCTGCTCTTTTAATACAGAAAGGACGACTGCGACTGCTCACCTGCGCTAGTAACCCGACTCTCACCTCTCGGCTACTTTCTTGACACATTGCTGTGCGACGGAAGGCGCTGTCGGCGTGGCATGTACCATCTGGGTGAGGTGGTCGAGGAAGCGTCTGGTGTCCTGTTCTCGCTACCTTGTTTGCGAAGACCCTTGTCGTGGTTTCATTGGGCGTGCTTCCTCGGCTTTTCTGAGCACTGGTTTGTTCTCGGGTCCATGGTTCATCCTCGCCGATTATAGTGTTCGAGGATCCTTATCTGCGCGCTTTGATTCTTGGGTTGCGCCCACGCGCGTCGAGCACCTTCATCATACGTCGGTTTGCATGCCGTCTTTGGCAGTTGCGACTCCTACGGGCGTTTCAACAGAGATTCGTTCTTGAGTGCCACAGACGGTATTCTAGCAGACAGACTATGCGAAGAGTAACACTCGTCGTGCGGACTTTCGGGTCATGGGCAATACACTTGAGTCTCGGCGGCAGGTGGAGAGGAGACGCTATGATGCGGAGCGCATGTCTGTGGATTTCAACCAGTTGCCCGCACAAGAAAACTGGCGTTGTGTGTCAATGTTGCTTGCGCTCGGCGAGCGAGCCAGTGTACGCCCTTGAGGGCGAGAGTTCAGCACTAGTCCTACCCCTCGGTCGTCCCCCGGGATGTCGCGAACCGCGGTGCCATTGCGTTGCTGCTTTACCCCCTTTGAGGGACAAGCCAGCGAATGTGGACGATAGGAAGCTTGTTGAGTGGTGGAGGGCCCGTATACCCTTCCTTCACAGTTGTAATGAACATGGAGGGAGGGCGGTCGGGTCCGTTGGAGCAAGGGTTGGATGAACGCGCGGGTGGTATGCCCTTCGTGGCTAGCACCGTAGCGGGGGAAGCCTCTGGGCTTCGAGAGTGTGTTCTTGCTTGATGGGGTTAAACGGCTGGGGCTCCTCTGTAAGCTGGCGCCTCGGAGAGGTTGCTTGTTGCTCGGAACGGCAAAATTTTTGGATTTTTTTTGTGTCCTTCGGGACTCGATCATCCAGAGATTATGGAAAAACAGATAATTGGTAGGTCTGTCTTTCCCAAACATCTGCATGCTGCTCACTGCAATGTTGCAGGTGGCAATTCCTCCACAGGGGTCAATGCTTCAGCAGGCAAGTATTCTGTCGAAGCAAACGTCAGGGACATACATATGGACCAATATTACTCGGTGTGGACAAATCAAACAGATCGTGTTCATATTAACAAACTTGTACTAGTACTCTTTTTTATTCCATATCCTATGAGAAATAGTCTTTCTTTGAGGCTCCATTCCCCACCGGTTGTCATCCAACACTGAAGAAGCTGCAGCCTTTCTCTTTTCTCAATAATTCCCGACGTGGTCCAAGGACTTGAAGCCTGAGGATTTTATGTACTCGAACCCAAATCGGGAATGGGGTAATTTAAAAATAATTCTTGGGGTGCAGGGTCCAAAGTGCCTTGAATGCTGAACAGAACGTTCCGCTCCCCACACCTGCACTGGTTATGCCGCCACAGCTCTGACTGTCGCCAACATGTCCCTCTTCAGACGACGAACATCAACGCTTGTCCTACTCGCTGTAATCGTTGTGCTTTGCTTGTATGGACTACCAAGCAGTCATGACCGAGAGTCTGAGCATCCGCGCGATGTCCGAAGTCAGCGGCAACAAGCACCTCTGCAGCCAATTCCCGTCTCATCCACAAAGTATGAACCAAAGCTCAAACCAAAGCCCACACCGAGACTTGGAAAGCACAAATTTCGGCCAGACGGACTTCTCGAAGTAAACCTAGACGGCCCGCATGCCATCTACGAGCTCATTTCGCGGGCGGAGATGGAATGGAAAGAGAAACTTTCGCGGCAAAGCAGAACGCTGGTCCAAGCAGTCGAGGAATACAAGAGACGGTATAAGCGCTCGCCGCCTAAGGGTTTTGATCTCTGGTATGCTTCCAATTCTCTACACACAGGCCGGGCTAGAACCTCGCTTAGGTGGAACTACGTCGTGGAGCACAACGTCCAGCTACCAGACGAGTATGACCAGATATTCAACGACCTGGAGCCATTTTGGGGCCTCGAGCCATCAGATCTCATCAAGATACACGAGGAGAACGAGTTGAAAAAGGATTCGTACACTATCGGCAAGAATGAGACCAGTGAGATTGACGTGGTGACCTGGGCGTTCCAGGAGGGGCGGTACAACCAGCTTATTGTGGGCTCAAGGGAGATCGTCAAGATGTTCAAGCAAATCCAAGACTATCTCCCTCCTTTCCGGATGACGCTCTCCCCTCATGACGGACCTAATAGGCTGACGGACTTCGGCGTGAGGCAGGCGGCGTTGGAAGCAGCTGCAGCAGGAACTTGTGAGTGTGATATACAACCATTATATGCGTCGATATCACTGATAATTCTCGCTCCCTTCTTCCCAGACATCGATAAATCCGCGCTGCCCAAAATCAACTCTATCGGGTGGGTGTCCGCCTGCGCTCCTAACTCTCCTGCCCGGCGGAAGACGATCAACCTCGACAGCCCACCACCGCGCCCAACAAAAAAGACCTTCATCTGGGACCACGTCAAGACAATGGACCCATGCGAACACCCCGACCATTTCTACCACCATGGCCAGTTCCTGTCGCATAACAATGGACCGTCGCCGCAACACGTCCTTGTCCCGGAATTCTCGTACTGCAGCACCACCATTCATCACAACATCCGCTTCCCTGTGCCGTACGGGTGGTTGGAGGACATTTACCCGCGTGCGAACGATCCCGAGTGGGATCAGAAGATAGACGAGCGCTTACTCTGGCGGGGAAGCAATACGGGGATGTTTCACAACTCCAAGTCGCGGTGGCAGCATTCCCACAGGGATTTTTTGGTGGCTTATGCGAACAAGATAGATGGGGTGATCAAGGTGCTCCCGCCGAACAAGGCGCGGAGCGAGAAACTAGGCGAGCTCCAAGAGTTCAAGATGGCGAGGATCAACCCTGCTATCATGGACATCGCGTTCGCAGGCCATCCGATTGCGTGTTCTCCAGGTACCTGTGAGGTGCTCCAGGAGACGTATGAGTGGAGGGAAAAACAGAGCATCAAGGAGGCGGGCAATTATAAATATGTCCTCGATGTGCGTCTACAATCTCCATTGCCTGTCCAAGTTCTGATCTTGTCTATGTATAGGTGGACGGCAACGGGTGGTCAGGGAGGTTTAAGCGCCTAATCACGACGAACGCACTAATTTTCAAATCGACGATATACCCAGAGTGGTATGCGGATCGAGTCGCTCCCTGGGTGCATTACGTGCCTGTACAAATCGACCTCTCCGATTTGCATGACGCACTGATTTTTTTCCGCGGAGACGGAAATGGTGAAGGAGCACACGAAAATCTGGCTCGGAAGATCGCCGTTGCTGGCAGGGAATGGAGCAAAAATTTCTGGAGGAAAGAGGATTTGATATCTTACTTGTTTAGGTGGGTATTTCGTCCTTTGAATGTGCATATATTGATCCCTTTGCAGACTTACGCTAGAATATGCTCGCCTGATGAGCACTGATAGACAATCAATGACGTATTCGGGTGATGATGACTACTCTTAATATTTGTATTACTGTATACTATCTTCCACTCTCACTAATTCTTGTGATAACTATGCCGGCATGCACTTACGAGCTGAATTAATCGAACTTAATCAAGGATCGGGAAATTACTTTTCCATATATATATTAGTCAAGAGTGGCGCAACATGTCATTCACGTCCCAAGTAATACGGTACTTGTCCCAATTATTACATGCGCCCGAGAGTTATCAATTAGCTGACCACCTCTGATATCATCTCTCTTTTCCTTGAGGTTTGTTGAAAATGTTATCGTCCGGTCGATGATCGCGCTCAAACCGCGAAAAGGGGAAAACACACGTGACGATTGTATTGAAAATACAATCTAGATAAGATTGAAGGCCATTTGAAACCCCTCGTTTAATCCCATTACGTGCCCTAAGTAAATTCACCACGCCCCCGAATCCCTTGTCTGCCATCGACGCCCACCATTCGTGCCGGCTTCACTTTCGCGAGAACTTGTTGATGCCAGCGTTTGTTCCTCCCGAGCTTGTCCACGAAATTCTCCGCCATTTGATAGAGGCGTCACCCCCACGCTCAGTAATACCACCCTACAGAGCGGGTCTCAACCCAAAACCGCGGTGGGACGTCATTCAGTCATTTACCCTAGCTTCACAAGACTTCCGGCACATGGCACTGTCAATCTGGTTTCAATATTTATATCTTAGATCATCGCGCGAGGTTAACGACATCGAGCAGTACTTTCCCGAGCTCAAGAGCAGCTGGTGCAGGTGAGCCGCCGCGGTTCTGGCGTGGTGTTCGTGGAGCTGATGGAGTTTATTACCCTGGTTTCGCCCAGATATCTTCACTGCGTCCAGACCATTGAAGATAGGGATTACATATGGAGTCTTGCCGGATTCAGGCGTTTACATACCGTCCGCATAGATTGGCTCTCCCGTGAGCTGACACGGGTGCTGGACCCGATCCTGAGCGGAGATATGGTCCCGTTCGTCGACCTCGAATGTCCTGTCCAGGAACTTGACATCCGGGCCTTGAAATACGGCTCTCCGATGGCCCTGAAAGCTCTGACGGCTCCCTTCAAGGATATTGTCATTCTCAAACTTGAATTCCTCCGGGTATGGTGCGGCCTATGTCATACCTGCGTGCTCGTAAAATTCCCTCCGCATGGTCCCGAAGAACTAGTTTACGAGGGAGGTCTCGGTTTGCCAGTCCGTTTACCTAGGATCTCTCTCAATGGAGTTGCCTGATATCGTTTGGATGTAGGTTCACTACGCACGCGTTCTACAACATCTCATTCACCTCGAAGAAGTGTATATAACCATCCCGGATATTGGTGCCGACTTTATCTCGTCCCCAGACCCCTTGACCAACTCCAATGAAAACATGTGGGTCGGAGAGTGCAATCGTTGCACTTGGTTGATGTATGACGACGAGACATTTCGGAAGAGCTGGGTGGCGAGGAAGAAGGGAATAGTGCTCGGAGATGTCGACAAAAAGTCGGTATACATGAAGCCGCCAAGTCTCCAAAGAGTCCGGTGGAATTTCTGGAAATTTCTGGGCTCGGGGAATACGACAACATATTCGCAGGCAGACGTTGTTTCCGACGTTGAACATGACCCAGAGCAAGAAGAGGAATCCGAAGACGCCGAATAGGAAGCGCTTATGGATTGGAAAGCCACCAGTAATTCTGCTACCGTTGATCCTCGGTGTGAGAGTACGCGTACCGTAAGTGAGTTCTGATATACTATTTTCACTTCCCCCCGCCGTTGAATAATTTTGCATAGGTGTCACCTTTTTTAGAGATTATTCACTTCCTAAATTTCACGATTGCTTTTCTCTTCAGCCTTCCGTCAGCTGACATTGCCGCCTTCGAAGTAGATCTTTTCCTTGCACCGCTAGGAAACACGACGGCCCGAAATGTGCATAATTCCATTTCAATCTCTCGAGACCTTCCGGTAAACAAACGGGATGACGGCAACTGCTCCCGAAGGTCCAATGAGGTCCAATGCCACCGATCCTCCACTCCCTACATACTCCCACGGCGACCTTCAAACATCTACTCAGCAGTAGTGCAGAGTAGTGCGTACGACGGCGTACCTTTGAACTCGAATGTGTACCACCCGAGTAAACCCCACCTCTCCCTAAACTCGGGTTTTTGTCGCTGCTCTTTGGAGCTATTGGTCAAGGAAGACGTCCGGACCTACTAAAGAACCACTGGACACCCCGGAATGGCACCTCTTCCGTCGGCGATATCTTTCATGTTCGTACAGTCTTGACGAATCCTTCGGTGCTTCAAAAATCCCAGGAGCGATGCTCTAGCTCGGTCTGCTGAAACTCTCCTCCTACCCGCGGTGGCCGCCGGTGCGTAAGCAGGAAGCAGGAAGATGAGGTGGAAGACGAAACAACTCGGGCCGATTTGACCGCCCAGCAAAGTTGAGAAGCAAAGAGTTGATCGCATCGCATGGACGAGATGAAGAAGCTCTGAAAAAGCACTTTGAATTCCCGCACCATCGGTGGAGGCCGATACCTGGTGATTTTCGTGCTTCACCGTCACATGCGAGGTGAGCACGGTGGCTGTCTACATAGCTTCGCAGGTAAGACATCCGGCTCCAGGCAGGCTCCAGGTGTATAAAGGTGTACGCGTGCGCACTAACGTATACCCCCAACTCTCCGTGAAGCCAACACTTCCATCTCTATCTCGCCTTGCAAGCTCAAACTTCTTGCGCGACGTGGTGACAGATGGTCTCTTTTACCATTCTTGCAGGAGGTTATGACTCCTTTGTCGCGACATACTTGTTCAACGCCGCGACTTCATCTTTGACGGTAACTCAGAGATCGCCCACTGGCCAGTTCCCATCCTGGCTCTCCCTGCATCCCACAAATCGAAGCCTTCTTTAGTGAGTCATCGAACTACAATTCCCTTAGCCTCGGTTTATAGAAGATGTCTAGTGCTGTCAATGAAGTGGCTGTAGGAGCCCTGCAGTCTTTCTTTGTTTCCTCCACGGGAGTGCTATCCCAAGCCATCGACACTGTTCCTTCCGGCGGCGACAGCCCCGCATTCGCCACCGCGCTATCGACTGGTGCTGTCGCGGTTGTAAATTACTTTGGAGGTAACGGACGCGTCATCCCCACCTCGAACAGCGTGCGCTTTGACAATACCGCGCCCATCATCACCTTCCCCATCGTCAACGGCCCTGAGACAGTCTCACACCCGCACATGGTGTTGGAACACCGTGACGAAGTGCTTGTCCCGGACTTGGGCCAGGATACGATTTGGAGGTTGAAGAAGGGTGCTTCCGGGGAGTATGCGATCCAAGGATCAATCCCTCAACCAAAGGGTAGCGGCCCGAGACATATCGCTATTTTCAGTGCGTGATAACACTTTTAGAACTTGTTTATGAATAACGTATGCCCTGTGGTCCTGGAAGACGACCGCCTGTTCACCCTCCACGAGCTCTCTTCTACACTTTCTGTTCAGAGCATCCCACGCGCTTTGAATGGCACTGCAACAACATTTGCGACCTCCTCTATCATCCCACCTAACCCGCCAGCAGGCGCTGTCTTCCAAGCTGCTGAGATTCTCATCCCAAAGCCTACTAAGCGCTTTCATAAACCGTACATCTACGTTTCCAACAGAAATACCGCTCCCGGCACCCAAACTGCCCAGGGTGACTCCATTGCTATCTTCGAACACGTTAACCGGGGCAAACCTAACGAAGGTTTAGTTCTCATCAAGCAGGTCTTCACAGGCCTGAACCAGATCCGCGGTATGGAATTCGGGAATGCGGAGAATGGAGGAGAGGAATTCTTGGTTGCGTCTGGTGTGGCGGGTAATGCGGGAGTCATTGTCCTCAAGAGGACGGAGAAAGGAAGGAATCTGGAAATTGTGGCCAGGAATTTGGATATTCCAACCCGCACGAGCTTTGTCTGGCTGTGATGAGATTCGCGAATCTCCCTTTGGCATCACCATGTTCTCTGTACCAGAAGTAGTTCCTAATCTGGAAATCGAGTTACCGATTGCGGTTGCCCCTAAGCAAGGTTGCTTCTCAACGCAATAGAACGCCTGTCGGGCTTCTGATTCAGGAGGCACTTCAGGGATTTGAAAGGCGTATACAAGCCCATCCCAACTGCAAAATACCTTCTTTCTTCCCGCCATATGTTTCATCGTCTTCTTCCTTCTTCAACTTCAGTCTTCGTGTAGCATCTGATTTTATTTCTTGGTTTCACTGACGCTATCACAAAACATACAGTGCAAGTGCACCGGTCACCCCGAGCATCACGCTCAGCTTGTGGGAGGACTCGGAGTCACGGAGGAGAGTCTGCTTCCAGGATTTACTAATTAGGGGCTCGACATCCAAATCGAGACTGTGGCCCCTTGTTTGGTCCGTCAGGGTCCTCGAACCGCAATTCAACTTTGGACTTCACCACGACTGACCACCTTCACAAAGTACATTTTCACGCGTCCTTTACGTGTCATCCACTAGTCATAGGGCCAACGCACTATCCCGAAGCTAGGTGATCCAAGAGCCACGACGAACAGGCCTGCAACGACCACAAAAATGGCACCAAGGTCGTCCCAGAAGTCTCTGTCCCAGACGCATAACTCGCAAAAGAAGTCAAAAGCGTCTGCTCGCAAGCCAAAGACGGTTAACCTCGATGGAAATGGCTCTTCGTCTTCAGCACCCACGAAATCGAAGAAGTTCAACCCGCTTACTGCTGTGAGTTTTTCGCCTGGTTGCAGTGAAAAGGGAAATTTAATAACTGAATAGATGGCAGTTCTCGACGCAGCTAACTCCTTTGTCGACGACATCCTCAAATTCGAGCTCCAGGAACTCTACGCCCCCTTCCCAGAACAGTAAAGGAAAAGAAAAGGCTAAAGAGGCTAGCAAAATTGGATTAACGAACGACAATGGTAAGTATCTTTAATAGATGCACCGTTCAAACTCTGAATACCTGTAGATGCCTCATTATGGGTGGACAAGTATGAGCCCAGGACGGAGGTAACACTGCCGCCTTTCCATCACTGCTGTTGGTTAACGTTGCTCCGGCCAGGCCGAACTCGCTGTGCATATTCGGAAAGTAAATGATGTGAGAACGTGGTTAAACGAAGCCTTCGGAGGAGGACCATCCGGAAGACTAAGCAAATATCGGGTGAGTTGGTCACTATCTCGTTTCACTTCTGGCTCTGACTTCCATCAGCGAATCCTCACTTTGACTGGACCCGCTGGTACAGGAAAGACATCTACAATTCGGGTGCTTGCTAGGGAAATGGAGTTTGACATTCTGGAGTGGCGAAATTCGATTGGGAATACAACCACTCCATCTTTCGATGATCGTACGTGTTTCCGCATTGCTATCCCTCTGTCCTATCCATTTGGTCGAACAATGCATTTAGCCAGTACATCCAGCTGGAGTGAGCAAGACTTTAACATGGACTATGAAAGCCTCTTTGCAAAATTTGAAGCGTTCTTGACGCGTGCTTCCTGCTGTTCGAACGTTTTTGCAAGCTCCTCAAATGACGCAGTCGGAATAAGCAAACGACGCATCATCCTTCTCGAAGACCTACCCAATATACTACATCAGAAGACGCAGATACAACTTCATGAAGCACTCAATGCCCTTGTAGCCTCCCCATCGTCCAACCCACCTGTTCCGGTGGTCGTTGTGATTAGTGATGCCGGGATGAGAGGCGAAACAGGAGACCAACGATTAGCAGATGGTCGTGGTTGGGGAAGAGAGAAGAACCAAGTCGTCGATATTCGTGCTGTTCTACCAAAAGATCTCTTGGGTGGGCCGTATGTCACCGAGATCGGGTATGTTTGCAATTAATTTTCGTCCATGAACTCATTTCGCGAGGTAGGTTCAACCCTATAGCGCCCACACTGCTCCGTAAAGCTCTTCAAGCAATGCTCAGTATCCATTTTGCATCCAATTCAGCCGCGAACTCAACTTCACCGTCGAAAGAGGTACTCGAAGCCATCATCGAGTCGGCCAACGGTGATATCAGAAGTGCAATTATGGCTTTACAATTCGCCTGCATCATGGAAATGCCGGGAAAGAAAAAGAAAGGCAAGACTATGGTTATGGAAGCAATAACAAGAAGGGAGCAGACCCTTGCTTTGTTCCATCTCCTGGGCAAGGTGCTGTATAACAAACGTAGGGGTGATATTCTCCGTACTTCTCTCTGTTCACTAAAGCTGATTTTTGAACAGGCAAAGGCGATCCTCCAAACCCTTCAGCTACGGCCAAGGATCTCCAGAAAGAGCGAGACCTCGATGTATCACTAAAGGACCTTCCCAAACTCCCTCCCCATTTGGTCGAGCACGAAAGGCGGACGAGTAGGGTCGACATCAATGTTCGTTAAGTTGCAATAATTGCGAGTTTCTGACGCCTATATCTTCTTTGCAGATGCTCTATTCGGACTCTCCGATTGACTCGTCGCTTTTCTCCCTTTACATCCATCAGAATTATACTCAGTTTTGCAATGAAGTCGACGAAGTGGGCGATATATCCGACTGGCTGAGCTGGGTGGATTCCAGCGGTGGAGAAGCAGTAAGCGTGATTTTCTTTTGCTTCTCCTCTCCCGTTGACTGAGAATGTCATTTTTTGCGTCTAGTGGTATCAAGCAAACCCCCATCAATTCCACTTGTTGGCACTAGGCACGCTGCATTCTTTGCCTTCTCCAGTCGCTCGCCGGTCCCAGAAATATTTCAAGCCCGAGTTCTTTGGCTATCTACAAAAGGAGAAAGACGCCTGGGAAGGCGTGCGTGTGACGAGGGATTGGGTGATGGAAAATGAGCTCAGCGGGGTACGCCGCGGTCCTTTTCCTCCCATAGGTGTCAGGCCACTTATGCACAATATTTTACATCATAGATCGATTCGGGATGGAGAGCAGGTGGCTGGAGTAAGAATGAAATTCTCCTGGAGCTTGGAGGCGTCCTGGAAGCTCAAGACATGCTATCAATCAGATCAAGACAATCAGGTCAAACGCAGCGTCCGAGGCCACCACCTATACACAGAACATTTTCCAGAATGGAACTTATTCGTGGTTGCCCGTCCGGATTTAACTCCAGACAGCTCAACGAGGGCGACGTTGGGGATGATGGACTAGGAGATCCAGACATTCTGGAGAGTGATGGTGCAGACCTGGATGTGTTTTCTCCGAAAGCAGCAAACGAAAAGGAGCAAACAGGTGGCTGGCTGGATTCTGATGACATCGAGGACTTTGATTGAGTTTGGCTACACCATCGAAACCTGGGAAGTGTGAAAATACACCGGGGTTCCCAGAAGTTTGCATTTGCTTCCTTGTTTTGGAGTTCTCTGCTACTTCTCAATTTCAGCTTCTCTTGTCGTGATTTCCGGCATTCCTCTCGCTGCTAATTTAATGTTAACGTTTCTCTATGTATTTATCCCCTGTCCCATTCATCCACGAGGGAATCACACATCCTACTCAAATATACCCTCGAGAACACACTGAGGCATGAGCTGGCAGTCCAATCGCCATCCAATACTAAGACCTTTTGTACCATCAGAATTCCCGGCGCAGTCTCAAAGCGCAGATCTCGTAAGGCGATAACTTTTTCATCCTGAATTTTGTTTTTCTGCGAAGACTTCTACAAGCAAAAGCTGTGAGTAGATGAAGAGATTGAACGCCAGAGTTGACAAGTCAATATAGAACGACTACATATTAAATATGAATACGGACCTGCCGTAATGCTGGAAGGGGTAGCCTCCATATTCGTTTTGATGCTCAAGCTTTGCAGGTGCAGGTGCGGCGTGAAAAGATGTAGGCATTGTACTAAAATGGTCAAGGTCCTTGCTGAAGGAAACAAGTGAGAGGGAGGATATCTTGATATCGCCTTCTACTCTGAGTTGGGGAAGCAGGACTTGGAGGAAAGGCTTCGTCGACGGTGCAGCGAGTCCGAAATGGCGTAAAATGGCTGCAAAATCCAATTAGTTGGCATCAAGGGCAGCAACCGAGAGTTGATCAGGTCGATGGACGTAGAGAACCGCATAGGGAAGGAACTAAAGCTGCCTAGCAGGCTCGCAAGGTCATCGAAATTGTCTTAAGCGATTGCACCAGCGCGGAGGGATTTGATGTGTTGTGCGTAAAAGGCAGTAATGAAAGCAGTCGTTGATTTATCATGGACCAAGACGACTCTTGACTCGCTCAATATCCCTAGAGAAGTGAGGGTTCTAGATTGCGTGCCACAGTGCTTGTTCTAAGAGCGGACACGAGCGTGGATGAACGCCACGAGAATGCAACAAACTACCACTTGGAGCCAGCAACGTAGCAGATGTCAATGTCTGAGATAGTTGCGGCCAAAGTGCAGTGCAGTGCGACGAGCTGAGAAAAATAAGGCAATTATGGGTGTTGGCGACCGATTATGGTCAATAGTGTCGATGACTGTGGGAGGGAACTTTGGTTGTAAAGCTTCCGGAGTCACGAGTGCTTGCCTCCGAACTTTCAAACAAAATCGTGCTTTAAAGGCAGCTATAGGTGTGGAAAGGTGGCTAGGATGCCATGAAGATTTGATGACATTTGATGACCTTACTCGTATAAAATAGACATTGGTGTCGTTTATTGAAGCTCAAGAAGAGAGCCAGTAGGTTCCTCGAATGGGGGTGTTCGCTCATCGCAGAACCGGGGCAGCACATGTCAAGACGTTGTGACAGATTGAGATTTGCGTGAAGAAATAGTGGCAAACGAAGGACTACAAAGAAGGTAAGGGTGCAGTCGTATGCATTACGAGGTGATATTATTATGGTTTCGGGATGGGTTGAGTGTTGGTGTCGTTGTCATTGTCGGCGGCGGCGCGGAGGGGGCGTATGGAATAGGCTTGAGGTTTGAAGATAAAGCGGATGAGGTAGCAGGTGGACCAGCCGAACGCGCAGAGTCTGCGATGCCACTTGTAAAATCTCCAGGGATCTGGGACGTCTGTGTCACCTCAGCGACACCAGTGCCAAATGAACCTCTGGGAGGTCGAACAGCAGAGGGGCCCGAGTGTGAGGACCAGAAGGAGTCGTATGTCAATGCCGAGGTTGTCCCAAAATTATACATGTCTCTTGCTGTGAGACTCGATTGTGTTCTCGCTCCGACAGTGCCCTTCTGTGCTCGCGGACGTGGCTGCTTGACAGCTGGATAATGATTTGTTACGGAAACCGACATCGTTGCTGTCGTTTCTGGTGCTGAAACTGCCGCTGCCGCTGTTACAGGAATCCCATTATCAACCGAGGGTTGACTGGTTTGTGGTGTGGATGAAGATTTAGTTACATCGATTGAATTTGTTTGCATTGAAGGTTGGGTGGCGTCCTGTGTGCTTGTGATCTGGGGACCTCGAGTAGGACTCGCTGCGGTTAGTGAAGATGAAGCTGTTGGGCGAGAGTCAACAGCCATTGGTGCAGGAGCCTCTGGAGCACGAGAAATCGAAGGTACGATATAGCTCGGGGTAGAGGTAGAATGAACAACAGGAGTTGCAGTAACCTGCGATCCGTGATGAGAGGAGGATTGTTCTGAAGAGTTGTCGGTTGATTCATGACCTGAGTGAAGATTTGTATTCGAACTCAAAGAGTTTCGAACAAGAGTCGAAGTGCCTAGTTTGAATGACAAGGAAGACTGGGCCGGCGCTGAACTTTGAACGGCAAATGCGGAGGTTTGCCGTGGCTGAGTGGTCACAACGGCTGGGAGAGCTTGCGTAAAGGGTTTTGACGTCCTTAGGTGCGAGTTGTGGAAGTATAGGTTTTCCACCTCGTTCAGACTCTGCTTTTGCTACATTCCAAAGTCACAAATGAGCTCCGACATGCCCAAAAGGCAGATGAGGAAGAATCCACTGTACCCAGCCGTGCTCCACCTTTAACCTTGCATATTGCAATCGCATTTGCAGTTGTCTCGAGAGCTGTTACGGTTGAGAAAAAAATATTCATATGGAGTCAGCTTTGGCTTCTTCGCGAATGGCACAGACGCACATGGTTGGCCTTGACCTTCTCCAACGCCTGCTTCCTCCTCTTCTCGTTTTCAGAAGCTTGAGCTGCCGCTGATGTTGATGCTACCATCTGTATGGAAGCATATACTTCGGAAATTGGGTCCCTAGGGTCGCAACCTTAACGATGGGAGAAATCGAAAGCTGCAATGGAAGATGCGCTTGGCGAAATTTCAGGAGACAAACACGAAGACAGAGCACGTGCCTTCTCATATTAGTCACGTGCATTTAGCTGACACAGAACCCGGCCCGCTCTTGCCCTGATTATTGATAAGAAGCAGACACTGATAGCAGGTCTTGGCCCACAACAGCTAGGACGAACACTGACACAGACCAGGATGCCTCTCGCACCTCCTATGAACTTTCCTAAATGGCTGAAGGACAACGAACACCGTCTTCAGCCTCCAGTTAACAATTTTTGTCTCTACCAAGGGGGCGATTTCATCGTAATGGCGGTTGGCGGCCCAAATGAACGGCGGGACTATCATGTCAACGAAACTGAGGTACGTGCAGTTCTAATCTCGCCTTTCGTCCAACTGAACCATGGTGCGATCAGGAATGGTTCTATCAATACAAGGGTGGGATGCTTCTTCGAACGGTAGACGAAGGGAAGTTTCGAGACATTCGCATCGAGGAGGGCGAGATGTTCCTGCTACCTGGTATGTTACAGATCTCATCGAATGGACCGTGTGCATGAATGATTTCATGGCCAGCGAATACGCCACATAACCCCGTCCGTTTCGCAAACACAATTGGCATCGTGATAGAGCGCATTCGGCCGACTCAGTCCAAAGGTTTGCGCCAGACAACTCCGTTGAATACTAAATATCATTTTCTTGATTATCTAGATCGTCTTCGTTGGTATTGCCCCAATTCCGCCCACACTGAGCCTACTATCATTCGCGAGGAGTCATTCCATGTTGCAGACCTTGGCACACAACTAAAGCCCGTTATTGAGCACTGGATGAACGATGAAAATAGCAGGAAATGCCCTCACTGTGGCGCTATCGCTGAATCTAAATAATCCTGAAAGAAATGACGGTCTGGACCTTATTGCTCATTTGAATCCTGTGTCAGTGATTTAAATAGCTAGACAGACCTAAAAGATACAAATGGTAGTCGATTGTATCTAGACAATAGCCTGAAGATCCCGACATTCTGCGAAAAGGGTTGACTGAAAGCCATTTCAAGTGGTCTAGGCGTTCCACAGTGGAATTGCCTCGCGAAAAAGTATGACCGGACGATTATTTGAGCAACAGTCATTCGATCTTCGTCAAGGCTATGACGGTCCGTTCTGGACAAAATTCAAAGATTGATTTTTTTTCACCTCGGCTAGGGTACTTCAGGCAAGATCTGTGAGAATCTGCCAGAATGGGTAAGAATCCTCACATTTCTGGCAGATTGTGACAGAATCTGCGAGAATCTGCCCGAATTGACAGGTACTTTTTTTTCTCAGCTTCAGAAAGAATCGCGCAGAACGCAGATGCAGGCATTTTCTTATAAACTCTTACCCCCGTCTTGAAAAGCAATCCATTTATTGTTCTCAAAGATTCTCATAGAACTCTTACAGATTCTTAAATAATTAGGCAGAATCAGGCAGAATCTGCCTGAAAGGTTTGCACTTTTTTTGGGAGATTAAGATTGTTTTTCCTTGCCTTCAGCTGCATTCTGACGGATTTGGCGCGAAACGCGTCATGCACGTGATCTTTACGCGTCGCCGTCACGTTTGCTGCTGTCACGTTGAAATTTACCTCAGGCCAATGTTCAACGCCAGCTTCTTGTTGTTCGGGTTGTCTCTCGGAGACTCGGAGCCCTGGGACTCTACAGGGACGACCTCTCCAACCCTTGGCATTGAACTTGTGCACCCTCTTTGTCACACCCCTAAGTATTGTCTCTCGCATCGCACCACAAAGGTAAGTAGGCAAGAAGGCCTTGCTGGTGAGTGCCCCGTCCTTCTGTTAACTCTCTTCTTCTTTGTCTTCACCTTGTACCTCTGGTTGGAGACTCGGAGCCCTGGGACTTTGAACATTGGTGCAGGACCTTCGCCGACGTTGCGCAGGTCAAAAGGTTCTAAGTGCGTCGTTTGACTTGAATTGTTCCACCCTTTGTTCTGACCGCCGCGCTAGGTCTATCCTCGTCGCTCGTTTAGGCGTTTGAAGCCCACCAACGCCCGCCACCCTCTGTTTCGTAGGTCAGAAGGACCCCAGCGCATTCGCCATTAGCACATGCCTTTCATGTTCTTCAAGAACGGCGTCTGCCCCGTCGCCACCGTTCATTTCTGCCTTCTTGATGTACATCTTCAGCTTCTCATCGAACACTTTCCTGATCGCCTCATTCTTCGCATGACATCCTTTGACCCAACATCTACTTCTACCCTCTCTGTTTGCTTCAGACTTCTTGATACCTGCGCAGCATTTTGTCTTGTTTGTGCCTTTGAACGAGCCTATCTTTCATTTCAGCTTCTTTCTGCGACGAGCTAAGATATGTAATATGAAGGTACCTAGAGTTACATAGGCGCCCAGATGCAATACAGCCATGGCCTTCTTGCAGAATCAGTTGGATTCCTGTCTGGAGGGGAAAAGTGCAGGCATGACACCCAAAATCAAAGCAAAGTGTTCACCACAATTCTGACAGATTCTGACAGAATCGTCTGGCATGCAGTCGGATTCCGATGTTGAGAAATGTCATGTTTTACTTTTTTTTCACTCAGATTTGCCGAGAATCTGACTGGCACAACGAGAAACGAAATGATTCGTTCTGCAAGATTCTGTTGGATGCTGCCAGAAACAGACTGAATCTGGCTGAATCTGGCTGAATCTGTCTTCACACAAATGATTTGTTTCAGAAGTATCAGAACATGTCTGAATTAGCATGAATTCTCACAGAATCAGACAGAATCAGACAGAATCCTTGTGATTCATGAAGAATTTTAGGGAAAAAAATCAATGCATGTATTTTTGTCCAGTACGGCACTCCATACAAGGCAGACCGTCCCTCTCTGTCCTCCGTTATTCCGGCCCCAATACACATAGCGTGCTCTCATCCGAGTCGGCGCTTCGTCTCTTCCTACAGATGCCGAAACTCTGGCAAAGATAAAATGTGGCGGTGCACGGAACACGGGCAAAAGGTCCGACAGCTGCGATTCAACTTCTCTTTGCACCTTCCATGCCTGTGGACCGAAACGCAGCAATGCTCTAGCTCGATCACAAACATTCCTTAACATTCATTTTCATAAAGTTATCCTCCGACCAATGTCACCCATGAACGTTTGAACACTCTGTATATTTGATACGGACACTACAATCCTCAGTCTTGCGTCATTCGCCAAAGTCACAGTTCTCTCAACCCATCTTACTCCACTCTAGCGTGGTCTCGTGAAAGTATTCCTACAATTGCATACACCACATCCACACCGCTTTCGACGAAAGCAATACATCGCGCAATCAGATCCTTCTGGTATTTGGTCATTCAGACTGTCAGCACCCCGCCAATTCTCGGTTTTTCCGCTGGTCATGCGGCTAATATCCCCCTCTTTGCGTGGCATTTTGGCGGATAGTCTCAGGTACATGCATTATCCTCACAACCTACAGGCACTCGAAGCATCGCGTTGACGTATTGCCAGCCCTTAACCTCTTTGGGCATCGCGAATCTGGGGTACCCCCTGGCTCGCTCGAAATCTCGACCTCCCATGGGACTATAAGTAGACCGGGCACACTATCAAATCCCTCATCGGCATCCAGGAGCCTCTCGCACTCTCCCCACCTCACTAATCGCCATGTCTTACCGCAACAACGACAACGACCGCGACGACTCGTACGGGTCCAACACAGGGTCATACGGTTCCTCCAACGACCGCGACAACGACAACTTCGGGTCTGGCAACAGGGGCTCCGACTATGGGTCGTCCAACAGCGATGACAATTCGTATGGCTCTTCCAACAAGAACTATGGATTGTCGAACGACAACGCCAATGACAAGAGCCCCTATGGTTCTTCGAACAAGACCTCGTATGCGACGTCTAACGACAATGACAATTCGTATGGATCCGGCAAGAAGGAAACCTCCTATGGCTCTTCGCGCAACGACGACGACTCGTACGGGTCAAAGAGGAACGACAACGATAACTCGTACGCCTCGTCGAACAATAGGTCCTCAAATGACGACGGCAACTCGTATGGTTTTTCAAACGAGACCTCCTACGGTTCTTCGAACGACAACGACCACTCCTACGGTTCCTCCAACAAAACATCGTCGAACAGCAACAACCGTGGCGACAACGATGACTCCTACGGCTCGAAGAAGGACAACTATGGATCGTCGAACAATAATGACAACGACAACTCTTACGGCTCGTCGAACAAACCCTCCTACGGCAACTCTTCGAACAGACACGACAATTCCCTTGGATCGTCTAACACCACTTCCTATGGATCTTCCAACGACTCCAACAATAGCAATAACACCACCTATGGGTCTTCCAACAACTCGAGCAACAACAATTCTTCTTCCCATGGGTCGTCCAACACTGACAACACCAACTCGAGTTCCGACACCAAGCCCGACTGGGTCAACGACACTGTGAAGTCAGTCGCCAGCAAAGCAGGTTACAACATCGTACGTTCCATTGGCTCGGCCCGCATTACCATTCGCTCACTTGTCTCTTCGTATCTTCGACATAGAACGAGGGCACCGCCGACCTGATTGGTGATGGTTTGAAGGAGAGTTTGAAGCGCTTCGGTGGAGGATGTAAGCCTTTTACGCGTTCTTATTCTATTATTTTTCATCTAATCCCCTCTCTTACCAGTTGGCAACTAGACAGATACTGCTAGAATACACTCGATAGGGTTCTCGAAATCATATGAAGGACAGCGATTAGGGTATTCGATAATAACATGAAAGAAACATACGATCTGTACTCATTCGGACAATGGTATCGAGGAATGCATTCTTGTCTTCATGCCTCAGCTCGATGATTGAAAGCTGGAAACGTAAAATTCATGAAAATCCATGCACAAGGCTCATTAGGTCATAATACAATCATGCAACCCCAAAGAGCTGTATCTATTTGACCAATGTCTCCTTCGTCTTGCTTAGGTGGGCAATTGTCTCATCCGAAAAGCCGAGATGGGCTTTCACTAACTCGGGTGGTGTCAGTGCAAGCCACTGGGTGAGCGAGATATCTTGGAAGAGATCTGCGCTGTCGATGATCAGGTCAATGCGCCACACTCGGCTGTACGACACACCTGTTTTCAGAACTTCCAAGAACTTAAGGGTCGTATTTCCAATGTTCTCGATGTAATGTCCTGTATTACAGGAGACGGTCAAATTGAACTCTCCGGGCTGAAAATATCCGGCATACCATAGGAAGGTGGAATATACGCGATATCACCAGGCTTGAGTGATGTTTAGCATCCGCACTGTTTACAATGAACATTACATTTGGCCATGCTCACATAGAAGTCAAAGGTCTGCGCATTGCTTTGTGAGGCAAAAAGGGTTATCCGTGCTTGGCCTTCTCTGTAAAAGTTATAAGTCGAAGGTAATGTTCTCGGATAAATGCAATACATACAGGAAGAACGTCCATTCAGGTTGAGTCGGATGCCACTTTACGGTTCAGTCAATACGTCGGCATAACATGAACGGACATAAATACGAACGTGTAGCTCTCTGTATCGCGAACATCAGTACAATAAAATAAAATAAAGAACGCAAGAAACGTCAATAAAACACACCTCAAACCTCCTGCTTCGAGGTACACTTCCGCAGCAGCTATCTTCTCTGAGACCGCGAACGTCCTGGTATCGACGATCTTGACCGTCCCTCCGGGTTTCTGCATCGCTGGCACCTTAGAAAATTCAAACGTAAACGGTTGCGGGGTATCGTTCTGGATAACCATGTCCTTTTTGATGTCGTCTGGAGGGGGTACCGCTATCGATATCGCCGGCATTAGGCGAGCCACGCAACAAGGCTAATAATAAAAACGTACACGGGAAGATATATAACTCATTCTGGGGTATATGGTCGAATGCCGCCAAATCGCCGCCCATCCCAAAGTTCTTCGCAATCACGGATTTCGGGACGTGCGCGAGCCAATCGGTCAGTTGGAAGGTGGCATCCTCGGAGAAGTCGCCCTTGTCGAAGATAAGGAGGAATTCAGCGCCTTCTGGTGTCGTGTCTTTCGCCTGAATCGAATGTGGATAACCGGCAGGGAAATACCATATATCACCCGCAGACTGGAACCCGACCATGACTCTGCGGAGCTGTGAGGAGAGAGGCTGATATAAACTCACGACATCTCCCAGCCATACTTGTCCTTCGGGCGTTACGGTACTGACACGCAGATCTCCCTGATTGACTGGTTTGAGAAAATCCAATAGTACTCTGACGGAGCAACTATTACCTTCAGAACATATGCCCACTATTCACAACTCGAGAGTGAGCTTCTTGTACTTTAGATACAATTTGCAGGCGTACCTCCGCGGTGTCATGCCAGTGCATTTCTCTGAAAGGCACAAAAAATCAGCAAAGAACACAGGGTGGCATCATTGTCGACCAACCTAATAGCACCTGCTTCCAGGCGCATATTCACGCCAGCAATATCCGTCGCAATAGGCATATCATTGACTATGAAAAATTGTCATGACCGAACATGACGTACAACAATGAACGAAGAATGCTCACCGTTTTGTTGACGGGCCCACCCTCCTTCCTTCAACTTGTTGTGACTCAGCGAGAATGGCCACTTGAAGTTCTTAACCTCTCCGTTGTCCGTTGTCGGTGGCGCCAATGTGTCCGCGTTCTGTAGTTCTAATGGAGAGTTCGTAGGTCCAAGGATCGAAGCTCCAAGGTTGCCACGTTGTGGTTGGTGATGTCCGCCCTCCGTCAGCGTCCAGAGGACCTTGTTAGGATTCGAGTCGGTATAGGGCACGAGAGGTTGCAAAGGGATCGTTGTTGGTGCTGCTACCACCGCTTGAGGAGGCGAGACAGAGAAGAGAACGAGAAGAGTTGCGGAGACTAGGCTTGTTCGCATGTTTAATAAATATCGAAGTCGTCTTGAAGTCGTGAAGAGTCGGCTCGTAATGACACAGTAAAGTCACCTTCAAGAAGGCAACCGCCATCCACAGGCCTTGGGGAGCGCCCTGTTATATCCTGGGCCTGGGGCCTGAGGAAATACCATTCGATACTAGGCCGAAACCAAATTGCTTGATGATAGGAGATGTCAAAACTCCTCGGACCAGCATTTTAGACTCTCGCTTCTATCGGAGGACGTCAGTCAAAGAAATCATTAGACTCAACATCTAGATAGAGAAGTTTACCCGCAATGATGCAGGATACGTTCACCGTACTGGACGGTGGATAATTGTACCTTGCTCTGGGAGAGTCCTCTCGGTGGTATCACTCAATCGTGTGAGCTGCATTCATATGCCAAGACATAAATGCTACACTGAAATCATAATGACCTGCACACCCCCCTAACGTTGCGCAGCATCTTGCAGTCAACGAGCCATTAAGGAGTGTTTCCCTCCATGGCGGTACTAAGCAGAAGTAAACTGTTGGATAGAATTATTCTGACGATCATCGAAGCTTATAACAGACGAACACGAGTCGTACCGAGAAGAAACACACACTAGAATAGGTCGTCATATGCAGGAAACCCACTCGAAGGACGCCTTGGAAGCCTCGTGTCCATGCGGCTCAGCACCTCTGCCCACGCGCAACACATTCCTGCTAAACCCTCGAAGAGACTCCATGGATGATCGGGAGTCGTCATATCTAGCACCATCTTATCGTCGTGGAATGTCGCTAGAAATGCGAGATGCGCAGCCTTAGCAAAATAACGTCTATCGGACGAGGTGTCGATGACGTCTGACGTCGCGAGGAGGGCATACACGTTTCCTGCTGCGCCGTGGCACAGACCCACACCTTTCCGAAGTAGGCCTCGCTGGTAAACCGCTTGCGCGCCGAGCTGTAAGGACCGATACAGCTTGTTCAGCGCCGGCTCTTCAAGGGTGATCACATCTTCTTGAATTTGGAGAATGCGAAGGGCAGTCGACAAAAGTATAATCATGCCCGGAGCACCATGGCACCATCTAGAGATCGCAATGAGCATCCTGCTCATGCGGTTAAGTAATAGAAAAAACTAAGCAACGCACTGTACGAGATCGCTGTCCTCAGTGACGCCCCGTTGAGTGGGACATTTGGTGGGCCAGTTTCCGGATTCGTCCTGGATGTTGACTAGCCACGATATGGTCCTAAATATGACCGGAAGGTGCTTCTGAACTATGGAAGACGGGCAACTCAAAAGTATTTGCAATATGCCAGCTAAATAAGAAGGCAACCGTAAACCCAAAGGCTATCACTGAGAGAATGGACGAGACTCACCTACGCCATGAGCGCTACCCAGATAACGCTTTCGGTGCCATGTCCACATTAGAGGCGGGAGGTGTGCTAGATCATTTGCTCTGAATTCCGAAGACAAGACAAGGCTTCCATGCCGTCCACGCTGCATAATGGAGTCCACAAGTCGAGACAGCGTCGCATCAGACGTCAAGCTTTGGAACGACGCCTGCTCTTGCTGGGGTCGACCATCGATGTGTTTGCGGAGGTACAAGAGTGTGTACAACAAACCCGCACGCCCGTACAAGACTTCGCATCGGTCCTCCTTGTCGCCTGGGGAATAAATTTCCGCATCTTCAGCCAACGTCTGTTCTATCGTATATTCCAGGTATCGCTTGGCTGCTTGCCAGTTGTCGGAAACGATTCGCTCGGTAGTAGAAGGCGCTCTGACTAGAACGAGGGTGGCTAAACCGACGGAACTCTCGGTGAAGGATAGACGGCTGGGAGAGTACATGACTTCATAGTCGATTTGGTTGTGGCGGAGTGCTCTGGCAAGGTTCCTGTCGCCAACAGCAATCATGAGATTTGGGGCGAGGATCTCGTTCTGCAGAGGGGTCTTCATGCTGGCTAAATGATACTCCATAAACGCTATACCTGGGCATTCGTTCATCAGCCTTTGCGGTGCGATGAGAGGAACAGCAGCAATCGAACGCCATACCAGATATCCCTGTATATATGCTGTCGTGCCTGCTCACTTTCCCATCTTTCGCAGACCGCTGAACCTTCTTTAATTCCTTCAACAGAGCATTCGAGATATCGGTATTCAATGCCTCCCAATCCTTCACTTCCGAAGGAGGCTTGCTAGGGAGAGGAATAAAGCGCGGAGTTGCAGGCATCCCGAAGCGATGCTGCTCTATCAACTGACAGAGGTTGTCCACGGTGTCCCAGGAGTAGCGTGGTGTGAGTCGAAGGAGGTCGAATTCAGCCGTTCAAGTTACGCAACGGTGATCTAATAAACTCAATTGCATCAGGTCTGAGGACATATGCAGAAAACAAGTGGAGTGACCTTCGTCACTCGTCAAGAGGTAGGTGCAGACTTTGGAGTGTAGGGCAGCCATGACAGAAGCCGCAGGCACTCGAGGCAATGGAAATGTCCCAGGTCCTTGGAGGCATGCCTTCAGAAGAAAGAGTAGAATACAGGAGAAAATCTGAGAAAAAGGTCGCGAATGTGCGAATTTTGTGAAATTTGGTCTATGGTTGAACGGAAGTTGTGATGGTCGGGGGGCAAAGGGCTAACGAGCGACCCTGATCATCATCCAGTTTCAATATTTCAATGAGCATCGGTCCCACTCACGAGATTTGTCAGGAAAAAAGAGATATATAATACCATACGTATCTACAACGTCCATACTTTCAGTCCGTTCGTTTTTGACGAAATGAGATCCATGCAATGAGGCGCCACTGGATGTGGATCATGAAGGGAGCGAAGAATTGCCCAGGTGCGGACACAGTGATTGACATCAGGAGGAGATTGAGGGTAATGCGGGTTGAAGCTAGGCACGAGATGAGGGCCGGATGGATAGGTGGTACAGACAGGATTGTCAAAGAGCGTGCAGGGGACTTTAGCAGGTAAAAAGGCAGGGGCTTGACCGCAGGAGAGATGCGGGAAACGAATTGAAAAAAGATAGTAAGATAATCGTGACGGGGTGCGTGAAGGAAAAGAGAAGGTGGCAACGAGGCCTAACCGCATACGTTTGTCCTCCTAAAGGAAGGAAGGAAAATGGATTGAAGATCAGAGGGTCCATCATGATAACAGACATTGCAAACGCTGATCAGGATATGCGAAGTTGTTTGAGAAAAGGAAAGAAATAAAGAAAAGATTAGTAACTAAATGAATCGCAAAATATCAGAGTCAGCATGCAAGCCTGTCACGTTCAAATCACTCAGGCCCTTCAGTCCCATACCTTAGTACCGATACTGTCTGTCCGCACCAGCGCCTTGTGGCTGCATGGGCGTCGCACTGTAGGGGTCAACGCTGCCCCTCTCGCTTCCGTACCCTGCCTCGTGGTCACGGTAAGGTGCACTCAGGCTGACCTCACTCGCGTTCCACGCCTGGCTGTGGTTGCTTTGCTGCAGGGGCACGAAAGCGCTCGAGTCCGAGCTTCGCATGCCTCTGCTGCCAAGCCCAGCACCCATACCAGCACCCACACCCGCAGCACCCAGCGCACCGCCCATGCCAGGTCCTGAAGCGGAGGTCATGGGGTACGAAGTAGATGGTGAAGTACGAGCGGCTGCCCGTCGTCGACGAGCAAGGCAGATGCCGACAATCGCGCCGAGGATACCAATGGCCGCAACACCGGCAACGGATGCGCCGATAATGGTGCCCAAATTCGACTTGCTCTCCTCGTCAGTACTGCTGTTAGTGCCCAAGCCGCTGCCTCCCGAACTGGTGCTACTCGAGTCCGCAGTGCCCGAAGCACCTGACAGGCGCACGCTCTCAGGAAGGACACTAGCCGCTGACGTTGGCTGTGATCCAATCTCCCCATTGCCCACAATAACGTACGTGCCATTACTCGGAATGCCGTTCATGTTGACCCACAAGAACGCCGGTCCAGGCTGGAAGAGGTTGGCATTGGGAGGTGGCTGCGCAACGTGAAGGGTGATCGATCCGTCCTTGTTGACGGTGAAGGTGTTGTTCAGCTGCAAGAGACGCTGGCCCATGTTCATCGCGTGCGTCGTGAACCCTCCTCGTGTAATGACAACCTGTGCGGATTCCGCGGCGTCATTTGCTGAACCTGAGTAAGAGCTTGCAGGAATCGTGAGGTCGAGTGGGTTGCCTCCATACGACAGCGTCTTGGGCATCCCTGTGGGAGCTGGCCGCGTCTTGGCTGAAAAGTAGGGTGGGTAGAAGATCTCTGCTTTGTATGTCGTTGGGAAAACAGTGGTCAAGTTGACGTCGACGTTAGGGTTTGATCCAGCGATCATGACCGAACCATCAGGAAGAAGGATGGCTGACGAGTGGTAAAGACGAGGAATAGTCGAGGCCCCGAGGCCGGCGTTAGACCAGCGGCTACCCTTCGCTGCTTCGGGATCATAGATGGCGGGAGTGAGAACTGGGCCTGAGGCGAGCGACTCTCCGAAAGGCATGTCGGCGTATGAGGTGGTGACAAGCGTTGCTTGAGCATAGCCAGCAGTGCCATTCAGGCCGCCGTTAACGACAAGGAGCTTGCCGGTGGGAAGGATGATGAATTGGCCCATAGTTCGCCCGTCGAGCATGTCATCGTCTTGCTGGTAGGCCGGCGATGACCCATCTTGAGGTTCGGGGGTAATGCGCTGGCAGTCCTTCGACGCAGGGTATTCCCAGGTGTTAATGAAAGGATAGGTGTAATTGCCCCAAGCGTAGTCGGGCATGTCCGTTCCACCACAGAAGAGGACCGTCGGGGTGTAGTTGTTGGCTGGGGTAAGTGGCAGCATCGCGACAGCGCCTGATGCTGGATAAACGCGAGCGACGCCGTTGGGCATGTCAGGCAGGGGAGTTTCCACATTTGCGACGTGATCCCAGAGCACTAAGACAGTCAGCTGATGGTTTTATGTGAGAAGCACGCTAACCTACCTGTGGACAGATTCGCCTGCACAAACATCTTACCCGAGGGCATTAGGAAGGTATGGGCGTATGAATTGAGGCCAGAGGTCTTTATCATGAACTGGAAGGTCTGGGGAGTCGCGCCAGTAGGTGGATAGTACTCGTAGGTCGGTTCCGCGGCTCCACCTTCAAATTCGGGGTCAACGTTGGGGTAGTTGCGATTGACATATCCTCCATTCACAAAACCACCGATAATGACGACAGTGCCGTCTGCTGTAGGCTCCGCTGCGGAGTACCACCGACTCTTTTGCATGGACAGAAGGGTGGGTTCATCGAACCATTGGCAATTGGCGGAGGCGAAATTGTCAGAGTTTCGGCATGGGTTGAGGACTCGAATTGCTCTTGTTCCGTCGAAATCTTGATAGGTGGCGTCCCATGCAGCGGAGTAGCCGCCAGGATTGAGTTGGGACCCAAGGTTTCCTCCTGGTCCGACAGCACCGTTGCCGCCAAATGTGACATAAGAACCGTTGGGCAGGTGCATCCCTGACGAGCAGAAAACGTTTGTCCGCACATCCATAACGGTTGATTGGTGAGTGGCCATATCCCTGCAGCAGATGAGAATCTACAGTCGAAGGGGAATGCGCCAAACTTACCAGACTGATCCCCACGCTGGATGACCCATAACCTGCGCTGCATTTCCCTCCGCCTTGTCTAGAATATACACCTTCTCTTCATTGCCAACAAACAGCTGCAAAAGAAATCAGAAACGCGCAGGAAAGCGTTAGAAGTGCCGTACCATCATCGCGCTCACGAGGGTATCCCCTGCATCAGCAAAAGAGCCAGCAGTTGCGGCAAGAACGGGAGACGAAGCCGTGGCAAGGCATAACGCCAATAGGGATGGCAACATAGTGCCAGTCGATTATAAGGAAGAGAAAGGAAAGTAAAGGAAGGAACGTAAAGGGAGTGGTGATGGTGGTGGAGGTGGAGGTTTAAAGGAGGCTCAGGGTCCCATGCTGCCAAATTCACGCATGGCATAGGGACACCTGGCACCTCAGTCTATTCTTGTCCGACAAGACTTTATCCAGCCTGCCGAGAAACGGCTTCAGGAAGTCTCAGCTGCGTCTTTGTGAACTTGTTTCGAAGTCACTTAGCAGAAGGACAATGAATTCAGGGCGAGTTAACTAGTTCGCTGCAGGAGTGAAGAAAGGAACGATGGCATTCTGGGTCATTGGCACTGGACAAGCATTACTGGTGTGTTTCTAAGAAACTCTCGGCGGACACAAGACAACAGAAGACGACTCAAGGGCAGCTAGTCCGGCCTTCAAGCTTCAGGCCTCAAGCATCGACTCCCTTGGACGTTTTGGATTACAACATAGGCGACTGAGCGGCCTTCACACCCACCTCGCAGCTTCAATCCTGACGAACGTCCCGGGTTCTGATTAGGGTGCTGGAATAAGTAGTATATTACATGTGCGCCCAAGACCTCAATTTTCACGTCCAGAATCCCGTGTTGATTTTAGACGACATTTAGACCTCAAGAAATGGTTCTGGGGCGGGAGCAGGTCACAGTGCATAGTAGGTCATCGACGAATATTCGAATAATATCACTTCCCGTGACCGACTCCGTCACACCAAAAGACACGCTGACGGGCGCCTAAATGAAACCTCGGAGACAGGACACCTTAAGGGGTCGAAATGGACTGAGTCAAAGCTTATCTATCACACTCGGGGTCTTGGAAGGTATAGAATAGGTATGAGCATCGACCTCCACCAGTCCGATCAGACGGCTCTCAGGCTTAGAGGACCCCATAACCTCCCATCGATCTGTTCTTTTCCCGTGTTCTCTACCGGCAACACTCGCCGTTTGTAGGAGGCGGTTGCTCCTTACAACTCAGAACAAAGGTCTGCACAAGGCAATCAGCTTTTTATAGACACTTATTTTTAGCACAATATCACTGCAGATGGTATAATTTCGCTCTCAGATTCAGTGCATATAGTGCGTGTTGTTTATCAGCTTGCATGTTTCGTTCAGGAAATCTTCCCTTCAGTGCCGTTCATTCTTCCAGAACAGTGAACACTGAAACAGTCATGCATCTCCTCGGTTGTGTTCTCATTCCGCACTCCTCTCACAATTATCTCCGATAACCGAAAGGCGAGCAGTCTCTTCCCTAACGGCAGTGTACCGTCAATTGACGTTACGTAATCAGCCCTTGCAAAACTCGGATATTCGGCTCTACGTCAACAACTCACGGGCTCCACTGCCCGCATGAACCCTCGAGGAAACAGCAGGCTTTTTATATCCAGCCGCACGTTCAACGCACCTGAAGACATAGTCGAGCAGGTTTGGATGCTCCGGTGCATCAGTCTATACTCACCCCTGGTTAGTATCATACGCTGATAGATAGAAGTTTGAGGAAGTGTGAATGTTGGACGCCGACGGAGGGGGAAGCCCTGCTATCAAATGTCAATCCGATCCGAGAAGACCACGTAGGGGGCCAAACATTTTGTTCTAATTTGAACATCGGCTTGCAGACGAAATCATTGCGGTGTCACTTCAGAATCGAATGTTCCCTTCTGACGGTCAAACGCTGAACCTATTCCCCCACTCAACAACGCTATTAATCGCCGTGCGCTGGGCCCATTCTAAGACGAAACCATGTGAGGTGCGCATTCAGCTTGACTGCAAGAAATAGGCACTCACGAATGTCGGTGTTATTTGGATCGCCACGGATGACGAAGCCGTGTGTTGTACCGCTGAAGGTCTGGATGTAATATTGTGCCTTCCGTTCAACAAGAATATCCTCAGCGCGACGGCTGGCGTCGCGTGGAAACGCCCCATCGGTTTCTTCATTGTAAGGGGGCTTGAGTCCCGGGAAGTGGAAAGGGTAAAATCACGAAAACGGACCTGCTAGAGTCAGTAACAAGGGTTCTAAGGTGGACATTATCAAAATCTGGTCTGATGCAATCTGAATAGATAGGACTGACGCTTGACTTTCTGGAATTGCTCTTCGGTGACGCGTGACGGATGAGCGAAAGATGCTAAGGGCGCGATCAACCTCCTGAGAAGGGGATGGTTTGTCAAGAAGAATTACCAGCGACGACGTCATCTGTCGCAGCCACATCCAAGGCGTACGGTGCGCCGAAGCAGTACCCTGCCAAAGTTCACATTTATTGAGCCTGATGCGCACAACGCATGAGGTACCCAACGTACCAGACACGGTGTACTTCACGTCCTTCCCTGCATTAAGAAATACATCATGACGTCAGACCACCACTTCGAAGAGGACAAATCGTACCATTGACGCCATATTTCTGCTTCACGGCTTCAAGCCATGGTGGTGTCGCGGCACGCGCCAATGCCGTCTTGTTGTTAAACCACGCTACCATATCGAAGTCGGGCTCATTATCGTGCAAGTAGATGGGGTCGCCGAAGAAGTAATCAGGGCCCAAGACGGTGTAACCTACGGTACAAAGGGTGCGTTCGTTAGTGCCGTTCGTTACTGACAACGATTTAACACGAACACTAACCTTTCGCAGCAATCTGGTCCTGTATGAGTTTCGTATTCTGATAGAGCGGCCCATAGATATCACTGAAGAAAATAAAGATTTTCTTCGGACCCGGGAAGTCCCTTCTCGGGACGGACACGTATGTATCCATCCCCCCGAGGGGGACGACCTCGCCGACGGGGTCACCTTCATGGAGGTGGGTTTTGACGCAGTCCTCGCCTGGGAGCCCGGCGAGGAGGGGCGAGCTCAAGTCGGTACCTCCAAAGACTACTCCTTGTACTTGCACGAGAGACCCAAGGGCAAGAGAAGAGAGCAGGAGCAGGGATTTGATCGTAATCTTGAGCATTGCTCAGGTCGTTTGGTTAATGACACTTGACGGGCAGTTGAAAACCAAGGTGACCTGTGGGGATTCGCCCAGCATCTTTATATACGAACACATTATTATAACGACCACCGCGCCTTCTGTTATGCTCCGCAGTATTCTCCCGCTTCTGGAGTTCAAAAAGGTCTTGCTTGGCATGTGCTGATCGTCTTGGTTATGTGAGCGTAGGCCAGACAAGGAGAGTCAGTTGCTCACTGAACTGGCGTTCTAATTTCACCGAAGTACCCGTTGTGAATGTGGTGTTGACATAGCGGCCAATTGTGCGGCGCCAAGACTGGCTTGAACGCGTGGAGGGCAGGGTTCTATCGGTCGAACAATGTGGGTCAAATGAACAAGAATGGGTAGAAAAGGTTGTCCGAGTATGACAGATTCTGACACTGAAACTTGTTGTTTAAATAAGGTACGCGTCTTTCATGCCACTGTTTGGTAGTCCTACCTTCCGACGACGGCACTTGTCTGATTGTAGTCATCATTGATTATAGCGGACCGAGGGTCATTTGACGCCTGACTGACTGCAACCCAGCGAGGTGACAGTCAAGGAAGGAGCATGGACTGGGTGTTGACAAGCCTATGAGCGATCGATGACGGTGAGCGACGGAAGGAAAAGCCTTCGCAAACGATGAATGCTAGAGAAATAAGCTTCTATTATGTAGACAGCCCAGAAAGCCGAAAGTAACAATAACGTAAGTAAACGCTCCACGATTGAATAGACGAACCTCGAGAAAGCAAGGGAGCAAATCCTCAATCGCCCTCCAACTAGTCGTCATCAATCACAATGACCTCTGCATCTATCGGCACACCGTTGGCACTGGCAACCTCGACACCCTCATCCAGCACCTCATTCGGGTCGTCCATCAGCACCAGGCCGTCCTCCTCCAAGCGTCTCCTCTTGCTGGGGCTTGGCCCATCCTCGAACTTCCTTTTCCCTGATGCTGCGGTGTTGAATTTGGGCTTCTTCGGCGTCGGTGCTAGGTCGATGACTCCATCCTCGAGTTCGACTGGCAAGGGCCGTTTCGTTCCTGTCTTCTTGGGTGTTTCCACCGGAGGTGGCTCAGGCTTTAGTTTTTTCGTTGGCCGGGGTAGTGGTGAAGGTAGAATGTAAGCCTCGTCGGTGTGGTGATTCGGTCTATAGGACCCACGAAGACACGTTTTGGTGAACTCAAGGGAAGGCAATAAGGAAAAGAAGACTCACGGAAGCATGCCAATAGCAAGGGAGATCGTCGACCACTCGCCCTCCTCATCGACGATGGTCAAGAATTTGCCTCTCGTTACATTCAAGCTGTCTAGCGTCCTCTCGAAGTTGTCTTCCCAGTCAGGATCGCTGAGCACTCTCTTGTCCTCATATACCGACACCTCCCTGTCATCATCACCGAGGACACCCTTGACCACATCCCCCAAGAGCGTCCGCGAGGGGTCGCATAGGAGAGGCGCATACGTGTCGCGGCAGATGCCACAATCGGGGTTGGGCGCACTCAGACGGATCGCGCTCAGTGGAACGGAGGGTTTCAACTGGATATGCACGTTTCGCAGTTTCGTGTAAGCCTTTTTGAGCATCTGGAGGGCTTGCAGAACGATGAGGCCAGAAATGATCGCGTTGGTCGTAGCAATGGCTGGGATGATGTTGCCTGCCATCTCTTTGACTTCCCACCGTGTCTTGCCATCGATTCCGTACGCGTATGATCGCAGGTTGGAAGAGGCGGTCACGAAATCAAGCGTGTCGTCGTCGTCTTTGTCGAAGGTGATGACCTCCTCTCCGTTCCGTAACCGTGTAGCAAGACGGTTCGTGCTTCAAAAAAAGATTTAGTCAACGTCAGCGTATGTGCGCGTCAGCTATATTCACCTAGAAATAAAGAGCTCGAGGTTGTCCTTCAAGGATAGCGTACGCTGGTCTTTCAATGCTGGGCCGACGGCAACACCATTCGTATGCCCGTTGGTCACAGCTTTACTGGAACTAGAACTTGCACCACCGCTTCCGCTGGCAACACCGTTGGACGATACAGACGGTGCCAGTCCATTTGCTTGCTTGCCTCGGAAACTCCCGTTCAGAATGGAATCATAATCAAGAGGTATAGGCGGAGACCGGGATTTCCACATGTCGGTCATGCTAAGAAGATTCGTAATGTCTGAATTAAAAACCTACTCGAAAGTGTCAACAAAGAGCATAGACCGAGCCGAAAGGAGCAGACCTTCCGGAAAACCAACTTCGCGGCATCTTCGTTGTGATTACTGCTCCGCAAAGCAGTGCGGACTGTCTTGAACGCCTGGGCCTCTTTTCTAAGAGTAGCAATTTCTTGGGCTGAAATCATTGTTGAAAAATGGGAGGCAATGCATGCAAGATATGTTCGTACCATTCTCCCCCTGCTTCTCTGCATCGTCCAGTTCTCCAGTCGCGTCCTCATCTTCTCCGAATAGTTGTCTGTAGATGTATTAATGAAAGGCGACTGTCAAGGGAAACGTAGCACTTGCCCCATGAGATAGCTTTTGCTCCATACAATACAGTGGATGGGTTGACTTGGAGTCGAACGGATCGTGCACACGGGAAAGGTTTTCGGGGTTGGTTTTGGGATGCAGTCAAAGCATTCCGCCGTATCCTGAGGTAATCAAAGAGTAAGACACTAACTCTTCCGTCAAAAGTTTCCTGCGCGCACTTTCAGGAGAGGTTGAACCTGCCCAAGATAACCTGCCGTCCCCGACTCCACCAGCGGGACTTGCGCGGCTATGCACATTTTGTTCACGTGTCTCCGGGCGTCTAGTATCATCCGAGCGGGTAGAAGGCGGATGGTAGACAGTAAGGGGAAGGACGCGGTGTGTAGATAAGAGAGGATTTTGGCTGACATTGGAGGATGGTGGCATACCGAGGTTGTCAAGAGCATTCAGAACAATGTCGAATTGCTGGTACCATTGGATGTCGTATTGCGGCTCCTTGATGTTATCATGTATTGGAGTTATCCGCACGTTCGGGTTGAAGTGAGCAGCGGTTTGTGCTGCTACCTAGATCGACGTTGAAGCCCAGTCGTGGAGATGTAGCGTTTACCAGGAGAAGGAGAGGAACAAAGTATAATTGGCAAGTGTTCAGCAGAAAAAAGAAGTCGCAGAACGTACAAGAGCCTTGCTCTGCTTCACGTCCTTCTTCTTGAAGAGGAATTGGCGATTGAGGTTGGACAAGTCGATCGTGTCCAAATCAAGGAGTGTAATTTTGCCGAAGCCTGTTAAAACAATGTTCTTCACTGGTGGGCGGCACCAAAAGTCAGCATAAAAAATCGTAATGAGAATATTGTTGCTCACACAACTCGCACCCAATGCCTCCGGCACCGACGAGTAACACGTTCGTGTTGGCAAGTTGAGAATGTAACTCTGGTCCCAAGATAGCCTTCGCGTGCGCGGTGCGTGCTTTCGCTGTCGACATTCTTTTCAAGTCTGCGCAGAGAGATCTAATAAAGGGAAAAGAGGTGTCTCGGCGTCGGAAGTCCAAAGGCTAGTCGTTGACAGAATGAGTGAATCAGAACACTGAACAATGACATTGCGATGGCAGACGCGGTGTCACGTTCGATGCGTCAGATCACGTGTCGTTACATGTTAAATATGACTTCGCCGGTTCCTCAGAGTGCTTGCTCTTGACCTGCCTGGACTTTAAGCACCACCCACAATGTCCTTCTCACAGGACCGCTCTTTGCCTCAATATTCACCCTAAGTACAAACGGAGAAAATAATCAGGAGCTCTACAGCGAAATGACCGCAGTCAGACGATTGAAGGTCCCTACCCATCGCGATGAGATGTTTTTTTTTCTAAACAACGAATGACCTTGCTTTCCTGGATTAAAGCCAATGCGGAAGAGCAACTCCTGGTGGCTATTCTGATGTAGGCTCAATTGGAACGGCCTGCTGTCTCTGCGCAAAACATGCCTGTCAGCCTCTTCAGGCGTCTTTTCCTTTCTGCCCCTTCTCTCGCTTTCAGTGCCCCAAGAGAACTCCGGAATGCATCCAAGGCTCTCCCTAGCTACATTATGGCTGGCTGGCTGTGTGCGGATATTTTCCGCCCACGCCCTTCCCTCAAATTCTTCCAACCTTGTGGCGCGGACAAACGGTCCAAGATTCGTGGTTGCTCATATGATGATAGGGAACACATTCCCATTCCAGGAAAGCGACTGGAAAAATGGTAAGTTGGTTCTAACTTGGAATACATGAGACCAACTCACTTTCTCCTCAGCGATTGCCCTGGCGTCGTCGAAAGGCATAGATGGTTTCGCACTTGACATTGGCCGAGATGGCTGGCAGCCGGGCAGGGTAGCGGACGCCTATAAGGCGGCAATCGGGACGAATTTCAAGCTTTTCCTCACCTTCGACATGGCGTCTCTTCCTTGCCAAAAAGAAGAAGACGGGGCAATCCTTCGTCAACTTGTAACTGCTTATGCCAAGCACTCGAACCAGCTGCTTTACAACGGAAAACCTTTTGTCTCGAGTTTTGGTGGACAGAACTGCAGGTTTGGGACCGACCATATGGACGAAGGCTGGGCGAACGTGTTGAAGAAGGACCTGACATCCGTACACTTTGTTCCGGCGTTCTTCATGGAGCCACCCATTTTTCCTAGTCTCAAATCCATCGACGGCGCCTTTGCTGTGAGTTAATATCGGGTTTAAAACCGAAATATTTACTGAACACCTGTTTGCAGTGGGACTCATCGTGGCCTATGGGAAACTACGACATCAACTCCGGATATGACGACGAATACCTTAAATACCTGCCAGGGCGGACGTATATGGCCGGTGTCTCGCCGTGCTTCTTCACTGTCAGTCATTCTCCTGTCTCCTAACGTCCATAATCCTCACGCCGTTCTAGCACTATGGCCACGATACCTTCGATAAGAATTTTATTTTCCGCTCCGATGGTTGGCTTCCTGCCACCAGGTGGGAACTTATCCACAAGTATCGGAACGAGATCGACATAGTGCAAATCATAAGCTGGAACGATTTTGGCGAATCGCATTATATAGGGCCTATCGTTGGAGCGCAACCTATGTCCGAGGCATGGACGACGGGATTCGACCATCAAGGTGAGCTGAGTGTCAGCCGTCTTTGAGTCATTGGATTAATTTTTATTCTTAGATTTCCTCGACCTTATGCACTATTATATTATCGGCTATAAGACAGGCAGGTTCCCCGAAATTCAAAGCGACCGAATTTTCCTCTGGGGAAGGCTATACCCGGCGCAAGCAGACGCCCCGGACCCTATTGGCAAGCCTATTAACTTCCAATGGGTAAGGTTTTTAATCCAATTTTCGTTCGTTCCATCATGCTCACCCTCTCCTTCACCGTCGGACAGACGAAGGACTGCGTCTGGGGTCTTATATTCCTGACCGACCCAGCCCATCTTGACCTGTCGTGCGGTACCAAGAACCTGAGCGTACAATTACCTAGCGGGGTCAACAAGGTCAATCTACTTCTGACGGAGGATTGCAGCGTCCGCGCTGTGCTGACGAGGAAGGGCAAAACGGTTCTCGACTTCAAGCCCCCTGGGTACAACTTCGCCAGGTTCCCTAAGAACTATAATTTCAACGCCTTCATCGCCGCGTCTCCGCCATAGGTCGTAAGTGGGAGTGGAGGGAAAGTAGGAAGTGGGTCCTTTCGTGGATGGTTTATCCGTTTGGACAGTGGCTTGGCCGGGGCCCCTCTTTTCTCATTCGTGCCGTTGTATAGAGGCAACTTCGTCTTTCGTTTATATATGCGTTCGTTTTGTCATTGCGTCACTGAAATGCACGCGGTCGAGGACTTCGATCGAATAAGCTTCGTGCGGAACCGGTTAGTGCTTTCGCGCAACTGGAATGGCCAACAACGGAGTTCCCAAGAAGTCTGCAATTGGACGTGGACAAAAATATCGTGATGATCTTGCAGGGATCTACCCCGCGTATTCATTCGATGTTCCATGTGTAGCATTTCCAGTCGCTGAAATATGTGCGCTGTTCCAACTGAATAGTGACCCTAAATGAACGCCGTGTACACTTCAAGAAATCCCAGATGGGATGCTACTCAAGTAAAATTAAGAACTCTCTGGTCGTCAGTACGCAACTGTGGCCACAGAGCCCAGCTATTACCCCGTAATTTATATTTTCGCAGTAATATTCTTCAGCACCGTACTTCAGGCTTGGGTCCCGACGGGTTTTGGTGAAGTACCGAAGACTTAAGTTCGCGATGTGATACCCAAGGTCGGTATCCGGACGAGTCCCCAACTCCCGCATTTTGCCGCACCGCCAACGCACATTTACTCTCTTCCTTTATTTTTGCTTTGCAATAGCCATCGAAATACTGAGCCAGCTGAAATCTTAGAGGCCTGGACAGGTCCAGGTGCGATTATGCTTTCTTTCCATAAATAGAAATATCCCGCCATTGTGGCGCCCACGGCCCTGCCAAGATACCAAGCCTTTGTTGTGGTGACGATGAGCGGCTATATGAACGCAATTGCACCAAGAAGGCATAGCGGTGAAGCAGATAAAGTCAAATTCCGGGTAGTGAAGAAAGGAAAGGCTACTCATAGCTGTGAGCCCGGAGGATTGGTTGGGACAATTTCCTTGTCTGAGCTACGCTTCGACTTCTCACGGAAAAGTTGCATGAAGAATACATTTTTAGCGGAATTGTGTTAGTATATAGTGGATACAAATATGTATATTTCGGGGCCCACCAAATAAGGGGCCTGTCAGCGCCGTCCAAGATATATATTCTTGTTTGATTTCCCTTTCATGGTTACACGATGACAGTTAAGAGACGCATCCTGTTTACACTCGCAATTCAAGGACGGAGACATATTGATACTTGGCACCGACTCCTAATCGACGGCCTTCTGGAAGCGGAGTAATTTAAATTTGTTCACCTGGAAGTAATAAAGCTTCGACCGATCCGGGGACCTACAAAAATAATTAAAGTTGGCGCCTTTTGCAGGTGTAAGATGAGAAGCTACCACCTGCGAGGGCGAGATCCCTGGAAATCTGGAGATATGATCCTAAGCGTATAAATACATTAAATTCTTTGCTACCTCCCGCTTCTAAGAAGACAAAATGAAAGCCCAAGTTGCTCTGAGATCCTCATTTTGTGAATACCATGAGGCTCTACCCTAGAGCATCCAATATCTCTATCCGCGCTCTCTGGATATCTCGCAACAACAGGCTCTACAATAACATCTCCTTTAAATCGTCGTGAGAGCCCAGTGACCCAAGCAAGCCTGGCCAACACGTCAACTATTTGTTCGTGCATATTTATCGATACAAGGAGGCAGGACCATGAACGAGACTAACAAACAGGCAAAAACTTTTCACAACTTGTGATCGGAAGGAAGAAGCTCAAGAGCCCCATGAGAACAACCAGCTTGTAGAAGATGGGTTACCCACCATCGGATCCACCTAGATGCTCCAAGCACGGTCTGGACTGAATTGCAGCATTCTGTTCCCTCCCTTGGACTCTCTTATGCGCTAGACGAGTGGTCAGCTGCATCCAGGGGAAGGTGTTCCCGAAGCTCGTTGAGGGGTCCATGGGAGCAGCATAGGGCTTGAAGCTAACTCTTTTACTCACCCCAGGTCTTCTCCGTATCATATCAATGGTAAACACCTGTTTTTCGGAGGAATCCATGCCTTATGACACGTCCGAAACGCAACCGGTTCGTGATGGACCTATATTTAGCGCCAAGGCCGCCAGCATCGCATAGCGCATAAAAAGTGCAACCCAACAATTCCAGGATTGTATCTCATTACGCAGTGAGCTGCTGATTGTCGTCTCCATCCTCTGCAGAGCAGAAACGGAGGCGATGAAAGGCGAACGAGAATTAGAGCATTTCACAGCTTCGGATGTATTACGGCTTCCATCACTGAACTTGCTCTGCTTGGTTGTGTGCCGCCACATCAGCTAAATTTAGCACTCGGCAGAATACATTAATGGGGAAATAAAGAGAAGTGCATGTGTCAAGAATGTCATCGTTGAGCAATTCGGTTGGTGGGCTGAGAATTGCCCCGGCACGGGGTAGTTTGGAACATGTATTCTTGCGGTGGGGCTTGAATTTCACGGTCTGGAAGTATGGGGAAGTCTTCCTTATGGACAATTCCGTTGTCCAGATCGGAACCACAGATTTCTGTCCAACGTTCGTTGCATGTGGATGTCTTCTATTCAGAATTCGTCGGATTAAGTTTGAATTCACGTCAGGTGTATCTGTAGTTTGAAGTTGATTTAAACGCTCTCGCCCATTAGACTCCTCGGTTCTAGGAGGCCGTGTCTCTATCCTGATGCTTTACTAGTATTCTATCCTCAACCGCGGTCCAAAATATCCAGCGCCGTTGCTCGTAAGATTGCTCTGCAGATGGGGAGATAAAGACAGTGGCGCGCGAGGAGACAGTGAAGAAAAGAATTTAATGCGCCTCCAACAAATCTTACTTGGCGGTCATATCCATAATCCAAAGTTTCCTTAGCGTTCTCTTACGTGGGGGTCCGTGATCATAGGTTTCTTCCTTCATCCGGACGAACTCCAGTTCGAGCTAGCGGATGAATTTGCGATCAGGCGAAGTACAACTGATAAATAAATAAAGACTTCGCCTTTTCCCCACTTGTCATTTCCTCCCGTTCCCAATACTTAATCCCTGACGTGGCCCCTCAATTTCTCCCATCCTTTTCTTCGTACCCTCATGGCCACCCACCACAACGGATCAACTGGAGACCTCGAGAAGGGGGAGATCAGAGCCACCAGCCCTCACCAAGCGCTCGGTAACGATGCGGTGCTACCAGCCACCTACTCACAAGCCGTTCGTCCCTCAAGGATTGGCAACCCTGGCGCTCTGTATGTTCATCACTGTCGAGAAGTTGTGATCCTTTTACTAATTCGATTGCCGACAGTGGGCTCTTTTCCTTCGCATCCACGACATTAATTTTGTCGCTGTACAACATCCGGACACGAGGGATCACGCACCCCAATCTTGTTGTCGGCATGGCCATTTTCTGTGGTGGACTCGCCCAACTCCTTGCTGGCATGTGGGAATTCCCCCGAGGCAATGTATTCGGCGGAACTGGTGAGTAGCGCCGATCTGATATGCTAGGGTATCACGGGCGGCAACGGGCTCGTCGATTTACTTTCGCGAGCCGGATATACATCCGTCCCCATTCCCCGTCCTCATTCCCATCCGCATCCTAAGCGCTCTTGTCGCTGCGATGTCATTGGGCTGCTAAATTAGCCTTTCTCGGCGACTTGGCGTCGTCTTTTCTCTTGGCGTTCTCGTTTTCCTTACGGTCTTCCGCGCTGACCCGATGTTCTAGCCTTTACATCATACGGGGCGTTTTGGATGTCGTACGCTACTATCTTGATTCCGGGAAGTGGAGTGGGTGCTGCCTATGCAGAATCCCCCGATTCCGAATTCCAAAGCGCCGTCGGGATCTACCTCATCACTTGGTTCCTGGTCACCTTCTTCCTGCTCATTGCCGCGTTGCGCAAGAACGTCGGATTCATCTTCCTTTTCGCGTTCTTGGCTGTCACTTTCCTGCTGCTCGCGATTGGAGAATTCCTGAACTCTGTCAAGTATGTTATTCGATTGCAGTGGAGATCGATTTCTCATCCTTTTTACAGTACGACCAAAGCTGGAGGCGTTCTCGGCGTCGTTACTGCGTTTATAGCGTACTATATCGGCCTAAGCGAGCTTCTCGCCGCGGAAGACATGGCCGTCACTCGTTTGCCTCTTGGAATCTTCAACAAACGCGTGAATTGATCCAGAGCCTACGTAAAACGTTGCTTCCATAATTCTCTCCCGGAGTCAAATTTCGTACCAGTTGCCTCGCATGCATGCATACCTTTTTTCCTCTCTTTTCTCCCAAACGATGTAAGATTGTGAAGTATACTTATTCCTTTGAATGGTTTCGCCTCCTGTACATGTAATGATTAGTATTTTTGAACTAGGTCACTAGGATACTAGTACTTATGTTTATCATGAATTGGCGCCGCATATACCTCCTCAATATTCTCCAGCGACCTTCAGAGAAACTTAAATGTTCGTTCTAGTTCTATTGACCGGCCCACCGTCGGTCCGCCAGTGCATGTGAAGTCCTGTTCTGGATCCGGAGGACTAACTACTGCTCAACTTCTCCAGCAAACAGAACCACGAGATGCGCTTGAACAATGTCGGGTCACTCGAATGCTTGGACATGACAGCTATCTGCAAAATCGTAGACGTTTCCGAAAAAGTCTGACGTCTGCGCCAATGCTTACTGTAAGCATCCTCGTTAGGCAGGATGATGGCAGGGCTTAGTAGCGGATTCAAAAAATTCCTAGATTAAGCAGTGAAAAAACTGGGCGTAATCTACCCATTTCCTCGGGGCTCTCATCCATTGAGAACGGAATTTATGAAGAACTATGTGGCATATATTTCAAGCTACGTAACACAAATTTTTCAAAATTCTATCAATCACGTCGTAGGCTGGGATTGTGGCACGAGCACGTCGTCGGGGATGTAGACGACGGTGGTGATTGAGAAGGAAGCACGGAAAGTAGTGGAGCCACCGCGTAGGGGGTCGAGGGAAACGTCGCCTGGGCGAAGAGCGGGGTCCACGACGATGGTGGCCACAGTAATGGAAGAGGGAAGGCGCAAGTCGGACGAGGGGAAAATGGTGGGCGTCGTTGGTGGGCGTCAATGTGGGCGTGATGTGGGCAGTGAAGGATATGGTGGCGGCAGAGATGATGGTCGAAGGGAAAGAGTGAGTGCAAGATGCGTGGGACCGATTCGCGAACCAGCATCCCGGGCTCGGGCCGGTATCTAAGGAGAAGGTGCTGGATCTCGTCTACAGAAGTAGGACTTGACGTTCAAGGCCATTGAGTTTTCACTTTGCGAACATTGAGCGAAAAGTGGAAACAATTGACAACTACAAGTAGTTTATGGGTTCCAAGATTGAAAAATGTGACAGAGGACTATGGATTAACAATAAATTGCGAGGCTACCTATGGAAGACAAAATCTTACTACAGTCTACTCCAAGAACAGTAACATCTCTAGGTCATGCTGTGTAGTGATAATTCCACCAGGAACTGCATCCTTTGATCGAGACACAGCAGAATTCAGGTTGTGTGGATATCTCGCCTGGTTTGCCACGCCTGCCCAATCCCAGTCGATAAGCATGATGTTAGCACCATCTTCGGTTGCCTCAGGCCGCTTCACCAAGATGTTGACATCACGAATATCACCGTGAACAAAGCCTGCCAAATGTAGGTCATTGACGGCCTGAGTTACACATTTTCGAGTCGACTCCAGTGCTGACGACCCCTGTTGAGACTTCAAGTCATAGTATGTCACGTAGTTGGCAGACACATCCTCCATGACAACCATATGCCATCCGTACACCTGATTGACAGCGAGGAGTTTCGGTGCATTGCCGCACTCGAAGGCAGACCTATGTGCAAGCTCGGAGTAGCGTTGGGTAAACTTGACGTAAAGTTTCGTCTGCTTATCATCCACCAAACGAGCTCGAAAAACTTTCTTGTCCTCAAGGATTTCGTCATAAATGAATTTTTGCTTCTTGTCACCGACTTCAAAGAAATCGCGGAATGGGAAATCACAACAGGGGAGTGGGGAGTCGGACTTTCCAAAGGTAGCATAGTAATTCTGCAAACGATGGAGAGCGAGACGCAGTGAAGCCACAAAGCGCTCCCCAGCCTCCAGGTCGTGAGTGTTTGAGTGCGCATGGAGCGGTATGCAGGTAAGGTGCTCAATGTTGGGCTGAGAGGAGCTGTGGGTAAATGTTCCGACTGCCAGAGCCAGATACGGCCCTGTGATAATAGTCAGAGTCGGGCTTGAGGACGATGAGGAAAGCACTAACCAAAGTGGAGAAGGATGATCACGGGGAAATTGAGGCGCTTCAGGTCATCCTCAGTAAATTTGTCCGTAGCTAGGCAGGCGCGGATCAACTCAATCCAGTAGCAAATCGCCTCTACAAGAGGTTCTGCCTTGCCAGTCGTCACCTCGTTCTTGACCTCTTGGATGTAATAAAACAACTCCGCAAGTTTGGCGCCGACCAGCAATCGAATGTCACCATTGGTGTGATATTTGGTGCCAGGTATGAAACCTCGAGCGAGTAATGCATCGTCTGGAAGAATTTGTGTCATGATTCTGATAAGTTCATCCCGACGGAAGTCCTCATGTGGAAAAATACCCGTCAGGGCGGTTCGAAGAGACCGAAAGATCCGGATGTCGTCGGTGGACGGCGTAACAGTGTTAAGATCGTGGCGCAACTGACAGAGCGTCTCATTGAAGAGCGAGGCTGGGACCGTGGCTTCTCGATTGGCTGGACGTCCGTATAGAAGGGCACGTTGGTCATTGTTCTGAGTGGTGATCATGTTCGATAGTTTTGCCTCGGAGGAGGGTGGCTTAGTCAGATTGCGGGCAAAGAAGTTCTGTCGTGGGGAAGATGTCTCTTGTTGAACGGTCACAACGTCGCTTTCTTCCGCCTTCTGCGTATCCTTTTCGGCAGTGACGACTAGATGGAGGATGTCCTTGTTCTCCACTTTCTCATTCGAGATAGCTTTGGCAAGACTGTTGGCCCCAGGAATTCGCGCTAATTTCACATTCTCCAGCCAATTGTCTTCGACGGTATCTCGAACAGGGATGTCATCCACAGGCTGCTCGCAGTCGTCAGCGCACCAAGCCAACATCAAAGTTTAGTTCCCTCACCTTGAAAAACCTGAATCGTGCGTCGATTCTCGCAACAAAGTGGTACTCCTCCAGTATCTTTTCGGCGAATAGCCTCCTGAGATCCTGAATCATCCCTTGAAACTGTGAAGTTGAGATTGTGATTCCGAGACAATCTGTCGGGGCTGGCTGGAAGACCCAATTTATGATAACATTTTCTTTGACCGACGACGAAGATTTGGCCTGTTGCAAGGGTACAGATTCTGATCCTTTCTGAGATCTAAGAGCAGGCGCCACGGAAGTCAGCATGGTGTGTACGCACACGGGTAGTGACTCATGAGACAGTAAGTTGGCCCCCAGCACGTGATGGCTTACATTACATAACACTCTCAAATGTGTGAACGGTCGTGGGCAGGTTCTCGTGCTCCATCCAGGGCACCGAGCGCTGGGTGACCGGTGCAACCTTACCATAAGCTGCAGTTGACGTCAGCAGAAGCGGACATGTGGAAAACGTCTACAATTTTGCAGAGTGGCCAGAGCTCACTAGCGCTCATCCTCGAATGGAAATAGTGTCCTGCGCATTGTCTGTCTGTCAAAGGGGCCACTGATGCGCTTTGGCATGCCAGGGAGGAATATAAAGAAGTGGGTTGGTCTAGAGGACCCCTCACCCTCCTGACTAACAACCCTTTTGCCAGCAGCCCATTCTTCAGCCAAACCTGAGTCACGACAACTTGAAGCGAGCCAAAGAAATGTCTTCGAATTCTGAAACAGTGGCATCGACCAGCAAGAGGACACTCTCCGTCGATCGCCAGTTGGGCGGCGAAGGCTCTTTCGCTCCCATCGAGTTCAATGGGTCCGACTCGGGTGGATATCTGTCCGACGACGAGAAAGAGAACAACGCATCGTTTGAGAAGTTTGTCATGGGGCCTCTTGGAACTCCAGGACTTCGCTTTCCGCTGCGCAAATACCTCAGCGAGGCCGCGTTTCCGGATTTTAGCTCACCGACGCGTCCGCCGCTTTTGTACCTCAAGACGGTGCCCCGCGCCGCCCAGTGGCCTAAGTTTCGCCACCTTGTGATGCCTACTGGTACCCGCACGTTGAGGGAGGTTGTTCACTTCCAGTCTTGGACCTTGAATTTTCAGATCAAAGAAAGTGCGTCGTTTCGCCCTTGTCTTTCGTCCGAGACTTGACCATGTTTTGTTCTCAGTGTTGGCCGATTACAACGCAGCAAAACTGGCTTTAGAGGAGCCGGTCCCAGGCGAACCTATGAGTCTCGAATTCCGCCTTCCGCTCGATCACGTGGTCGATTTCGAGCCCAGAGACCTAGCATTCTTCGACAACATCAGGAACGAGGACGACATGTTCATTCTCTTCAAGCGCTACATCCTCGACACCGCCTCAGAGGCTTGTCGTTTCATGCATCGTGCTCCGCCCAAGTCGCCCCTTGCAGAGAGCTTCAAGTTCCATCCTGCGAACAGGCTTTGCCCCGCCCACCATGCTCGTTGGGATATCTATGCGATGGGTCCTCAGCATGAATGGAGCACGAGCATCCCCCTTATCGTCATCTTCGTTCCGCCCTGGGAGTTTGGCACCGAGGACTTCAAGCAGCTGGCCGCGTTGCAAAAGTTCGACCATGGTATTCTTGATGTGTTGGACAGGAAGACTTACGTTGCCTCCGACGTCCTGTGGGCCATTGCCTATGAGGCCCTTCGATCGGGCAAAGGACACAAGTTTGTATTCACTAATTATGTTCATTGGGCGTTCGGGTTCTTTGATAATGGTAAGTCGCTCTTTTTCTCTCTAGCTTAGCGTCAGCGCTGATTTTGATTTAGACTATACTCAAGCCATCATATCCGACGTCCGTGAGGCCCGACTCATTGATGCTCATGGCCGACTTGCACCAATGGGATTCCAGAGGGGTTACAGTGTCCTCGAAATGTTGATCTTTTGGATGGAGTATAAGCATTGGCTTAGGTTCGGCCCTTCGCTTTGAGTGTCATTCTCGCACGGCTTTTCGTTCAACCAATCTTCTGAATTTCTGAATCCTTCCGCATATTCAAATGTATTCTTCGAGTTATGATGTTGTCAGAATGATTTCCTGCTTACTGCTATGCTACTATGTCCATCAGTAATAATGTTTATGAATGCTGGAGGCACGGCGTCACGCCGGAGAAAACGGCCCGTTTAACCACTGCCAGTGTTGCGGCTCAAGCGCTCAAGCGCTCATGGCTTACTCTCAAACACCTTCGACGATCAGACATGTTCAACTCAAAGTTCTTCCGAAACATAACGTCCTAAACCCCTCGATCATGCGTCAATCCATTCCCATTTATATAAAAATCCTTGGATAAGGATGAGACCGTTTGACTAGCTCTGTCGAAGCTCTCAAGAAAATGCTGAAACTCAACCCCAATACCGGAATCCTTCTTCTCGTCTCCTGCTTGTTTCTGAGATGCATGGAAATAGCTACTTCCAGCTCTTCATCACCTGTCCTTGCTGGACCACCCAACAAAGACTGTCTGAAGACCGTCCGGCGCGATGGCACGCCAGCTGGCAAGGTCATCTTCATCGGCGGAATGAACACCTACGTCTCATGCCCTCACAAACACGCTAAAGGAGCGAAGAAAATCCTTTTGTTCTTCCCGGACGTGTATGGCCCATTCGACCCCAACGCAAAACTAGTGCAGGACCAGTATGCTGCGAACGGTACCTTGGTATCTCTCTAGTTTGAGACACGTTCTGAATGCTAGATGTGCTACCCCAGGATTCACAGTTCTAGGTCCAGACTATTTCTTTGGCGACTACATCTCTCTACATCTGAACCACACGAACTTCCAGACCGTACCGTGGATCCATAACAAGACCGTTATAGCAAGAGAGGCGATGCCAGAGTGGCTTGGGGCTGTTAAACAGAAATATGGGCCGAATGGTGAGAGTCGATGTTCGCGTCCTTAAGGCTGCTCGTTGCTGATGCTCTCTCGTTGTGCATCATCGTACAGGCCAAGAGTACAAGTACACCGTCGTCGGTGGGTCGCTAAGCCTGACATGTAGTTTTCACCTTATAACACATTGATCAGGCTATTGCTTTGGTGCACCAAACGCCTTGGACGTTGCTGCGACAAATGACGTAGTGGCTGGTAATTGTCCCACTGAAATCTCGTGTTTGCAAATTTATCTGTTCTATTTAGCGTCCTTTGCCCATCCATCATCCTTTGTAACCGAAGCACAATTCCGGAATCTCAAGCGTCAGTATCCACTTCGCCTTTGATGGTCAAACAATTTGACTAACAGCGCACCCAGAGCCTCTACTGATAATCCTCGCCGGTTTGTCCAACAAATTTTCAACATCGAGAATATCAAGCTCACCTCCAATCTTGTAACAGAAAGCGACACCGTGTTCCCAAAAAACGCTAGTCGTCGCACTGAAGACATTCTTGTCGAGGATCACGCAAATTATTACATCCAGACCTTCAGTGGTACCACCCACGGGTTTGTGACTCGCGGCGACCGAAATAATGCCACCATTCGTACGCTCTCATTCCATCAACGAAACTCCAGGAAGCTAACTTGGGTCGTACTTCAGGATGGAGCCAGGACACCGCGATTCAGAGTGTCGTCAATTGGGCAGATAGGTTCAATGATTGACCAGACACTTGTTCGAGAACAAACCCTGCAGCCCATAGAAATCAGCGATTCAACATGAACTCAATGTACAATATTTGCTTGTTATGAAGCATTTGAAGAAAGAAAAAAAAAGAAAAAAACCAGACGGCCTGAACGTTGGGGAAAACCAACAACCAAGAAGCAAACTGACCCCGAAAGCATGGTACTAGGCTTTTAAAATAATTATGCAATGTTTCTCCCATATTTGTGCGATCTGTGCCTTTTTCCAAGGCCCGGTCGACGTTGACGGATCGTCTTGTATCAGACAAGATGTAGGGCGTGATGGTCGACGACACTGGAATCGTCATGGGGGTCTCTGGAGGATGGTAACGTCGATAAGTGAATGCTATGGCTTCAAAGGTGCTGATACTACCGGCTCGTCTGCCTGCCTCCTCTTCCAGCCGAAGCTATTTACATTCGAAGCAGATGGATCGTATGCCTTCCTCTCCGGATCCATCACTCGCGCATACTCGAGGAATAACCTATGAGTCCAAGCCGGATGATCAGAATTTCATGAGCAAGGGTGCGAATGCAAAGTTGGTCTCACCTGAACATATACGCCACCATGTCTTCCTTCCTCCAGAAAGACTTGCTCCATTCACGGCCAGCTTTCGCAATCCTCTTTGCATGATCGTCGTGGGCGCCATTGCATGAGGGATCGCCACGGAAGAACGTCAAGACATCCCAGAGATCTGACAAGTCCACTTGTATTGGGACGTAGTGAACCCAAGGAGCAACACGGTCGGTATACCTATGCACGCCATCACAATCGGTGCCCACAAACGGTGAGAAAGGAGAGACGACAGACCATTCAGGGTATATCGTCGACTTGAAAACAAGAGCGTTGGAGGTTATCAGCCTCTTGAAACGACTCGACCATCCGTTACCATCGACCTGCATTAAAATCAGCAGAGGCAAGCCCGAACGAACTAGGACGGCGTACGTCAATAACATATTTATACCTTCCCGCCTCGCCCCCGCTCTGATAGCGTCGAAACTCAAAAATCTTCTCCAGCCTTTCGCACATCTCAGGTGGGCAACTCAACGGCTCGCCAGCAAAGGCGATATCAACCATCGCTGGCGCCCAGAATGCCTTGCGAACATCAGCACCAAGTCCCACCTTCTGACCCTCCTCAACGGGCATCAAGATGGTCACATTTTTGCTAAGATCGCCAAACTTATCGAGGTCGAGGTCATACCCATCCCCTGCCCATCGAACCAGCCTCGCCCTTTGTGCCAAATCCCACCTTCTGTCGTCATCATGCCAAATGCCGGTGTTGCTGCCTCTCCACTGTAGCCGCGGGTCCCATCTCTCTTCCCACTGCGGATCGTCCTCGCGCGGCTCAATGTCCTCAATCCAGTTGATTGGCATCGCAGAGATGAAGTCGTGGTGTAGTCTTGTCACGCAGAAGGAGAACTGTGGGACAAGGGTGCGATGCGGAACTGGGCCGCGTCGGTGTGAGATAAACTGGCCATGCAGAAGAAGATGGGAAGGGTGTAGGCAGGGGTCCATGGAGCGGTAGTGGTCGTAAATAAAGGTATTGGAGTTGGAAGACTGGGACGTTGGTGGTCCGCCCCAGTTGATTCGCTGATTGCGAGCTGGGGATTTGGGTGCGCAGGCCGCTATCCAGCCGGAAAGTTTGGCAGGAAGTGCTTTGTTTATGTCGATATCTACGACAGTCAAAGTCAGAATCGACTTCAGAAAGGGAGAAAGCCAACAAACGGACATTTCCCAGCAGCAGCGGCTTCAATCGCCATCTCTCTGAGCTCGTAATCTGTCGCCAAGTTTGGGTTGTCGTGGGGCGAAAAGACAGCTCTGAACGGTGGTATCGAGCGCTCAATCTCCTTAAGCAGTTCCATAATCTCGTACGCGCCCTTCGCGAGTCCTGTTCGCGAAACATCACCTCCAGGAAGAGAGCAATTCTTCAACGCAATGGGCTCCTCCATCGTATCTTTCCCGACAGTAAACGAATCTTCATGGGCTTCCCAATCGTGCTGAATCTTTAACAGATCCTTGGGATTCATGCCATGAAATGGCTCCAGGTCTCGATAGATCTGGTCATACTCGTCTGGCAGTTGCACGTTGTGATATTCGACGTACGCCCACCTGAACAAAGTACACAACTTAGCGCATATATTCAACAAAAGCAGCGGTAAACGCACCAGTCGTCGAAGCCAGGCGGAGGCATTCGTTTGTATCGTCGTTGGTACTCTGCAACAGCCTGCTCGAGCGTCTTGCTCGCCCGCAGCAGTTTTTCCTCCCATTCCTTTTCAGCTCGATGCATCAGTTCGAAGATCGGGTGCGGTCCATTTGGGTTGACCTCTAGCAGTCCATCCGTGCGATAGACGTGCTTCTCCAGGCTGTCCGTTCGACCTCCTTCCTCGTTTTCGCTACTATGCCCAACATCCAGAACCTTCTGCTTTGTGCGTGCATGCCAACTCTTTCCTATCCGCGCCCGTGTCCAGTTGAGGCCCGTCCAATTTTTCGGCTGTGGAGGTTTTGCAGGACCAGTAGTGGCGGTTTCTCGGTCGGGTACTTGGAGACCCTGGCTGAGGAAAAGTGTGAGCACCATCACGCAGAGCAGGCCAAGCGACCTCCTCGCCGCACGTCGTGGGCTGATTGCGATTGCGCTTGCGCCGAGCATGGCTTAGGACGTTACTTCAAGGTATCGATCGGGCTTCCTGTATGAGTTACGCGTCGTCGCTGAGCAAAAGGTGAGTATATGCCCCGAGTTTGGAGGGCGAATGGGCTCCACGCGAACGGCGAACGAGTACAGCCTAGAGGTAAGAGCCAAGAGGGACTGTATGATCGATTTCATGAACGGTCGTGGTATTCAAGAATGGCGGATTCGTGTCTTGAATGTCCAAAAGAAGCCGTCATCTTTCCTTCTTTGGGATGGCATCATCACTATTCCTGTTCTCCCGCCAGCGGCTATGACGAGTCAGCGCAGTGGATCCAAGCGAGAGACCCGACGGATAGCTTAGTGATAAACACAGGTTTCATTGTCTGACCACCTGCGAATCAGCCATGAGTATCGAAGTCAGAATAGCGAGTGAGCAGAGCTCACTGAATAAAAATACAACAATAATCAAGTGTAGAATCAAGTTCAAAGGCACAACTATACAGAACCTGGTCCATGATTAGCCTTCTCCGGACTTCCTACATCTCTCTCCGAGATGTCTTCCTCGGACGGCTGCGTCACCACGGCCATATCAATCCTGGCTTCGTCATGTTGTGTTGGTATAGGGTCGGAGACAGCAGCAGTACCGCTCGACCCATATGGCAAGAAGGTGGTGCGCTTTCTCTCGCGGGCTGTTGGGGCAAGTTCGCGGGATGTGAAATTCCTCGTCTGTGTAGGCACTTCGTACACCCAGACAGAGAACCTGATGTTGCGGTAGACACGGCAAGTGAGAATGCCCACAACTACAAGGTGGCAGCTGATAAGCATGACGTTCGTCGGTACTTCCGCGAGGTAAAAGATGAGGACAAGAACGAATTTCGTCAGGGTGATGAATCTGAGTAGCGAGTGTGAGCAAAGGAGTTCAAATAAAGGCGGCAGCATCGGGGGAGATGAAGACTTACAGACAGTCGAACTGGCTGTCTTGCAGAACTACCTTGGGCAAATGCGGGAGAGGTTTCCCAGAAATCAGAAGGCCCAACCTTTGAAGCCTTGAAACGCCGTTCCTTGGGTACAATGTATATAGTTTGCAAGTGACAGCCGAGAATATCAAGACATCATTCAGTAATAGGACAAGACACGTCGATCCAAAGAGGTTGCGATTCGTCAACATCTCGAGGCAGAATCGATCAGCAATCGATGTCGTCGAAAAACAGAGCGGAAGAGTGGCCGACATGGCAATGGTCGCTAGCCAAACGGTGGTAAAAATGGCGAGGACGATTTTGTTGCTGTGATAGACAGCGTATATGCGAAGGTAAAAGAGTGTTGAGATGCAACATGAAAAGATGGCAAGCATGACGTTCATCGCATTTTCTAACCGTGCGCAGTGCGTCATAGGGAGGGCTAGTGTCCGATAAGCATCGGTTGAAGAAGACTGAAAAGGCTGGCTCACTGAGTAAGACAGCTCTAGAAATACAATAGGCGAGCAGCGAGATTCTATGTAACGAAGAGTTGGAAGGAGGCTCATGGGCAGGACAAATCGTGCTCACCGAGACAAGAAATACGTAATTGCTGATACACCAATTTTGAAGCGTGTTAAGAGCTTGTAGTCGTTGCGAATATTTTGCAGGATATCCCATATCAACACCTAAACATGTCCGACCCGATAAACGACGAACAAAGAGACAGGATGATTTACTTACTGCTGTTGAACCCACGTGGATAAATGTCATTATGCTGACTTTGAAAGCCACAGCTGGCGGTAAAAGGGCGAGGGGCGTTGTAGCATTCGTGACTGAGATCGATTCCATCGTCATGCTGCGAAATCGACGTGGTTTTCCGTGTTCACAAGAGCAACGATAGGCGCCAACCGTTACTGAGAGGAACGTCGCTTGAAAGGTTCAGGCAACAACGCGCACTTGCACTGGAACGGATAGATAAGAGACTTCCTGCTATCGTGATGTCCAAAATGAAACATAAAATAGGAACGCTGTGAGTGTGTGTGATGAAAGATGAGGAAAAATGGAAGCTTCTCACCTGTAATAGGTGGCCAAGGGTGGCCATCTGTCGAACATGCCTCAAAGATATATTTTTATCCTAGGGGATGATACCGTCAGTCACTGGGGAGGTCTGTGATGAAGGACCCGCAGAAAGCCCTGTAGTCGTACTTCAAACCTTTGGAGCTGATATATTGCGAGCCGGATATGTCGGAATTCGGTGTTTAGTGGTCTTTCCAAGTTCGAACTTCGAAAATTGAGGACGGCAGGCGATGCTATGCGTTTTGGAGGTAAGTATGAGTAGTGATTTGCCAGCTCGGCCTGGAGGCCGTAAGCCGGCCTAAGCCGGCCGCCAGAAGCCGGGCCGAGCCTGAGCCGTGGGTACGGCTTTGGGCGGCCTACGGCTCAGGCTTCGATAATCCCAAGCCTGAGGCCGTCCCCCAGGCCGTCCCCCAGGCCGCCGTGCGCCCCGCGTTGGTGGTCTCTGATCAGCTTATGGGATACAACTGTACAGTTCATTTCCGGTGAGTATAAATACCTTTATTGGTGAGCCGAACTAACCAATCATGTCTTCTCGTCCCACCCGTACCATTCACCCATCTGCGAAGCTGACTGCTAATAATGCAGGCGATCTCGAGCTTCCGTCGCCTCGTCACCTCGTCGCAACAACCTCCCTTAGCCGTCAATAGCCATCTCGCCATTGGTTCTTCCTCGACATCACCCCCATCGTCATCGCCAAGTCCGCTAAGCATTTTCGGCTGCCGGTATCACAATTAGCAAGCGCCGAAATCAACTATCTTCTCTTCTGCCGCCCGCGAGGTGGTGACCGTGGCCCAAGAAGAGAAGGACCTCAATTTCGTAGACAGGCCTGGGGCCGGAGAACCAGGAGAGGGATACAGTGCAGGCCCGGGCCGTCAAGGATGCAGAAGCTTGGAGACGACAACAACGACGTAGCAGTGGAGTTCAACCATGCAGATGATGTACAATCTATTGATAGTTAGTAAATACATGAATTTTGTCCTGTTTCCTTGCACAGGCCGCGGCCCAGGCCGGAGCCGGGCCTAGGCCGTGGGAAGCCGGGAGGGACGGCTCAGGCTTCAAATATTGAGAGCCTGAGCCTCCCAAAGCCGGGCCTAAGCCGCGGCTTTCAGGCCGAGCCGGGCCGGCAAACCACTAAGTATGAGTACCCCAGCCTCCAGGTTTGCATTGGGTTTGCAGTGACTTGAATCGAAATGTAATTCAATCGATTGCGTCTGAGAACTTGAGCTCAGGCATATGGAAGAACTTGTGAGTTCCTTGGATTCTGACAAGTTGAAAGTTCAATAACTTGAATAAGGCTGGAACCAGTGACGGAGGCAATACGACGTACGCTCTGGTATACACGTGACCTCTGAATATTACATAAGCTTCAACCGCAACCGTAACGATAACCGAGGTTGTCCCACAACATCCGCTTCTATTACAAGGCTACCTCTACTATTGCGTTCACCGTCGAGATGTTCGTCTACCCAGCCCGCGCCTGCTGTCCCTGGCTAATCAACTTCTCAGGTCTCCATCTGATCATTTGTACGAATACATCAACGAAAAGACTGACGAAGATGTCAGTGATACTTCTATGTTTTCGAGATCGCCTTCGGCATTTGAGGAAAAAGAGGAAGGTCAAGAGAGATGGAGGGCGTCGGAACCACCAGTGGAATCCTTCAGTGACGCTGAAGGAGCCAACGAGAATGGGGAGTGGCGATTTGAAATTATAGGGGAAGAAGTTGATCATGCGAACGAAGTCCTGTAGGTTTTGCATTTTATATCCGATTTCAGTGTGAATATATTCAATCCCACCAACAGACTTGAAGTACGGCATGATATACCTTCCCCCTCAAGGCGTTCTAATTCTGACTATATTACTGTTTAGGTCAGATGGGACGACTGGAAACGCGAAGACGGGACAAAGACAACTTGGAACGAACTCACTTCACTCGAAGAAGGCAGCAAACAATGGCTAAAGGAGCAAAGCGGCCGTCGAAAGAAGTTGGCTAGTGAATCTCTCGAAATTCCTGTTATTGCAACGCTCGACATTCACAACACCGAGACATACCTCAGAAGCCATGCCTACGACGAGAAACTTTGGCGTTTCGAAAATGAGCACTCCCCCAGCCCTGTGGAGCAGCTAGAAAAGTTGATGAGTGAACGAGGGTATCGTCGCCAAGGATCGCGATACGTCCTCTCCCAAGTCGAAGGTTCCCAAGGCTCGTCATCATCATCATATCCTATGAGAACAAATCAACGAGCCAGCACCCGACAGCAGACAGAAGCATCCATCGCTAGTTCAGCCAGAGGTTCATCCAAGTTTTCGGTCCGATCCTCTTCGACGCTCAGCGCGATTCCACCTATGCCTTCGTCTTCCTTTGCCACCACCCCTGCGCGTTCCGATGCACCAGCACCGTCCCCCAAGCCTCTCCTGACATTTGTACCTTTCCAACCTCCTGCCAGTCTTACCACCACGCTGCCAACGCCTCCTCTGGTACAGGCTGTTGTTACCCTGTCTGAGAAGGCCAAAGGGAAGCTCCCCGATCAATCATCCAACAATGCAGGCATGAAGGAGCTGCCATTATCAACAACCTCTGAATCAGCAAGACGTCAAGAGAAGCGACCCATGCAATCCTCTGACTGTGAAAGCTCCGACGAACTCAGAGCGATACCAAGACAGCCGACACCGCGGCTGTTGAAACCATACATTCTGCTTTATCGGTACGACCACCTACTCAAAAGGCGTATAAAGTCGAAACAACGAAGTGACGACGGAAGAGCAAGGCAGCTGCTGGCTGCCCTTCCTCCGTCCAAGAAGAAGAAATCCACCCACCGTTCACCATCCAAAAGTGCTCGACAGATCATGTACTCAGAATCGGAGGACGAATTGCAGAGCTCTCCGACACGACCCTCGCCTGCCTTGCCCATCTCCGCATCGACCTCTAGCAAATCTTTTCCACAGCAGCCGAAAATCGGTGGTTCACCTCTGAGTGCAACCGCACAGTAAGTGCATCTCCTTTTCCATGTGTACCTTGAGGCTCAATTGTGGTTTTCGGAAGGCGTTTGAAATTGCAAACCAAGTGGACAAACTTCGCAGCCAAAGAAGGCGCAGCAGCAATCTACTTTACTAACATTGTCGACGACGAAGCTGTGCCCTTTCTCGAACCCGGCTTCTGCTACCTGGAGTCAGGCTACAAGTTGTACGTCGTACCCCTTCCTCCTTCGTATCCCATGCCTTCCACGAAGCCCATGCGATTTTGTTGCAGTGCCGCCGGCGTCGAGAAACCTCCGGAGGAATTCATGTCTTCCTGTTCTTGCGCGTCTTGCAACGACCGGACCAAGTGTGAATGTCAGATACTTTTGGATGATCCACAGGCAATCACGTCCGCATACACTCCGGAGGTATGAAGTGTAGTTCATCCGCCTTCCTCTTGACTGACGTTGTGGCGCAAGGGTCTATTTTCACTCCAAATATCCCGAGGCGTCGAAGTCGTCGAATGCAACAGAGTGCGTCCCAAGAACTCGGCTTCTGTTCTCTTCGCTCATCAACCCATCCGTTCATACCCAGTTCTGCAGATGCTCCCCCCAAACGTGTCAAAACCGGGTGTCGCAGAAGCCGCGTGACGTCCCTATAGAGATTTTCAAGACAACGAAACGTGGATGGGGCGCTCGACCATTGAGAGACGTGAAACAGGGTCAGGTGTTGGGTGTTTACACTGGGTAAGTTGTTTTTGTTCTGTTCTTGTCCGGTTCTTGTGCTGGGCGAAGGCTCATTCCCACCTCAGTCTCGTCATGTACGCTGCTCCTTCTTCTCCAACAGCTTAGCTTATGCTCAGCAACCCTCATTTCGACAGGCGCAGAGAGGATGCACGCGCCGTCAACGACTCTTCCTACTGCTTTGACCTCGATGGAGACGAAGTAGATGACGCAGCACCAATACACGAGCTTTACACAGTAGATTCGAGGGTTCATGGTAACTGGACGCGATTTATCAAGTTTGTACATTGGCTCTGTTTTCTAAGGAAGCCCGAGCAACTAATCCCTCCTCAGCCACTCTTGTGCTCCAAATCTCGAAGTTTACCTTGTCGTTCATGATGTCCCGCCTGGTGTCCGTATTCTTTCATAGCCTCCTCTTTTGAGTCCTAACGTCTTGTCTCAACTTCCTCAGACTGGTCTACCATTCCTAGCATTCGCCGCGACGGAAGACATGCCCGCCAAGACCGAATTCACATTTGACTACGACCCTAAAACTGCACGACGGCTAGCCCTCGCTGACATAGAGGCGCAGATGGGGAAGAAAAAGAAGGGGCAGAGGAAGAGATCGACCACTGTGGACAGCATGCGCAGCGCTGCCACCGTGGGTTCGAACACAAATATACCTGACGGCGCGATGCGATGCTGCTGCGAGGCGCCCCAGTGTCGGAAGTACATCCCATAAGGTTTAGGGTTGGCGGATGGAGAGCGGGATCAGGTTAGTTCTTGGTGGTCTATTTTTATTTCACTTGATCTTTGTGCTAGTTGCATCTTTCGTTTCGTGCTATTGGTTTTTTGTTATCACCAGCTTGGGACTCATCTCGTCTCGAGGAAGACATTTTCTGTGATCATGGTTGTATAGGAGCGTGTATGTGAATTGCATTCTTTTCTCACTGGAAGTTCGGCCTCCTCGCTGATGATCAAGAAAACTGAGGATATGTTTAGCAGATGACAGATGAACCTACGAGAGATCATGGCGCTCTGTTAGGGAAGTATCAGGCATCAAGCTTAAGCATTGAGGCCTCCCAAAAAAATTAAATTACCTTCTAGCTCTCGAACTGGCATCTCTTGTTTCTTATTCCTCACCATGTCTGTGAAAACGTACAGTTGGGTTTCTCTATGGTTCTTGTTCACTGCCCCTGTCTTGTTCTGGGATGCGGGGTTTTGTTTCATGAGGTGGGTGCAGAACCTCTTCTCGGTGCTCAATTGGTTGGTGCTCATCATCTACGCCTCTCGTTTCAGACCGCGTTCAATGGTGGTAAGAATAGGAAGATCCTTCATTGGTAGATGATTGAGTTTGATTCGCCACCCTCCTACAATGCAGGGAGGATACCTCCATTGGATCTGGGCGCCCTATGCCATCTACCAGAAGGTACGGAAATCTTCCACTGCCCCTCTAGTACAGCCTCACACTTCGTGTGTAACGAACAGGTTGATCGGGTAAGAATTGTCTCCTTATTGTCCTCAATCAATTTACGACGGTCCCCAGCTTTTCGATGTCGAGGCCTTCGAGAGCGGAGATGGGTTCCTCTACGCGCAAGGTCCGTCATCCGTCCTATAAACTACCAGACAGGTACAGGCTATTGACCATTCTCCAGCCGCCCTGAGCGCCCTCGAGACCTTCATAAGCCTCGTCTATGTCTACAAGGCGCATGTCTCGAAGACCTCGTCAGCGCCTCTCTTCGGCTTCAGCGCCGCAATTACGACACTGTTCAAGACGATCCTTTTCATCTCGATGGAGGTCTTCTGTGGATATTGTTCAACTGGCCATAATTCTAGGCTGGATTTCCTGAAATATTGGGCCATTCCAAACGGGTATGTGCCCCTTGTCCGAAATTTCTGAAGAAATGGAAGGTTCACGCTGGGGCTTTGGCGCAGGATGTGGTTGCTTTTCGATTTTCTCATTGTTATCCGACTTGGGTTGGACATTTTGGGCTCCCTGCAGGTTGCAGCGAGGGCGGAGGCTTCAGCAAAGAAGAAATGATGGTCTGGTGGGGTCAAAGGTGGTGATGAGTGAAGCTTGTATGCAAACCAACAATTCTTTAAAGATCATGGAAAATGTTCGGGCCTTGGTCGCTCTATAATTCGTCGAAGTTAGTCAAAGAAAGACAAAGATGAGCTTATAACATATTGACGGCTAGTCAGCAGTGAAGAATTTAGACTTCAGGTTTGCCTGAAAGGAACAAGAAGCGGATAGCTTCAACTATTTGGATTCCGTAGAAGATGTTGATAAATTTACCGTATATACCAACGAGGTCAGATTAAGTGCCCTTCTACTTGCTCTTTCCGGATGAGGTCTTCGTGGCCTGGCGCTCAGCAAAGTTGATGGTGTCCACAAGGTCTTTTCCCAGTCGCCACACGATGAGTGCAGGAATGACAATCCATAGTCTATGAATGGATCAGTATCGATCGTGATTGTAGTTAGAATGCAACGCACCCATTGGGTAGAATCCAAAGAAGGATTATGTCCCGCGCGTTGTTGTGTCCTATGGCACAAAAACCACAGAAATATTCCTGGGCCCAGTAGAGAATGGTCTTGGAGAGCGTCATAAGAGCTGACCCAAAGCCGATGACGGCCGCTGGTGGCCATTTAGCGACATGAGCGAGGTACACGTAGGCGATGTTAAGGAGGGTCTCAACCACGTTTAATGACGCTGCGGAGTGCGACAATCAATGGTAAGCTTTGCGTCGGCTACTATGAACAACACACATTGCGCGTTGGTGAATCCGTCTCCGCTTTCGAAGGCAGGAAGCCCGTAGACCTGCATTCTTTCGGCTTGGAAATGCAAAGAGCAGCTGAACTGAGCTCACGTAGTCGACCTTGGTTTTTTGAAAGTCAGGTTTACTTATTAGCCTTTGGACCTATCTGAGATCGTGATCTTTCCTATTCACCTTTTGGTAGAGTGCATAAGGTCTCCAGATCCAATGCAAGTCGCCTCCCTACACCAAAGATGAGAACGCGTCTGGAGACCTGCCCAAGGTTTTATACCTCCATAGAACGTGGTCTGTACGTTGCTCAGTCTTCCCGTAGCGCACGCCAACCCCTGATCGACACTCACCTCATGAGGCAGTACCCGACATCCCAGAAGATAATGGGCACGGTTATAATGAACCAGAGGGAAATCCAGGTATACGTCTTGAGGGCCATGTTGATAACCTTTTCGAAGTGGACTGACTGCGGGGATGTGGGATCTGTGTGAGATGATAGATTGATTTATATGCTGGGAAATTCGAAGAGTCTCCTGATCCAGAACCCTCATGGTCGGCCGGCGACGCTTATCCGTGCTGACGAGCTGCTGGAGAACCGTCCGAATGATTGAGTACTGAGTACTTACTGAGTCCTCGCGACGACGTGGCCCGTATGCAGAAGCAGGATTCTCCACCCACGCGCTCGACGATGACAGCTTTGACATTGCAAGGATGATGATCCTACCTCGAAAAGCCGGCTGGAGTCCTTGGACGAGATGAGGGGTGCATTTGGATTGTGCCCTGTACGTTCTCTTAGGAAGCTCTCCGATGTTACTTGCTGATCTGGGTACCGTAAGAATGGAAGAGCAGAAATAAACCGTAAGCTGATGTATCCTCTCAATTATCAAGGGTTTTCGCCACGATAAGATACGGTAGCAGAGGCCCGTGCGTCCCTAAGCATCGTTCACAGGGAGGACTTGCTGTGGGTCTCTCTAGCAGTAATTTGCTCGTACCTGGTGCCTATTCTCGCAGGTATCTCCGACTTTCAGTAACCCAACTGCTCGAAATACCTTAAACCGCTTCTCTCCGAGCATTCAAGGATTTCCATTTTTCTCCGCCGGACCTGTCGGATCTCGACTGTTGGTCTAACAAGTTCAATGTTTAACAAGGTCCCGAGTCAACACGTCATCTATTCCTTCACCGCCATTTGGTCTATGAAAACAGGACCTCTACCTCGTGTCGGTTCCCGGACGAATCGAGCAAGACTTCGCGTCCGAATTTTTTTCCCCTGATGACAGAGACGACATCTCGCTGCGAAACGGACTTCCTTGACTCTCGAGTGCCTGCCAACCTTCGTCGGACGGGAGGTGGGTAATAAATTGAAACATGTCATATGACCCTTCGTCGATGTCGTGCACCCCGGAAACCTGCTCAAACCGTCAAATTTTCTGACCAATCTTTGGCCAGACAGTCTTGTCGCCTTGAAGCACGAAGAGACTGCTTCGTTGCGTAGAGCCGGATTGGGATCTATCATGAGATATCGACGAACAATTCAATGCCGACGCGTCGTGTGTTCGCCCTCTTTCAAAATCCTGCTTCTTGACAAACACATCGTGGCCGTCTTTCGTTATCCTCCACGCTCATTAGAGAGTTTCTCCCCGTCATGTTCAACCAAGCGTCATGCTACGTTGCTTTATCTGCCGACGCCACTCCTTCAAGCACAACGTCGGGGATGTATCTGATGTCATTGCCTTACCAACTCGTCCTCGATCTCGTTTCCGTCGCTTGTGAGTGGTCCCTTTCACAGCTTCAGTCTCGATGATGAGCGACGTCTAACCGTCATATAGACGTGGCACACTGCTTCAAAAATCAAGGTACAAACCGAAAACGATTCCACAGGCCCGCCGATGCCTGAGTGTCTTTACCCATTTCCATCGGAATAAATGTTCACCGCAAAAGGGCAAGACAATCTGATATAGACCCTTCAGACACGATGATGGAAAAATCTGACATAGAGCGTATGTTTTTCCATGAAATTCAGGGCGTTGTTTACGTCACTTCCGGCCCAATGTCGAGCATTGTTGGGTGGTTCTGTTCTTTTGAACGCGGGCGAGAACGTCTGTACGTACCGCCTTTCTTTCCCCGTGTACCCTCTCGTGGACTTCATTATCACGCTCAAGGCACGATGGGAGGTTCACCTTCCTGATTGGCAAATCGTGTGCGATTGTACTGCAGAGCGGTCCGATAAATACACGCCTTGCAGTCAGTTGAGCCCCGTCGAGTCTTCCTCTTTTTCCTTTCTTATCTGGCTCTTGACATGCTATGCCGGTATGTTCTTGCTGCTGTGAGACGGATCTTACCAGCATGGTCCTATCGATGCCGGGTTTCAAACGTACCCTTTGATTTCACCTGGTACCGGTGTGTTGCCCTTGGGTCAAAATTTCGCCGCGGCCGCCTTGAGGCCCAGACAAGCATCTACAGCCCGCAGGCCCATCACCGGAAAGTCGATTGAGGCAGGTATGTTTTCCAGTACTTATAAGTTTGTCCCTCGCTAATGCCGTGAACGGCCAGATAAACTTGGACGCACTGCTTCACACCAACTTGCACTACCTAGAACACGGTCCCCTTCGCTAATACCAAGCGGAATGAACGGCGAAAATTTTGTGCCTGTCGGCTGAAATGAATTGAAGCCTCTTTCATAGGCATAGACATCCCGAGTTCCCTGTCTAGGCTTGAGTGCCTGCTCTCATGAACTCTCATGCTCTTGAAGTGACCACGCTGCCCTCCTACCATCCAGGCGGCATCTATGGACACTGTCGCCACATACTTTGTCTACCATCTTCAATCATCATACACAAAATCTCAAATCTTGCGGTCGAACGCACACAAATCTCCATGGCGCCAATATGTTAAAACGGTTATTAGGCGGCGTGCGCAACGGCATCAGTCAGTTTGCAACGTGAGATATGTCGACTTTCATTCTTCCTCCACGAGTCGAAGTTTTGTCCGAAAGTGTCAGCCTTTAAGGATGTTTGTTAATAAGCATTCTTTTGGAAAGTAATCCTGGCACTTCTTCAGTATTGTCCTTATTATAACGCTTTGTGGAGCGTTCGTTCGGTGTGCATCGTGCTTGACGTGGGCAGCACTCCATTCGACGGGAATGGAGGAGCTCCCTTTCGACGTCCCTGTACCCCTGTCCGCAACATAAGTCGGAATGGGAATATTTCAACGGTGATACCATTATTCGAAAAACGCGAGGATGAGTAAGTCCTCAAGGCCTCGCGCCGAGACTCTGCAAACGCACAGGTATCAGACTCACAGAAACCCCTCTTGGCAAAACATATCTCAACCTCGACAACGGCTAAAATCCGTGACGGTTGGGAGCTCTCATCGACATCCTTTCACAGGTTCGAGATGATATCCGTCCTGACGAGGCAGCTTGGAAGGAACATAACATAGGGGCTCCGGAAAGTCTTCACAAAGAAAATACACCCTCGTCTTGGGTGCGTAGGGGTGGTATATGGATCCGTCAAAGCTTGAGAGAAAGCTTCAGGCTCAAAAGAAATAATTACCCAGCGATTTTCCTTGACCTGGGTCTGGTGAGGGCATTCATGACAAGCCCTTGGCAGGGTCCGCAGCCCCTGTATTTGCACCCGTTTCGCACAGTTGTTGGCAATGCGACTGGACACCTCCTGATTGTCATTAGACGCCAAAGCAGCACACAATAATCCTTCTGTTGTTCAGCGCGATAAAAGCAAGAAAGAAAGGCAACAACGGGCTGGATTGCACGAGATTTGTCGGACACCGGCGAAAAGGTCCAACAATTGTGAGGCCGGTAACTCTAGGACGAGCCAGGCACGGACAATATCCGAGATGAGAAGATTTCGACAGGAACAGGAAGTGAATGACAAGAATATCCTTCTGTTTTCGGATTGCCCTCGCGTAATTGGTCCTGCCATAAACTTTAAAGAGCTGGCTCCCGTCCGTTCCTGTATCCAAAATTCCCCCCATTCCCTGCAAGATGCGTTTCTCAAGCACCACCCTTGCTCTCCTCTCCCTGCTCACCATCGCCCTCGCAGCACCCATCGTAAGTCCCTCTGCTCCCCAGACTATTAATGGACGATCCTTGACCAGAATATGCTTCTCAGAATGATGGGTTGATCGCCGGGCGTAGTGTTGGGGTTGTGGTGCGTCACTTTCCTTTTCCCCAGTTGTAGGTCCAGGTTTGACAGGACGCCGCTTTCCTTCAGCAGCGCGAAGCCGTACCACCGTCCTGGAGGCGTGACGCAGAGGCCGAAGCAGCACCACTAGCCTGGAGACGAGAGGCAGTACCGCCGTCGTGGAGGCGCGACGCAGCGGCGGAGGCAGCACCACCGCCATCATGGAGACGAGAGGCTGCACCCCCTTCCTGGCGACGGGAGCCCAACGTTGAGGCGGCCGCCGCACCCCCCTCCTGGAGACGCGAACCAGAAGCAGAAGCGCAGGGTGGGAGGCCTCCCCCTGGCTGGAGACGCGAGCCCGACGCCGCTGCTGGACCCCCTTCATACCCACCTGGTTGGAGACGCGAGCCCGACGCCAAAGCCGCCCCTCCCGACTGGAGACGTGAAGCTGGCCCTCCTGACTGGAGACGCGAACCCGAGGCCGAAGCAGCACCACCCCCCAGTTGGAGACGAGAGGCGGAGGCTGCCCCACCCAGTTGGTAACGAAAAGTAGAGGAGTTTTGGACGTGCGGATGCACTTTCTCGACGGAACGAGCCGGTTGGGTCGAGACAAGGAAGAGCACGTCGGAGATGTGGAGGGAAGGTGACAGAGGATGTTGGCAAGGTCTTCAGCTGCTGGGATGGGAGAAGCCTTCCGAAGACGAATGTTGCGGACGTCTCTTGTTCAACGCTCTCGAAGAAGTTCAGTTCTTCAACCATAGTCGCTTGGTGTTGGATATATATCGTTCTCTTTAGGTCGGATTTATTTCTTCTTCGTTCTCGTCATTGCTCAGACACCACACATTCATTTTTCTCGTTTTCTCGTTTTCTCGTCTATATCTTCCTCCATCTCATCCGTTCAAATTTCGTACTTCTCCCAAGTTTTTACATGCTTACCACCGCGCCCCTACATTGTAAAGTTTAACTAGGAATACTGTGCAAGGACCTAATATGACAATGTCCCAACGCAGTATGTACAATGCATAGAAATTCTTCACATTCCTTGTGGCGGCATGAGCTCCTGACTGACAGCGAGAGCATTTGTACCTTCGTGCCTCTTGCGCATTGGACAAGTCACAATATCTGGTCGCCGGTGCATTGCCAACTGGTGGTGGTGACGACCAATTCTCCTGTCATGTGGCCGTATCGAGCCAGGTGATTATCAAAGATTTCCGAAGTTCGGGCAACGGACTGGATGCACTGTGGCCCTGGCTTGTCGTCGGCCGCAGTGAAGAGGGTTGGGGACAAGTTGGGGACATCGAACCGTTGTCATCTGGCAGGACAGGACCCCCGATAATACTGAAAAAGGTAAGATACCGGTCAACCCGAAACTCGCGGCTGCCAGCCGTGTAGCTCAGATATCCCCTGGCTGATGTCAACCCACAACGGCCCATCTGAAATGCCTCGACACAGATGCGGGTGTCAACCCGCCACCCTGGCCGCATCCTGGAGGTTGGGTAAGTACTGTCAACCCACAAGGTACCGTGGGCCACTGTGGGCCACGGACGAACATTGTGCTACCGTTTGGCCAGGCTTGGCTTGGCTTTTGCTCGCCTCTGTGCCGTGGATTGTGGCTCCGAGTCGTCAACGCGCATTTTCGTCAAAGTGGCCTTCGAGCCTCCCTATTCCATGAATCATACACTTCTTGCTACAGTTTCTCTGCCTTTCTCGAACTTACCCTGAGTTTTTCGACGAGGTTTATGCCAAATTGTTGCCACAGAGGGCACAGATTGCTGCAGCTGTCACTCGGCTGCTTATAACACGACAAAAACAGACTGGAGATGATGAGGAAATATAATACATCAATGCAAGTACGCACAGGAGTCTGCGGAGAATTTTTCACAATTTTTCGCGATTTTTTGAAGGTCGGATATTGTTGTCAACCCGATTTCGCCGCACTTCGGAGGTCGGGTGCGCTATCAACCCCTTTTTTGGCTGGAATTTAGGGAAATTTCGTCAACCCATAAAGCCTTCGCGACCCCCGAATTTCATACCTTACCTCTTTCAGCATTATCGGGGGTCCTGGCAGGACCTTGAACCGCCGGCGGGGATGATGATTCTTCGAGGCTTCTTTCTCTAAGGTATCATCCTCACATATGTTCGTCGGCGTTCAAAGCAAGCGGATATTTATTTTTCCTGCCATGCGCTGCTCCTATGAAAAAGGAACTTGGGCTTGATTATTGCCTATCCAACCAGGAGAGAAGAAGCCTAGGCTGCTTCTCTTGAGCTTCACCGCCAGGCAACATGATGATTAATAGCCTTTGAAATTCGGGCAGCTAAGGTCTATGTAGGGGCCATCGATGAGGAATTCAAAAAAGTCTCAAGAAAGTGCTTGGGTCTCTGTGACTTTCTGTAAAGGACGTTAATTGCTTCATCTTGCAAGAAGCGCTGAAGAAGCTTGCAATAAAGTTAGACGCCCATGCTCGGTGCTTGATTTGGAAAATTCACGTCTTCCACGATCGGGCTGGAGCATGTGATGGGAATGCATTTCCATAAATGAAGGGGAGGAACGCCAAGCTAGCCATTATTCTCGTTGTTGAGGGATAATTCTGCGAGTTGGAGGCCATTTCGTCTTCACGATCCTTTCCTTTCTTCATCATGATTCAATTGAAAGCTCTGTCCCCTCCGCAACGATAGCTGGGCTTCCTATGTGCGAAGCTGAATGCGTTCCACACTGCGAACCAGTTGTGAACAAATGGAGGAAACTTCATCTACATCATCAGCTCATCAGCTTCTCTGTTTGTAACCACCAAGACCCAGCGGCTGTAGATTTCCTTCCTCAGCTTTCTTTTTCTCTCTTCTGTATATCTTTTCTCTTAGCGTTGCCTTCACAAGCGGGCGCTTGTAGTAAGAACAAGCCTCCGAAGCAGGCTCAAGCCGCGCCATGGCGATCGCGAGCCCAACAGTTGAACCCGCGACCCCTCTATCGGTATGCCCTTCGTCCACGTAGACGCCAGGTAGAGACACAGTTGCTGAAAAACTATCCGCCAGCGCGCAGAAACCTTTCATCATCAAGGATTTCGCGTACCGGACCCGTAATTAACCCTTACTCCTTCTATATTCACAGAACACTAACGTCTCAATCTACTTTTATCACCAAACGCTAGATTTGCACCTCGTCAACGCCCTGGAGCCTCATTCATCAATGCACTCCTCGCAACAGCGCTCTTCCGATGCTGGCACTACCTTATCTTCTTCGCCGCCTGGGCGACACTCATCACCATCCTCAATGAGCAAGGCCATAATCTGAACTTTTCTTCCGTCCTACTTACTGTGTACGAAAGCCAATTCATCGTTGTTTAATCGGAATTGACAGCACTTTAGGGTCGGTACGGTTCTCGGTTTCATCATCTCGTATCGGACAACGTCGTCATTTGAGAGATACAACGAGGGGAGGAGGTTGTGGTCCAACATCGTCCTTGCTAGTCGGACAATGTCAAGGACGATTTGGTTCCATGTTCCCAGTGCGTAATTTCTGCGTATCTTGTCTTGAAACACTCTGAGAAATGTGTGGGACGCAGACAACAACCCAGAGGAGAACGAGACAGCTCAGGGTGCCAGGGCGCGGTCTATGATTGAGAAGAAGTCGGCCATCAACCTCCTGGAAGCGTTCGCAGTGGCAGTCAAGCATTATCTTCGAGGAGAGGATGGGATTTATTACCAGTGCGTTGCAGAATATAATCTTCACCCTAAAACAACGAACGATGTTGTCGTAGGGATTTATACTACCTCGTCAAGTTCCTTCCAGCCTATGCACTCCCAGCCGGCATGCCATCCATGACAGACCTCTCCCAGACGTCGCCTGTCGACGACCATTATTCCTTCAAGGGCTTTAGTCCTCTCGACGCCGTTAGCCCTCTTACAACACCACCTGCTCCCGAAAGTCAGCCAGGCACTGCACAGCCCCCTTCTTCGCCTCAAGGAAGACACCCAACCATTACTATCGCAGATTCGGCTCTACACCAACGTACTAACGGGCAAGGGGTGACCTCTCCCAACTCTCTCCTTCCGCCTCCTGTGTCGAGCGGCGCGCCAGGAAAGCGCTCTTCTTACTCTACTGGAGTTGCCTCAACACAATCCTTGCGGCCCGGAGGAGCAGGCAGCGTCAAGGATAGGGAGAGGATTCTCTTGTCACGTCAGGATGAAGATCACCTCTTGCCCGGTCGCTTACCACCAACATACGGATTATTTGATCTCTTCCCATTCTCTTTGCTTGTACCTTATTTGACTCAGAAGGGCGACAATCTGAAGGGAAAACGAGCCGCGAAGTTACGAGCGAAGATACAGAACCATGCTGTTAGCCATAACATACCTTTGGAGTTGAGTTTGTATCTGGTATGTGGTTTCTTAGTATTTTGGTGTGTTCTGCGACTCATGTTTCCCTAGGGTTCTTACGTTGCGAAATTGCAAGAGCGTAAACTGCTCGATGTGCCAACGAACACGACCCTCATGAATTCTATCGCTCAACTCCTCGACAGCTTAACTGGCCTGGAGCGTATTCTGACGACGCCTATTCCGTTTTCGTACGCGGTGCATCTGTGGTTGGTCACGATTTTGTACTGCCTTGCACTGGTACGTTTGTTCCGCCGAAATTACTGGCCCGGGAATGATCTTTCGTGTCCTCAGCCATTCCAGATCTGGACCACGATGAAATGGGTGACAATACCGGCTACGATCCTCCTTGTATGTCCAAGTGCTTCGCCAATGTCGACGTGCTCACTGTTGCTGGATAGTCCTTCATCTTCTTCGGATTCATGGTCGCTGGTGAAGAGATTGAGAGTATGTTGTCCTCCGCAAAATATTTCGATCAACTGCTGATAGATTTCTGTAGATCCCTTTGGCTACGATAAGAACGATCTCAACCTCGACCACTTTACGCAGAATATTATTAGTACGTTTGTGTCCCTTCCTTGTCGGTATGCAGACCAACTGAAGGATTTTCCGCAGAAAACGAGTTGCGCGCTGTAACCTCGACGCCACCTCCTGACGTTGCCCGTTGGGCGTTTGTGCCAGAGAACAACCTCCTGTTCTCGAACAACCTGGACGACCGTGTCACCCCTGCAGAATGGCTTGCGAGAGGACTGGGTACTATGCAAAAGAACCTTGGCCAGTTCTAGGTGGTTTCAAATTTACTTTGTGGCCCTTTTTTCAGATGTCCTTGGGATTTCGAGAGTTCATTTAGCGGTTTACCATTTCTTTTCTTTTCAGGATGAAAGTCCTCATGATCGCACGAGTGCCTCGTTGATGAAATCGGACGTTGGCCACCTTCATATTACTCTATATCTGATCACCCTCATTTTACCAAGGAATTCGCCTCGAAGCCATGCAGCCAACTTCGGCATGGTTGGTATTTATTGTCCCACTCTCTGTTGTCTTTCCACCACACTCTATGGTAACTAATAGTTGTTGTCCTGTTGTGCAGCTAATGCCTGTATATACCTATTTAATGACACGGTTTCGGTCTCCAGAAATGGCGAGATTCCTCTCACTTAGACCCAACAAGAGTTGATTTCATGGTCCACTTTCCGTGCACAACACATGTCTTTTGTCTTGTCCTTTTGTCATCCTTTTGAATTTGCTTTGAAATGCCTCTCAAATGATGTTCACTTGCCAGCAGTTTTTCGAGTTGTGCCAGAATCTATTGTGGGAATAAGTCATGGAGGTCACGATGACTCGGACTAACTTCAAAAACTTCATGCTTTCACGGTTTTGTTATCTACGAATCGCACATCCATCTCATCGGCGAATATCTCGACGTTTGTCGTCAACCATGGCCTCCACTGTCAACAAAACCGCTCATCCGTTCGACAAGGCACGGCTGGAAGCACTTCTGAACCGTAGATTCTTCTACGCGCCAGCGTTCGAAATCTACGGAGGTATGTGCTTCCTTTATCTCTCCGTCATCGAGATCTGAGAATACCCCCCGTAGGTGTTGCTGGTCTTTACGATTACGGTCCGCCTGGCTCCTCGCTGCAAGCCAACATCATCGCGGAATGGCGGAAACACTTCATCGTCGAGGAACATATGCTCGAACTCGACACGGCGATCATGACACCTGCTCCCGTTTTCGAGACTTCTGGCCACGTTGCGCGCTTCGCCGACTGGATGGTTAAGGACACGAAGACTGGCGACGTTCTCCGGGCAGACCATCTCGTCAAAAATGTCCTTGAAGGTCGACTGGCTGGCGATAGGGAGGCTCGCGGTCTGGCTGCTGCCCCGCCCACCGAGGACAAAAAGAAGAAAAAGAAAGCGGCGAAGACAACCTCAGCCAAGCTGGAGGATGAGGTGGTGGCAGAGTACGAGACCATCCTGGCTCAGGCGAGTTTCCATTATCCTTCCATTCGTACGGCAGGCCGGCGCTCTGCATTGGGCCCATGCGTACACTACTGTACCACGACCGCGTCGTTCTACAGTTGGCTCTTTTTTTTTGTTTGACCTCTCAACTCGTTCGCCCATCCTTGCGGGGATCCCGTTGTAGTTACTGCGGTTGCATAACTTGCTACCTTGCGTTAGGTACACGACCCCTTTGCGAACCCTGTTTGTGTGGAACCCTTTTCCCTCCGAACGAAACCAGAATCGATGAGCCCTTCTCGCGAAAGGAGGAGAGCCCTTCTGTGTTAGAAGTTCCCGCTTCCTTTCTTTCTTTCTTCACAAAGGAAGGAAGAAGATGTCATGCTTACCCTTCCCGTCCCTAGCTCGATAACTACTCTGGTGTGGAAATTGGAGAGTTGTGCAAGAAGCACAATGTTCGCAACCCGGATACTGACAACGAAGTTGGGGAGCCTCAACTATTCAACCTCATGTTTACTAGCAGTATTGGTCCCACTGGCCAGCATCCCGGGTGAGTGGGCAAGGAGCCTTTTAATAATATGCGATCGGATTGGCCAACTCAAACTGCGTCTCGCAACTTTTCAGCTATCTACGTCCAGAAACCGCGCAGGGCCACTTCCTGAACTTCTCCAGACTGCTGGACTTCAACAACGGGCGGATACCGTTCGCCTCTGCTCAGATTGGACGTTCCTTCCGGAATGAAATCTCGCCACGTGCAGGCCTCTTACGCGTCCGGGAGTTCACGATGGCTGAGATCGAGCATTATGTTGACCCAGAAGACAAGCGTCATGGCCGATTCAACGAGGTTCGGGACGTCAAGATTGTCCTCCTCGACCGCCACGTCCAGGAGGCAGGCAAATCAACGACCCAAGAAATTACCGTCGGCGAGGCCGTCGACAAGGGCATCATCGCCAACGAAACGCTGGGCTACTTCGTGGCTCGTATTTACCAGTTCCTCCTGAAGATCGGGATCAACCCCCAGAGGCTGAGGTTCCGACAACATATGGCCAACGAGATGGCGCACTACGCGACAGACTGCTGGGACGCAGAGATCCACAACTCGACTGGCTGGACGGAGTGCGTCGGATGCGCGGACCGCGCCGCCTATGATTTGTCTGTGCACACAAAAAGGACGGGTCACCCGCTCGTCGTCCGCCAGGCACTCAAGGAACCGATCGTGTTTGAGCGTGAAGTCGCTGAGTGGGACAAGAAGACATTGGGTAAGACATACAAGCAGGATGCCGGCGTGATACAGAAGACGGTGGAAGCAATGGATCAAGAGCAGCTAGTCAAAGCCAAAGGAGAATTGGCTCAAGGGTAAGAAGTTTGTTCGACTGAGTCCGCGATCGTTTGTCCTTACCTCTGCTCGTGGGTGCTTGGGTCAGGAAAGCTGTCATTACTTCCTCCGAGGGCAAACAATTCGAACTCTCCCCTGAAGTACTGACCATCGAGCGCAAGACGATCAAGCAGTCTAGTGAGTTCATTGTGCACTCTATCTTTGCGTCGTCGCCTTCGAAGAAACAGGGAGGGAGAAGCATTGACGGGGATCACAGCTATTTGTGTTTAGCCCTTGATCGCGTTGTCTATCCGTCCTGTTTGCTCCTTTCGTTTCCCTTTTCTTTCTCGTACTCCTTATTTCCCTTCCTCCGCTACATCCGTTTACCTGTATGGCTGCCTGACTGACTGATTTTTTTTGCACCCCTCCCCTTGCCTGGTGTTTCTATTAGTCCGAGAGTACACCCCCAATGTCATCGAACCCTCGTTTGGCCTCGGGCGTATCTTGTACACGCTCCTCGAACATAGCTTCTGGAGCAGGGAGCAGGATGTCGAGCGTGGTGTAAGCCGCCCTTCCTTAATTTCTTATTCGCACGGCGATTCCTTTCGATTTCCACGGACTTGGTCGAGCTCCTTCCAGTGGCGATAGCGACCAGCTGTGCGATTGTACACGAATTGGGTCGTGGTTGTCATCGTCTGCCATGACCGCTACTGCCCACCCATTACGCTTTTGCTATTCGTGCTCCTTTTCTCCAGGCTGACCATGTCCCGCGCTCCTCCCCCATTGCTTCCTTTTTCTTAGGTATTATCGCTGCCGCCTCTCGTGGCGCCGACGAAAGTTCTCATCGTGCCCTTGAGCGCCAGGGAGGAGTTTGATCCTTTGGTCAAGGAAGTCTGTGCGTATCTCCTCTTCTCAGTGCCTTTGACTTCATTGAGTGGAGTGCTATCGCTGACGTTGCTTCATTTTCTTTATCTTATGACTCGATTTCGATGCGATTCAATTTTGCATACCCTGCTCTTTACCTCGCAACTCTGCAATGCGTTCGTGCTCATGCTTCGGCCTTATCTCCTGGTTGATTACGCATTTTCACCACATGATGAATCATCCTGAACCACGAACTACACCATGCAATCGGCATCATGGACAAATGGGCAACGTGATCTCCTAAATATTCTTCGCTGCGGATGCACGAATGATACGGACGCGAACATGACTCTTGGAAACCGGTCAAAAAAAAACGGAAATTGACACGAACGCGCGGCTATCCACTTCGAATTCCGTTTGCTTTGCCTTCCTATTTTACCTTCAATTTGACCTCTACTAGCCTCCAAGTTCCGCAAGGCTGGCATCTCTGCACGAGTAGACGACTCGAACACTTCGATCGGTAAGCGATATGCGCGGAACGACGAGCTCGGCACGCCCTACGGCGTTACGCTCGATTTTGCTTGTACGTTATTTCTTTCTCTTCCTCTACTCCTTTTCGGGAGGGGTTGTTACACTGATACTCATTACTTATCCCCTCCTTGCTTGCCCCTTTTCTGTTCCTCTGCTCGCTCTCCACTGGCTGCTAAAATTTCCATCAACAATTTGGTCATCGTCTCATCCGCGTTCTCATCTTCTCCTGGGCCGCCATTCGCGCTCCTAACTCGAATCGTCACGATTTCCGATGTTACAGCGGTCCAAAATCGTACTATGACCCTCCGGTGAGTTTAGGTCTTAACCCATTTCTACTTGACAGATAGTGCACTTTACACTTCCTACACGTGCTGGCAACGGCATTCCCCTTTCTGTCATCGTTGACAGCGATACCCCTCTCGTGCAAACCTCTACTTACCGGATGCCGATGGGAACTTGGTGACGACGCTACGGCGAACATTGTGTTTTCTTGTGCGCATTAACTAAACTGCGCAATGTCACCAGCGATTGCCACGGGAGAAGAGAAGAGAACCAGCCTTGGCTGTTTTCTTGTTAACATTGATGCTGATCTGTCATCTTTTCCGACTTCATCTCCCTTTCCTCCTTTCTGCTCAGTGCTTGACCACATTTGCTGGTTCCTTGTACTGTCGTCATCGACATCAACTAACCTCCTGGCTCGTAGAGAACGCGATACGATGGACCAACGTATTGGATCAATCGACGAAGTCATCGGCGTTGTTGCAGATCTCGTCAATGGGAGCATTGAATGGGAAGAGGCCTGCCAACGCCTGCCTGCCTATGATGGTGTCCAGGCCGTCGAGTAGATGCGCAGAATCTCTCCCACTGCTAAGTTATTTAGGATAGACACTGCGTAAGTTGTCTTGATTCTTATATTTTGTTTTTTTTTGTCGCTGATGCTGATTCTTGATGCTTATCGTTCAGTACATAAACCTTCCATCCGGATGTGCTCGAATGCATGGGCCGTGATTGACAGTTGACGTTGTGTAACTTGGAAGTATGAATACGCCGAGAAGTCAACCAAAAAGCGGATTGCATCATAATTTGCTCGTCCATTCGCTCATCTTGCGTTACTTCATTTCTGGCTTGAGAATGTTTGGAGGGGATACAGCGGGGGGCGTGGCCTTGCCTTGAAACACGATCGCGTCTTTCACTCGTCGTAAGACTGGAAGACGCACCACTTCCCTCCCTCACTTCGCATGGCGTTCACGCGTTGGGGCCGCGACCACCACGAGAGAACAGCCCGACGAACAAAGTATGTTCCGTCGCCAATATTAAATAATACCACGACCACTTCATCTTGGTGCTGTGCAGAGGCTATTTCTATTAAATCTATCTGATCACGATGGCAAGGTGGCCGTGCCAGTAGCGTGGCCACTGGTCAGTCAAGAGATAGATCACTGTCAAGTAGGATGAGAACACGCCAGTGCCAAACGCCAACGCAAAAGTGTGCAAGTGCTCCACTTGACAATAGATATCGTTATAGGACACGATACTTCCTCGCTGTCAGCAACAACGCCCACGGCGAACACGCCAAAGTGAATAAAGGGGAAAATACATGGATAGATGGGGTTTGTTATAACTTATTATTAACGATTACTGAACAGAAGTTACGTCGACGTCGAGTCTGGCAGCACGCATGCTGTTCCGAGATAATTGCAAGACCACCTTATCACCTAGGTCTGTCTGATTGAGGCTCATGTTTTTGAGTGAGTTGTCGTAAACCTGAACTGAAATCAGTTTAGCTTCAACGCTCGTGTGTGCTCGTGGGCGAGGGGAACGTATATATGTATTGTACGTCTTGGATGAGCGGATGCCGCCCATTTATTACATTTACTATACACATGGTAAAGAAATTTCGAATTCGGACGGACCTATGAAAGATACTCTATCACACTTGGAAATTCACAAGAATTTGTAGGAAGTAAACATGGGTGTGCATGGGCATGAGAACGCCGGCCTCAAACCAGACCCACGGGGATCACTCTCGTGAACGTGGACGTCCCTCAGGTCCAAGGTTATGTACATACATACCACCGGACTCAATCAATCCTCAGCCTGACATATCTTACTTCAATTCCCAAAGTTGTCTTTTTTTATTATTTTTCCTACGCCACTAGTCTGAGACCCAGCCCACCTAGAACATACCTCTCGTTTTCTCCCGACCCATCCAGACATCCATCCTACACGATGCTCACGCAACTGGGCTCAGAACTTTCAGAAGGTTAGGTAGAGTGTAAGGCGGTAAGGCGGGGTAATAGTGATTAGTATTAGTCTATAGCAGTGGGCGCTGGCAGGTGAAACAGAACTCGAAGACCCGCCTCGACTCGTTTCTCATGATCATTAGAACAAGCTGAAGGTTTTCCTGGAAGACTTATATTTACGCGTTTATCAGATAACAAAACATGTTTTGTTCTGTAACACATCCCGTATTACGGCGTCTACTGGCCCACTGGCCGCCCACCGGGCGACGAAACACTGCGCACGCTTATGACATACATACGTACTAGGACTACAGAATAATAACCCCTAAGCCGGGTGTCAACACGCCGCGCCGCGCCGGGCGGGAGCAAATTCGGATTCCCCGATCTGCGCAAGCGTCTCTTTTTTTAGGGGAATTGCTTCCGCGGGCGCTGCGCATCTATTATTGGTAGGCGGTTGTCCACAAGCGGCCGGTCGTGCGACGGAGCCGTGCGAAGCGCTGTCGGCTGCGACGCCTGTTGCCTTTTATGTAAGTCAAGCGTCTCCCTAACGAGGAAGATGATCACGACGCGCACGGGCGCCTCGGAGAAGATGGGAGATGGCTAGATAGCGCCTCTCAAGCAAACGCGTTCATTATATTTATAATGAATTCATTATGCGGTGATAACCAGAGAGTTCGAGTGGCTTAGTTACTCCATCACTTACTCCATTACTCCACTATGAAGGGCTTGCGTAGTACGAGAGCGCTTTCATCAACTCAGGCTTCAAGTATTACTCAAGTACTATCGAGGAGATAACGACTCCAGTGAAGCGTGCTAGGCATGAAAAATGGTTTGGGGTCTTTAATGATTGCTTCAGATACGCAGGTTATACGTACTCGAGTGCGAGGGCAGAGGGCGGCGTGTTATCATAATTGATATTGATATCTGGATTGCTTGCTCTAACGAAATTACTATATGCAACTGAAGGCGGTGTAGATAACCCTTGTCTGTAGCCTCGTGCATACATAGATAACGACGCGTTCAAATCCTCGAGGCTCGAGGCAGCGCGTTGCAGATACACACACCCTAATAACGTTAACAATAGGACACATAATACACTAATAGCACGTACACATCCCAACACCTGCAGGCGTCTGGCAGAGTCCCGAGGCAAGCAAGGTAAGATACGATACGATTTCATCGATGCATGGGTATACGACGATACGTGCACCATTTTACCGTCCTCGTCCTCGTCCCCGTCGTGGGCACCCAGATCGCAATATACTAGTACCACGAGGAGCCGCCTCCGAGTCATACATAACTTTATGTCCTATGTAGTGTGTATAACCATCAGCCTGGGACACAGGAAACAGGAAACGGGCACCGAAAGCCTGAGCCTGAGCTTGAGCTTGAGTCTGAGCTTTTAAATATAAAGCCAATCGCCCCTCGAAGCTCTCGCCCTGTACTCTATGCTCTACGTCCGATCGCGAGTCCCTTGCATAGACTTCTCCCTGCAGCCGTCCGCGTCAGGCCGCATCTCGCGAGATTGAAGGAAGCTCTTAAGCACGATTACAGCGAGCGCGTTCTACGGGTATAGTGTAGCTAGGAAGCCTCTCAGCTCCAACGTCCTTTATTTACATTGAACGCAGTGCAATGAGGGGGACCCTCTCCTACAGTAGCAGTGGTAGCTGTAGTTGTGGTATCTGGTACTCGTTGCGGTTGTAGTTCCTGCCTTCCCTGCTTCGCGATGCGTTCATCGTTCATCATACGCGCCAACGCTAATTACTCAATCGACATTACATAGTACTAGACTAGGTATGTGTACACAATAGAAGTGGACTTACTACTACGTGCGGCGATGAGAAGTCGAAGTCGAACGCGATGCAAGTACGTCGACGGCCGTGGAAAGCTTGTCAGCGCGATGTGTGGAGTAGACGCGCGCGAGGTTCTGGTCCTGGTTCTGGTTCTGCCGTCTCCGTCCTCGTCCGCGTCCGTGTTCCCGTCCGCATTCTTCGTTCGCCCGTTCGCCCGTTTCGTTGCGTTGGCTTCTGCCGACTTCGGCTGCCCACGCTCAGGCAAGCTAGCTGCTGAGCGCTGAGGAACGCGCTCTCTCGTCATCGGCATCGCGCCGCTAGGTTTCAACGCTGCCATTGGACGCATGCAAGAGTGGGTGCATCCACATACGCGCCGCCGGCGCTGACTTCGAATTCCCGTCCCATTCATTCAATCCCTTTCGCTCCCATTCGATCCAATGCGAACGCGAACGCGTCCCTTCATACACAGATCCATAGTCTCGTCGATTCGATTCATTCAACGCCCACGCTCAACGCCCAAGAACGAACGGCGTTCCCATTGGACCCTCCCAACCTCCGAAGCCCAACGCCCATGATTGGCCGATCCTGACTGGCCTGTCTCCTGCTCCTGGCACGCTAACTGGTCGTCCGGAATGAATGAGCGACGCAGCGGGACATCGGGCAGTTCATGCAAGATGCCATGATCTCCCTACTTAAGTAGACTCCAGTCGACGAGCCTGAACTTGAATCGGACCAGATATCCAGATATCCGCATTGGGTGCTGAGGGTCGGGTTATCATTGGTTGGTTGGTTCGATTGGATTCGCTCAGGGTTGATGCTACTTCGATGAGCGAAGAGAAAAGGAGGATGACAAGAGGGAGGAAGGGAGGATGACGAGCGAAGATGACGAGGGCGGCGAGGTAAGCCGGCGAGGCGAAGGCGGTGGGTGATGGGCGCCGGGCACGTAAGGATTCAGAAGGAGGGAAACGCGCGAGAGCCACAGAAGCGCAGCATAAGGACGTCCAATTGATAATTGATAATTGATGAGGGGTGCCGATGCGACCTTGAGGGAAAGGATTCGCATTCGAAATCGATCCAGTCAAGCCAGCGCAGTCGACTCTACGGCAGAACAAGGCAAGGCAAGGCAAGTCGGCCGGCCGGCCCGAGGCCTAAGTACCTGTACGTACGTGAGTCCCACCATGGCCAGTGGTCGTCCATCGCCACATTAAATAAACAATACAACGCGACGAGGACTCGAGGACTCGACAAAGACGAGAGAACACTTACGAGAATAGACGAAAATCTGGTCGATCACCAGAACACCCCTTGTCTATGTAGCTAGCTCTCGAAGAGGTGCAAGGTATTCCTTATATTCGCCTGCATTCTGCCGTCTGCATCGACACATCCAGAAGGGTAACCCGAGGGTTTGTTGTTCTAGTCATACTTGATTAAAAATAAACGTTTACGAAACCGCAAGACGTACTTACACCATGATAAACAATTCGCACTTCGCAATTCGACGAAGTCAGCGGCGAACAGGCCTCTGCAATAATATATTATAGGTATGACGTGCAAACATGACATGACATGTGAGCAGGAGCTGAAAAAGAACACGAATGAGGGACTGGAGGAACGAGGGACGGAATGTGGTCAGATGACACCTACTAGAGTACTAGTATAGTTATAGGGACGAGTATGACGGCGCCGAAAGTCCATCGGAGGAGACGAACCAGTGGGTTATGCATGCATGCGTGCATTTATTTAAATCTTATGTCATGTCCTGGAGGACCAGTGGCACGCGTACGCGTACGTAGAGAGCATTCAAGGAACGCACGAGCGAAGTTAACTGGAAGGAAGAGCCTGAGGGAAGAGGGAAGACGAAGATGGAAGGAGCAGCCTGAGCAATCGAAATCGAGCACTGCAGCAAGTTCTATAGCAGAACAAGGATTCGAAGTGTGCGTGAACCCCCAGTCCATCCATCGCCGCAGCAATGTAAACAGCCATTCTGACTGACCTGTGGATCCCCGAGTGAGTGAGTGAATGCGAAGAGCGATGAGACGAAAAGTTGGTCAGACACCAGAACCACTGGAACTCTAGGTGCAGTCACGGTTTTGAATTGCGATATTTCGAGACAGAACGGCGAGATATGTATATGAGAGGTGGTCGGCGATCACGACATGTGTGAGCAGAACGAGGACGGCCATGATTTGTGGTCAGAATTTAGAGAGGAACGAGGTTGTGTTGAGGTGTGTAGTCAGATGACGTCGATGCCGACATTCGAACGCAGGTTGAAGCTTTGAAGGTTCTTCGGAGGGGAGGGACTCGAAAATTCGCATTTGGAGTTTTCTCAAGAACGAAACCGTTCTCATGTCGATCTTTCCATGAGCGTGAGCACGAGCTCGAGCAGCAGTGGGCGATTTATTAGACGTACGTCGCGCGCGATTCGCGTTCGGAGTGTCAGGCTGGAACGCGCTGATTCAGAGCGCTCGGAGACGATCATGATCATCCACTGTCACTGGAATTCGAAGGCTCGCTGTTCTTTTCTTTCTTTCCTCGCCCTCGCCCTCGCCCTCGTGTCATTACAATTTAAGCGTTCTCAGGATTTGCGTATTCTGGAAAACCTAAATGCAAAAAAACGAATGAATTTACGGTGATTGCGGTGGGGTCTTTTCCTTCTTTTATTCGCTCGTTCCTTCGTCCCCTCGTTCGTTCGAAATTCGGGAGGAGTCGTTCGGGAGGAATAAGAAATTCGAATTAAGCAGAGGCGCTTCTCCTCGCGTCTCTACATAGAGGGCCGGGGTTTTACTTAATTCAAGCAATAATTGGGGTTTGAATAAAGGACATACAATTCGAAATTCTTTCTTCTGTCAGTTGACTGACTGGTGAAAGGTGAAAGGGGATTTTACGACGACGACGATCCCTCCCCATCCTGACTGGGTGCATTAAATAGACAAATAAATTCGGCCGGTTGTAATGCTAAAGCGGGGGGGCAGCAGGTGACCATATATGGAGGGACTAATGGTAAAGTCAGGCGTGAGGCGGGGTGTGATGTGTAAATTGTGGGCGTGAAGCGTGAAGCGGGGTGGGCGTAAAGCGGGCGGAGGTGGGTTACTATTACTTTCCTGAGAAGGGTCGGAATTCGAGTAAATTGTAGTTACGCGCCGACCCACTCGTCTGCGTGCGCGCAGCGACCGGGGAAAGTTTTAGAGAGGACTCGGAATTTCCATGTTCAAGCTCTTGACGATGGGTGTACCGTGTGCGTGAGTGCGGGAGAAGGCGCAGAAAGTGAGGTAGGAGAAGGAAAGGGGAAAGGATTATTTGTACCGGAGGCGCGAGGGAAACTACTGGGAAAGTACATATGGATATGTTGTAGCGACTACCTATAACCAAGAAAGGGTCCGGTACGCGACGCGGGCCTCAGCTGGTGATGCAGGGCCGCCGACCATGGGCAGTGATGCAACCTGCCAGGCAGCACCCCAAAATTTAAATTTCAGTCGCCGCGAATAACAGCGGCTCGGAAGGCTGAAGGGGGGGTGCAGGACTGAGGACTCGGGGAACGACTTGGGAAGGGGGGGGCAGGCCTCGAGGAGGACGGTGAGATTTGAGTGGGCCGGGGAGAACCGGGGTCCGGCGGAGGATCCTGATTTGAACGGCGGCCCAATCGGGCATGAGAGAGTCCTTATCGTATCACTGCTGTGAAAGAACAGAGGAAGGGGAAGGAGAAGGGGACGGGAGTGTCTGTCTGTTTCTGACCAGGCTAGGGAAATGAAGGACCTGCACGCGTGGGCTATTTCTGTGTGACCGAATCGGGGCGGGTGGATCTGGCCAAGCTGCTGTTCCCAGATGCAAAGAGAGATGGGTCCGTCACGCGTTGTCGCTCGCATTGATGTTGCAAACGATGGATATCTGCATGTATAAATCAGCACGGTCGAGTCGCCCTCCTTTTTTTCTGTTCCTCACCCACACCGTCGCTCGTCCCCTCCCCCACTGCCAGTCATGACCACGGCCAACAAGGGTGTCCCCGCCAACCTCATCGCCTTCCCCAGCGTCTCCTCCTCGCTGCACTCGCTACCGCAGGCGACCAGCATGCAGAGCGTCTCCCTCCATCCCAACATGTACGCTCAGCGCGCCCAGGAGAGCGAAGCAAAGGTCTGTCCCCTCTCCCTCTCGTGTTCGTGCGCTGACCACCCCCCCTTCTCGCCCTACAGCTCCAAAAGGCCCTCTCAAAAACACCCTCCTCGTTCACACCACACGCCCAGTCGATGGTGTACCGCGCACAGGTACGTCGCGTCTTCCTTCCCTTCCCTGCTGTGCTCACGCCGCGTCTCACCAGCCTTCGATGCCCGCCTCGGACCCGTCGTCGCCACTCATGATGCGCTCAGTACGTGTCCTTTCCTTCACCCGCGGGCCTGCTCGCTACGTACGTGCAAGAGCAAACGCTGACTCGGGGCCTATCGCTTGTAGAAATCCAAGTTCTCGACATGAATGGAGCGAAGAACGCCGACTTTTTCTTTCGCCTTCGCCTTTGCTTGAACTACCTCCGCACCGCCCTCCGTTCGCCTTCGTCCATCCGCCTTCGCCCCTCCCACTTTCACCCACCCTCCACCTTCACCCACTTCTACCCTCACCTCCCTCCCTCCTCCACCCACCCTCCACCATCTTCGCTTCCACTGCTTTCGCTACCGCTAGACTCGGGGCACCCAAAAATTCCCTTCACTCGTCTTGCTTTCCTCGCTTTCCTGATTCTCGCATGCATCTATAGACCTTCCCCATGTCCCGTCCATGTATCGTTGTCTGCATCGTCTGTCTCTTTCTCTTCCTCTGTCTCCCTGCCTTCGCCCTCCTCGTCACCACCCTCGCCCTCGCCCTCGCCCACTCATCACCACCCTCGCCCTCTCGCTCGCTCGCTCGCTCGCATCTAAAACTCCTCTACAACTCCTACTCGTATTCCTCCCAGGTCCCAGGTCCCAACCCCGACTCCGACCCCCGGTCTAATCGTATTTAATTCACTTGGTTTATAGAAGGAACGTTTTATCTCTCTTACTCTCTTACTCTCTCTTACTCTCAGTCTTACTCTCAGTCTTACTCTCTCACTACTTTGCTACAGCTACAGTCTCACTCTTCCTAGCTACAGTCTTCCTGCTACATCTTTTCGCTGGCTACAGTCTTACAGTCTCATACACCCCGAGGTTACATACAGTCCCATACAGTCAGGCCTCCTTGTACATATATACTGGTCCCCTCTGATTTCGTTGAATTTTTTATACAGGGTCGTTTTTGGGAGTTGGCAGACTCCAATATCTAATATCTTGGTGTGAATGTGTGTCTCGTCTGTTTTTTTTGCTCGACTTGCTCGACTTGCAATTGTTTGAGTTCTAGCTTGAGTTCTAGCTTAACTTGTGTATACTACCCGAGTCCCAGAGTTATAATTACCCTTCATGAATACCCTTCGACCCAACTTCGACCTCCTTCGACAGTTCCTCCCCGGTCCCGAACACACCCTAAATCTAATCCTTATTCCCCGCCCAGTGCCCAGGCTGCCTTCGCCTTCGCACTTGATTAAAGAACCAGGCGCGCTTTCCTTTCCCTCCGGCGATCATCCACATGCGCGTGCAGAAAACTTTAGTTAAAATACATGTTTACAGATAGAGAAGAAGCGTCGGGAATTCTCGCAACGACCCACGCGACGCGCGACGAATGCCAATGGGCAGAAGTCAAGGAGAAGCCTGGGAGAATTTGAAAGGAGTGATCATCGTTCCACGTGGCGACGCGACTTGCCTTAGGAGGTCAGGCCGACGATCGCGATCGGTATACCGTAACATGCTTCTCGACGTATTTAAATTTCCTGAAATATTAATGTCGTGAGCTCGCGACATCCGTCCCCAGTAAAGAACGGAAAGTCCCAAGTTCTCGACCGCCCACGCTTCTCTCCTTTGAACACGGAAATATCAGTCCTACCGCTCAGAACGATTATTGACTCCTTGATCCCAACCAAACCTCTCAATTTCAAGAAAACTAAGTACTGTAACTTAATGGCGCCGGCGGCGCGCGGTTCGCAGTAAATAATAATAGGCCGCGGTCTGGACCTACGGCGACCCACGAAAAAAAAACCAAGATAGGCTAGTGCGCCTCACATTCGGTGCGGACCTTCCCTCTTCATTGTCATCCGCGCCGACTCCGATCATGATTTACGAGTGACGACGCGACGAGATGATGATTTACGAAACAACAGGTATCCAAGGCGCCCGAAGAGATGCAGCGATGAAACCATGGCGCACTCTTGGGTGCTCTAATTGGTGATGATGGGTGATGATGTGCGGCGTCCGTGGCGTCTCGTATGTGGAAATTTTGCGGCAGGAAATTTGCGGCAGCATTTTTTTTGGGCGCCAACCCCAACGCCGGGTGCTGCGCAGACCTCTCGGGACAAGTTGAAGCCTCGTTCCCTATTGCATTTCGTTCTCTATTGCAACTTGCGTCTGGGGAAAGTAGCTATGTAGGGGGAAAGTGACTCGTTCCTCAGGGTGGATGTACTGAAGGTGGATGTAAGTACGGGTCTTCCCGAATCCAGTGTGTTTGTGGTTATGCTGGTCCTCGGCGGGAGTAAGTATCTCTATCTATCTAAGCCTCAAGACGAATTTTACTTCCGCACCCTCAGATCATACACGAGCCGTCCCGTCGAAGTTCATCTGCGTCTATCTATGACGCACGATCATGATCAAGGTAAACTACTTACCAGGGTCTTGCCATTTCGCACTTCCATCTTGCCTCCATCCGTCGCGTCCTGCGTCCTGCATCCTGCGTCCTGTGTCCTTCATCCATCTTCCACCTCGCACCCAACCTCTTGCGACCATCGCATCGCAATCCCATCTATCATCTATCATGAAAACCTCTCGTAAACCCCTGAACTCTCGTAAACCCCTCACTGGTCCCTTCGCACCCCGGCGCGTGTTGATCTGAATCCCCTCAACCCTCATCCTCAGGCTGTTGTTGATAATTGATTCCTCCCACTTCCCACTTCGAATTCCCTATGCCCTTGAAGAGATCCAGGACCCTGCACGGCTGCACGTCCCATCCCGGGTACTTACCCAGTTGGATTTTTCCGTAGCGCCTTCCAACTTCCCAGCGGTTCTCAGCGGTCCGTGCTGAGTAGATTCTAGAGGTCTTCGTGCTTACCAGAGGTCTTCCCAGCGATTCCAACTTCCCAGCGGCCTCCGCTCGGGGATGACGAAACCCTCCCAAACTATCCAAACTCCCAAAACTCTCCGAATTCCGCACTCTGAATGTAAGCATTCTATTCATTCAGGTTACTTATCTGATAGCTCACTGATATTTCCGCCAGCTGACGTGCGGCAACTTGCAACTCTCTCCTCCGTCTCTCCTCCGTTTGAGCTTTACACCGCGAGGTATTGCCTGCTGACTCTATACTGAGCAGAGTTTTTAGGTTTTCGTGGGCAATCAAATCCTTACAACATACACTGACACTGGACAGTGAGACGACAGTGGCGGCGTCGGTATCGGTACCGGTCCCGTGTCCTCCCTCTCGTAAGTTCTTTCGTTTTCGTCTGCTTTCGTCTGCTTTGCACCTACTTTCGCCCACTTTCGTCCTCCATCAGCACAAACATCGCCCGTCGACGAACGGACATGCACGTTTCCTTCCCATGCCCGCCCACGACTCGCACGAGCGCCCACCTCCCGGGATCGAGTTTCCTTCGATGCTGAGGGACACCACGCCTCGCCGCGCCAGGAATATACGGGTGGATGATTGGCATGCAACACGCCCGAGGAATCAGGGTATTTCCAGATGACACTGTGGCCTTTGCCATCGTCTTCGTGCGAACTCGTGTTCGAGTTATCCCGAGGTACGCCCATCCGCATCCAACCAGACCTTCCCAAGGCTACTAGTAGACCTAAATTCCTATGTGCTTGACGGGCGTGCGCCGTGCAACAACGGTACCTGTTCCACTGACAGCTGAATAATTTTGCGTAAACAGATCAAGAGAATTGCCTCCAGCCTCCGGGCACCAGAGGTGCTTCGCCGTCAAAACGACGGGAAGAGAAGGACGAGCTGGGGCAACAGGCTCAGGGTTCTCTACTCAATTGATCGAGCCCGGTACGTTTACTTGCCCTACTCTAGTCTCTATGGGTGGTTTTGACCTCACGTCATTGATTAAACCTCCGTCACCTCGAGGCGTGCCGCAGGGGGCCGCAGGAGGCCGCAGGCAGTAGTGGTACTCTATTGTCGCTGGGTGCCAAATAGATATACAGACTGGAGTCATTATAGGGTGCGGTGAGTGGTCTTCGCTTCCTAAAAGTGCTACTTCTCCTTCAAGACGCGTCTTCTTAAAGTTTTACAGTTTCGGGCGCTGTGTGCTATGATGTCTGACTGAATCACAACACAGTGCGGTCTACAGGTCACCGTCCACTGTCCCAGTCCACTAGATACAGGCCACTGGACGCTAGATGCTGAGCGTCCTTTACACGCGTACCTAGAGACCGGCGTTTACTCTACTTTTATAGATGAACTCGGCCGACGCCGTCCGCACTCCGAGTCTGGGAGAAGGCTTGAGGAAGAAGCTATGTGCAATTCGATCGAATTCGAATTCGGATTTGCGTTATGACGACATTGGACTGTGTTCTCTTAGGTCTGGCAGCTAGATAGTGACTGGAAAACCGCCCGTCCGCCAACGCATCCCGGATCCCGGTCTCCCTCCCTTCTACACACGCTACTTCCGCCTACTACCCGTGCTAACCTCGTCTTTCGTGCCGGCCGCGGGTGCCCCTGTGTCCATGTTTGTATCTGGAATAGCTCTCAGCTCTGACGGGTGTACACCTCTTTCGTCCGGCCCTTTGGGAGAAGGAAGAAGGTGCGAGTCGCGATTTGAATATGACGACACTGGACCGTGCTCTCTCAGTTCTGGCGACTAGATAGTGACTGGGGAAATTGCGAGTACTTACGCCAACGCGTCACGGATGCCCATCTTCCGTCTTCCTTCTTCCGCGAACGCTCTGACGCTACACTGCTTCCTCCACGGTCCGCCTGTTCCTGCTAGCGTGCTAGAAGAAACCCTGCTCTTGGACCAGCACTCTGAAATTGTCAACGCATCCATCCATCTAAAGCTCGTGTCTGAGTCTCTCTCTGCCGGCCGCGGTTGCAGCTGTATCCGTGTCTGGAATAGCTCAAAGCTCTGACAGGTACACGCCCCTTTCTCTGATTCTTTGGCGTTCCGGGATCAAAGGCTCGTGGGTCATGGATCACGGAAAACTCGGGTTCAAGGTTCGCGCTTGAGACATGGGACCCGGTACGCTTTTGGTTGCATTTCCATATGGACCCACCCACTCATGCGCGATACTGATAGTATTGGCGGCGCACGCAATGTGGGCTAAGATAACTCTCCATGGCGCCCTATGTATAATTACCCTAGTCTCTAGGGATAATTTTGACCTCACGTCAAATCCTCGAGGTGTGCCGCAGCATCGACCCAAGAGACATATACGGTACTCTATAGGGTGCGGTGAATGATCTTCACAGACTTCCTACTTCTCAGACGCGCTTCTTCTCCTTCAAGACGTGTCTTCTTAAAGTTTTGCAGTTTCGGGCGCTGTGGTGGTTCGCGTTCTTGGGGAAGTGTGAAGGTGCGAGTCGCGATTCGGATACAATGACGCAGGCCTGGCAGCTACATGCACACACCTACTCTACCTGAACCGCCGACGCGTCCCGGATCCCGGTCTAAGTGCTTCTTCCGCGAACGCTCTGACGCTCTATCCTTGGTCCGCCTACAACTCGTGCTGGAAAGAATCGCTGCTCTTGGACTAGCACTGCGAAACTGTCAGCACATCTATCTATCTAAAACTCGTCTTTCTTGCCAGCCGCGGGTGTTCCTGTACTTATCCGCGTCTGTGTCCGTGCCCGTGCCCGTATCTATGCCTGTGTCTGGAATAGCTCAAAGCTTTGACAGGTACACGCCTCTTTCTTTCTCTGATGATCAATCCTTTGGCTTCCGGGCTCGAAGGCTCGTGGATCATGGATCACGGAAAACTCGGGTTCAAACTTCAAAGCTTCACGCTTCGCCCTTGAGCTTGGGAGACATTACGCTTTCGGGTCTGTTTGCATGTGGACCCACCTATCTACGTGCGATACTGATAGCGTTGGCGGCACGCTAAGATGACTTGATATTGGACAAGCCTCCCACCTCCAGACTGCGTACATGCACACGCTGTGTTGTTTTTTCTTCTGTGCCTGTTGCCATGGTTCTTGCGCGTGCGCCGTGCGTGCTCACAGATGCTCCTGCACGCGCAGAAGTGTCACTGTTAATCTTAATTGAATGTTTCGAGGTACGCTGCGTAGCCTGGGGTAGCTCAGTATCACCATAAAGTATCACCACCACCACCTCCTTCCTTGGCTTCAAGCCCGACGATCTAAGTATTATTCAAGCTCGGAAGTGAAGTAATCACCCACGGAAACTAGGGGGAAACGGAGGAACACTTGTTCTTCTGCGTTCCCTCCGGCGTGTACGGCCATACGCACTATCGCACTACCCAGTTGGGCTGGTTGAGTGTTATTGGGTGCTTTAAATATCAGATAAGTACCAGGACTATCAGTACCAGCGCTAGCGCTAGATGCGGATGGAACTGGGTCCTGAGTACAATTCCTGAGTACTGACTCGTTGGCCTCCTTCTCCGGCTTATGTTGGGCGCGCTCTTGGAAGAAGCACTGGTAATATTGCAATTCGGTGCAGGGTTCGGTAATTTCGGCGCTGTCCTTGCAACGCTCGTGCTCAGGATGTCGGACGAGAGTAAGGGTAAGCTGCACCTGCTACCCAATCTCTCCCAATAAGTCTGTATGGTGACATCATTGTCCACAGGACGCCGCCGATCCAGCGAAGAGAACTCGAAGAACTTGGAAAGAGAAAAGAAGAGCGCGAATCCGAATCGCGCGATTGATTAAGGTTTTATTAACTGTCCCTCCCTGTGTCTTCGATTTTCCCTCATTGCTTACCCTTACTTTCCCTCCTCTAAATTCATGGGGGATGATTTCATGACCGGTCTTCCGTGTCCTCCACGAATTCATGTTAGCCTCCGGCCCTGCGATCGTTCCCCTCTGCCCGTGGGCAACCCGTTCATACCTGTCTTCTTTCTTGCGTATATATTGCAGGTTGCTCCACAACACAAGGATGAATGTCCGAGTCTTCGACGGATTCCTGCGTTCCCGCAGATCCCTTCAGCTGGTTGCGAGTAGGCAGCGTCCCGGGACGTTCATGGCTGAAATTTATCCCGCTACGTACTCTGTACATGATGCATGCAATTGCTATTGCAATTTATGTACGAATGAACGGGTGTTGGCAGTGGTGCGACTCGGACTTGACTCGGACGTTGGGACGTCTGAACGACGATCGTGTCGACGGATCTGCAGAGTGGATCGCATCATTCAAGTTGGCGTTTTCGGGTTCCACTGCTCTATCACCGTTATCTATTGAAAGTGCTTGCTGCAGCCGCGTAAATACACGCTCGATTTCGATTAGAATTTGGCGTTGCTGATTGACGCAAATGAGATACTACCGAGCTCGACAAACTCCTAGCGAGATGAATTTAGAATCAAAGGTCGATGTGGTTTTTACATAGATCTTTACCGGGGACCAGCTCAGACCTGGTGTCATCGTGTATCCGCAAGGATTTGCCTATTGCCGGTCATAAACTCAAGAGTCCGAGTCATAGTCTCATACTCAGGCCACCCGGGCATTTTGGATTTGCATTTGGAGGCTGGAAGAAGGTTCGCGAGCACGGTGTACGGACCGCTGCCGCATATTCTCCCTTATCGCGTCGTGTTGTGCAATAATGATATGTTTTATCGCACTTACTTATGGAGATCTACGGCCCTAGCTAGGCCTATCGCGTCAACGTGGATCATGAACGAACGCACCCAGCCGCCCAACCCTCAGATTGCGAACATAAAATATGGGCGATTACTCCGCGAAAGGGCGGCCCAAAGTGCAAGGCCTGGAGCCTGAGCCTGAGCCTGAGGGCTCTCACACTGAGACGTGCGCATCCGAGTCCAAGTGCGGCCGGGTTGGGCACTCCTCTTACTTACTCTGCGCAGTTAAAGCGTCATTGGCTCCTTTTTGCCTTTGTCCCCCTCCTCGCGATCCCATGACAGACAGGTGAACGTAAAGTCGAGTCCACCTCGTGTATGGGTGCTATCGATACCGAGCACGATCCTCGAGGGGCTTCGCGCTTATCCAAGTGGCTAGACAATTATAAGGAGACACCCGGTCGTGACCCGCGCGCCGACGACGCCTCATCGATAGGTGCGTTCTCACCAAGGAGGAAAGCCTGGGTGCTCGAGCCTGGGATCACCCCCCCGCGCATGCGCTCCCAATCCACTGGTGTTATCAGATTCAAGTGGAAGGACCGCACAGCCTGCGCGGAAAGGAGTATGGGTAATTGGTGAGATGCATCAGTAATTCACTTGCCTGCTCGTCAAACTGCCAGAGTGTGGTAGAATGGGCGTTACGGTGAGACGATCGGACTTCCTTTGGGGACTGTGCTGGAAATGCGATGAATAAGATCCGGGTCGCAGTCGATATATGCAATGTTCTGTCTGGTCACCGAATAGACAAAGCAAGAGCTTGATGGTGGAACGCAATGGAAGTGAAGTCCAGAACAAAGCGCTTCATTTCTCTAAGAGCAATGAAATTCGACTTCGAGGGTGGAAACACTCTTCATCGCGATCGTCCGAGGCAACGAACATTCGAACTTTGAACACTCGAATCCACGCCGGACACTACGCAATAATTCCCAGTCTCGGTCAGCTGCCCGATTCCGTGAGAGAGCTCAACAACGCACCTAATTGTCGGTAGAGTCTTCTTTTTCTGTGTTTCTCAGCCAGTCTGAATTGCTGATCGTACTTCCGTCCGCACCCGGCGGGGTTATGCGTCTAATCAAGAAGCTCACTGTTCTTTCACTGGAAGAACTTGAAAGGATAGATCGAGCTTGATGTTGCAAGAACGTGGAGTCCCCGCATCTAAGAACAGCTGTGAGGATGGTGAACTCGAAACCCAGCGAATGTCGTCTGCGGCCAGCCTGACCAGTTTCTTGACATTCTTAAATTTCTTTTGCCGATGTTTGGCCGGAGGTAGGAAGCACATGATGGAACGTTCCATGGCCTACCTAAGCTGAGGCTGCTGGCGCCTACAGAGGCCTACAAGACAAGTAACCGGATGGACCGGTGTGAGCCTATCTACACCCCCTACGGCGTTCTTATGAAGTCTGCCGGGCTGTTCGCGCCTGTTCTAGGCTTCTTTGACGGAGAAGAGAGGTAATCGCAAAAAAAACTTTTTCGTCTGAGTGCTTCGGAGAATCATACCTTACTTCAGAGTGAGCCACGATCATTAGAAAAACATTTAGTGAACTCGCTTAACCTTGTACCATATGCATCGATGGATGGACACACTCATATTCGTACAGCCCCCAAGATATCAAGCAGCACGAGCACTAAATGATGGATCTGATAGCTAGAAAATCGAAGGATCGACAAGACAGCAGCTCCTTAGAAGAAAGACCCTAACGTAAACAACAAAGCAAGCGTGAATGAGAAATGTATTAGGTCATACAGGATACTGAATGATAGTTACAGGTAAACCGACCAACTTGAGGTAGGCCCCATGCTCCTATCGATGGCGATCGCGTGCCAGGTTGAAAGTTGAAACGCGACGATGACACCAACCAGCTGGAAAACGGGATGGAGGTCGAACCTGATTCATTTTCTGGGCGTTGACAAGTGCAGTGGAAGGCCGCAGGAAGAGAGTCCGGGTTTTCATTCGAGACGTGTCCAGGTCGTCCGTCCTTCCTCGTCCGAAGAGAATATGCGATTAGGGGAGCGATACGATACAGGTCGTTGTGTTGACAGGAATTACGTTTCAGCCCCATGCTGGCGTCGTGCTGCATGGAAGCTGTAGCAGAAGCAGGAAGGAGGATAAGACGGGCAAGCTCACCTGTAGTTTACGATCAGGAATCCCTCCGTAGCGAAGGACTGGGTACGTCAATACCGTCGGTAGTTGTCAAATGTTGGGGCTCACCTTATAGAGATTGAGAACGGTATCATCCGGCGCAGGCGAAAACGTAGAATTTATGTAGAGAAACTGTTCGCAAAAGTCTCGTCAGGAGGCGTCATATAGACGACAGATACAACAAGACACACGAGGGGTTCGCCGCTTTGCCATCCCAATTCTTTCCTGAGAAACTGAATGACTGCCTGGAAGCGATTGGTAGCCGTGATCTTGTACATGTTCTGCTTCATTATAGGGGCATTCCCAACGCCTTTAAATCGGACGACAACTAAGAACGCCGTAAGTAGTAAGTAGAGATGAATTGGCTGGATTGTCGCACCCTTCGAGGTATCCTTCTTCTTGTACGTTTCCAGAGCCGTCACGACTTCTTCGCTAAGACTCCACGATGGCTGGTCGCGAGCCCCTTGGCGAATTGTCGTATCTGCGCCTGCGGCCGACATCGTGGTCGTTTAAGAGAACGAGCGATGAGCATTTCCTCACTGTTCGCTTAGGTAATCTTTAGTCATATGACCGCGATAGTCGCCCTGGCCTGCCCTGGCGCTTGTTGAAGTCGCTTGAACTCCTACCACTACCACCATCTAGCTAACGGCATTCACCCAGAGGGCCTCAGGCAGGTGAGTAAATCACTAATGTTGCGTTTGATTGCTGGATTAAAGTAAATTTTGTAGCGCCCTCGCAAACGGGCCTGACATCATGCGCAGTCACGAACTCTCAGAGTTCCTCACTACTAACCTTCTGCCTCCGACGACTATACTCAATGTTGCAAAGGGACTTCAGACAGAATATGGAGAAGAACTCAAGGTGCAGATGGCAGAACTAGAAAAGCTCCAAGCGCTGGTTCAAGGAGTCAAGGACCGGGTGAAAGCCACTCAACAATCCATTGTCGAATGTCAAACCGTCTTGTCCCCCGCGCGGCGACTTACGGACGACGTCCTTGGCGAAATATTCTACAAATGCCTTCCTAAACATCGCAACTCACTTATATTGCCGTCGGATGCACCTCTACTCCTCACGCAGGTGTGCTCCTCGTGGAGAGCAGTAGCCCTGTCCTCCCCTCGTCTCTGGTCCCGGCTCCATGTATCGTTTCCAGGAAACATGCCGGCTCCCAAGAGGGAAGTCGGCCATAGGGCAATGTACTCTAACCTCGACCTTTACACCCAAAAGATAATTGCTGCGTACCCTTCGGTGATGGCCAAGCGGCGTGAGGCAGTGGAGGTGTGGCTAAAGAGATCGGGTTCTTGTCTCTTATCGATTTCCATCATGTACCCCCTCCTCCACCCAGTTCGCGTCAAGCAACCGATCGACACCCCAACGGAAGACTTATTCGACACCCTTATCCCTTTCTGCGGACGATGGAAGGATCTTGAACTGACTATGCCATACAGTGTGTATTCGAAATTCCAAGCCAAATTCACGCTCGACAAGGTCCCATCACTCACCCATCTCAGAGCGTATATTCCTGACCGCCGAAACAGCCGTCCTGAAGACGCGACGAAATCAGCGATCGACATGCCACTGCTGTCTGCCCCCACTCTGCGCTCTGCATCATTATATCTTCCCACTATGGGCACCGTCACCTTCTCTGCTCTGAACAAAATGATGCCGGTATGGGAGCACCTCACGGAATTATTCCTTTATGCCTCTATCCTGGACACGGACCTGTGGCGATTCCTCGATGCGTGCAAGAATTTGGTCGCGTGCCGATTTATTGTCCACTCTCGAGACCAGTGGGGATATGATCTAGCGGGAAACACCCCTCAGCTCACTTCCACGAACGAAGACGAGGCCCAAGAGCATGGAACTATATTTCTCCCGCATCTTGAACTTTTCGGCATCACGGATGATGGCGTCGACAAAACCATGTCCTCCCTCTACAGATCCATCGAGGCGCCATCTCTGAAGCACGTCGACTATCGTCGATCCGGATTCCGGGAATACCTCAATACCCAGGCTGACAGCGGACAGCCGGCAGAGAGAAGAATATCTCCAGCCATTGCATTCCTCGAAATGGCGCAGACAATTGATAGTTTGGCCTTCGAACCGCGAGGGATATCGGAGCAGGATGTCCTTACGAGTCTGAAAAAAACAAACAGGCTTAGACATCTGGCGCTAGGGAGAAGTTCGCTCGCCGACGATGACAGCACGCACCGTGGCACCTCCCGATTCCGTCTGCCCCGCGACAATTTCTTCATGGAGCCATTCATCGTGCAAGAAGGCACATCATTGGAAAACGGCGACGACATACCCCTTCCTTATCTGGAGACTTTCGAATCCCATATGCCCTTCAACGTCTCTGATGAGGATCTCCTCAGATTTATTCGCAGCCGGCTTGGGCGCGCAGCGGCTCAAAGCGGGGTGGCTCCGCTCCAGAGGGTGAAGGTGTATTTCGATAGGACGAGCCAGGCCGACATCGCAGAGGAGGTGCGAAAGTGTGCCGAGGAAGCTGGTCAGAAGATTGAACTCGACTTGGACTACGGACCTGAGGAATCGATAACGAGGCGTCCGCTCTCAGTCAAATTCGGCATGATGGAGAGGAGTGAGAGGTCGTGGATATATCCAGATGGCGACCATTGACGGCCAGGAGATGTCCAGGAGATGTCCCTATCGCTTGGTGGATGGACGGAACTGCGATTTGAGTCCCTCTTGCTTTGTAAATCAATAGAAACATGTCTCATGACAGATAATTATCTCTTTTCACGGATCATCGAACGTCCTTCGAGCCGCAGCAAGGTCTAATTCAGGGCTGTTGCTGCGCAGGGTATTTGTGGGCGCCTCCGCCTATTATACACTCAGAGCCTCCGAGCGATGTCAATCCGAGATCGGCTTTAGCCGAGACTACTGCCTCCTAAAAGCATCACACTCTCTCACTGCACTCTAATCAGACGTCTAACATTTCCCTTCATTCAAGTAAGGCAGATGTCTACCGCCTTTCAAGTCAGTGAATCGTGGAAAGGGTTTCCCTCCTTACGCTACTTGATTATATTGTTGGTTTTTTCCCCCGATGATCCTAGGCGTTCGTCTGGTTGGCTTACTTTTATCATGACATACAGCGGCGACTCGTGTAGCGATGTCGGGTATTGGTCTGGGCATCCTACCCCGTACGAACCACTCGCAGTGCCATTCCCAGGCGAAACATACGCTGAGCACGGCCTTCCCAACTGGGTTGGACACCTGATCACGAAGCATTGCCCTTCACCGCGTTACTGTCCTGATCTTCCCGATGAGGAGCAAGACGAGGAATATGTGGAATCCCCTCTCCTGATTTACGACTATGCAGTCGGCGGAAATACGGTTTCGGGAATCGTTTTCCAAATTGATAACGTTTTCTTGCCGAGTCTCAAGAAGACGCCGGCTGAATGGTGCGCCACAGACACACTTTTTGGTACGCACCTATAGCAGAACGCCATGCCCCATATTCTTGGTTTACATACCATTCACAGTGACATGGATTGGGATTAACGATTGTGGGTACGAACATTTGCCGTGCAGTTCGCCGCCCCAAGCTGACAATATATTTAGGAAAGATATCCAGCCTTCAACTGCCTTCGAAGCGCTATTCGCTGCTCAAGAAAAACTACTGGAAGCTGGCGCTCGGAATTTCTTGTTCATCGATGTCCCACCTATTCATCGAACGCCCAACGGTGGGCTCTCACATTCCGAAACCCTTGCCAATAATTGACTTGCTGGTACATGTAGTACCTGATGGAAAACAGCAGGCCATATCTTATCGGTATATCCACTGGAATCTCGCTCTGACCCGAGCAGTCGCCAAATTTACCAAGGCTCACAAAGACATTTCGGTCTTCTTATTCTCCACATACGAGCTGTTCGAGGGGATGCTGACTGACCCACGTGCGTACGACATCGACCCGGAAGAACTGGAGAAAGCAGGTGGGCAGGTATGGGTGGACGAACTTCACCCTACAAGTAAAGTGCATGACCATATAGCGGCCGCTATAGCCACCTTCTTGAACACTGTCAAAGCTAAATAACAACCGCGGTGTCGTTTCCGAGTAGTAATTATAGGCCTACATTTCTAAGCATATCCTACCGCAGCAGCTCACGTCGGGATTATCCTGCACGCCCGCGGGTACTTCCATGCTATAATACAGAATAGGGTTATGATATAGTTGCTCTGCTCTTTTTATGTTACGAAGTCAACTATTTTGTCCCCGGGTTCACACCTTTGGAATGACCTAGCTATTGATGTGTGCATCGTCGCATGCCTTCATTTCAATGGGTGGGATATCCGACCCAGGCCTGCGTCCTCTCGCTCCTACCTACATGCCCGTGAGGCTCGAAGCCTCAGCATCGTGTCTTCAGCAAGGTGCGCTAACTGTTTGTCTTGACGACATGAAATCCACGCTCATCTTCGCAGGTTCGGCGATCGCGAGGTTGTCTATCATTTGTACGACAATAGACCGACGCGGCGTCGCTCTTCCATCTTCCTGAGTGCTTGAATCGTCGTCTGGCCAGCTGGGAAGGGGTGCTAGGACGGTAGCAGCAGCAGCAGCGAAAAGCGTCCTTGACTTCGAGAAATGCACCCGCACCGCGATCAAAACGAAGACGATACCTGCAAGGAACTTTTCAATGAGTATAGGGCCCTAGCATTCCACAAAGAAATTCTAACCAATGCTGGGGATTACCGCATCCTGGACGATAAACTGCGCGTTGTGGTGAAGTGGGAAGAGGATAATCAGGACGAGGAGCTGGATCGTGTATATCATGGCGCTCTCGATGATAATCCGCATGACACCAAGAAGGTCCAACGATGAGCTATTCACTACACCCATCGTCCTCGACGCGCGGTGCTGCTTCCAGATCTTGAACGCAATCATGCCAGTCGTGATTGTGTTCTGGGCAAAGGCGATGGGGTACACGGTGCCCATCCAGGCGAAGACAGTGCTGAGGGACACGACATTCGGGTGGATAAACCAGTAGAGGAGAACCGCGTTGGAACCTATGCCAGTCAATCCATGTTAGAGGAAAATGTAGGATGGTGCGCGAGAAAAGGACACTTACAAATACTTAGAAGCAATAAAACAACGGGGACGACGGTCACCCAGAGCTTGCGGTCCCAAACGACATAACACCTATAGATCTAACCATGATAATTCCGGGTCAGAACACTATCCGACAACGAGCTGCCAGCCACTTGGGGGGGGTTACAAATATGAATGACAGTGCTTACCACCAACGTGTCTCCCAGCCAGGTCATCAAACAAAGCATCACGCTGTGTGCCCGCGTATCCCACCTGGTGAAATCGAAAAAGTAAAAATAGGGTCCCAGAGGGTGGAGGTTGAGCACGAAGCCTCTGATGAAGCGGTATAGGTTGACAGCTGGTGGCAGATCGAATTAGCTCACGGCGGCGTCGGCGGGTAAACATATGTCATGCAAGGCAATATTGCAGCCCAGCAGAACAGCAAAAACAGAGCAGCGACCGACATACCCATGTGTGCCGTTGCGAGAAGGAACATCAGCGTCGTTCCTATGAGGAAGACCTGGCAGTTCGAGGTGGTTGTTAGTCCAGTCGACATAGAGTTGGGTGAGGTAGGCGAGATGATGTTAGTCAAGCGCTGACCTTGGCCGAGCCGACGGTCGTCGACCGCTTCTTGAGCATGACGTACAGCGCCTCGAAGAATAGGCACGCATATATCCCTGTTGGGGGCCGTTCAAGATTAAGTAAGTGCAGGGGTATTGTTTCGCACCATAGATCACTGCCTGGTAGGGACATTCAACTAGGGCTTTGGAACGACGGCGACGGCGACAAGCACGAGACATACCTCGACCCATACAGACACAGCCAGGGCTACTTCTGGATTCATACCCATACTTACATCGATCCCTGCCGCTGGCGAATTTTGTCTGAGAGGGAGCAAGAGGAAAAGAGAGAGGCTTCCTTCGTTAAATGCGTTTCCTAAAGGCAAAGCACCAGCTACGTCCAGTGAAATTACGTCCTTGATTGGGCACGTCGATTCTATTTTTGCTTCAACGCCGTAGTGGTACACATTTGACGAATGAGAGAGTACGTTACAAAAAGCCCCGAAACCGCAACTATCCATCCCTTTCTACATCCCTAAAATAAAAAACAGTTTGGCTTCTTTTCCGTCCGGCCACTGACTTCGTGATCACGCTGGGAAAGGCGTACTTGAGGTGCTTGTGAAGGGGTTTCGTGGGAGAGAGGACATGGGTGTTTCCGGAAAACTCAGTCTAGGTCGGTGGACATGAGGAGAGGATTCCGATGTGACACCGGAACGCGAGAGCTTGTATCCAACCTGTGAGGCGTGTCGGGTCTCTCTTGGCTTAGGATATCCGGGGGAGGCCGTTCACATGCCCAACCATGAAAGAGGAGAGGACCTATTGCGATTCGGGGTCGTATCCTCCAGAGAGGGAATGGGTCTTCTTGCGTCTCGACGATGATGAGCTCGCGCCTGAAGGATCGTCGTCGTCTCTGTTGGTCTTCTCGGCAGGGAATGAGACACCAATGCTGGACTGGCTCAGCTCGATGGCGCTGTCGTTTGTGGCTGAGGCCCAGACCGGCATGGTCTCGCGCGTGGTGTCGATGGCGGTGGTCGATTGCTTCGCGAGGTGCACACGCACGGCGATAAGGACGAAGACGATGCCTAAACACAAAAAAAAATGAGGGAAAGCGCATCATACATGTCGACGGAACATACCGATACTCGGAATGATAGCAAGTTGGACAATGATCTGGTGACCTTCTCTCCGGAAGTAGAGGATGGTAAGGATCATGATTTGGATAGTATATATCATGGCGCTCTCGACGATAATGCGAAGAATGCGCACGAGGCTGAGTCGTGAGCTGCGGTCGATCACGCCAGATACGGAAGAGGCGCGATGTTGAAGCCAGATCTTGAGGAGGAGTAAACCAGTCGTCAAAATGTTCTGTGCGAGCGCAAGAGGGAATATGGCATCAAGCCAGGGCCACATGGATAGTGGGTCCGCAATTGTAGGGTTTTCGAACCAAACGAGGCAGTAGGTATTGATAGCTGTCATATAAGCTTTCAGCCTCCGCGTCGAGTTTTCATTGAAAGATGGCACTTACCGGCGGCAGCGAGCAAAAGAAGGGTAGGCAAAGCAATAATCAAAACATTCCGATTCCAAACAAAATAGCAGCGGTATATCTGGGGTAGGATGGAGTAAGCGCACGAGCATGGATTATCGATGGATGACGTACAACGAGAGCATCACCCAACCAAGTCATAACGCATATAAGGATACTGTCCGCTGTAGCGTCCCACCGGGTGATATCGAGCAAATAGTAGCGAGGTCCTCTCGGGTCGACATGGAGGATGAATGCTCGGAAGAAACGATACAGCGTAAATGCTAGGGATGTTGTGAATACAAAGCGACCAGGTACCAAAGATACCAACTCACCTAAATGCACCGTTGCTGTGACGAACATAAGGAGTGTGGCGATGAGGAACACCTGAAGGAATAAATGGCCTTAGATAGATGAACGGTGATTGCAGCGTCCCCCAACGCACCCGAGTCGAGGATGTCGCGCGTCCTGACACCTTTCGGTTCGTCATCACGCCCATGGCCATGAAGAACAGACATGTGTACACTCCTATACAAGGCGTCAGAAAACCGTCGATGCGACCAGAGGGGCACTCACCATATAACAGCGTCTGCCGTAACCGTCCAAGATCAATGTCGCGTGCTAAAAAAAACGACAAGAGCGCGCACCTCGATGAACGCCGCTACAGGGAATGCCAGCTCAGCCTTTGACTCTGGGTCCATCCTCGCCGACTAGAGCGAGCAAGTCAGAGTGTGCGACAGCTTGAGAAGAGGGGCAATGTGGGGATGGAAGGGAAGCTAGGGCAACCTGCCGACATATGTATGGTTTCAGTTGAATTCAGTGGAAAGGGAGTGACACAAACTCCTGTCACACTCCCTTCCGGGGCAAAACTAACGTAACTTCGGGAATTGCCAACCGATGCCAGACAATTTACCCAGACGCACACGCCCCTCAGGCCCCGTTTCCGACCTTTCGCCGTCACAAATCCCACTCACCAGAGAGACATCTGTTCGAAATTCTGCACAGACAAAAGGCGGAGGTGCGTCTACCGCAACACGGTGACTTGATAAGAAGCTTAGAATACGGGGATGGGAGAGCGGTATTCCAATCGAAGACGCAGAAAACGCCGTTCTCACCGATTGCGCTTGGCGCAAGAACGCCACTGCATGGAGTCCCCCAAATTTCGAAGGCTGGGTTCCAACTTCCAAGGGTCGCTGCTTGACTGATGGCGCTTCGTGACCGCCGTTAATTGCCTTGTCTGGCGGGGTGTGGCGGACGATGGGTTGTCGATGATTGCGTCCTTAATTAGGGGATAACGTTATCGAAAGACACAAGTATCTTCTCGTTTCCGCGGATAGCCTTCTCTCTGCATCTTTGTCGCAGTACTTCTCTGCGAAGCATTTCTTTTGAGGAAAAGGTGGTTTAATTCTTTGGGAGAGGGACCGAGGGAACACGGAGAAAAACAAAAAGATGCAGGCATCTAGCCGTCATCTTCAAGTGATTGATCTGAAAGATTTGAAACCTTTCCCAACAGGACTAGCGAACATATATGGCGCACAGGTGCAGGTCGTAAACCAGTCAATCATAAGATGTACGACGCCGGCCGCTTCAGCCGTGCAAGAACCACGACAAATACCTTGACTTACAGATGATTTCAGGAACTGAGCTGAAGATCCTCATTTTGATTTCGTATGTTTGAGGGTGGAAAGAGCTTGGTAGAATGTCATCACTTGCGGAACCAAAATGCGGAACCAAATTCGCACCTCAAATATGGAGCGCTCGCTGTCCATCTTCCGCACCAGACGAGCGTCGGTCTATGACGGTGTTAGTGACGCAGGCCACTATTCATGACATCCGGCCTGGGACCGACCAACCCTCTTACTGGGTTCGGTAATTCCGTGACCCGTCCTCCAGCCCCATTCTAAATTCATTCATCAAGGCCTTGCTCGCGGGGCGCTAATTATCTATTGCCATGGGGTGTAAGTACATACCAGGACGAGAAATCCGCGCCGATATCACGGATTCCTGTTTGGGAAGCAGCATAATCGCACCTTCATCACGACCAACTGCTTGATTCTGACCAACTCGGTTCGTTGCCCCGGCGGGTGCAGAGAACTTCAAGTTGTGGGCGCGCTGCAATCGGCTTCTTGTTCTCCAATCAAGAAAAAAAGGTAAATCGGTAGAAAAATCAAGACATGTGAATCGCACCTCTCGCGAACAAGGGGGAGGAAACGGAGTGGAGTATCGTTTGTCTGGCCTCGAAAAAGCGGAGGGCGTCGACGATTCAGGTACTATTGCCATACGGGGTTATTTCCAAATCAGGCTCCCGCTGCTCGGCAAACTCCATTTTGCTTCCGTGATCCATCACCGTGTGCACTCTGAAGGACCGAAGTTCACAGGTAAGCCTACAACAGAGGCCGACGACGATTTGATAACGCTGGAGGTGGGCTCTCCGCGACGATGACAGGAAGCCGGGGAGGCCGTGGTCTGGCGAGATCGAGGCAGGATAGCGCGAGAGCATGAGGATGGATCGTCCAGCATTCCAGGTTAGAGAGTAATCCTGTCCTGTAAGCCGTGAAGTAAGAGAGCTGAGTAAGTTAGAGTAAATCCCCTCGTGCCTGATTGTGACGGCGGCGCACTCCCAAGTTTACATTACGGGATGCTCCCCGCCGTTACCAAAGGCAGGGTACACCAGAAGGAAGAAGGAAGGGATGATCGATGAAGCCCTGCATCCCGCTCAGGAGTCAGTGGAGCGCAGCAGTTTGTGAGCAAGCACAATACTACGCTACAGCGCGACGTCTCGCGTCGACCCCATTCATCATCCCACGGACTCTATGTAACGCGAATCCGTACGTCGGTTCGTCCGCACATGATCATGAGCAGTTTGCAACTGTGACACTGGCGGTGGCCGAATATTCGAGCTGATGCACACATGATGACACAGAACGCGGAATTGAAGAGAGACGTACTTACATGCAGTGTCGTTGCGAATGGGAAGTTCAGGCGACATTCGAATGCGTCAGACAATTGCTCAGAGGATATCTATCATTGGGTGCACGAAGGCTAACATTTTCCATTGAGAATCGGGGGTTGTAGAATTGCGCAATGAAGCAGCTTTCGGGGGCACTCCAGGCAAAGTGCGAGGAAGGTTCAAAATTAAATAATTATCGTGGGCCGACAATGAAGGTGTAAAATTCTAATCTCGATTCGGCGAGAGCACATTGACAACGAAGGGAAAGCAGGAGAAATTACAGCAAAGACCCACGACCAGAAGGTAAGAGCCGGCAAAACCACCGACGAGGAACGAGGGGAACCAGAGTGTCATCTCGTACGACGCCCTCTATACAAGTACACAAACAAATCAATAAACAGGTGTGGGAGACATTGCTAGATTTGACGAGACACGCGTCACCATGTCCAGGATTTGGCATGTCGCGAGTCTTCTACTCGTGTTTCACGGAGTTTTCATTGTTCGACGCGTGCTACTTCCTCCGCGCAAAAAGTAGCGTCGCTTCGTCCAACAACTGTCAGCCTCTATAAGCCCAACGCTGGAAGGATAATAGTCCGGTATGCATATGCATTTGACCTTGTTTGGACGAGCTCTACTTTCCGGGTAGTCACTAGGGTTGCGGTGAGCAAAAGTTCAAGATGCTTCGTGGCTGATAGTCGATGGTCTTAGACACCCCCATGAGGGCCGGTGGCAGTTCGGTGAAGGAATGGAGGAGGCCTGGTTTTCCTTGCTCATGATCTTCATTCGCAACATAGCATGTCAGTCATATGCCATCGACAGAATGCACACGAGCTTCCTTCACGTAGAGTTGTGGTGTATTCTGGCCGTTGTCCGCGCTCAGGCGCTCAGGCAAAGAATTCAGCATTCAACGCCCAACAGCACAATCACCTTGAAGCCTCGGAGGTCGGGGGCTTGAGTAAGATGCAATTCAAGAGCCAACTGACGGTGAGAAAGCACAGCAGTAAGAAAGGAAAGCGTCTTCGCAAAAACAATGTAGCCCGACATGCCAGTGATGTTCGACACAGCTGGTGAGAGAAGAGAACGAAGAGAAGGGTTTGATCGATCGCGGCGAGGCACTAGCCGAGCATCACTTCAGGCTCCGTCTCGGCGATTTCCGTCTCCTGCTATAAATAGACGCCCATATCAGTTTCAATCAAACTCTTTGCTCGAGGCCTGAGAGGCGCGAAGTTGGACCCTTCACGGTTCAAAGCGCTGTCAGTATGTCCTGCAGGCAGAAGAAGCGAAGCAGCGCTTCCGTCGTGCAGCGAGCTACGAAGAAGGGCGCCTGGAAAATTTCGTGGGGAAACAGGGTGCACTCCTCGTCCTCGAGTTCTCACCAGCTTAAAAGTTGGCCGGTGCCTTTTTTGGCACCAATAATATGCTGTACAATCGTCCCCATGAGTAGCTATTGGCACGAGAGTCCATCCATGCACCAGATAATGGGAGGAGGGTGTGAACTACACGAAGTCCAGAATGCACAACATCTAAACAGGTCACTACACCCTCTTCTGCTGGGAGAGTTCTAGTTCCTTCACGCGACTGCGAAGAACAGAAAGGAGGGTGCCATTTGAAAGATCTGGGGAGACGGTGATGAAAACGACACATAAACTCAAGGTTAGATCGATCCCAGTTCCCCCCCGGCTTCAAACAAGCTTCAGGTTCGACACGGGCGCCAAGTTCTGGGACTAAGAGACGCATGAACACTTGAATCTCGGCTCCAGGTCCAGTCGATTGGTGAAGGAAGATGTTGACGGCGGAGACGTGTCTGTACGTTTGACACTTCCGGCGGGTGAACATAAGCGCCGTCGGAAGAGGATAGGCGCTCGCCAATTTTTTTTTTCTGGAAGGGCTATTACGTAAAAGTTACAAAAAGGCGTGTTTTGTGGTGAAAACCCTACGTGTCGAAGGTTTTTTTTTTTTTCCAAGTCAGTCCCGTCGGCGAGCTTAAATTCCCTATTTAGTCACGATAAGATAAGATAAGCTAGGGGTACGTTCCGCTCACACCGTCTTCCTTCCTTTCCCAAAGTGAGCAAGTGGAACAGTAAACTATCTCTTGACTAGAATTTTCGCTCTCGCTCCTGACAGATGCCTGCGTCCGACGGTTCTCGACTTGTTTAGGACTGATAAGGTTGGAGGACTTCGAGTTGCCAGATTTAGTGTTCACCAACAACCACAGCAAACCTTCAGTTTTACACGTTTTCAACTTTCAACACCTCCTTTTTCTCTCTTTTTCAGGTCTTTCCTTCATACACTGTAAAGAAATGAGCGAAACGGCTTCTTCGCCGTCTGTACACCTTCATCCGATGTCTCCGTCGTCGTCCATGTCTTCGACGGACTCCGCACCCCGATCCGAACCAACATCCGACGAGCAGCCAGACTTGGGCGCATTCACTACGGTTCTACGTGAATGGACGCACCTACAACCACCCCCGAGAATCCCCGTTCAAATACGATCTGCAACGAGCTCAACAACACCGACATTCCAGCCGGAAAGTATCCTTGGCCACTCAAGCGACTTTCCGGCACCCAGCGCCCGCAGCGATCGACGGCTGAGCGGAGTCAGCACCATGTCCTCGTTTACCCGTCCCCCGAGCAGCAGTATCCGTCCAGACGGTTCGACAGTGTGGGCGCAAGCACCGATCGCTTCGTATTTGTTCAGCCAGACACCAAGCAACGACATTGAGGAGGAAGGAGGGTACACACCTTATTCGGCCGTATCGTCAGCCCTCACCGTCGAGATCGCCTCCGAGCGGGACTTTCCTTCGTTTGACGAGGAGTCCAGCCACTTGGACTTTTCTCCGCCAAGTGCAGTTGCAGTTGAGCTGGCCAGCGATACCCTGCGGATCGACTCGAGGGTGACTGGGCATGACGACGACGAGAACGAGGTGGAGATTGTGTCGACGAAGGACGAGTCATCACACACCTCAAGAGATATCCGAGTGCGCACGCTGACAGCTTCAACGAGTCAGGACGACATGACAAGCATTCAGCTGCAGTCTCAACCCCGACCTATCACCACCACAGCAACATCGTCGTCGTCCTCACTACCCCTTCTGACTGTATCTTCAGGGGCAGGAGTCGGCCAACTTCAATCGCAAGCTCGACCTACCACAGGCTCTTCGTCTTCCTCACTTCCCGTGCCTACTGGTTTGTCGCCTCCTGTGCCCTCAACATCTTCACATTCTCAACCGTCTTCAACAACGGACCCCCAGCCAAACCTGATCCCCAGAAGTCGAAATCCAATACCACCCCGCACAATGTCAGACTCGTCGTACACCACCTCGGGTTCAGCCGCGTCCTCCAACCTCTCGTTACTCTCTTACCAAATTCCCGAAACGCCTCCCGAAGAGTCAGAGCACGAGCGATCAACAACGTCTTCGTTGCGTCCCCAGGTCGCCTCTAGCGCCTCATTGGTTACGCAGCGGGTTCCACCTTCGTCTTCTACTTCCACTTCAACCTATGCAACACAGGGTCAGCGCCCCTTCCATACCTCAACTGCCTCCATTTCGTCAACAGGCTCTCCTCTTCCTAATCCTCACTCTCCACTGCCAACACCCTCCGAGGTCGTTGCTGTTGAGCCACATCGTCCTTCATTAGGGATGGGCCTTGAACACATAGTGAGAGATCTCAGCGGTGTCATCAACGACATGGGCACCCCAGACCAGCCCCCTTCCGAAACATTGCTTTTTGACCCGCCTAGAACCAGGAGGAACGAGTTCGAGCCTATCGATGATGAAGAGGACGAGGACGTTCCAACGGCGACAGGGAGGGCGCATGGCTTTGGTTTTGGGTACACAGATCGTTCTTTAGACCAAGGCTCGGGTTATATTTCTGGCTATGGTGAGTTGAGCTTCTTGTCGTTCTCAGTCTAATCCTCATCCCGGCGACATAGATCACCATGGCGGGTCAGGACGGAATCCGCGTGCCTATGAACCCCAACACGAGGATTCCGACGAAGAAGATCACCCCTCCCGGCACCCTTACTCTCACAACCAAACACCTCACCACGCCTTCTCTCACACGCCCAGGGGTGTACCTCCACCTGCAGAACCACAAACTTTTAAACTTATTCCTACTACTACGTCCAGTTTTGCTTCTCAGTCGACGGGCCAGGCCCTCCAACAGCCTTACGGAGCTTCTAGTCAAACCTTTTCTTCCTCGCAACCTCAGCATCCCCTAATCTCGAATCTTATATATCAGCAGCAGCAACAACAACAACAACAATCTCAAGTACCTGTACAACCACAATCTCTGCCTGTACCACCTCAAAGCCAACCTCGAGCATCAGCTCAAACATATGTTGTATCACAACTTCAATCATCTTCAACCTCAAACCTAACTTCTGCCATCACATCGACGTTCGCAGACAAGACAGCAACCAGCACACAACCCTCCACACATAGCATCACATCTTACCCGTCACCTTACACAGCATCCTCTAACCTTCCAATCATCCTGGAAAGTAGCCACGGGCATGGCTATCCGCGCTCTTTAGCAGGACTACATTCATTGCCCACCAACCTCATCTCGCCCCGGTCGGATACATTCTCTTCTACCTCTGGTTCAGGTACAGCGACAGCGGCCGGAACGGGGGCCAGGACGAGCCTCGTTTCCAACTTCAAGGATTACCCGTACGTCGAGCCTGACTCCAAGACCGGCACCCGATCTCGTGCAGCCACCATCGAGGATGTCGAGAACGAGCTCCCTGAAATGCGTTTTGGCGCACACCTTTCAGAAGTCGCGGAAGAGCCTCATGAATTGCCGTCGTTAGGGTACTTGGACGAGGCACTGAGCTTCATTGCGGCGGAACGAGCGAGGTGGACGGCTGCAAGGGAGTCATCGAGTGGCCAGGGCGGTCCTGGAGGATCAAACGGGGAAGGTGGTGAAGACGGAGAGGCGGATGGTGATGTGGGACAGATGGATGAGGATTGGCGACATAATCTCGGTGTGTTTATTTAATTCTTTTCACCTTCCTCCTTTCCTATTTTCTTTCTTCGCCTTCATTTCCTGCTCTCTTTTTTTCTGTCTTTCTACTTGTCTAACTTTGCCAAACCAATCATTGACACCAGTTAAATAACCCTTTCCTATAGATTTTGAACAGGAACATCCGAAACGGAAACGACGGCGCAAGCGTCCGCCGAGGTCCCATGGACCAACGTCTATCTCAATTGTTGGGGCGCTCGAAACCTCCGCGCCGCCGCCGAGTGGCGATGTCCCGACGACAGTCGACAGCACACAGCAACTGGCGACACCGCACAGCTCGCCTAAGAAGAAGAAACGGACCAAGACAGGCACTATAGCGTCCTCTGCATCTGCATCCGTGCATTCGCTGCACCTCGATTCCAAGGATGGTGCGAAGACTCCGGGTAGAGGCAGAAGTAAGGGCAAGGAGAAGGAGTTCCTCATTGCTCCTACAGCTGCCGGTAGTTCTGTCACAGGGGGAGTCGAGAAGGAGAGGTCGCCCGTCACGATTTTGAAGAGGCCTGTTGGGTCTCTTCTTACCAACCCAGTGCTGAGCGACGATGACGGAGATTCGGATGATGTGGGTGATGGTGGAAGGACGCCTACGAATCGTCTCGTAGGAACCTTGCCCCTGGCTGATGGAATGACGGATGGTTCGAGTGCGTCGCCGATCAACCTAACTGGGAAGAAGGGCAAGAGAGTGGGAAGGAAGGAACGAGAGAGGGAGAAGATACGTTTCGACGCGGCGAAGATGCTCGCAGCTACTAGGAGCATCAACGAGACTGAAGGGGTATTTGGTGAGGATACGGAGTTCGGGGTGCAGTACATTGATGATGATGATGATGATGACGAGGATGAGGAAGACGATGATGACGACGAGGACGATAGTTTCCAACAACCGGAAGATGACGAAAACGACAGCATTTCGAACATGTCCCTGCTGAAACCCCCTCGGAAGAGACGGGAGCGTAGCCGGCGACGGAAGGCGTCGAAGGATACATCACATATTCACAGTTTGGCTGGCATCACTGGCGCTGCATACAAAAGTACACCAGCGACGCCGAGGGCATCCACTTTTGCTGATAACGTCAACGAGACCGAGGAGAGTCCAAGTGTGGAGGCAGGGCAGGAGGCCCAGTTACCTCCAGCGAACGTACAGGAAGGGGACGTATTTGCATCGAAGCCCAACGAGGCCACTGGGAGCGAGAAGGAGAGAAGGAAACGGAGTCGGCCGAAACGCTCCAAATCGTTGGTACACGCGAAATCAGAACCCCAGTTGAAACTCGATGCGGAGACTGGTCCGACTGAAGTCGCAGCTGCAGATGAAGTCTCTTTACACGGTTCCACCAAGTGGAAGAAATTGAAGAAGAAACCTGACAGCGGAGAAGGCGAGGACATCCTAGAGATGGATAGAAGTCAACTGCAACAGTATCTCTCTGCCTCGTACAATTCCCAGTCCGGGCTGCTCACAAATCTTCGACAAACACAGAACACCCAGAGCCAGTTCCCTCCGGAAAGCAGACGCGGGCGGTTGCTCTCGCTTGGTCGTCAGCTAAAGCAGTTATTTCCGGAGCAGCGTGAAGAGCTTGGGAGGGTTATATCACGGATTGAGAGACAAGGCGCGACACAAGAGGGGCAAGGAACCAAAGCCAAAAAGGCCGTAGGCAGCGACGGCGTTGCGTCAGGCAGCCACGAAGCTCCTGTGGCCCCGAAATCGACGCCAGTGTCTATATCCGGAGTGAAAAGGAAGAGATCGAGGAGGAGCCATGCGAGAACTGCGAGTGAAGGCGCCAATATAGATGGGTTTGAGTTGGACGATGATGGGCCTGGAGATGGGCATAGTGGTCTGAACCTCGATGCCAATGAGGAGGATGAGGAAATCGACCCTCGTGGTCGGCCTCCGAAGAAAGGCGACGTACTTGTCCACGTTTTCATTGACCAGTGCGTGCTCTTCATAGTGACTTTATCAAACATCAACGCCTTATTTTATGATGCAGTTCAAATATCCTAATCGGCCTTCTCTCGCATATCAAGCGAAACATGTATCGCAAAGGGCTCAAAGTGCTCAACCGTGGCAAGCCTCCTCCAGTCCTGCTGACTCGAGCAACGACAGCCAATCCAGCATCAGCCTTTGCAGCCGTCAAATCCACTTCTACACGTCCTCTTCCAGTTCCTACTGGTAATGGGAAGAGTCTGAACGAGTCTCCTTCAAAACGTTCACAGCCGGTGCCCGTGTTGCAACCTGGAAGCCATCCAATCCCCCTGCCCTCTTTCGCCACAGTATCACGCTCCCTTCCCACTGGGTCGGTCTTGAGCAAATACATGGCTGGAAAGAACAATGGGCAATCATCAGACCAGGAGAAGGATGCAACTTCAGATGGCTACGAGTACCCTGGGACGGACGATGCTGAAGAAGACAAGGTTGGCGACGATTCACTATTCATAGAAGCCTGGAAGGTCAAGAAGAAGAAGGCACCGAAACACCTTTGGCATGCTGCGTTGGCTTTCATCCTGGAGAGAGGCAGGCCGATTACACGTATGCACCTTATCTTGCGCCTTGTCTTGAACTAATGTTGCTCTTTAGGCCGTGTTGTGGTCACGTCAAGCCCTCTGTATCAACCGATGGAGAGCATAGAGCGATTAGGTTATGAGCTGCGTGTCTTTATCAGAGTTCCTGATTATGGTGTGTCTTCCGCCCGTTCAAGTATGTTCGTCATTTTGACAAGGTGCTGGAATCAACAGGCGATGGTATGGATCGCGAACGACATAAGGACAAAGGAGCTTTCAAGACTAACGGAGGTGCTAAGCCAACGAGCCCGGTCAACGCCGTCCCTTTCGCAGGGCAGAAGTCGGCCAAGGGTCATACACGACGTATCTCGGGCAGTACCAGCGCCGAGAGCGGCAGCGGACCAGGATCAGGAAACGCCTCTGGCGGTACAAGTTTGCACCCCTACTCTGGAATCACCAACAGTATTACTCCACAAACCAAAGTGAAGTACCGAGAGCAGGGAGTCGATGAGTTGCTGCAATTGAAGCTTCATCAAGCCTTAGCGGCTACCGACGAGGTGGTCGAAGGGTCCACCATTGTCCTCGCCACTGGTGATGGTAACATGGGACAATTTAACGAGGATGGCTTCCTTGGTAAGTTATCTCTCCACACACAAACGATTGAATCCCTAGTCCTAACAAACCTTTTCCACAGGCCCTGTTCGAACAGCTCTTCGTCGTGGATGGAAGGTGGAGCTGTATGCATGGGAAGACGGCTTAAGTGAGCTCAGTTCTTGCCACTCATTGTTGACACGGTGTTCAATTGTACTTGCTAGGCCGTGCATGGAAGCGCGAATTTGGCGATGGCAGTGAATGGGGTCGTAAAGACATGTTCCGGGTCATTGCCATGGAGCAATTTGCTACCTGGTTGGTTGAGTCGGTTGATTGGGCTTAAACCCACAATGGGGCACTCGACAGTCTGGAAGCCTGTTGGCCATCGACACTTGACACTTTCACATTGTCGCCATCTCCAGCACCTCTCAGTCAGACTCCGAGCAGGCTACTGTGGGAGGTGATAATAGAGCTGCATCATCAAAGTGTTACCCGACACCTTGAGATGACCATTCAAATATTCAAGGCTCTGACCTGAAGAGCCTTTCGACTCGAAGGCTGTAGGGATGTTGTGCTAGGGAGACCTGAACTTTCAGCTCAAGCTCATTATTATTAAGGTAGAGTAATGACCCTGCATTCTTTGCTTCACTTCTTCGTCCGAAGACCAGAACGGCTGGAGTCCATTCTTGGAGGCGCACTTACCATATATGAACACGCTTGGCTAAGTAATTGTTAACGATCGTCGCACTAAGTCTAAGTAGATAAGCTTGCCTACTATGCATATCTTAGATTGGATTCCATCCGGGCTCCAATACCTATGCCTCCCTGCCTCGTCATGAAGGAGTGAACTTTAGCTCGCTTCAGTTTCCTCCTTTTTTTCTAGAGCGCGCAGAACTAAATCGGAAGGGCAACCCCAGCTGCACCGAAACTGCCCTCCGGTTGTCTGTGCGAAACCTACATTCTCACCGAGTTGCTCCAAATGGTAGAAATGCCCTGTAAATGATTAGTGAGAAGTATGTTTCATGGCAAATTCCAATATTGAGAATTTGTCCAGAGTGAATGCTCTCCTCATGATGGCTGCCGGACCGCCGTCGCCCCAGTCTCAAGACTTGACAATGATCAGAACCTCCGAGACGATTAGTCAAAACGGCCCGATGAATTTGTTGAATAGAAGCACTGAAATTGAAGGAGAGCAGAGCCCGGACCGACAAATAGGACGGGCGATCGTCTGACAAGCCGCATCCCTAGGAGAGGCAAATATTCTCTGCCAAGTTCCCTTGTAGACGTCGAGGAATAGTCATTGGCCTTGGCAGAAACTAGACGAAGCCCAACGAGATCATAAGGCGCGAGTAAAATTACCGTTTTCAATTGAAAGAAACTATATTTACGAGTAGCTGATCCGCCTGTCAGTCCGGGGCAACTTCGCAGCCGGTCGTCGACTCGGGTTCAATATTCAATAAATATTTTTATTTTTTTCGCCATCAGGAACCTATGCCAGAGCCCTATAGTTCTCCCTTGACAAATACGTACTTGCCCTTATTGTCGGTCATGAACTCGATCGAGCTTCTTCCATGGGTGCTTGTATTACACCGTTGTCGAAATCCTGTGGCCCGTCTTGAGAAAGTATATACCCTTCCATCTGATGTGGACTGGCGAAGTGAGAGTCATTTGACCTCGAGGAGACTAATACATTCATTTCGTCTACCACATTCTCTTCCACGTTTCCGGGTCTAAACTTCGTTCAACGAGATTTAGCCATATACTCGCTCTTATGTCACTTGTCGATTCGAATAATAGACAGGTTGGAATGCGACGGTGTTTATTCTTACTTCCCCATCTCAGCTTGACCGTTGAAACTTGAGGCTCGACAACATGATATTTCTGACAACCCTTCTTCCACCGTTACTATTCCTCTCCGGACAGGCGTTGGCCGCCGTGGTTCAGAACGGCACAGCGTGCACTGTCACTCCGTTATCCCCAACACCGGTTCCTGTTGGAGGTCGCCCTCCGGACGATACGCCTCAGTTCCTTGACGCATTCAGACGTTGTGGGACTACCAGCTCGGGGGGCAGCATTGCATTCACCGAAGGCGACTTCTACCTCGGGCAAGTCATGGATGTCATCAACCTTCAGAACGTCGACATATCGATTTATGGAAGACTCACCTGGAGCACCGAAATCCAATACTGGCTCTCACGTAGTATCCCAGTCACCTACGCGCAGCGCTCGACAGCTTGGCGCTTGGGCGGCACCAATATCACAATGCGTGGTCATGGAAAGGGCCTCTTCTTCGGCAATGGCCAACTCTGGTACGACCAGAATCGCAACCAAGGGAACCAGATGGGCCGCCCCATCTCGCTGACTATTTGGCGCGCGACGAACGTTTTTATTGATGGAATCACGTGGAGGCAGCCACAGTTCTGGTAAGGCGGCAAGCAATCTCAATGTCGACGGGCGCTAATACACTATCAGGCATACATTCGTTGCTTACTCACAGAATGTGACAATGACAAATCTCGATATGAATGCGACCTCCGCTACTCAATGGACTACGGTGAACACAGACGGCACGAATATATGGAACTCAAGGGACATCAGGATAGCTAACTGGACTGTAACAAGCGGCGATGTGAGTCCTTGATCCTATCAGGCGTCTAAGCGCCCGGCGCTAATGCACGTGGGTTTGCTCATGACAGGATTGCATTTGCGCAAAAGGAAATACTACAAATATGCACGTCAGCAACATCACATGCTACGAGTCTGGCGGCATGGTGGTCGGGAGTATTGGTTCAGTGGCTTCGCAGCCCGACTATGTCGAGAACGTGCTGTTCGAGAATGTGTCACTCAACCACAGCAGCAATGCGGCATGGATCAAAACCTACCCAGGGAACGGCCGAGTCAGCAATGTCACCTTCCGCAATATCCGCTTCAGCGACGTCAACCAGCCCATCTACATCTCGCCATGCATCTATACAGGGCAGAATTGCGACAACTCGCGTCTTGGAATCCACAACGTCCGTTGGGAGAACATTACAGGAACTTCCCGATACAACATTGGAGCAGGTATCCACTGCAGCGCCGCCGCGCCGTGTCAGAACCTCACCTTCTCTGGCATCGACATCAGGCAGAAGAACGGCGGTGGTCCAGTGAAGTATTTGTGTTCGAACATCGCCAATCAAGCAAGTTCGGGACTGGGATGTACAGGTTCCTGCCCTGCCAATTGGCCCCAACAGCTGAGCGGAAATGGTTAATTCGTTTTGGGAGTGGGCATAGGAATGAATGAAGGAGACTATGCTTTCGGAGTACGCCGTTATTTCTTCTAAATGAATTACTTGAGTTGTTGGCCGTGTTCCTTCGGGGAAGTGGATAGGAAGGGTCCAGCAATTTAACAATAGGTTTGAGTTGAAATGCATAAGCGCTGGTCCCATGTAAGCGTTGCGCCGATATGTGCTTCGAGGCAGCCAATTTTAGTAGTCTGACTGCCAAATTAGGAAACTGTACTGCCCAGCACTTAGCCTAGGCCGTCTTGAGCTGCTTTGAGAACGAATTTCCAGGTACTCAGGTCAATTACGGATCGTGAGATATAGTACGGGCAAAAAAAGTGAAGAACTTCAATTAAGAAGGTGCTGTCATCGGCTTGATATCGTGGAATGTCTACTGATGCCCAACCCGCTCGAGGTACTTCCGGATTGCTTCTTTCGCGCGTCGCGTCCGACGAACAAAAAATATGGTCGCAGAATGAAATACGCCCCTTGACATCAGATCCACGAGTTGATCTGATTTGGGAGATTTCGCTAGCAACTGTGGAAGGAGGTGCAACGCGAGGGCGAATGTCCGGAGATGGAGGGACCTCTGGTCTGATGCGTCCGACCATCGTGCCCTGAAGTCTCCGCACGAGTTCCATTCTTCGTCGTCGATGACGAGCTTTCCGTCATTAAGCATGTAGACATCGTACCACGTTGCACACCGTCGAATGCCAATTCTGCACCAGTTTTTCCATTCCTTTCTGACGGAAGCAAGCAGACGAGGATTCTGTCTGAACCTGCGCCATACCCACGGCTTGTCTCTAAATTTTCGTGCCCAACGGCTGAACAGTTGACGACGCAAGTCAGGTCTATGGCCAAGGTTGGACCGACCGCAGATGTACTGCAGGCAAATAGTCGCTAATTCGCTGTATCGATGATCGCTGAAATGAAGGCTCTCGGGCCGGCTTGGATTACGGAAAAAATTGAGAAGGAATTCTTCATACCCAGCAATCGAAAGCCTGGCATAGCCAGAAGCAAAGAAATCCATCATAGGGTTCCATGGTCTGGAATGGTGGGATGCCATGAGACCGATGGTCTCCCTCTCCCATACAAGAGAATCGTGGGGGAGTCGAAATATATGCATGATGGCCTGCTGAAAGGTATCCATTGGACCGACATATGATCGACCCATCCATTCCTGTTTGGTATATCTGGGACGAAACTTTGCGATTTGGCCCAACCAGTCCGAGGAAGTGGTTAGATTACCAGTTCCAAGGAGAAGGAACAAGGCAATAGTACTGCGACTAACGCGGTTTAGAGTGAGGCTGGTGATGTATCGTTCAAGCAAAAGCAGATGGTGACCGTGGAGTTCTGCCGTATCTGAGATTGCCTACATAGATCTCCCATTATTTACATTTCAGAAAGTCTATATCACATCGCTCACCAATTTTTTCAATCCACCCACGAACAGAAAACCGAGAAGAAACTTTACTGGACGAGGAGGGTACACGGAAAATGGCCAAGAAAAGTCCACCTTCAGGTTGGCCATGCCAGACGCCCAATCGGAGAGAGCAAGACCCCAAAGATCTTGTCGCAATTCCGGTGTAGGTGCAGCAAATTGACAGAACGTTTGGAAATGCTCTACAATATAGCCAACTTCTTTGGCTGTTATACCTGTGGCAACAAAGGGAGACGCCATAGGGCACCGAGATGACGCGAAGCATCGAATGGACACGGAGAAGAACACATACCTGGACGTTTCCAAGCGCTGAGAGACCAGCGCACAAGCCTGGAGTATATCAAAGAGGGCTCGATATGGAGGCCGCGAGAACGTTGAGCATCCAATAAAAAATCAGGACAGGATGCGTGATGGAATTTAACTCTATTCCGATTGTCATCCCATTCCACGAGGGAGTTGATGTCGGCTAGAAGAAGTTGAAAGGCTCCTTCTTCCAGGTCCAGGATCTCATCTATTATACCAACAGGTAAAGGTGCCATGTCTATTATACCAGCAGGTAAAGGTGCCATGTGCTCGGTGGCCGGCATGCCAGCTAGGACAATTGCGGTCCCTAGGATATTCAAGAGCGTCCCGACGTCCTCAGAAGAGGAAATAATTTGGGTGTATAGGGCATCGAGCTCTACGAACGGTAAATCACGCCGTGGAGGACGGAGGCCGAGGACAATGTTCAGTCGATCGCGGGGATGATGGCGAAGAGAAGAGGTAAACCGTATGGCAATTGAGGCGTAAATGAACTGACCCGATGATTTCGCCACGAGCTGGTCTATGTCAGCTTCGGAGGGCCACGATGGGGGGATAGAGGCTCCCAGGGGATGAGTGCTCCTGAGCTCGTCGAATTTGTCGACAAGGAAGGTACGAACGTCTTCGTCGGGCTTGTAGTCGTCGTTCAATTGGAAGGGGCAAGTGAGTGGCTTCAAAGGCGTCAATTTGAAGGAGGAAATGATGGTCTGTTCAGGGCGGCTGGTAATCAGGAGCTTAAATGGCACCCTCCTCTGTTTCCCTGCTTTGGAGAACGCCGCAAGTGTTGCTTGCTGGGCTGCATCATCCAAGCATTCATCCAAGCCGTCGATGATAATAACGGGGGGAAAGGGGATCTGGTTGAAAAGGCCCGTCTCAAAGAGACAAGCAAAGGGTTCGAGGATAAGTCTTGTGAACTGTGCCTCGAGGGAGCATTCAAATATCAGAGGATCTACCTCGACGACTTGTTCGATAATAGGACGGACGGCAGGGACGTAGAACATGACTTTGTAGGCGAGGGTCGCAAAGAGACTCTTGGTATTGTTCCTGCAAGGATCAGTGCTTGAGAAGAAGAAAGTGGCAAGAAGTAGGCCAGCTTCGTGGCACAATTCTGCGATGGTCTGCGCGATGGCTGATTTTCCGGCTCCTGCGGGACCGTATAGCCAGAGGACGAGTGTATCGGTGTCGATCTCGCCATTGATCCAGTCCATTATGCGCTCGATGACGGCTACTCGTGTATTGGGATGGCATCTCGGTGGGTCGAACCTCTCTCCGGAGTCGTGGAAGGCGTTCGAAACTACAGCTTCCTTCAGAGATTTGAATCCTATCAATGAAGAAGAGTAAGCGTATTCTCTTCCATGCAGCATCCTCAAGTGGTGCTCACCCTTTCCATTTCCACGATGTTCGTCAGAGATGTTGTTCTGAATGATTGTACCGCCCGAGATAACGACGTCATGAAACTTCATGAGGCAGGACTCTTAGACGACGGTACTTCACTTGCGCTCGCGGTGTTGAGTTCGAGCGACTTGTGGTTCAAGGTGATGGCGAAGGATAACACAGTCACCTTGCTGCGACGAACCTCAGCGTGAACCCTGTGGTGCACAGCCTTCGATACTGTTTACTAAGTAAACGGGGCACTTTTCGCCGTTCGGACAACCGAGACGATCAAACGTTTTAAACGCTGAAGTGCTGAACGGCGGTTACTAACTTCCGTAGGCGTGGCAACTGCAACATTGCCAGAAAAATGGGCACACACCGGCGCTCCGCTAGTTGTGGTGTCGGCGATTGCAGCTGCTTGCAGGAATAGATCTGAACAGATCCCGTGTTGGGCTCTTGATGAACTGCTGGTAGTGGCACTCGAGTTCTTGTTGGGTAGCGCTGAAATTTGAAAGGTTATCGTTTGTGCTCATGATCATGACTGTCGTTTACCGTTGAGGAGACGGGAGCAAATCACACGCCATAGGTTCTTGGCACAAAACCGGCAGTCAGCGCCTCGCGAAGGACTTGAGCATGCGCTTCATGGATAAAACCTGTTCTTAGTTCCTATTTTGTGGATTAGCTGTGTAGAGGAAACACTCGCAGGTTGCTTTTTTGTCTGTTTTCACAGGTCCAGACTCAGAACTCATGGCGTCGGCAGTCGACAAAAGTCGCTATAATATCGGATAAGCATCCAGAAAAAGGAGAGAGCTGAGTGAGCATACATCCGTTTAAGCATTTGGTGAGGACAGAACTTTCCTCTTTATAAATTACTTCTCCACATCCTGGGTAGGCGGTGACTGGCCCAGATACACATTTTGACTGAGGGTAAAGGGGGAAATGAAATTATGCACGTAGGCAAAATCCTCGAAGTGGAATCTCGGTCTCGCTGTGGGAGGCGCTTTGTCTGAAGCAGATCGGGATCAGGAACCGAAAATGGGAATGCGCCTCACATCTGGTTTCTTAATCATTGGTCGCGGGCATTGAGTTGACGGAGAAACTTCCGGACAAGGTGAGTTTGATCGATCGGGCTCAACAGCGTGCGTATTGCTTCTATAACGTTCACCTGAGACGCATATACCTTGAGTTGTAATGTACCAAAAATGAACATCTAAATGTCTGTGGCAGATGTCGCGTTCAAGCAAGCGGGGAACTTGCACTGGAAGCCGTATCGGGCGAGGTGCTTTTGTCGGTCCGCAGCGCTCTTAAACATATCGCAGTAGGAATAGAAGAGCTGCTCGCCCGCCTTGATGTCTCGGGTTGCGCTGAATTGCATTGAACAGGAGGAGCGTTTGAATGTGACAGCAACGTTCGGCATGCAACTATTCCAACGGAAAGTATGCATTGGCCATGGGCACCAGAGAATGCATACGTGCGTACCCGTGATTGATGGGAGACCCGAGTTCGCAGACAGCAGAGTAACTCGCCTCGGGTGGATAGCGTCTGCCGGGAGGCGGGTCGGGCCCATCTCCCACATTGCCCATGCTGAAGGCGTTTGTCCTTATAATCCCGAGGATCGGGCCGCTCCCATCTTCCATATGCGCATTGGCGAGTGACATAAATGCTGCCCGCTGTTCATCCGACATGCGACTGACGGCGTGCTGCAGGAGCCCCTCACGCTCGAACATGATGATTTGCTGAATCTGTTGAGAGGAGTAGTGGTCCGGAATATCTCCCAGTGGCGGGGACAGGCCACAAGGTGCAACGAGCAACGGCCACTCGGAAAAGATCAGCTCGCCGACCTGGACGTCGCATGTTGTGAGCACACCCAAGCCCGCGCCGCGCACCGGCTTGACCACGCAAATGTTCGGATGACGAGGTTTCGGGATGGGACTGGGATGTCCTGGGGTATTGAACATTTTGCTTTCGTCGTACCACGCACGACCCATTCGCTATGACCATCGGGATCGGCAGGTTGATCTACGCATCGTGAGGGAATCGTGGTCGTGACAATATAAGCTTCATCGTAGTCCGTCTTTTGTGCGTCGAACTCCACGGGGTCGCATGGTGGCTTCGCATTTGTAGTCCTCCGGGACTCCTGAAAATCTCCGGTTTACTGCCCGAAAATGATGTTCAGTGGCTTGAAACGAACCTGGGTCTTTTACTTTCCCGTAAGGCAGCATTGGCACTGCATATACTTATGCGTGAGCTTTGATCAATCCGCCTGCTCTGAGTAACGACGCACCCTTGGATCCTTCTAATACTACAGCCGCAATGCCCTTCTTCGAGGACGGCGAGTTGTGCGCGTTCTTATCCTTGGGGTTGTTGAGGAAACTAGAAAAAAGACATTACCTAGAGAGGGATAGATACATCATATGTCAGGACTTCAGGGTTATCTCAGTTTTGGGAAGGGACCACCAATGCTTCTGTCTCATGAATAACGTGTCCAACATGTCAACGCGCTTCGGGGGTCTCTATATTCCACATCAGACAAAGGGATGAACACTGCTACATAGGCATAATAGGGGCGCTACCCTTCTCCAACGCCGTCCGCAAACTAGAGGAAAGATCTCAGCAACGGATCTTTGAAGGAAAAGGAAATTTACCTGTAGTCGTCCCCGTTCTGCGTGATATACCGCACCCAGGGCAGCGCCTGATACCCGCTCTTCTCCACGATCTTCAGGTATCGCACCTGGATGCCCGAAACAGTGAAGTAGGGAATCTCGAATTTCACTGTGATTGGCGCTCGCTTCTCGATGTCTTGTTCTATGAACACAAATGAGTCCGGACATAAATGACGATGCAATCGTCCCTCTTACCGCTCTTCACGCTGGGTAAACCGAAGTGCGCTCGCATGAGGAACTCCCTACTGCCTCCAAGCTGCTTGATCTTCCACACAAAGGCAGACTTGTCGGGGGCATACTGCACGCTTCCCGTTGACGCCTGGGGACGTCGTGTTCAGACGTAGGGAAAAAAATATAGGTCGCAGACGTACTCGGAATTTGGGACTGTCAGCGTCGTCCGGCACAGGCACGTAGATTTCGACATTGTTCGCCGTGCTCCTCCGCTTGAACTGCGCCTTCACCTTCACCATGTACTCCACTCGACTGCCCTTGTGGCTCTCCACCGCTGCTTCGACCCAAATGAGGGGCTTGACGGGCGTCGACAGTCGATAGGACATCAGCTCGAACTCGCCATCGGGCGGGATGAACGATATCGTGCGGTCGTTTTCAAACCGTGATAGGCGTACACACTGATGGAACTTGACATCCTCCATTTCGATGGCCTTTCCTCGCGCTGCTAGAGTACCATGAGCGACAGGGCGGCGAAATAGACGGCGATGACGTACTGCGTCCTGTGCTCTCGAACATGACCTTGTCGTTCAGCCCCAAACGCAGCTCGGGCATTCCTGAGAGATAGCACTTCATCTTGACAGCTCCCAGGATCTCCGATCGCACGACATTTCCATTGGCATTTACCTAGCGGGTAAAGGATGAGCGAGACATCATCCAAGAACGGATTCCGGAGACGCACCAGCATGTTGACACTCTCGATAACGTCCAAGAACACCTCGTTCTTCCGATACCTGATCCCCTCCGTCCGCCACGACACTGCATTCGTTACCGCCATGGGCGGCCTGGCCTGGATCTCAAGCTTGTGCGACTCCTGTGTGATGTACTCTTGCAGGATCTTGCTCTCGGTCGTCTGCGGGTAGCCGAAGTCCATCATCTCGTCCATGAGCTCGTAGATGATGACAAAGTTGTCACGTATGCTCTCCTCTTCAAGTTCCTTGAAGTACTCGACGAGAACCTGCGTTAGTCGGTGCAGGAAGATGATGATCTCCGCAGCGTTGGTGTTGCGTTTCGAAAGTGCCAGAACTTGTAAAGAATAAGAGGATTTTAGGACAGCTTGCCGGTAGAAACATACGATACAGATTGGAGTGTCGGATGTGCATGTAGTTGATCCCTTGACTTGAGAAACATGGCGTTAGTTGTTGACCCTCTTCTTCGATTTCGAGGACAAGCGGTAGAAAACGCTCGACGTATGAAGGGGGAACATCGTCGCGATACGAGCGTTGGATAAGGGGTTTTCCTTTGAGGTCCAAAATGGCTATAAGACTGGCCATTTCTAAAGGTAGCAAAGGTACAAACGGTTAAAGTGTCGATGGACCAAAGCTTCCTTGATCCCACACCACCATGTGCCTCATCCTTTCCCACGCCTCATCCAACGACCTCGGAGAGACCTCCTCCTGAGGAAGTGCCTGTTGGTGTCGGAACCACCAGGTTAGCTCCCCGGGGATGAGACGGCGACCCAACCAGCCTCGACGCGACGACAAAATACCCCGCAGACCTCGACCGCACGAGTACGACCTACGATGTCCCACCACCAGGCTTTCCCGCCCTGCCGCCACGCCCACCCATCTCACGGGATAACTCCCTCCACCCTTACACTCTCAGGAACCGGGATCGGACCCAGTGGAATGTAAGCACCAATGCTCTCTCAGCTCAACGTACGACTAACAGTACCCCGTAGCGTCTGTCCCCCAGAAGAGAGACAGGGAGCTATTCCCCCAAGGCAGCAATGTGGGAGGGAGGAAGGAAGAGCGAATGAAGCAGTCGGAAGACAGACGAGGGATGGTGCCCCCCCCCCTCGACTTCTGCGGGCCCCAGCACCCAAGGGGCCGCTGACGACAATCCCTTCCTTGGCCCCACTACTACGGGGCAGCTCACACTCTTTACTCCGTCTCGCCCTGACCAACCGGCCATCCCTCCCCAACAAGCCTATGCCACACCACTGCCTACACCGCCAAGTGCCTCCGACATGGTAGTCGACCTCGACCCTACAGCCCAACCTCAGCTGAACATGGTGAATGCACAAGCCACCAACAGTCCTCCACCTACCCACGCGACAGTCCTCCAGCCCACCACTGTCCCCAACCAAGCACCGGCACCTCTTCCTCCCCAGACTTCCTCCCTATCGAGGCATCAGGACCCAGCGCATGTTGAATACGACAACCACAGCGCCATCATTGACCACCCGGCTCCCGTCACCCTCACCGCACCACCAATGAGCACCGTGCCCGAGTCTCTCCGCGTTGTCCATGACCCGGAGCTCGAGCGCCAACAGCCCGAAGGCCTGGGTACTGCTGACCTCGTTGCTGCCGTCCAGTCCCGCGCCGCGGTTGTTTGGAAGGAATCGGGTGTAGAGCATATAATACTCTATCATGCCAACCCCGCTTCCCCTCACTCAGGCTGTTGCGCAAGGGTAACAAAACAAAGCAGAAAAACCACTTAAAGACAAGTAGAATACTAGCGAACGCGTGTATAGGCCGGGCATTGAAGTATAATTACAAGGAATCAAGTCCTCGATCCACCTTCCGAGATATAGTGGGGGAGGCCAACAGTGGCAGAGCACTAATAGGCGCTTAGCCCTGTCTCTGCAACTCGGCTTGGCGGGCTTGCAGCTCTTCCCGACTCTGAAAGGACCGCGAAGTGGTCAGCGCCGATCAAGCCAGCAATAGTAAAGGTAGAACGCACCAACGGCGCAGGCATGCTATTCTTTATCTGCTCACTTGGAACATAGGGATCGCGGGCATGAAATGCTTCCATGGGCCCGCCGTGTCTAAGACCGCCACTACCAGGAGGCTGAAGGTCTGCGGGGTCGTTCGTTTTCTGCTTTACAGGTAAGCATTTGCGAGCGTACGTCCGCGAGATTGCGCTTACGGCAGGATGTGGTAAAATTGAGAAGGTCGGCTCGTTGTCTTTGGTCTTGGGGGTCTGTTTGCTAGGAGGCGAGGAGCCGCCACTGAGCTTGGTCTTCATGTTGTGGATGAAGTTGGACATGATATCTGGGTGAAAGGTTTGTAAAGAATGGAGGCTTGAAGGCCACTTTATATCGACATTTCGTGGCAGTGTCGCTAAGGAGCTGCGGCGGAGTAATGACGAACGAGAACGAGCCCCTATTGGTTCTGAGCCATCCGGCCCGGAGTCTGGAACTGACGTCATTTATTGTGGCGCAGTCCGGCTGCTGGTTCTGGTTCTTAGATTCTGGTGGTCCTTGAGCTTGAGCCTTGAAGAAAAAATACGGATATATTTTTTTCCTTTTTTCAAGTGGTGTTCGCCGGCCTCCAAAAAGTTGAATCTATTGGAACTCGCTCCAAAACCATTGGTCTGACTGGACTTAGCGCTGGTACATGATCGGAGGTCTCATATTCCCCTAATCATAAAGCGTTTAGAGAGTCTACATATTTAAAATATCCAATGCGGTGATATAGAGCAATACTAGAGTTTTGCCCGTGCTTCGCACGGGGGTGGGGGATAGAAGCATAGAACTGATAGGTACTGACACTGACTGAAATACTTGTAGACTTAGTTTATTTGTTTCTTGCAGTGCCGCTCGCCTTCGCCCTCCGTCGCGCGGGGCGCTCCGTCGTGCCGAGCGACTTCCGGCAGGTCATGAATTCAGCACCAACTTGACACACTGCATGATTGTTTTCTTTAAATTTACTTACTCGAATTCTACTCAAGGCCGTGCTCCTCTCCCTTCCATCCCCGGGCAATTTCTCGATTGAATCAACTTTGGACGGGCTTATTGATTGCTCGATAGGGGATGAAAATACTGAGAGCCCCTGCTGTCGGTGAGCCAACAATTTTCGGCATAGTGGCTGAATATGGAATGGCCAAAGGATGATAAAATGCAAGCGCTCGATCACTTGCTTGTCTGGTCACCGGTCAGGCCCAAACACGACAGAGGAAAACGTTGTGCCCGTCAACTTTCAAAGTTGACCCCCGGACAAAAACCTTGGTTTTAGTAGGTAGATTTGCATGCAGCTCGACAGAGACCAGATTTCGAGCGCCTACCAATCCATAAAACACAATCAAAATCCACCATCTTCCAATGAAGCTGGCCGCGCTACCGCACTCGTACCACACCCGTCCTCCAAAGGTTTCTCGCCCACTTCAATCACGATCTCTCCTCCGCCGACGAGGACATCCCACCCAATCCAGCACACCGTCTCACGCCTCACGCCGTTGACCTGAACTCCGACAACATAAAGTTTGCTACTCGAAGGAGGTGTCGCCACAAGTGTCGAACTATCAAACCCATCCACGGACACGCGGGTACATGTGCCGCGCAGGGCGTTCGTGATGGTATACGAGGACAAGAACGGGCTGGACAAGAGTAGCTGGGTCGAAGCAGGAACAGGGTACAGGCCGAGTAGGTGGAAGACGAGCAGTGAGGCCATCGCTCCAGAGTCATCGTTCCCTGGAATTCTAGAAGAGAGTGAGGAGACATAACGTTCATCCACTAGAGCCTTTCGGGCGACATCGGTCCTGAGTGACTCACCCCCGTATCCCCGTGTTGAAGTTCTGGTACACGACTTTGCGCACACGGAGGGCCGTCAGGTCAGGTCTGTTCGCATAGTGGTACAGCCAAGGAGTCTGGAACGAGGGCTCATTTCCCGCCTGGAAATAGCCTTTCGCGAAATAGTGTTCCCTACGGGAGGTGCAGAATTAGAGCTGGCCGTGAGGACCGTTGACAGTGAGAGAAAATGCCTCCTTACGCTCGATTAACGAACGCTTCATCGCCACCCATGAGCCGAACGATCGTTGAGATTGAGTGCGGCGCGAAGAAGCTCATTTCCCATGAGGACGCTGTAGATAAGATGTGTATCAGCCATCTGATCTGTTATCAGATAAAAAGAAGGACGCACATTGATAGAATCCTACGTTATTGTCGGAGCCCCGCGCACATGAATGAGGCGTCGGGTCTACAGGCGAACACGCATCGGGTGGGCTGAACGCGAAGGTTCCGTTCTGAACTCCAGATTTCATGCGCCAATGGCCATGTCGAAGCGGTCCTCATTACTCTCGTCTGGAAAGAAGTCTTCATCATGAGACCACTCACCGCATATCTCCTTTGCATAAACCCTTTATACCCGTCGTGGACGACACTTGCATCCCAGTGGTTGACGAAGTTCATCGATCGGTTCGTATATTTGGCTACATCAGACGCGGGCTTGTCGAGCGCCAGGGCCGCTTGGCGGACGGCGAAGTCGCCTAGAGCATACTGTAGGTCGTTTGGGCGTGTTGTGGGGGATCGTCACGGACGTCATGCGATCATAATCAAGGGGTGCACTGGAGAAGACACTGCTTCGACTGACCTCCAATGCGCGCGACGCCTCGCGCGTCGCCAATCCCGTCGACCCAGATGGATCGACCCAGGCAGTGGGGATGTAACCAAAAGTCTTCCATGCCGTATTCTGTCTGCCCACTACCAGAAGGGATATTATGAGCGCTTGAACGAATAGCCTTGAAGTCGAGCCTTGCCTCGATACCAGTCAGGGGGCTAGTTATAGATAAATTGGGCTCAGGAGGAGAAGACGATGTAAAGAAGCAAGCGCACCGTATTCTCAGCAGTGTCGACCAGGGCCTGGTACAGATCGTTCACAGGGACACCGAGCCTGTCTGCATCACGCCCGTACTTGACTGCGAAGTCGCGAGGATGGGCATGCCATCTGAGCCGCCTTGAACGTACCCTCTGATTTATCGTTTTTCAATAGCACGAAACTGCACAAAGATACAGAGAACTTACGCCTTCGTGTTGGCACGGCACTCTGGGATGTACCCTGTGTGGCGCCATCCGTCAATGTACGCATTGACGATTTCTGACCATTCATAGGGCGAGAGGATGGAGAGGAGTGGATGGACGGTACGGAAAGTGTCCCAAGAACTGCCAAAACACGATGAGAAAAATAATCATCAGAAGGGGCATAAGCTCATACCAGAATAAGGCGTCGTAGAATGGATAAGGGGAGGACCAGTACAGATTTTCTCCAGTCAAATTAGCTGGGACAAGGGATGCACGATAGAGCTATTATATGAGTCTGACGATTAGTGCGGATATAGAGCGCTGTAAAGAATGACTGACTGAAGAGTACAGCAATACCACGATGGTCGGGTCCTCTTTCGCTGTGTCCGCTTGAACTCGGCTTAAAACCTCCTCCCACTGGCTCCTAGACGCTTCTTGTACGCCATCCCAATCCCAGGTCGGCACTTCCTCCTCGGCGTTCACACATGCACGGTCAGCGTTGAGGAAGGAGATGCCAAAACGCGCCGTCACTCTATTATTAGTTGCGGTTGTGTTGAACGCGAGCAACGCTCCAGCTTGGGTGGGGTTCGTATTCGGGGTAAAAGGAAACACCAGCAATGATCCAGAGGGGTTGATACCAATATTTGCTGGAGATGATGCGGATGTGGACTGGTATGTCCCATATTGGAGCAGAGCTGCTGGCGTTGGGTTCGCATTGAGGAAATCGTAGCACGCGAACACGGTGTAATTATCCGTCCCGTAGCTTTGCATGAAGGTTCCTCCGAGCTTTACACGCGCGTCGGGTGTTATTGTGAGAGACCCGCCATGGAAAGAGCGTTGGAGGTCATTTGTCAGATCGACTACGACGTTGTTCGGGGTAGCGGAAGGCAGGAAAGTGAACCGGATGAGCCCGGCCCGGCGACTTGAAGTGGTTTCGATTTGAACACCGTTCACGAAAGTAGTGGTGAAATAGCCCGGAGAGGCGGCTGTTGTACGTGATAAGGTGGGTTTTGCACTTTGTATTGGGGCTCGATCTCAGGGATTGAGCTTACCATCTTTGCCTGCTGCTCGTAACGCGCTGCCAGCAGCAATCCCAACAGGACAGGACGTAAATGCACAGTTCTGCAGGGGGAAGAGAGGGAATATCCCATATCCACCGGCAATGTTTACTCCAGTACCCTCATCATGCATCAAGGAGATCCCGGTGATGGACGAGTTGTCTGAGATGTACCCTGCCTGTCGGGGCGTGGTGCTGACATCGATCCCCACCTGAACAAGAACAAAGAGCTTTCAAAAGGGTCTTCGCAAGGGTATGAGCACAACGAGTCTTTACTTTCGCCATCGCGTGTGGGACCGCAGCACCTGTATCATCCATCGACATCGATCCATTCAGTGAAGTCAGTCGACTCTTCGCTGCAATGCTGCTCGGTAGAAGTGGATGCATACCTGGGAACGCATTTCCCCCACTGGCCCCGCCAGCCCCCGAGGCAGTTCCGATGAATAGGTTCACGAGAGACGTGAGGTTCCCAGCGGCGAGGACTTGATCACTACCGAGCGAGAGGGTGCCTAGAAGAGTCAGGAAGGACCTGATACGCATTCTAAGTCGCTAGCGGAGGATGTAGACAGTCGATTGGTATAGATGGGTGCCTGTATTCTGGGTAGGATGCCTAACTTTATAGTGCAGGTATTCGTGAAATCCAACATGGACAATAAGTCGAGTAAAATGCACTAGCAGCAGAGGCAAGATGGTCGCCACATCTTCCGAGACCTTCTCTCACTCTAGGTCGGTAGTCGACGACGAACGTGTTATGAGGTCTTGGGAATACTGAAGGCGGAAGTAGCAAGAAACATGCTGAAGGCGCTGTCCATTCGTATTACGAGCTAATTTTGTCACTTCAAATCATGGAACTGCAACGAAGAGATGCTTCAACGATTCTGAACGCATGGAACGCCTTCACACGTGGCATGCCATAGTGCCAAAAGCTTGTTCAAAAATCGTGTGATGTGATAGAGATAATCGCGCCATGGGGCGAACAGCAATGATGGAGGTTGGAGGAAAGATGGCTGCATTGTTGGGACGAGCGGTCCGGGAATCTTCCGGTCGGCTTTTTGCCAAGCATGAATACATTCGGCATTCCCCGGTCCCCCTGTTGGACTTCCATCCAACTCTCATCGTCCAGCTAGCTGCTGTGCAGCAAGAATCTTGACAAGCTTCAAATTCTGTACCTCATCTGCCTCGTTCCTGCCTCGAATCACCGACGATTAACCTCTGCCGTTCACACCGTGTCCTTCTCTCATGCCTCGCGTTGGCTGTATGGAATTGGCCGCCTAGGTCTCTTTCCTGGCTGGATATCTCGAATGGAGGCTGATTCAGCCAAGAATCGCCATAGCAAGTCGGAAAATCATGATTCCAGGAGCTGGAGCCCCACCCATCCAGCGACGACCCCGCACAACGCGGCCGTAGTCAACCTTAAGTTTGAGGGCGAGCGTCGGGGTGAGCTCATTTACGTCTGACTGCGGATCTGCATTGCTGATCACCTTGAGCCGTGATGAATGTCTTGACAAAAGTTGATTTGTGAGATTAACGGCAAGCTACTGGGCGATTATCAAGCTACATAGCCATGAGGATTGAATGGAAATCAGAATGTAGCGACCTGCTCATTGAGGTGCGTCCATCGCACTCCGTCTCTAAATTTTTCCTACCTTTGTGGGCGTAGTTGCCGTGCGCTGGTAGAATTTCCGACGGGAAGGAGTCCCCGCCTCCACCTGCGGACAAGAATGTCGCGAGGTCGTGAAAACTCTATTTGCGTTGGTGGATGTGATTTCCGTCCGTCTGGAGAAGATCCTGTCGACCACATCTGGGCGCCTCATTCCTCGCATGCAGGGCCACGATACTCATTGGAATTCTATCTTAGTACTGACAGACTCCTTTGCCTTTACTTTGCCCACGAGGATCGCAAACCCATCCGACTCCGAGGAGGAAATCTACACCGCAGAACGGTTTCATTTGTATTCTGATCCCATGGGACAGACGCTGGAACGACCCTCTGAGAATATTTCCCTCTACCTGGATATCTTACCACTTCTACTTGCTCTATTCTCGCATGGCCCTTCAGCTATCCCTGTGAACGAATAGACTCCCTCTACGCTGATTTTCGCTGCCAACAGGTTCTGCTCGATCATCTGAATTTATTCCACTTCTTGCCTAAAATAGCGCTTCCTAGACCTGTCAGTTCCTCCTGGTCTGAATGGCGACATTGTTACGAAACCGCTCCTTGGTAGGGTTCTTCTTTATCATGTCTGTCAAGCCTGCGCAGGCTTCGCGATCGTAAGCATACTGTAGTGCTTTCTTGCTCATGAAGATAGCACACGGCCCACATGTGCACTTTGCGCTTGTTGAAACGTTAATGCGCGACCCTAAGCCATCTGCCAACGGCGTCCGCTCTATCCTCGTGTATTCAGGCTATTCGAAGAACCCCGCCAGCTGACGTTGTTCGCTGCCTAATTGTTCAGATCTAGGTTCTCTTTCACGGGGCCGTCTTGGTCCGCTGGCTTCTGAGTTTGCAACGGATGTGCTCTGTTTACCGTCGTCTGTAGCCTGACCGTACGTCGTTTGTGCTATCTATGAACTGGTGTTAATGTTCGTTGATCAGAAGGGTGGCGTTGTTCTTGCCAAAATCGATGGTCCAGAAGAAAACCTGGCCTAAAGAACAAACGCCAATGAAAGTCGTTCAAGCTGTTTCATGAAGATCGATGGGGATTTCGAGTCCCAGCAGCTCTAAACCCACTGACTGCGGGTCCTCGAATGGGATGACGGGCGCCTGCCAAGTTTCCTTGTGCGTTTTTTAGAATAATTCTCAGAGAACGTGCTGGGGGTGGGGTCAAATTCAAATGTTTTCGGCCGCGGTAGGTCCTTGACGAACGCTGACCAAGTCGCGGCTGGGTATGAAGTTTCTTGTCTTCATTTAGCACCTTTTTGACTGATTGTCCAGGGAGCCCGGAAATCGATGATCGATGCCTGGATATTAGGTTCTTAGGCCATGACGGATGAGCGTATCTGGGAGGTGTTTTTGCACGAGGCAATTTGCAAGACCCGGATAGAAACTCTGAACTTGGCACGAGTAACTCTATTTAGGCCGATCTACTGCAAAGTTAGCGAGCTAGATATGGGGACAAAGCCGCGGAAGAGGTTCACGAAAGGGGATAGTGATCGAGGACAGAAATAATATGGAAGTTCAGGCATCCTCAGGTCCATTTCGAAGTATAGTCTCGCGTGGCGGAACGAGAGTGGGGAGATATGCTCTCAAGTTCTGGATATCAATCTCGTACTCTGTAAGTACGGAGGCTCTGTTGGAGTGAATTGCAGAGCCGTCGTGTCCTCGATGGTGTGGCCCAATATGGCAGTTGTGCCTTCGCGTGGCGCGCCTGGCTCACGTGAGAGATTGATGACGCTCTCACAGCTGACTCATCACTGTCGCTAAAATGTCTCCTTTCACGCCTTTGTGAAATCTGCATCTGGAAGGCATAAGCTTCGCGTCCAGCAGGGTGCTCCTTCTTCCTCCTTATGCTCAGTGCGAGCAATCGACATGTCGTAATTGCATGATCAGACGATTCAGCCGGGCGGGCCACATGAGTGCACGCATCGGGCTGGGATGGCACACACTCTCGTCAGGCGGGGCCTCTCCGATTTTTCCGTTGCAGAACAGTTCTCTCCGATTCTGCATCTCCTAAACAGGATTTTCCGAGTTGGCTCTACACGCGGTATACCGACTTGTGCTTCTGGCTGGCATAGATAAAATACCCTAGGCAAGGTTCAAGCATTGCCAGCAAGCTCCCCGTCTAAACATGCCTCGTCTCTCCAGCTTACTCTTCAGCGGCATTGCCTGCGCTCTCCTCATCGCGGAGGGCGTCATGGCCCAAACAAGATCCTATGCTGCTTGGGCAGCAGAGTCCGCCATGCGCCGTGGACAGGGCAGGGGCCTTGATGCTTCAGGCAATTCCCTGGTCAACTACGAGCACGGCGAACTGCAGTGGGCCTTGCGTCTCCTCTACGAACGTACAGGAAACCAGACATACTACGACTACATCTTGAGCGGCGCCAACAATGTCGTTGCCGACGACGGTACCATCGGTGGCAGGTACTTGTAAGTCGCCTATATTTCGCCTACATTTCTTCTTATTCAGAGCTGTCAGCTGACGGACATGCTTTAGACTCTCTGACTACTCCTTGGACCCATTGAGGTATGTTGAAGCGTCAAAATAGCACTGAGTTTGCCGCTAACAGTGACGTAGAACGGGGCCAACATTTTTGTATCTGTGAGTGTGCTTCTTTCCTTCCTCGCGCCGACTCTCTGGTTTACCTTCTTCTAGGTACCAGCAAACCAAGGAGCAGAAGTGGAAGACCGCTGCCGATACCTTCAAGAAGCAACTCGAGACTCATCCCCGCACCGCTCAAGGCCAATTTTGGCACAAGAAAATCTACCCATACCAAGGTTATTTTTCACAAAGGTCTTGTCGGATATTTTGAAGGCTGATATCCCTTCAGGTTGGCTCGACGGTATCTACATGGGCGACATTTTCTACGCCCAGTATGTAAAAGATTTCCAATCGACCAACGTTACAGCGTGGGGTAAGTACCTTCCATTTCCGTCTTCAAAACACCTCGACTGACGGGGGATCTGCAGGTGACATCGTCAACCAGATTGCCAATCAGGCCTTGATGTCAATTCAAGTCCCAGGAGTGCAGAACTACAACGGGCTGCTCTACCACGGCTACGACTATTCGAAGAAGGCCGTCTGGGCTGCTTCTGACCGAGGGCACTCGCCCGAGGTGTGGAACCGCGCTCTGGGATGGTATATGATGGCGCTCGTCGACGTGCTTGACATCCTTCCGGAGGGCTCAGGCCGTCTACAGACCCTTAACATCGTCCAAACGCTTGCGCCCAGGATTAGGGATGTTGCGGATAAGGACACCGGCGTCTGGTGGTTGGTCATGACGCAACCCGGCCGGGCAGGCAACTATTTCGAGAGCAGTGGGTCGGCGATGTTCGTCTACTCGCTTTTGAAGGCCGTCCGCAAGGGTTATGTCGCCGATTACGATGGGAGCATCGTAAAGGCTGCTACGAAGGCCTACAACTACATGACAGCGAATTGGGTTATCCCCAACCCCGATGGCACCATGGGATGGACAAACACTGTTATGGTAGGTGGTGGCGTCGCTCCTAGAGCCTGTTTTCTAATCACCGTTCTACAGGTCGGAAGCCTGTCCGGTGCCGGTGATTATCAGGTATTTGCACAGCCTTCTACTCCTACGAAGCGTGCTAACTCGACTGTAATAACCTCCAAATAGTACTACATCTCTGTGCCGACTGTCTTGAACGACTTGAAGGGGTTGTCGGCCTTTATCCTGGCCAGTGTGGAATTCGAGACTTTGTCATCGTAAGGGGGGAGTTTACGAACGTGAATCTATCAAACTGTCGAAGTCTGTACGATAGCAAACTCGTCACGAAAATTAACGAATGCTATGTCTTTCCAATGCTTTCAAGCTCTCTTCCCGAAGTCTTAATGAACGACATCAGTTTCAAAGAGCAATACCACGAGGATCTCAAGTGGTTCTTTGGCTTCGATCGGTCAGCGCTTGTCGCCCGAGGTAGAGACGGTACGGAAGAAGGCATTTACTCTGCGTTCTCGGACTGATAAATGATTGTCCGGTTTCTATAATTGACCACAACTACGAGGGCTTCTTGACACGTTTGATTGATATTCTCTGAGCGGTGGTCCATCACAGACTCCATCACGAGGAGATTGGCCGCAACATGGACCTGTAACTGATTCTATTATACCCGTGGTAAGTACATATGTCCTCGAACGAGTCGAATCAGCGCTCCTGCTTGATATCCTTTTCTTCGTCGTCGTTCGCTCCCTACTTTGATCGTTGGTCCTCCCCGACGTCTAGCACAGTTAGGCGGCGCCGACGGGAATGGCCTCCTCCGTTTCTCCGCTGGCGCTTGAAGACGATATTCGCAGCGACCGGGCGTGCTTCGATGGGATGGTCCTCGCCGCGCTGGCTTTTGGTACGGTTGCGTTATTTCGCTTGTGGCAGAGGGTCTGATAAGTCCGATTTCTAATTAGGCGCCTTGGTGATGCTGTACATTCAACTCACGCAGGTGCTGCTGCGTCGACCCAAGCGAGGGCGTATCTACTGGTTCATCGTCGTGTACTCGACAATCCTCTTCCCACTCTCCACCCTTGCCTTCATCGGGAGATTTAAATTGGCCGAGCTGACATATGTGACGCACCGCGATTTTTCCTCCGGTCCCAAAGGATATTATGTTGCGAGTACCGGAATGTGGCCGAATGTGATGGAGAGAGTCAGGTGTGTTTGATATCGGCGTTTTGGAAATAAAACTCCATGCTGATGGTTTTTGGGCGTCGTTGAAGCTCGACAGTAATACCCTGGGTCGGAGATCTTTTGATGCTTTACCGGCTCATGGTCCTTTGGAATTATCAATGGCTATTGTTGGTAATACCCGCCTGCCTCCATCTCGCCAGGATCGGTGAGTGCCGTATTTTTGGGATGGTATTCTCCTCCTGCTCCTGCTGACCTTTTTGATCCTTCAGGCCTTTCTATTCCCGTTCTTATTTCCCAAACACGGACTACATTGGATCTTTCTCCTCGTTCTATGCGACACGCAATTGCTTTTTACTCTACTTCAATGGCCCTTAACGTCATCATCACCTCCCTCATTTGCCTACGCCTATTCACGATGCGGCATCGCGCCGAGAGGGTCCTCGGAAAGCTTCAGGCGACGTTGTATAATTCTGCAATCACGATGTTCGTAGAGAGCGGAGGACTCTTCACCATCTGGAGCGTGGTGTACCTCATCACAAGAGTGCGGGACAGTTGGGTTCAGGACGTGTTCTCGCAGCCTTATACGTATATCCTGGCAAGTCATGATTTATTCTCATCTCTGAGATGCCCTAACGTCGTTTACGTTAGGCATTGACGAGAATGCTTATCATCCTTCGGATGGCCCAGGATCGCGCCTGGACGAAGGATATTGTCACGGCCGCAGACACAGGGGTCCTCGACTGGCAAGTCTCCTCGACGAACAGCACGAGCATCGCCCTCCGCAACGTCCCCAATGCCATGAGTCAGGATGGCCAGCAGAAACTACCCAAAATTTTCAGAGAAGACTCCATCAGCTCCAAGAGTGTCATCCATTACACTACGGCTTGAATGTACTCTACATTGTATCCAATAGTAACACCCCAGGACAAACTCATTACAATCATGCCCTCTCGCAGAATACCCGCATCCTGAATCCACAAAGTACTCGTAAAATCGAATAATAAGCATCGCAACTCGCCAGCGTGTAAAAAGTAAACGGCATTGCATACATAACGCACTGATCATCTCGCCTCTCCTTGTTGCAGAAGAGGTGATAGATTTGCGATGGTCTGCGAGTCTACTTTCCAAAGGGGGCCGTTCTTACTCTAATTTCAATGGCTTACTGCATGGCGTCCAACACGGGTTGGGCGTGGATGGTGCGCACGAGCGCCGCTTCGAAGGCCTTGGCTGGGCTGGTCAAGCCGTGAGGAGTCAACGCCACCCTAAAGACTGCCTGTGATTCTGTGACGAGCGCCGAACGGGAAGCACCTGAAATGTCTCACTGTCGGCTCGAGACGTATTTGAAGGCCAACCACGCAGAGGATTTAAAATGGGTGTGCATTTGTGATCAACATCGTTGGCGATGCGAAGAATCGCTCACGCTCGATAGCGGTTGTGGGCAGATCGACCTTCGAAGCGCAGGACAAGCTTCCTTCACGATGTCTGTTGTCAGTCCAAGAGCCAAGGAGAGCATAGGAGTCGAGTATGCTCTGTCATGAAGGCCGGGCTTACTCATGTCCAGGATTGAATGGCAGTGAAGGATTTTCCTCGGTTTTGGGCGATAGTGGCAAGAGATTGCTGAGCGGAGACGTATCCAAAAGTGAAATACTTTTCCCTGCAAGAACTATATGTTTTCGTTCTGGAATCTCCGTCGTTCCCTCGCCTTCATGGAAAGTAAGAGGACGGAAGGGTGTTTTTCGGTTTTTTCGGAAGGGAACACGGTAGCTTCGGGGATCATTATCAGATAGTGCTCCCTCCAATATCTGATAAGATGTTGCAGGCGGCGATCTCGGTCGTCAATTCTGCAAGCGTGTCCCTAGATGCAGACAAACCGATGGAAACTCCTCCTTGCGGGGAAGGACCATGAGCTGGCAGTGAATCACCTGAATGCTTGAGATCCCTGTTTTCGCACTATCAGAAGGTCGGAATAAGATCCATTTGGAAGACATGGAGATATGACAGAAAGAAGAAAAATTACGCGGATCGTTTTGTACGAAATGAGATAGTCCTGTTCGTAAGTACGCTTAAGCATAGAATAATTATCTGTAGCAGAAGGATCTCAGTATCGTCATGTGAATGGACAGCGTAGAAGACAGACATACCATCTCAGATTAGCTTGTTTCTTTCACTGGCAGGGAGACGGCGGGCCAGCGTTCCGAACTACTTCCAGCCCCAACTAATCCCAATCATCGTCATCGTCATCCTCGTCATCATCGCTGTCTCCCAGTTTCTTGTTCCTCTCCAACAACGCCGCTGCCAGCGCCGACGTTAAGTCGCCACTGCCAGCCACCGCTGCTCCTGCAACTGCACCGGCTGCACCGGCAGCTACGGCTGTACCTACACCACTTGAAGACGACTCGGTAACAGGCAGCCCGTCGCTCCGTCCTCCAGGGGGTGGTGCGTTGGGGTCTGCCTTGCGCAAGGAATGGATGCCTTTTCCTTGAATCGAGGCAAGGAGGTCACCCCGGCCCGGCTGTGGTGGAGGCAGAACACTCTTGACAGATGGAGGCGCTTCGCCTGAAGGAGGAGGCGGCGGCGGAGGGGGAGGAGGAGGAGGACCACTTGATGATCCAGGAGGCGGTGGTGGTGGTGGTGGAGGCGGCGGAGGCGGTGCCGCTGAGCTTCCGTAGTCGTCCGGGGTGGACGAGGTTGGTGGTGCAGGGCGAAGTGGAGGTGGTGGCGGCCTGGAAGATATTGTGGGTGGGCGAGGAGGAGGAGGAGGAACGGCTGGCGACCCCGATTGAGGGCGGGCGGGTGGCGGAGGTGGTACATTGTTCCGTGGCGGGGCGGGCGGGCGCGGTGGGGGCGGAGGTGTAGGCGTTTGCGAACTCGGAAGCGCTGCAGGGGCAGGCGGTGGGACATGTCGCGACGGGGTTGGAGGTGCATGGGGGCGCGCTAGAGGTGGTGGCGCACCGTTCTGGGACCTGGTCGGAGGTGGAGGTGGGACAGACGTTGGTGAGATAGGAGATGATATACTGCCGCCATTTCCGTGTGGGCGTCTTGGAGGCGGAGGAGGTTTCGGTTTCTTGGGTTCCTTTGCTGCAGGCTGCTGCTGCTGTTGGTCGGGGAATTCACGCACGAACTTCTTGATAAACTCCATATCACGCTCGATAACGTCTTTGGGAACAGTATTCTCTAGGTTTCCAAGAAGTGCTGTCCATGAGGGATCAACACCCTTTGAAGTAAACCCAGAATGTGCATCGTAGCCCATATGCGCGACATGGATGAAAGACCCTGCTTTCGGCGCGGATATCATCGATTTGTCCACCTTGCCACCTTTTGCCACCTTCTTCTTTTCGGACTTGGGCTTCGCTGCGCAGAAGGTTCATGACCGCAATTGACACGGAACTGAAAACACTTACAACCTTTGTTGCTCTTCTTCGCCTTGACCTTCTTGAAGAAAGTCTTTGCTTCGGCTTCATCTGCGTACACGAAACCGATCATGCAAGCCTAGGGTCTGTGTCAGTGAAAACTAACGACAAATTGGGTATCCTGACATACGTCTCCCGCAAACGAATGAAAGAAAGCTCTGTCTTGGTTGAACTCCAACCCCTCGTAGAACTCGTGGTCCCAAATCACTCCTCTCGTGCCATCCAAATCGACCATCTGGAAGTGAAGGCTGTTGTCCTGGTTGTTCTGCGAGAAGGCGAGAGCGCCTTGGAGCCCGGCGTACGACCACTTGGTAGGCTGCGGATATGCATAGTAGATTCTGGCTAAAGCAGCGAAATGGATCTTGTTCGTTGGTGTCGGAATGGCACTTTTAACTTTGGCCTTCTCGTCATCACTGAGTGTAGACGTAGAGGGCATTTAAGCGCAATAATTGGTGCCTATAGGCCTTTTAACCGCCTACCAGGAAACGAGTTGGATGGAGGAAGGAAAGACAGTTGTTCCGCCTTAAGTTAGTGCACTGCCCGCTGCGGTTCTATTGTCACACGGGTCACAATGACACAGGTCACAAGCGTTCAGACTTTTGCGGTTGCAGAGACTGAGAACAGAGGACTTCCATGTTTATTGTACAAATTGCGAAATGAATAAAGACATGCTGGTACAAAATACAGTCTCGGTTCGTTCGCCCTTACGCTTCGTGTCCTACCAAATCCTTCAAGATCGGTCGGCCTCTTAACAGGCCAACGGATCCCGTTCTATTAACGTCCGAAGCTTGAAGCTTCTTCAAATGCTTCATCTTCTTCAATGGGCGCTTCTCCTTCTCCAGGTTCTTTTCCGGAGACCCAAATGAAATGTTCTCCTTCCCGATGGTCTTTCCCTCTAGCTCTTGTGTTGCTCCAGGCGGAGCTGCACGCTTGGCAGGAGTCGAACACACATCAAACACAGCCTGGTGCGCAGTGTGTGCACCATGCTTGAGCTCCAGCACCCACCGCTTTTCTTCCATCAGCGAAAAGAACTGCGCAAGGAGAGGATCGCTTCGGAGAGTCCTTCGTGAACCGAAGATGACAAGTTTGCTGCGAGCACGCGTGAAAGAGACGTTCATCCGGCGCCAGTCTTTGACGAGGTCTCCGATCTGAAAACGTAGGTGAACAACTGAAAAAGCAACAGATGGACAGGAAAACACGCACAAGTCCTTCGTCGTTGGACCTGACGAGCGAGACGAGGATACAATCCTTATCCCTGCCTTGGCTCTTATCCGCGGTCAAAATCTCCAGGCCTCGACGATCCTGAAAGAGGTGCTTGAACAGCTTAACCTGCTGTCTGTACAGCGAAATGATCCCAATCTGGGACTCAGATACGCCACACGCGAGGAGGGTCTCCGCGAACTGGCGTATAAGCTCAGCCTCAACCACGTTCTGAACGAGATCGCCGACCCGCGAGTCCCTGGCTGGCAAGGCATCTGTGTCAACGAAGACTGCTTTGCAACTGCAGGTCAAATAAATTAGCGACAGAACAATGCCAATCACAAGTGAACGAACCTCTCGTCAGCCAACTTTTCCAACCAACAATTGGTCTTGCATTCATCCTCCCGGTACTTCGAAGCATGCAACCGCGTAAAGAATGATCTGTCAGGCAGTGCTAGAGACCTCTTCGCAGTCTCCTTGTTTCCGCAGCGTAGCCGATTGTCGTAAATGAGGCGGTTAGACAACAGCATGATATCCTCGTTCATCCGGTACTGGAAGCGCAAATCCACGACAGCCTCTGGATGAGCGTCCGAAAGACGTCGGAAGAGGGACACGTCCAAGCCACCTCGGCGTGCATCGGGATTCTTCACCTGTTGGAAGAAACGATATCATTGAATAAAGCAGGAGGGGCCAAAATAGCAAGAAACTCACAAGAGGCGGGAGCTGGTAATGATCACCTACGAGAACAAAAGTGTCTGCGAACCTCAGTGGGCCAAGACATGTTGGTAACGTGATCTGCGATGCCTCGTCAACAATGCAATAATCGAACTTGCGGCGGAAGAACAGCGGGCTGCGCAGGAAAAGAAAATGAACACTCAGTCACTAGCTCTCACTTCAGGACAACTAACAACTCACTGATCAATCGTCAAACACGTAGTAGCCACCACGGGTGGCAACATAATCATTCTCTCAAGCTGCTCAACCGTCTTTGCTTCCCTGCGCCCATTTAGCATGTGCTTTCGCACCTCAGGATGGACCTTATCCACATTTCCTAGGCGAAGTATGCCGAACGCACCCCCATCGGCGTCCCGCCCACCCATCTTCATTAGAATTGTGTCGACCGCCGAGTGCGTGTAGCTCGTGAGCAGGACAGTCTTGCCGCGCCGAACGAGCTCCGTAATCAGCGCCGCAATGACCGTCGTCTTGCCTGTACCTGGCATGCCTAGTACAAGGGCATAGTCCTGGGCAGAGAGGATGCGATGCATCGCGCTGATCTGGGAGGGGTTGAGGTGTTTGTACACAGAGGACGCGGAAGGGAGGAAGGGCGGGGAGGGGTCGCAGAACTCAGGCTGCTTGAGATCCACGACGAGCTGTAGCCTCCTACGGTCTCCGTCGGCATAGAAAAGTTGCGCGAGGTTGTTCCTCACACGCGCCATACCACCAAAAAGTTCATCTTTGTCTATGCGAAAGATGACCTGCTCCTCGTTAAATACGTCGTCCCTGCCTTTACGCAATCTTGCCGAGATGGCCGAAACGTCAAGGGCATGGTCGACACCGACGACAACCTCTTCCGGGGTAAGTTCGAGGATATACCCTTGCACGAGAGCAAAGAGAGGTTCGGCCGATATTGTGACGGGGTCGCCGATGTTGAGGTGCCCGTTGAGCAGACTCCTGCTATCAGGCGTCGAGTGTTGACTTCGCGAAAAGTTGGCGCTTGGTGTCGAGGGTGTCGGCACCAGCGTGGAGCTGGGGCTTGCAAACGGTGGGGTGCCAACCAATGTCGACGCCGTTGACGACCAGGAACTGTTTCCTGGCGAGTGCTGCGTCAATGAGGTTGTAGTTGCTCGTCGAAAGGCGTAAGTGAATTGATGAATCTTGCCCTCCTTCCCCCACTTGCTACCTTCCACACCCTTATCACCCTTCTTCCATTCTCGCACCAGGATCATGCCTGCGAAGCACCTGCCTCTTCGTTCTCTTTCCTCCGCACCGAACGTCCAAAGCTCCCTCTTGAACCGCACGAGGTCCTTCTCCTCCAGTGCGAGGAGACGCTCCCATTTCCTGAAAAACTCGACTTGAGAAGGCGAGAGGTGTCCCGTCTTTTCGTCAAAAATGTCGGCAAGGAACGGGGGGATGGGCGGGTCGTATTTCATCTTTTTCATCTTATTCTTTGCGTTACCGGAGTGGTTCGGGTGTGTCTTCCGGAAGAGCATACATACGTCCTGCACGTAGCACCATTTGCACGCCCGTTCGTCGTCGATCGGAGGAGGGAGGAATGGCTCTTCGTTATCCATGGCTGGAGCTATCGTGTCTTCGATATCAATCTCCGTCTCCTCCTTCATCTTCCCTTTCACGTTTCGGATCCGACGCCACATATACGCCGCCAACTCGTTTCTTGCGCCGATGAGTCCACGTACTTCGTTTCGCCCTCTCGGGACTCTGACGACCTCTCCGGTCTCACTTTGGGTGTAAAAAAGGAGTCCGTCTTGCACGTCGGCGCCGTAACGTTCGCTGAGAAGCAAGGTGTAGAGCATGGTCTGCGCTCGATGTTCCATACCCGCGGAGGCACGGCCGGTCTTCAATTCGAGGGGCAGAGGCGTGTTGGTCGACATGCGTTGATGTGTGGGAGAGGGCGAAGGTTTAGAATGGGGAGAAGAAGCTGGTGAGTCGGAGATGATGCCTTGAACCGTCGCGTCCAGTTTTCCCTTGAGTCCATACGTAGGCGACCAGATGTCCTCTTCGATGTCATGGAGTTTAGTTATTGCCAACAACGACGGCGTATCGCGGGCTGCAGAACGGGTGTTCATGAGGACTGCTTCCGGCTGACAAGGCGTCAGGCATTTTCCAGAACGAATTTGACAGAAATACAGACCTTTGGTGTCTCTGCAAGATACTTGTTCGCGAACAACCTCAGCCCTCTCGACCGATCCTTAACCTCTACCCGGGCAATCTGTTCCGAAACTCCAAGCTTCACCAGCTCCCCGAGGCCACCTAAAACCGCCTCGTCAATGCACTTGTCGATGAATGCCTCGTCCCACTTCTGCTCCTGGAGGCACTTCTGCATGACCTCATGGAGTATGCTGCCCCAGACTAGCGCAGGAGTGATATCACTCGTCGACCGAACGAGAGTCGAAAGAAGAGGCTTGCGACGGCATTGTGGCGCATTCGAAAGCGCAGTCGCGGTCAGCAGGAGATCAGGGTGCAGGATGAGAAGATTTTCTTGAGCCGTTATTGAAATGCACTTGGTAGGACCCTGGCTTGATGAGGAGAACGGCGAAGAAAAAGTTCCAAGAACGTTGAAGACATCGTCTAAGGGCGGATTAAAGCGCTATTTTGACACATGACAAAAAACTCACCGGCTCGGATGTCTGTTGAAAACCAGTCATCGTAGAGGTAAACATTCACTCGTTCTCCACCGGAATCAATCCGAGAGAGGATAGCCTAAGAGCAGCAAAGCATCAGAGAGGGAAAATGCAGAAGATAGAGGGCAAAGGCGATGATAAAGGTTCGACGAATCACTTGCCCAGGAGGCGACGTGACGTACAAGTTTGGCTGCCATCTGGGTGGGCCACGCCAGCGGTTGGCCACAAGCGCTCGCTTCGAGCAATAGGGCAAGGGGCGACAATATTGCTCCATCGAGATTCTCCACCTATCAACTTGTCGCCGCGATAATGCGACCTCTGGATGGGACATGGCTCGGAGCAAGCTGGGTTCAGGCTTGAAGGAGATTCGAGAAGTCGCGACGAATTGTGTCACATAAAGCGGTTAGCAGCGGGAGTCGCTCTGCAGATTGCCACGCAGCCTTCGTGTTTGCAGATAGCAAGCAGGGTAAAAGATTTCGACGTGCTCCTGCCTCGGTGCCTGGCAAAGACCAGCAAACATCACGTGATGCCTTTAGCAGCAGAACAAGATATTGACAGAATTCCGTCTAGAATTCTTGGGGAAGAAAATATGGGGAAACTGACCTTCCTCCATCGATTATCAACAAATTCTTCCACCACGGCCGCAGCTATGCAACGTGTGCATCGCTCCGGCAGGTATGGAGAACTCCCCGGTACGTTGGCCTAGAGAATCATGAACGATGAATTACGACATGAGGAGAGCGAAGCCCGCGAGTGGCACATGTTTTCTTTGCCGGCTTGACGGGGCTAAAAGACATGTCATCCAAATCCCAATTCTCCGAGCCTTGAAGGAAAGCGTCCATGTCAAGTTCGCCAGCGACGTTTTTATTTGGAAAGAGGGAGGTTGGGGGTGCCGGGAATGTATTAGTGGGTGCCTTTGCACATGCTTTGGTGGATTTGCGAGTTGGTGTCCTTGGAGCTGACGAGGCGACCGGTGGCTTTGATTTTATTGGGGAAGGAGGTTCATTCCAGAAAGAGTCGTCCAGGCCGAGCATAAGTTCCTTCATGAAGGCAGCTTCTTCGACCTCAGTACGAACCATCGAGTCTCGACTGAGTAGCGATGAGGAATTGAGGAAGGTGACGGTATTTCGTGAAGTTGCAAACGGAAAGGATTGTTTGTGATGACGGGTCCGGTGTTTGGCTGTATTGACGCGTCGCGTTACGCGTTGTGTCAGTGATAGGGGTCCCGCATTTAAAGGCAATACTTACTACTCAGATTCCCACCTACGAAAGCTCACAACGCTCGCTTTGAGCTAAATTTATTTTAATTGCAATATTTGTCCTATTTCGTTCATTTGTATCCACTTCCTCTCATGAGTCATGACATACCAGCGACCTCGGAAGCCGGTAGTTTTCGATAATATGCCTGATGCCGATCGTCAGGTCAGTGTTGCTTATAGAGACAGGGAGGATAGAATGCCAGTGTACATGTACAGAGGCAAGGTTAAATATCTAGCCGAGTAGGATGCGAAGCTCCGTTTCGTTCATCGTTTTTGGCTGAACAATTTGTTCGGCCAAAACCGCCTTGAACAAAATTTTGGTAGCTCTGATATCCTTCTCACTATCCAGGTATTCACAAAAAATACAATCTTAAAACCACATATCGAGCACATGTTGATGGAGAGATTAGATGCAGCATTTATCCCCGAAGCCCCTATTCTTTTCTAAAATTAGACCGCGACACGTCCCATCAGCACGTGCCACCATCTCAGCGAACGCGCTGTCTTGTCCGGTTTTCAACCACTATGACTCTGAGCACGAACGACCGTCTTTCAACAACGAGCAAGAACCCGAATGCCAACACCAGCTCTTCAAGAGACATACATGGACTCCATTCTTCACGACAGATACCCAAAACAACAGGCGCATCCTCCTTGGAATACACTTCAAGAGAGGATAGGTCCAAGCCACAATCCTCGCGAGCCACAAAGCATAAAGTGAAAGAAGAAGGAAATGGACAAGTGGAGGAGGTGGCGAAAGCCAAGGACGCGTACGCTGCCCTCTGCGCGGTCGGCATGCCGGAAGAGGTGACTAGGGAAGCTTTCATCAGGCTCTACCTGTCGTCCGATTGCACTTCTCTCTCTGGTGGAAAGGGAAAAGAGCGCGAGAAGCAGACAGATTACCCGCACCGGAATGAGAAGGGCAAAAGCAGTCAAGTTGCATCACACGAGAAAGACACGACAAACAGCATACCATGGAATGCTCTTATCGACACCCTCGCCGCCCAGCTCGTCGGTCGATCCGAGGTAGCCCGCGTGCGTTGCATTCTTCAGTCCTCAGAAGGCGATGGACCGCACAAACACCTATCCAACCGGCTTGCGAGCGCGCACCGCATCCTGAACGCGACGAGGCGCGAATGGGAAGTTGAACGTGCCAGCTTGGATGCACTAGGTCTGTTCTTCTCAGATAACACCTCATTGACCACGATCTGACACTAACCGAATCTAGAGAAGCAGCTGCAATCGCTAAGAGCACAAGTAGCTGAGCGGAGGCGTGTGCTGCTCCTGCTCGGAGTGCTGGAAAAGCAGGAGTTGGCACGCCTTGCGCGCTTAGGAGACGGTGCAAGTGACTCGGGGAGGCGAGGTTTAGGAAACCTAATTCAGGAGCTGCAGTGAGTTCTATGCCTTTGTGCCCTGTATTTCCTGCACTGAAATATGCGCGTTGGGATAAATAGGCGAGAGTCAGTACTTCGGATTCAAGAAGTGGGAGGTGTGCTTGGGGAGATATCCAAGGTGAGTAGATGTTGCGTAAATATTGGTGTCACTAGAAGTCTAACTTAGTTACAGATAAATATGGCGCCTATGCCTGCTCAACCACCAAGGAAGACGCCCATCGTGGCGGGCGGTGCATACAGGCATACCAGAGACGCGCTTGCCGTGAGCTTCCTCGCGTTCTTTTCCCTTCTTTGAAGCCAACGCTAACAGGTGTTTATCTCTTGTTCGAACAGAGATTCCATGCTTTGAACATCCGTCTTCAAGCCGCCCATGAGGATGTCCCAAAGGGAGAACCAATCACGCCTACGCAAGCGGAATTGGACGAGCGCCTCTCCAGTGCCCTTCACAGACTAGGCGTGGCCGGGGTGGAGCTGCCGAGGATGAGGTGCGCCTGACGTCCCTCTGCGTGACCTTGGGCTTCATCTAAGTCAGTTGCGTTCATGTGCCCAAACAGAACAAATTTCCAAGCCCTTGCACGGCTCCGCGTATCTCGCCACCTCCAATTCCCCTCGGGCCATTCAAATTACACCCTCGAAGAACTCGAAACGTCCCTCAACACCCACCTGGATACCCTCCAAACCAAGCGACGCGCCGTAGAATCAAAAATCGCACGTGTCGTCGGCCTTGGCTGGGTAGCAGAAGGGTGCGTCGACGCCCTCGCAACATTTCGGTTCGAGACGGCGCCAGCGCTCCGGACGCTGCTCAGTGAGGAAGCAAGGAGGATCGAGGGGCACGTCGATCTGAGGCTGAAGGCGATCATTTCGAGCTCAAATTCGGACTCTCCGCCTGAAGGCCAAGGGAAGCTAGACGAGGACTTTGCGCGTAACGTCAGGTTCATGTTCGGCACGACGCGCGTGGGCGTGTGTGAAGAGGTCGTGGAACTGCTTCACGACGCGTCGATGAGAGAAAAGATGTGCAAAGGGTTGGCAGCGGTTGGATCTGGATCTGGGATCGAAGACAAGGGGGGAATAGAAGTTGGGGTGGGTGATGAGAGGAACGCAAAGCTCTTGGAGAGAAAGGCGCGCAAGGCGGAACACGGATTCGCCATCGCCGGCGAGGTGAAGGGACTGATGGACGGGCTA